ATGTTACGCTCCGTTGGCCATGTCGCCCGTGTTGCCTGGGGCTGCCTACATTATCTACGTTGCTCTCCGGTGCTATGCATTGCCCTCCGTTCCTCTATGCTATCTACGTTGTCTGTTTCCGTTGCCCCTACCGCTTGCGATACCTACGTTGCCCTCCATTACCTACGTCGGCTGCGGCTGCTTGTGTTGCTATCCTTTGCTCTCTATTACCCCGCGCTACCCTCCATTGCTCTACTTGTATCCTCCGCTGCTCTCTGTTGCTCTCCGTTGCCCTGCTATACCCTGCGTTGGGCCTACCTTCCCCACTCCGCCTGTCAGAATAAACCGACGGCTGGAGGACTTCGCACAAAACGCGCGACGCCGGCGTCGCCGAAAGGAGGAAGACGGATGTCCTGAGCACTGCAATCGATCAACGAAGGAACACGAAGAGCAGAGGAACTCAATGAAACATCGATGAGGGAGACAGAGGGTGCACCGGGCTTGATTGAAACTTGCACGATGTCGGATTGAGTAGACAGATGGTCAGATATCGACATATATCGACAAAAGCACATCTCTTGGGAAGAACACCGGGCCAAGAGACAGAAAACAAGCACAAAGCCGTCCAAGTTGTTTGTCTGTGCAAGCAGGTCCATGCCACCCATCACAGTATTCTGACGCCCTAGGGGAGAGATGATGGCGGAGTTGAGAATACACCATGGGGCTTTAAAGGAGCATTCAAGCGACTCTTGATCGAGTGAAAGGCGGACCAGGCTCACTCCGCAGTTGGAATGTTGTCCACTCCCGAGTCGTGAGAACGAGATCTCACAAGCGAGTAGATAGATAGCTAGCCGTGAGTCGGACGTCTCTGGAGGCACAGCATATGAACAAGACACCAGAACGGGACCGTCCTGTCTCAAAGCACATATCCGGGACAAGCAAAGAACAAATTTCAAAACCCTCACTCAGTAAGCTCAATTCATTCATTGTCGATGTCGGGAATCCTACTTCCTTCGATGTCGAGTATGTACCACAGCGACTCTCCTATATTCCGAGATGATCAGAACCGGAGTCACACGCTATGCTGTAATGTACGATGTAACCATTTTTCGTCCACCACCCAGACAAGAAGGGGACAATAGATATCAAGGATCCACACACCCAGCCTTTCTTGAAAGGCCAGAGTCAACCCAGAAGACCACCGACACCATCGGTGGCCTTAACCCTGTAGTCCTTCTTCGAGGATTCCGGGGGCAGGCCACCCAAAAAAAAGCACAGTAACTCAATCAGTATGGTGATCAGTCCATAACAGATCGAGACAGACCAACGATCCCGTGTGTCCCACGCGCGATTTTCGACGAAGACTTTAGATCGGCAAGAATTCCTGTGTCTCCTAGATACGGGCAAGGACGATATCGACCCCCGAATTACAGTCGTTTGTTTGTAGACTTTTTGGTTTCGAGGCCTTCGAATCAGCTGTAGGAATGCCGGTACCCCGTTTCCGGCGATAAGTGGAAGAAAAATGGGCCCTTATATCGAGGAACCAAAGGCCCGTCTCTCCCATAACATTGACACTGTTTGGACTGACGAGCTCTCTCAAGATGCCGCGAGGGAGAGACCCGAAGTTCGGGCGGTCGAGGCAAAATACAAGGTTGATTAGTGGCTTGCGTAGGCACAAGTCACGATGGGAACGCGGGAAGAACTGGGAGAAAATGTTAGCAGACATTCCCGGGGGATGTTTCAGGACGCATGCACTCACCCAGCGTTCTTGATAGAACCAGTGGACAATATATCCACGCGCAGGTGCACACACACACACACACACACACACACACACACACACACATATATATATATATTCTCGTGTTTTTTTTGACCGAGTTTCTCGGTCGTGTAGGGACGCAGACCGGGTGGCCGACGATTACGCCGCCCCCACCCGATGACTGCAACTCTCACAAGCCTCGAAGGCAATGAGTTTTTCAGTGAGACAATCATGGGGATGCTTTAGCACCCCCATGGAGGGGGCGACGTCTTTTTTTACCATGCAACAGATGTCAGAGGTCTCACATGGACCGGGGGCGCCGTATCGGATGGGGGGTAATAGGACGCGGAACGGGGACCAGGTAAAGGGCAAAACCCTGCCAAATTGAACATGCGCGGTTCAATCAGTCATTCCTGCTCCACCGTCCGGCGACCCTACCCAACCGCCATTAGACGGGCGGGGGATTGGGAACCTCGTATGCTGGGAGTGCACGAGGTGGATTGTTTCCGGAACCGTGACCGAGTCAATGTCCGTATTACTTCCTTCCTGGCCAGGTAGAAGGAATGGGAGCCCCGGTGACGGTTCGGAAAGACCAGTTGTATATAAGAATGAACCTCAGTCCTGCGACTGGGGTCATGGCGCACCAGAGCCAGAGTGTTCACTTTCAGGTTGAGCACCTCGACGACTGGGCTGTGCCAGAGAACCATGACGCATGGAGGTATTTCGGCATAATAATGTGAGATGATCTCATGTTTTGGGCGACGCCAGCCTGACGATAGCTGGACGCTGCTCGGACTCGGCGGTGAAAGGGTATGCGAGGAGCGACGGCCTTTCCCTGATGCAGTCGAAGGGGCGATGGAAAGCCCTCGGCGCGGAAGATAGATGCTTCGCACTTGCCCCAGGTCGGAGAAGAGTCGTTCGCGACATCATTAATGGCATATAAGCAAAAGTTGGGGGGTGCATCTTCATGACGCTCATTTCTCGGGTCAGCCCGGACAAAGCTGGATGGAGTGTCCGTCCCTGTAGTCTTTTGCGATGTGCCAGCATCGACAGAGCCCCAAGGAGGAGACGCGAGATCCTTGCAGTTGCTCACGTGCAGGCGCTTCAGTTCGTATAAGCATGAACAATATCTGGGCCTGCGTCCGTCTCGTGGATAGACATGCATATCGAGGATTATACCCACATTTGACATTCTGGACGTGGGTCCACCAACAGTTTGAAGAACTCCCCCAAGCAGCGTCGGCGACGTACCCGGAAGTACGCTTCAGGAGATTCAGTGACTGTTGTCCAAGCGTTTCGGGATGGGATCTCCGCTTGGTCACGGGACTTTGTTTACATCGCCTCATCATCTTGTGCTGTCCAATTCCCCTTCTGTTCCAGTGGTGTTCCCTCGAATGGGCCATCAGCAGTGACGGACTTCATGTGCGTACGATGGGGTCGAGTCTGCTTGTTCGTCTTTTTTGGTTCGGATTGGGCTTCTGCAAAGGCGGCCTTGGTTGACAGCGAAGCTGAGGGATCCGTCACTCGAATGGATCTTAGATGAGACGTAGCACGAAGGACTGACGCGCACCGGTGGTTGTCCAGGATGCCCCAGGTCGGGGCAGGCGAAGCGGAGCCCTCGAGGGCAAGAACACGCCGATGTTGAGGATGTATCTAACCACAAAGCATCTTAGTCAAGTATCTGAGGAGAAACGGGGTGTCTTACACGTAGAACAGATGTCACACTTCGTCGTCGTCCTCGGGTCGTACAGACCCCCCAAAGGGCGGGAGAGCTCCAACCAAAAGAAAATCGAGACGCGGGTGGGAGCAGGCAGCGTATATGTATATTTGCGACACTCGTACTGGCCGAGTCAGCACGGCATTGGGGGAATTCGGCGCCGTTGGTCCTAGGCTCGACCCTGTCGCTTTGTCCTCGCAAGCTTGATCCTTCCAGCGCCCTTCAAGCGAAATAGGCAGGAGCTTCAGTATTGTGCGATGAAAAGCTATCTGCCGTGCTTCCAATAATGGATCGTCTTCGAGCTACATTGTCAGGACGTGCAGTGTCAGATCAAAACAAGCCGACAGGTACCGAGTAGCCAAGATGGTTCTAGAAGCCAGGAACGTGTTGTTATTGGACAGTGGCGTTTCCACGTTAGCGAGCGAGACGGGCCGTTGATGAGTTGCATCAGATTTCTTCGGCTAGAGGTCAGTCAAGGGTTTGTCGGTGACTGTATCAAGTATTGCATTGCACTTCACCATATGCCTCGCCACAGGTCTGTTCCGGATGAAGAAGGCCCAGCACAGGCACCCATGGACAGCTCTCTGAGGACGAGGATCATGTAAAATCACCAGAGCTTTAGTTGAGACCATTTAGACCCACGATCACATACCCTGTTGCAGCCCTCCAGTGCTGCCTTCATCTCAGCGATACAACGCCAAACTTGCCAGCTCAGCGTAATGCCATGCTAGAGCACGCCATGGTGTCTCCGCACATAAGTCGGGCTCAAACTAAAGGGCGAACGGAATGTTCGTCTGTGAGACTCTCGGCGGAAGGTTGATTCCAAGCGAGATTGCATCTGCAGCTGCCGCTTTTGCTTAGATACGAGGCTGTGTGAGGCTCCACAAAGCGGCCAATTGTCGAGCTGCTTATGGTAAAGCGGCGACATATCCAAATGTTTAAGCCAACATACATCAACATTCTTGCTGACTGTGCTATGGGAACACCTGCCTCGTGCAGTCGCTGCTTGCGGTTTCCTTTCCCCAGGGACGCCATGGAATGCCAATCGGAGATGCAGGGATTATTCACGAGATTTGCGGCTGAGGTGATTCGAAGCGAGGCTGCAGCAAGGCTAACTGGCTTCAGGCCGTCCCTCGCCAAAGACGCCTGTGGGGAAGCAAAACCATCCTCTTCGTCGGAGGTTCAGCCATGGGCAACAGTCATTCCGCATCATTAGCCAACTCTAGGGTCCTCCATCACCTTCGGCTCGGTGGGAGATATTATTAGCGTCTGTTTGCTGGTCAGAGACGTCGTCGATGCGCTGGATCAGAGCCGGGGTTCCTCAGCCAAGTACCAGGCCTTCATTCGGGAGATTGGAAGCCTTGAGCGATCGCTTCTCCAGTGGATCTCCTCTCCCGGTCTCAGATCGTGGGCATCTGCAATGCCGCCCGTCAATCGGTGGAGAATTGCCGAACTTCTCTCCAGACGTTCTCCAAGAAGATAAGCAGATATGACCTTGCGCTTGGCGAGAATGAGCCAAAGAGGATGATGCATGATGTGAGCATGAGGTTCTGGTGGCATGTGACGGAGAAAGAAGCGATTGCCAAGTTCCAAGCGGATGTCGCGGCGCACACCAATGCTCTAAATACGTTGCTGGCGACTGCCAGCGTGTCAGTATCCCCGGATATATGCGGAGATCGAGTTAACTCGGCTGATTGCTACAAGAAAGATGGCGCAGAACAACAATTCCAAACTCGAGCAGCTTGCGAGCGCCACCCAAGAAAGTGTTCAGCGCCGTGACGGCCAGCTCCTGAGAATTAGCGACAAGCTTGAACACAGCAGCTCACTCCTGGTGGACGGCAAATCGCTCCTCGAAAGCCTTGGAGCGGCATCACCTGCCTTCAACAGGGCAGCCTGGATGTGAAAGACTCGGTCAAACGGATCCTGTCTCTCAACGTGGCCTTTACAACGCCGTGCTTGCAACACACTCTGGCCTTCCAAACCGTTTGGAACGCACGCTAGTAGGCGAACCTGCCATCCTCGAGGACACCTTGGGACGTCTAGCCCGGTGCACTTGCAGTTCATTACCTCTTGGAAAGCCCTCGACGCAGTCCTAGAGGTGCGATTTCCCGGGCTGGAGGGATTTGAGATGATAACTAGAAAGGAGTTCGTCCTGCAAGAACATGCGACAGGCTATGAAGTCCTTCGCTCACAACCCTGGGAGAGATCGATTCTCCCCGGGTAGAGAATCGAAATGAGCTTCATTTTCAACAGCCAGAAACTGTCCCCGGATTTTGCAACGAATGCTTGCTGTCCCAAATGTGGCTTTGTGTCTTCTGGAAGACAGGACTCGGAAGTTCAATGGTGAGTTCATTCCATCCGCCACAATGATTGCAAGAATCAGCGCCAGACTGAGCAAACACTGATCCACGGTTGGATTATATTGCAACATGCCATCTCTATTACAGAAGAATTACTGTGGAGGAAGTCGAGGCTTCACTGCAAAACTCAACTCCTGCGAGCGGGCGGACGGTGCCAGCGTTCGGACAGAATCCCTTCGGACCGATACCGCCGCCTTCACGGTCAATGTCCAAGCGGAAGAGAGAGGATGGATTTGATGATACTCTTGCTCGATTCAAGAGAGTTGGGCTGGTGTCCAAGCAAGTCAAGCTACGGAGTTCCGCCATTTTGGGTAGAGCCCAGTGCATCAAGTGGCCTACGCCAAAAGTCGTGATCGTATTTTGTTCCTGACAGAATGTACTGCCTCGACTAGACGAAGTCGGGATGGTCCCTAGGAGCAGTGTTGCTGCACTGCCACAGGGAATGGCTGCCAGGCAATCCTCAGGCGTGAAAGACAATCGTCGGAGTTGTGAAGGCCAGCACGAGCAGGTGCCACATATCTTCGACAGTCCCACGAACCGAGTACGCTCCTGTGCGATACATAAACGTCATCACGGGCCCGTTCTTGAGGACGGATACCGAGGACACACGTGATGGGATTCGGATCGAGGGTGGCAGAGACTCAGGGAAGAATCGATAAGGAGGTTGTGATGACGGAGATCCTGTCAGGAAGAGGTACACAGTCCCTTGGGTATCACCCAAAAAGACTAAGAATCCTGTCATCTCATGACAGAAATTTGACCTCTTGGCTTATATGCTTGCCAGAATCCAGTTCATGACAGATGCCGTGAACAAGTGACTTCTTTTAGGAACTCAAGGTTCTGTAGATGCTTCACCGGTCAAAAGTGTTCGATCCCTCTGGGATCAGTGTAGACCAAAGGCTTCCCCGTCAGACACATTGTCGTCGTCAGCGGTCATCGCGGTGCAGGGCCTGGTTGAGATCGCACGCAACAGCATAGACTGGCATAAAGGCCGCTGCGAGCATCGTAACCTTGGTCCCTCTGACTTTGCGCAGGAATTGGTTGTCCAGCAAAGCAGTTGAGGCCTCGACTTGTGCCATTAGAGAACTTCTGTGTATGTGTCCAGTCATCGAATCTGCAAACTGGCAAATATCGTTGAGCACCGCAAGCAGACAAAACACAGGTGTCGGTGAGCCCATGCAACTGCATGAACACCCTGAACGACGGTATTTGATTGTCCTCTCTCTTGTAGCAGCATTCCTTGTGCCCATATCTTTGGACAGCCAACAGCTGAGCACTGAGAGTAGGCGTGCCCGTGCATGCACATGATCATACGCCGTTAGGTTCGTGAACAGTCAAAGGCCAGTGTGGCAAGGCGGTGTGAAGGAGGTTGGGTAACAGCAGACACAGTGAGCAGGGTAAGGTCTGTCCGAGAACGAACGCCAAGGATTGGAGAGATGGACTTCGTGAGAGCGCTGTACTCAAATGGCTTGAGGAGCTTAATGCCATGGGGCAAGGGAGCCTGATCTGGAGCCTGATGGGCATTGAACCACGTTGCGGGCTGCAGCCGCGAGACGGTAGCCAATACGCCTGCTTGCTAGAGGTGTATAGGTCCAGCAACATCACCAGGGTGCGTCGACGAACCGGCCCAACCACTTTTCGATGTCTTTTGTTTGTATCTCGGTCCATCTCTTTCACTCTTGGAGCTCTGTAACACTTTTCTTTCCGTCGTTGCCTTGCTTAGGGGGGCAAGTGGATGAGAGATTATCTCTTCAAGGGGCACGGAGGACGATTTGGCACCTGATGCCATAGGTTTTGGTCTGCTGGAAGACACATTCACTCAAGAGCCGGATCCATCACCGTGGTGGTCGCTCTGCTGGGATGGTGTATCCGGCGGTATAGGTTTCGGATGCTCGAATTCTGCGAGGACACGTAGAGGTGGACGCTTTTCAACAAATGTCAGCATACAGATCAGAGCAAGTGGACAAACCTGACGTCCTGGAGTATGTGAAGAGCCTTGTTTCCGAGCAAGTTAAGGGGTATTGATTCCAGGCCAGAAGAGAAAGAACGTGCTGTATTTGGTGAGCGGGTCAAAGACCAAGCCAGCGACGCCGATGCAGCTGCCATTGCAGGACCTTTTGTAGAGAAGTTAAGCACAGAATGATGCGTTGGTGATCAGAACGACAGAGAAGGGACGAGACTTGGGATTGAGGATGGGTTGGAACTTGAATCACATGGGCACTCAGCGTCAAAGGGCTCAATCACGATGTGGAAGAGGATGGATGAATAAGTAGCGAGCGCAGGAGCAACAAAAAGCAACGACAAGTATGTGGTAGCAACACAATACATCAGACTGTGGCGAAGACGCACAACGTCCTCCCCAACTGTGCTCCAGACAACCTCATGGCTTCCACTCCTCTCGAAGCAAGCAGTTCTGAATGATGCTGCGAAGTGGCACAACAGACGGAGCAGCGGGCAGGCAGTGAGAGCGATGACGAGCATCATGTTGCTTGAAGCCAGGGCCGAAGCCGCAAACTGGTATCTTTGGATTTGCCCTTGCTCTTACTTCAATGCGCCATTATCCAACCGGTGTAGACTTGTGTAAGGGTGGAGGATGGAGAATGGAGAATGGAGGACTCTCGATATTGCGAAGTCCAAGCATGGAGGGAAAGGGTTGTGTCGTCAAGGAGCTGATCTTCACATTCGCTGTTCATGGCCGTGAAAGGGCAGTCGACGTCGGCGAGGCGCGTCGGAAAAGCGTGACCATAGTTTGTTATCGCCCCGCAAACATGGAAAGGATCGCGATCGTGCAGGCTGTCCCGGCCCTCATCTTGCTCTGCATTCATCACGGGCAGAAGGACAGAATTGACCTGTGGATTGTCAGAGTACAACGAGCAGCATGACACCGAGGACTTCACAACGAGCAACTCAGGGCAGACTACCAGGATGCGGTTTTGCAAGCTCACCGCAAGGTGTGAAAGTTTCTATGACAACTGCAGAAGTGGTTGACCGTGTTGTTTTCTAAAGATGGTAACTTAGCCGGATACTGCTGAAATTCTTAACTATGATAGGTGGAGAGCTTTTCCTCTCTTTGGACTAGTGTATGATAATGCCAAGACAATACAACGCCACAAATCGTCGACGCCACAACCCATTGACCTCACGACAACGTCAACCCTATTATAACGACAACGCCACGAGAACCAGGCGCCCTGCAAAAGCAGCGCAACGCCACAAAGATTCGGTTTCTGCAAGTCCTAGAAAAGGATTACCCGAAGTATCTGACATATCATCCTTGCGCGGTGATGTATCCCTGGGAGAAGAGAGTCGGCGAGCCTTATTGTCATTCGCTCACAAATCCGTATGAGCTGTTGTCCAACGTTCTTGAAGGTGCAGCTTTCAAATTCCTTGTCGGCGATACCACCCCACGAGGCAACAAAATGTGGGCTCTTCGGTAAACTTCATCAGGGTCGCATAGATGGCCTTATAACCTCCCATAAGCTATAACTGCAAGTGGTGGAGGAGTTTGCTCCTTTAGCTCTGGGAGAACTCGCTGGCAAGGTAAGATGTTCTGGCGGGGATGAACAAGCTTTAGCTTCTTGTCTGCGCATGCAAACTACGATATCGTCCTACGTGTGGGATACGTATGAGATGCAGGATATGGGGACCACTTGACTCTTGTGGCTGCAGCCTGGATTCTTGGAACCTCATTTCTAATCCCCAACAAGTTTGCTCTCCATTTTGCGGTTCTGACGCAGGTAACACCTTCAGCGGGAAATCGAGGCCAATTTCGTCAGGGATTGATAATGCCGTCATGAACGCCGGCTCCGGCAACCTGCCTGTCGTCCTTTGCGCTTCAGCTCATATGGCCTCCAAAGCAAGAGATCGTCGATGACCAAATGGGCCGTCACAAACTGCATGAAATTCTACACTGGTTCAAGAGAAAGCAAGCTCTCCGTCTCTGGGGTCTTTGTAGCGGGGTTTTGAGAACAAAGAAGCTGGTTCTCCCTTGTGTCCTGTTTGCGGCGTGAGATGGTCACCCTCTCCCTTTGTCCATGCAAACCGATTTTGCGTGGAGTAAACAAAGGGTCAAGTTCAACGGAAAACGTGGCTCTTCTGGATTTTTGTCTCGTATCCATTGGTTCGTCCATCAAGGTTGCTCAGAACGCTACATTCTCTATAGGATCGCCAGCGACATGCATCATTTTCTTACACAGAGAGGGAATAACCGAGACAAGACCTACATTGAGTGCCTTATCCCTCTCAACGACGAAGCGATCGCACTCGCCCAAGCCGGCGACCACTGGAGTGCCGAAAAGCTCTACCGACGACTCCTCCGGCTCAGCCGGAGCCTCCTGGGCGACCGTCATCCCTCAACAATCACCTGCATTAACAACCTGGCCACCTCTCTGAGCAAGCAGGGCAAGCACCGGGAAGGTGAGCAGCTGCATCGCGAAGAGCTGCGTTTGAGTATTGATGTGCTGGGCGAGACGCACCCGGACACCTGGATCAGCATGAACAATCTTGCGGCCGTACTTGTCGACCAGGGAAACAATGGCGAAGCGGTGCGTGTGCTGCGGCGTGTCGCCGACCTCAAAAGAGACGTCTTGGGAGAAAATCATCCCTCGGCGGTGAAGAGTGCGGAGACACTGCGTTGGCTTGTGGCGAATGGGTCTTGACACTGCAACATCAGGTATGGTTTTTTGGAGTGAAGAGCTGGTGCTCCTAACTCGCAGACCCGTCAAGGAAAGACGTCCATGCTTGCCACGCCCCGCCAGCACCGAATGGAAATTGCCTTCTTTGTGCATGATCCTCTGCTTAATTTTATTCCACATCCGCATCTACTTCGATGCATGCTACGCCGATGGATATATTGTTCGGAGGACAAGATATTTCATGGTCCACTATGTCGTCAGAAAGCCAGCATCAGCGACAGCAAATACATTTTTCCGGTATAAATGATCGAAGCTTAGTTTGTTTCCTTTTTCGAGCGCTTGTCCTGCTTGGTCAACTTGCTGTCAGTTCCATTTCCCTCTTCCCCGTCCTGCGGATACTCTGTCCATGATTTGTCAGAAAAGATGGCCCTCGGATCGACTTTTGGATAAAACGCAATACGACGCACGCCACGCAAGGGAGGTCGGTCAGGCAAGGGGAAAGGTCCATCTCTCTGATTGGATTACACATCTGTAAGGACAGATTGGACTCTCCCCAGCCCAAAATCAGTGTGGTGATGATCTTTGCACCTGGCCAGTAGGAAGAGGCATTCATCCTTCCTCGAAGGGATGCGGTGGTCGCATGGCAACTCCCGATACCCGCATCGAGCCATCGAGCACACTTGTTCTCTACAGTTTTCTCGCGTGGAGTCCAAACTTCCCTCTTCCGTTGAACGTGTCTGAGACCAGCACGCGGTATTGCAGCATCCGCCGAGCGGGAGTGCTGGAGATCGAATTGTTCTTCCTTTCTTTGAATTCGATCGGGTATGGGTTCTCTTCGCTGAGGCTGTTTTGTTGGCAGAGACCAGGTTTGGATTCATGTTGCGTTTGACGCCAATAAAAGTGATATAATGAACATGGGAAGGTGAAAGCAAAGACGCATAGAGAGATATACCTCAAATGTTCGAACCAAAGGGGTCCAGACACTGAAACCGGCTTGATAATCTACAGTTTCACCCAGCCTTTCTGTGATTATTTGCTGGAGCCCAATGTGGTCGGCTTTTGAGGTCCTGTCATCAGGGTGGGCTGGATCGCTCACGTGACCAGAGAGTGTGTGGCTGAACGTCTTGAAGTTCAACGGTATGATCTCACGGCACGTTGCGACGAGTTTCAAGACGATGTCTCGTGTCTCTGTCTCTGTACCTGACGTAGCCGAAGACCGCCAGGCATTTGAAGCCGGCAGACGGACTGTGGCGTTGAGATAAATCCATGGCTGCAACTTCTTGGGGAATGACTGAGTGCTTGCAAGGGCTTCGTCATCCGACAGGGGATGCGAGCCATTGTATGAAAATCAGTATGGCTGGACAGCGCCGTCGGTTAAAGCTGGAGCTGCATAGTACGTCAGTGGCCGAACATTACGGGGCTGTGGAGGAAATTTTGAGGATGGCCAGAAATAGGTGAATTTTCGGTTGCGTATATGCCCGATGAGAAAGAAGCAGCTGCATGGAGCCACAGCGTACATACCTGCAAAAGTGGATATGCGCCTTTTTAGACGGTAGACTACTTTCGTGGATAAGGCCGGGGTTATTAAGGGCCTGGGAATTGTTACCAGGATGAGCCTCAGCGGTTCATCAACGCGGTTCATCAACGCATGTGCTTGGATTTTGTTGAGGCCGCAAACTAAAATAACAGTGAAAAGAAGCTCGTCCTTTCCCAGGTGTAAGACATTGCTCGAAATACTGGAAGGCTTGACAAATTAGGAAAAAGGCTGTTCGGATCCAGATCGGATGGGTCAGTTGTATCGTCGCAATCGCGGCGACCGCCGTGAAGGGCAGTTACTGCCAGCCAGGGCTAACTTCTCAACGCCGCACATTGGTGACGAGCATGGCACATAGTCAGATATTGGGGAAATCTTGTAGTGGTATGGCCTGTTAGTTTGGAGGTGTTTGAAGAATCGATACCTAAGCAGGGCCATGTGTTTGGGCGGGCTCGCTTGTGCTGATTACTCATCTTATCCGGTCCACATTCTGCTTGAAGAGAGCTCCAGACATGCCAGTAGTTGAAGACTATTTGTCTATTTGACGCACCGTTGGGATGTCGCCGACCTACTGCTCTCGTATCTACCTGGTGCACACTTGAGCCACCACAACTATGGAGCTTTTCGCCTATTCGATACACGAAGGTGCCATCGTCAGTGATGATCGTTGTTGCCAAACTCGCACACACTTGAAACATCGCCAATAATGAGCTCCGTTCCCAATCTTACACATGCTGGAGTCATCACCAGTATCGAGCTCATGTGCCTAGAGAGCGCCCACTTGAGCCATCACGAACAACCGATCCGCCACCTCAGCCCGGAATGTATTCTGGTTCCACCACAGAATGTTCTCTGCAATCAAGAGGAAGACTTTCAGAGAGTACTCGTTGACAGCGTTGCACGCGTAGTAGGGATACATGTGATACTCCGTTGTGCTGCCCCTCGTGATGGGGAAATGGATTGAGAGTTGGATATGAGGCCCTTGCACGACAACAGAGAAATAGAAAGGTTTGATCTCATGCATCCACCGGCTGGAGACGTAGCTGAGCTGTCGGAAAAGCTTGATCATGCGCCTGCCGGCTGTCGCAGCTTGGTTCTCAGCTTCGAACATTGTCTTGCCAGTGCCTTGTGCCTCTCCTTCAACGACAAGGATTGGAAACAGAGCATCCTTTCCAGTGGGATCCGTGGAAATGTTGTATTTGCGTTGCAATCTGGTCAGGATATCTTTGGTCTCGGACGGCGTGATCCCCAGCTTTGATAAAGCGTCTTCGAGTGCGGCGTGCCGAAGACCGATTGTACAATGAGGACGAGGAGTCTCGATATTGTCACGCTGTCCGCCAGACCCACCAGTGTGAGATGTTGCAACAGGACGACCAGCCTCATTCTCAACTTGATCCTGAAAGACGCCGAGATTAATCTCCGGTACTGGAGGACTTGGTTTGTTCCCTACCTTCCAATCTAAGTGAAGTGTTAGCATGCGATCGACGTAAGAGTTTAGAGAGGTACCTTACCAGCTTTTCTGACCATATTGAGGCCCTTGTCTGCGTCCAGTGCCGCGAGCGCCTGAATAATCACCTCGACGGACTCATCCTCTTCTCTGTTGCTTCCCATGGTGCGAACGAGTTTACCGGATGCAGCCTTCGCTAGCTCAGCAATCTGACTTCCCCTCTTGCTAGTTATCTTACGATGGAAGACGGCATTCAGCCCCGGCTGGAGATCATCTGGAATCTGGACGCGGTAAATGAAGACTCTGGCATTTTGAAGAGTATCGTACCGATAACGAGCTTCTGGAGCCGATGATGTCTTGGTAGGATCCTGGGGGGTCGCCGGTAATACCGCCGCTTGCGTTGTGTTACGAGCTTTGTTGCGAGCGGTGTAGATAATTTGTGGGTCGGTAGAGTAAGCCCCTATCACTTCCTGAAGAAACTCCAAGTTGTCCACAGTGAGCGGGTAGATCAATCGTTCTTGTTGTTCCTGCTGATCAGAGTCCACATCAGAGGCCCGTGCTTGCTGATGATACCGGTTCACGTTAGTATTGTCTAATAACATCTCGTTATCGGGCTCTTGTGGTTGTTGTTGAAGTGAGAGCACCTCCGGAGCACGGAGTAGGATCTCATCATCAGGATCTTGTGACTGTTGGTCGTCCGACGGCACGCCAGCAGCACCGAGCAACATCTCGTCAGGCTTTTGTGATTGCTCCTGGTCGGAGGGCAGGTGAGCGTTGTTGAGCAACATCTTGCGGGATGAAGGAGGGGTAGGAAGATCTTCAAAAGTAATGTAACGATCAGCCATGTTGGACAGTGTGATACTGCAGAGGGAAAGGTATGAGAGAAGGGAAAGATTTGAGAGCAGGGAAGTCTAGCTTTCTCTTGCGTGTTTGAAACCTCTGGCGCGAGTTTCACGGAGTCGCTGCCCTAAGTCCTGAAAGACACTGCCCGACTGCCTAGAGTTGTGAAGGATTATGGTGTTGTGGAGCCAAGACGTGCACAGTAACGCACTCGCCCAGTCCTGGTAGCGTGAAGGAGGGAATCAGGACGTCAGTGATGTTAGGCACTAGACCGCTGCCTTCACAGCCCGATGTGGGGACGATGTCAGCAGCTTTCTCCCCTTTCACTCTTGAAAATGTAACGAGAAGACCCCAAACTATCTAGTGTTTGGGGTTCACCATGGACATCTCGAACGACAGCCTCGCACCTTCATATGCACTTCGCTCCCTCTTGTCTCATCGTAGCTGATTGAGCAAGTCCAACTCAATGAGGGCGGGAAAGGTGGAATCTGCCTGAAAAGCCCGCGTAGACTTTGCTGACTGCTTTACATGGTGCAGAAAATCGGATCCTGCTTTGTGAAGGGCGGGCTGGAGGGTCTCGTTGGTATTATTTCTTGCTCTAGAGCCAGCATCTCTTGTTCCAAATATTTTCGTGATCCCCTCGGTACGTGGGAGTGAATTCTCTTTGGCGGACCTCTTTGGCACATCATACAAAGGTTTGCTTGCATTTGTGGCAGGGCTGAACAATGAACGTGGCAGTAGCGTCGCTTGCTCCATACCTGTCTGAGTGTGACAAGCCAAGGTCCTTCTACCGTCAATTCCATGATTGTTGGTAGTAGCTTCGTCTTGTGCGCAGGTGAACTTGTCGTGGGACGCCGACAGGTTCATCAGTTGCCGTTCTCGTACCTTTGCGGATAGGATTGTGGCAGGATTCCTTTGTGGCCTGTGCCGGCGCAGACCAGCCCTCTTTGTGGTGTAGGACCACGAATGAGCTTTGTCATCGCCGCATGCACACTCAGGAACATGCTTGCCGTGGAAGCGCCTTTGTACTTACAACGGCACCTGTGGCTGTGAGTAATGGGACAGAGCAACCCTGTCCCTGGTCGTTATGCGTTGCAGAAAGTCCTGTTGGAGGTCAAAGTCATGGCTGATGGCATGGGCATTTCCAGACAGAAATAAGAACCTGTAACCGACTAGGTTCCATTCCCGCAGCAGACAGCATACTGACTCCATGCCAGCCTGGATGAAGGGCTCTGGAACAATCATCAATCAAGAAATGTTACCACTCGGCCACTTGCGTGAAACAAAAACACCCGATCGTCCAGGTTTGACAAAGGACTGTGGACCCAGTCAACTTTGCGCAGAACACCTTGGTACACATCGTCGGCTTGGAAGAGTATGCAGTGTAAGACGGTGGCGAGAAAGACAATCTGCCAGTATATGAGTTCGACATCTGCTAGTGCTGTTGTACCTCCGGGGCGAGTGCACCAAAGATGAAAGGTACGGCCTGTCCACTCCGAAGAAGAGTTTCATACAGTCGACACGGCGCAGTCCCTTGTGATCACATAATGATGCTGCTGACTTAGGCCCTTACCACACCATGGTCGAATATCAAAATCCTGCGTCTAACGAGGAAGCCGTAGGGAGGAGATCACCCTGCAGGCTTAGGTACCTCAAGCGGCACTGCACAAGAAGAATTCCGAGATAAATGCCAGTAGCATCCCAAGAAGTCCCTGACCATCCCTAGCACCAATGATTCGGGGCTCTGGAGTAAGGTTGACGCAGCCAGAGACGGGTGTATGACGGAAAGGCTTGAAACATCGGACAGGGAGATGTAGAATTTTCCTTTCAATTAGAGCTGCACGTGCCGATAGACTTTGAACTCTTGGCGACGACCTTTGACTTGATCCCATCAACAGTTGGCAACAGCTAGCATTCTGCCCTTCCGCCAGGGGTTGTTGAAGGCTCTCTTCCTGTAGTTTTTTCGATATGGAGATATTTCTCTTCTTGGGAGGTCCCCCTTTCACGCCAGCCTCGTCCTGCATGTAAGCGAGTCGCCTGGCCCCACCACATTGTTTCAGTCTAAGACCCGGATCTTGTATATCCTATTGGCCATTTCGAGTGAGTGTCACGTGACTACTTATGCCAGCAGGTATCATTTCGGGGCTAGGGGTGAGTGAGATTTCCATTCCTTCTTGTACTCCCCCAGCAGGCCGCCTTCGGGTATTTCACTTGACGTGCCAAGAGCGCGATCGACCAGAGACAAAAGTTGAGGTGAAGGACTCACTAGCACAGTAGATATGCAAGGAGCACTCAACCTCGTGCGGAGGTACCCTTTTTAGCCGTATGCGGAGTCCATCATCCAGACCATGTAGCTTGAGACAGGAGATGGGGAAATCACTCGGGTTACCAGTGGGTGAACACAGTGCTAAACGGACATGTACAATGCACTTCTGTTGAAGTTAACACGTTCTTTACCATTCTTGCGGGGATTCTAGCGGTTTCAGCCTTCCAAAACCAATTAACAAAACGATGGAACAATCGCATCAACACAAGGCATTTACCACCGGCCAGCCAGGTTTTTTCTTTCTGCCTGGTTCGATACTGTCTGATCCTGTTGAAGCGGAAACGAGACATTGAGTTGTTTGGCGAATGGCGAAACAGGATCAATGAGAGCAAGGCACCACTCTCTGTCTTCAAGCACAGCCTCTATCCCAGTGTATCCGGTCGGTCGACCAACGATCGATGAGAGTCAGCATGGTATTGATCCGCGTAAAGTGTGCGCATAGTCAATATGCTGACAAGGCCAGGTGGATTTGGATGTGTATGTTATTGGAGACAGTATTTGTCTGAAAGGCTTGCTTGAAATTATGGAATATGAGTACAGTGAACCTGCTGCCAGCGGCCCGTACCGCCTACTGTGCTTCCCTAGGACATCACCATGGTCGTGTATCGCTGAATGTTGCTCTCGGTAGAAGCGCGGCGTCCATACTTCAAGAGCTGAGGACTCTTCGAATCCGTCGATGTTTCTGAACTGCGGGCAGCAGCTTCGGATAATGGAGTGTTTGTGCCAGCGTGGCGGCATTTCCACAGTGTGCCTGGTTCTGTGCGCCCTGATGCGATGGGGAGAACCGCCGTGATCGGTTCGTCGCCGGCATTCTGGTTCTGCGTTATCCCGATTCGGTATGCACTCGGTGCGGCTTCACCATGTCCAAGAAGAAGTGTGGGTGTAATCTTTCGAGCATATAGCTTCCGCAGCGTTAACAACTGATCGAGTTGACGTTCTGGGATTCCCTGCACGGTCGGATTACCGATGATCTGAAAGGCACGTCTCAGTGCGGCCGTGGGTGCGCCATTCCAGAGTCCCGGCTCTTTAAAGGGCCCCAATCCCGGGATGAACTCCTTGTTCGCGTGGACAGGAAAGAAGTCTCGTAGCGTATAACGCCAGTATAAGCCACCGGTTGCTTCAGACGACATGCGTGTGGTCCTCTTGAGGTATTCCGAGTACATCTCCGGTGTGGGCACCATTCGTGGAGGGATGTCTCCGTGCCGTCCGGCAGTCTCGATCCGATTCTGATAGTCCTTGAGCTCAAAGCTGACAAAATACTCCAGCTCGGAGGGAATGAAGATCAGGCCCGGGTTGTTGAGGTCGTCGAACGCTCGGTGGCAGGAGGGACACAGGGGAACGCCGTTTTGCTCATCTCCAAGGTGATCAAAGGTCAGGATACCGGCAGCAACGTAGTCGCCGAACTGTTGGCAGTTAGCAGTCTGTCCGTCAAGGACAGCACCGATGATTCAGGTCTCTGGCTGCCTTGCTTGCAGTGACTTACTGAACCATCCTTTTTGCTTATCACAGGGGCAATCTCTGCCGCTCCTCCACCACAATGCCAACAATGCTCACCACCATTTCGTTCCAGTATCTTTCGCTTCGTGGTCTTGGAGAACTGCGAGACGGAAGACGTGTCAGCAGTACCTGCGCTGTCAACATCACTTGATCTCGAGGAATTTGGCCCGACCGACGAGGGAACTGTGCGCAGATAGTCAGATGCCGGAATGTCTGGGCGTTGCTGCGACATGACTGTTCGCTCAGGAGGAGAATCCCCTCGGCTCTATGGTGCATAAACCTGGCAAGCGATCGAGAGCTGCATTGTTTTTCCTTTTGTAGGTGCAGCAGATGCCGCAGCTGCAACGAACGCGCCAAGTTTTCCCAGTCACATTAAGACTACGAAGCACATGGACGCCGAAGGTTCCAGTGGTTCTCTGCGGGTATTACTGGGCACCCTCTGGATCTCGCAGCCCGGACGAAGCCTGGACCGCGTCAGCTAGCCTGCGGTTCCTTCAGGTCCTTGCCACTTTCGCCCGACACCGTACTCAGAGACATGATCGATGCTCAACTTGCAATGAGGGATTCGAGGAGAAAGACGAGGCCTTGATGGCATAGTGGCCATAGAAGGTAGTTCCCAGCAAGAGAGAGACTCTGTTACCTGCTGACAGTCCTTGCAGAGCACCGGATTTTCTGCTGGCCTCTCTCGTAAAGCAATGTTGCGCTGACATCGTATTGAAAGGCCTCCTCTCGATCTTTACCCTTCTCCCGACGTCCACCTCTCCGTCAGAGGTCAAGCAAGCTGACCTTGATTGACGAATCTTCCGCTCTCACCAGAGATACCCCGATCCCAAAAGAAGAAAATACGTTGATGGCAGCTCTCACGAAACAAGTGGACTGTTTCAGTCCGAAGACTGTTGCAGGTACTGTTCCTTACGAGGGCATCCAAGAGAGAGGACCCAAGGAAGAACACAAGGCAACAAGCTCAGAGCAAGTTACATGGGACCATCTCTCAATCAGCAGGTTTCGTGTGCTTCATGCCTTTCCAAGGGGTGGTGTGACTATGATACGGCTTGCATTCTTCTTGACGTCGCCGCTGCTCAAGGGGAGTGTACTCGTGGACAATACTCTGTGCCAGGATTTGTACCGAGGAATAGGTGGGCTGGTGTTACCGCCGTCCTGGCCCCGTCTGGGCCTACTTGAGGCGTTGCTAGGTGCGGTCATTGGAAAGGGTTACTCAAGCGAGAGGCAGCTGGAGCCTCATTTGTGAGGCATATGTTCAATGATACAAAGGGAATCATACAGCACCACCATGCTGGCAAGAAACACTTCTGTTTCTTGATCCTGATACCCTCAGTCCTGCACTGGACTTATCAGCGCAGCTTTCAGTTCACGAATCAGCTGGCTGTACCGTTTCACAAACCTCATTGTCTCTCTCTTCGACGCACCATACCTGCAAGGTGGGCAAGGGGACATGGCGTTCTCTATGTCATCCTTTGAGCGGTGGAAGGGATGAATTGAAACAGAAAGGACTATCTGTAAGGCTCAAGGATTGGCAACAATAATGATATAATTTTGGGCACGCAGGCAGAATCTGTGCCACCAGTGTCGGGTGTAGAGCAGGTTGTGTAATGAAGATGTTTTAATAGGAACGAGAATTGTATTATGGAACGGGACCAACCCCCTGACAGGCAGGAAACAATCAACCAGAGAAACACTGCATTGTCAGCTGTGCTACGTCGCATGCGGGAGAGACGTGATATGTTGCTGTCCTGCGGTGAAACGGTGTTTGCCTCGACGACATATCGAAAGGCCCAACAACCTTGATCTTCTTCTACTCTGCTATGAGTGTCGTCTCTCACTCTGGCTGAGGATACCCAATCCGGATTTGGAATGCCTCCAAGGTAATCGGATTCTGGTCGAGAAGAGTCTCCATGGTCTGCTGAGAGTGCTGCTTGAGGCTCAGGAGCGGGTCGAATGCCTCAACCACGAGGTCGTGGTTCTTCCACAGTAAGGCACAGAGCCGGCCCCGGTGCCTTGCATCTCTGCAGTTCACGACGCTCGAGCGAGGCATGGACGAGGGCCTGCGCCTCTGTCTCTTACCATCGTCGTCGGTACCTTGACCTTCACGTTTCCGCTTGCGCCCGCTCTTCCTTGTGTGGCAGTGTACCCGGCACTGGGCGGGGGTAGTGTCCATCTTCTCCGTAGCGGTCTTGCTAATCTCCCGCTCTCATCATCTCCAAATGGTGCAGGGGGCATGGGTTGCGGTAGTGGCCATGTACAGGGTTGTGACAACGGGTGAGAAGGATAGGAAACGAGGCTTGGGAGGAGACCTGGCTGTTGTCTCTGGAAGCCATGGTCGAAGCGAACAACACACTTGGATACGAGGTGAAAGGAATGTCTCAGGAAAGCCGCCACGGAGGCCTCTGGCACGGGTGCTATTGCCTTGATGGGCTGAGGCACAGCTTTCGTGGAATCTCGCACGGATTGCCTCACCTCGCATCTTGCCGCCAGGGATATCCCAAGGTCGGAAGTGGAGGCTACGCAACGGACATCCATCTCCTCTGGTCCTTCGCGGACGGCGCCTAACAGTCCGTCCTAAAGAGACGCCTCTTTCTGCGGGCCCGTCGATAGTTCACCGGACACCGCCAGTGGTCTCTCTTGACCTCCTCCGTCTGACCCGTACGGAGGAGGCGTGAGAACCAACCAGCGATGAACAGCAAAAGGGACGAGAACAACTGCAACCACAGGAAAGTGTTTAAGGCAGCGCTAGAGAGGGCCCCTGTGTCCTATCAAAAGGTTGACCATGGGAATGTGTGGAATGATTTCTCCACCTTGCAAACCTTCATGCGCTTTGCTGGGCCACGACAAAACACGACTCACGGGCCAACACCCACCCACGCAGTCAGACGTCATGCGTACGTTTCACGGCTCCTGGTACCACGCCTGTAATGCTCCAGCAATGACGGGTCTATTCCACTATGTGCTCCGGCGCATCATCTGTCACGCCTCCCAAGAGCAGCAGCGTCAGCAATGTTGACATGGGGGTTGGGGTCTCAGAAAGTGACAGGGAGCTGTCAAAGGCAGCCCAGGGTTGCAGCCCAGGGATGTCCCAGCATGGCAAAGCGGCGGAGAGAGCGTCCAGGAGCAGAGGCCTCCCCGTGGTGCAGGATTCTCAGGATATGGCTAACAGAAAAGCAAGCCCATCCAGCCATCAGGTATGTTAATGCTAGGAGCTTCTGGTCTCTCGGCTATCTATCAGTACGTGTGTCTCTTGCTGCCACCTTCTGGCTCTGACTACAGCCCGCGAGGACGGCCCTTCCCACAGCTGCTCTTATTGCTTCTCGCTGGGCCCGGTTGTCGATAACATGCCTTACGGCATTGTCTAGGCAAACCAGGCGGCGGCTGCGTTCGCCATCGTCACGGTCTAGCGATTGGCAGGCATTTGGTCTCAGTGGGACTTTCGATTAAGCGACATTTTCTGGTACAAGTGCGTCCTGACTCTATTCCGGACGCTCTCGACGTTCGCCGGCGCCATTCTACTCGCCCTCCTCTTCCTCGGCCCAGTCCAGTTGACCTTCTCCTGCTGGATTGCTTGCCAGGCTCTGTCTCTTGCATGCAGCAGTCTCCTCGCGGTGAGTTCCTGATGCCTCTTCATGCTTAAGAGCGTGCGATGCTGACTCCTGCGACCGTAGTTGACAGAGGTAGTACATCCCTCTATGGTCTGCCTCTTCGCCACGCAAGCCCGTGTAACGGCCGCCGTCTTCTGCTTTGGATGCGCGATCCAGGCCTCCCTTGGTGTCACAAAAAATGCAAAGATCGGCGGCGGCACAGGCAACCCGATCATCTGAGGTATCCCAGTGGCAGTCGATATCAGCATGGAATAAACGGGGCTTCTCACAGCCGGCATTATACGTAGAAGGGATGGGTCTGCAATGCCGTCGTCGTCGTCGGCGAAGATCAGGCTTCGCGTTTTCGACGTGGTAGCCACTGTTTACCTACTGTGCTCGATTGTGTGTCTAATGCTTTCTCTGACGGTCGTCTGGGAAAGGTATCTCCAAGGTTGGGGCCAGAGCCTGGCGCCGTGCGGCGTCCTAGGCCTCACGCCGTTGGAAGGTCTCATCTGGAAGTTGTGGGAAGGGCTTCGTGGCCGCAGATACGCGTCTCAACGTGGCTCTGACGTTGTGGGAGACAAACACGCCTCTCATGTTTCTCTGGGTTAGCGCCCTCTTACCTCCTTTGCCAATGGCAAGATGTATAAATTGCAATCGACATCTCATATGGCAATCGGCGATTCTAGAAACCTCCATTGGTCTTCAGATAGCATGTGTAATTAAAACACAGCCACCATCGACTTGAGTCCTGTTTATGGACCACAGTATGCTGGCCTGTCCCGCTCCGCGATGTCACCCTTTACTACTACGGGGACCGCCTTCTTCTGTCCAGCCCTCTCCCTCTCTCTGTCTATACTCACCACCGTCTTCAGTATTTTATTCATACAGGGGCAGAGCAGATTGAGAAAAGGCTGCCACGTACCGGTGACAGACGCACTCCGTCTGGGAGCTGGACTTGTAATGACCACAGTGCCGCTTTGACCAGGTCACCACATAGAGTGGCAACCGGCCGCGTTGCTACGAGAATCCACACCACGTGGAGAACCAGGAAACCTGCTGGCCACTGGAACTTCCAATCCCTCCTCCTCCTCGTAGTCTTCTTACCCCAGAAAAGGTTAGCGAGAGATGTGTTGCATTTGTATTCTCCACTCTGGAAATATGTTGCCGCGGGTCATTGGCCGGGAATGCTCGCCGGGTCAACACCTCCTCCACCCGGTTGTATGCCATCACCGTTATATGCTTTTTGTGTCAGCACTAAATCTGGCATATTTGTGGGGGCACAGGTTGACGATGAGCTGTGCCGCACAGATGAAACCATCGGTCGGGGGCTTTGCTCAATTCCATTCATTTTCAAACAAGAGAGAGTCGGGTGACAGGTGCCGTAGACGCTTCTGCTATTCGACCATCATGCTGAGAGTCAGGCAAAAGGCGAGCAGCAAATGATGGTCACAGGGGCACGAACCGTTCAGATACTCACACATCCGGCTGAGCGTGTCCAACTATATCGTAAACTAGGCTCGTGACGACCGGATCCTCGCCCGGCGTTTCTTCAATTTGGGAGCGCCAGGGTACAGCGGGACAATGACGCCCTTCGCCCAATCGCCTTTCGGCTCTCTCCGTCGATTGAGCCATGGCCCATCCTTTGCTCCTGGTCCCCAGGATACGAAGGTGCATGAAGGACAGGGGCAGATACAAGCACTGGATAGGCTGATGGTCATCGGGCGAAATCGACTGATGAGAACTTTTGAGAGGTCGCCCAGACAGAACCCACCCTGCAGGAAGGACAACAGCAGAGACCCGCCACTCCGGCCTCCTATCTGCAGAACCGATCACGAAACAGGTAAAAGAAGAGCTGAACATCCATGTAGGTGACGTCGTAGAAGCACCACTGGACCGATGGCTGGCACACCGCCTGACGTGGCGAGTTAGAGGAATATGGAGGGCGCCTGGACGTCGAGAGGATATTGAAACCGGGCGCCATTTCATGTATCAATTGCCTGAGGCAATGGCTGCCGTTACCCCCTGGAGCGTGTGAGGCTGGGACAATGGCTCCAGGCCGAAGCTGATAAAGGTGCGTTGATCCTCCAACAAGCATAGAAGACGATACCGACGCCCTAGCAACGAATATATCGTCCCTCTCTGAACGCCGCCGATCGTCCCCATACCAACCGTTACCTCTACTCACAGGCACAGACTTCTGACCGCTTCTGGGATCTAGGCGTGCTTATAGTGGCATCAGAACGTGAGTAACCAAACCTAACAGGGAAGAAGAGGAAAAGCTAACCACACAACCTTGAGTGTCACAGCGACAGACTTGACGGGCCAGCAAGGTAACATCTCGAAGTAACACAGCCAGCCTACCACTCCTGTCCCTTCTTTCACCACGCGAAAAAAGCCAATTCCCCACAATATGGCAACACATGTGCCCAGTCTGAAGCGGAAGGCCGACGGGCAGCCAGCGGCGGAAACGGTCAGGCGAACCAAGCCCTCCCGAGGTCAATCGACAGAGCAGCAGCAGGGTCTGCGCGACGTCAGGGCTGAGTGGGGACACGCATGCGATTTCTGCAAGAAAAGGAAAAGGAGGTGTAATGGCCAAGAGCCATGCGAGAACTGTATACATTACCAAGAGAGGTGTGTTTACAGACCTCGTTACCCGCCCTGTGAACTCGGCGCCGCAATGCTGAAGCACGTCAACCTCCTGGAGGACGATGGGCTGGAGGCGTTGGATCTGTTCTTGACGCGGCTTCTCGGCAAATGTTCGTTATTTTGGCGCGGGAACACCAACGAGGTGGTGGAAGAGCTCGTCTCGACACTCCGTCAACGCGGGTCCGGCGCCACGACATTCGCCCACGTCGAGATACCAGAGAGCCGCAGCGACAGCAGCACAGACCAGTGTGCTCGAGATCTCACGGGCTACGGCAACGGGCCCAGAGTCTGCTCGCCCGCGGGAGCGGAGGACAATGACAAAAGCCACGGCGGTAACGAGATGGAATTCAGCTTTGTAGACTTCCTCAACGCGCCGCTGCAGGACCAACAACTCATCGTCCCAGGCTTCACAGAGATCGGCTCATCGAGTGCCCCTTCTAGGGGCTCCTCCGCAAGCACCCCGCCAGCCGACCTTGCTGCCGTGTTAGACCACGACGGTGCCACGGGACAAGAGGTGGCGATGACGATGCGGGAGAGCGCCGTTCCTTCTCCTTTCACGAAAACGCCACCACCACTCCGAGATGCGTTCGACAGTATAGTAGGGGTGGGCTCCGTTTCTTGGAACGTTGGTTGGAACGTTGGCAGCGTGATGGACCGATTCTTCGCTGCGAACTTCGACACGGCCGAGGCGTGCGTGTGGCCCTGGCCGGGGGAGGAGTTGACGGCGATTCAGACAGTCGGTCAGCTGCCCATATAAAAACTGTCCGGTGTATGAAGCTCACTCACTGGGCCGCCGGCAACATGTCATCTCGGTAGATATAGCTCCAAAGTCAATTAGATGTCTCGGGCAGGTGTTCCTCGACTCCTGGGCGGCAAACGCAGCATGGTCTCCGATGGAGGCAAGAGATCAGATATAGATAAATATGTAGCTCAGGGGCTCCCCAGAAGTAGTGCCAGTCTCTCCTCGAGGCACTTTAGGTGCCTGTTTCGCATCAAGGCTTGGGCGGCAAGACAAATGTCCTGCTCACGCAAGGGATAGATGGAACTCGGCGCTTGGAGTCTGGATTTGCTGCTCGCTATCATGTCCATGGAGCTGGTTGAAAGGTCGGGCGCGTGACGAGACTCCGTCATCTGCCGCTTCTATCTTTGGACAGCCGTCTCCTCGGTCCACGGGGGCCCAGGATAGCTGCGCAAGACGAGAACTGCCCATAAAGAACGACCTCGCTCCGCTGGGTGGTTTGTCCATAGACGCACAGTAGCTCACGCAAGTATCGCCAGTCAAAGCAGATTAGTTGCTCTCCGAAGAATTTATTGCATTGTTTCCACCGGCACTCTCCGCCATTCAATTCGTCTTTCGTTTCTTTCGCTCCGCCTGCCCGCAAGACACTCACTCCGCCCCTGCGCCAATACATTGTCCTCTCCGTCATGAGCTCCGACATCAAGCATCCCAGTGACGAGGAGAGCCACCAAGAAGAGGCTCTCAATCCTGCAAGCCCAACCCCGTCGTCGACCACAAAGACACCATCGGTCGAGACTACACCACCACGGGATCCCTTCCAGGTCCACCCCAAAGACAACCCGCAGGAAGAATTTGAAGTGTGGCACGACTGCGAACCCTGCGCCTCCGAGAACGTGTCTCCTCTCCTCCTCTCTCCCATCCGGCTGTACCGCGCCGGGGCCCTGCAGGAGATCGAAGCAACCCTCCACGTCGAAAGGTACAGCCGCAGCGGCTGCATTCACCTCGCATACTTCCTCGGCGCTCGGCGCATTTTTTCCATCGGGCTCCCGCTCCGAGCCATCATTTCGGAACGCCACGAGGATGAATATTGTGCCTGCGATACAGTGGGAGACGGGATGACGACGCCCGAGGCCGAGGATGGTGAGGGTCCCGCTGGCCTTGTCGCCGGCGATGGCGGTCGAAAAAGGAAACGTGTCGATGACGACGAGGAGAGCGTTTCTGCGTCGCACCGCGAGACTCGTCCCCGCCTGGAAAGCCCTCAACATCCAACTTCCCTCTCCTAGCCTTGGGCTGGCAGGGTCGTTGGAGGACAAGGGTGCAAGAGCACGAAATGTCCATGGCGTCCCGGTAATAGAAAAACCCGTCCTGAGATCGTCAACAATCGGATGGCGTGACCCAACAAAGCCTGATAAACAGTTGGAAGGACCACGGCTGCCACAAATATGTCTCTGAGCGACGGTGCTGTCCACGACGGGGAGCGGTCATTATTGAGACAGGTTGTGGACAGATGTGGGCAGCCTCGCGGCCTCATCCACGAGCGGACAAGTGAGTGCTTTATCACATTATCCTCTCGCGCCTTTACGTCTAACATGGTACAACCTCCTTTGAGGGATCAGGGATTCGTCTACCGAGTTGGAGCTGGACGTCTCACCCACCGTCCGTGCCCCCGAGTACGATTCTGCGGCTCGTTCGACAGCCAGCGGGAGCTGCTCACCGTGGCCAATCCCCCCAGCCGACCCGGTCCACCACTCGCAGACTCACTGAAAGAGAACTACTGTCCTGGATGAAGTACTATACTACCGGCAGACAGGCTGCAACTGAGCGGACGCATGCATGTTATACCACCAGCGCAGCCCATTCGAGAGAGAGCCTCGCACGCTGCATGTACACTACAACACGTCGAGTCACAAGACTCACTCACTGTAACAAGATGAACCTGAGATAGAAAATGCAACAAGCCTTCAGCCTTTGTGGCCTGAGTATTCATCGTTCTCGGAGCCACATGATGTTATAGTTCTGACATGATTCCTGTAACTCACAAACGCCCCGATGTTGGAAGAATGAATCGTCGGTGTCAGCGAGTAATGAATGCAGGGAGTGTGCCAGCAGCGTTTTGTGGTTCCCTGACACCACCTGATGTCTTCCCCAGCTAGCTAGTTAGCCAGCGGCGGTTACGAGAAAGGCTTAATCGAGCACGGTGTGCACCGTTGGCAGTCGGCTGGATATGCCGTGACAAGGGAAAAGCCAGGCCGGAGGCACCGAGATCCCGACTCGATCGACCCATGCCAGATCCAGGCTGGGAGCAAGAAGTCGTTTCGGCGGTATCACCACGAAGAGCTCGCGAGCTGTGGCATCACGGGAATGTATTGTCCACCCTGTCAAACAAATATCTCGAATTCCGTAGGCCGTGCACTAAAGGTGTCTTCCCCTTCCTGCCTTCGACACCTTGATGCAAGCTGGGCGGACATTCGACCTGGAAACGAGGCATCCACGTTGGAAAACCCAACGATGATGGCAGTAGAGCACGCCTAATCCCCCTGCCGGCATCGCCGTGCATAACACCTGGGATGTCGATCAAGAATTCGACTGCAGGACTATGCTGTGTAACAATCGTCGTCGGGGATGGCGCTGTGCTATGGGTCTTCGGGCGCGGCGGAGACAGGAAGAAAACACCAGAGAACGCTTCGCCCCGAGATCTATGGGGCCAATGCTTTGTTGGGAAAATTTCCCCGTTGGTAAACCGCGCTCGACGAGTCAGACACTGCGTGGGGACATAGACAAGAGACAGACAGTATGGAGGGTCCGGTGCCCTGACTGGCGAATGGAAGGGCGGCAGATGGGACGGCGGTTAAGGGGCCGCCTGGAAGCAGGACGAGGCTGTTCGTCAACATGGATGACTGGAATGCTGGGAGATCCACAGCAATATTGGATACCGACTTGGGATTGCACTGACTGATATGCGTGGTTTACTTAGGACGTGATTGGCCCCAGCCTATTTATTGACCGCCCACCACGTCGCACTGTGGTCGTTTCGCCCTGTTGCGGCACCATGCAAGGCGGCAGCGCTCAGGGAGTCGGTCACGCTGGCCGCACAGCCCCCAGCCAGCGCCTAAACAAAGGAGTGCTTCGTGGATATCGTTGTATATGAGAGTTCACCCGGGCCTCTGTCCTTCTACCCGCACTGCTTGTCGGTACATCACTCACTACTTTGGTTGCTGGACCTCTTCTCACATATTTCACCTTTTTGGAAATCTGCAAGGTCTATTCTCATCCCCCGACCTCCTCGACCTTCACTATTTGCCAGGCACGATGAGGTTCCTCTGTTGTGGCGACGACTCCGACACCGGTCCCACCCAACCCAACAGGCCACATGTCGACTTCGACGCCAACGCCGAAGCTGAGGATGGCAGCAAGCCCGGCGTCTCCCGCCTCCCTGCCAGAGACAGCTTCAAGCTGTTGTTCGAAGGCGAGCTTCCGCCGGACTACACCTTCAACGCCGAACCCGACGGAGTCCGGCTCCTCCTGGACGTGATCAAACGTGGTCACCGACTGGGCCACAACATGGGCATCTCGGGCGCCTTCAACGCGCTCCGTCACCGCCACATCAGTGTGTGGGTCGATGACAACCACCGTCTGCCGGCGGTGACGCGCAATTCAATGCGGTCGCTCGCCGTCATGTTCCTCAGCCTCGCCAAGGCCGTGTCCGCCGACATGGAGTTCTTCTTCATGAGCCAGAGCAACACCGAGAGTGGAGACCTCACCCCGGAGGAAAAGGACAAGGCCAAGGCCCTGGACCGGCTGTGGATCACGAAAAATTGGTCGCAGGCGAAGACTATGGTAGAAAAGGACCCGATCCTCCAAGACATGGGCCTCCTGCAGTGGATGGAGAACAACTCATCCGGTGAGGTCGCAACGTCGTCGGACATGGAGCAGGCAATGTGGCCGCAGCGGGTGAAGTCGGGCCCCTCTTCCAAGACGAACGCTGCTTCCACGCAGGCAACCAATGAGGAAACGCCGCGCGAGAGGTTTCTCCGCCTGCTGTCCCACGTGCGCGACCTCAAGCTCCCGTTCTGGCAGGGCTACTACCAGGACGACATCGACATGACGGCTCTCGCGGCGGCTCACGCGTCGGCGCTCGAGGAATCCGGTAAGCAGCCCAAGTCGCTCAACAGTCTCCGTTTCACCTTCGAGCGGGAGATCGGGCGCTACCTGCGCCTCAAGCAGAGCAAGGGGCATGACGCCGCGCCCACCACGGTGCTGCTGTTGACCGGCTCCCCACTCCAACCAACGGAGGCCGACGCCATCATCAAGTGCCAGAAGGACAACACGCTGTTGGGGAAGCAGCCGCCGTCGACCGCGACGGCAGTGCGCGGCGAGGGCAGCCAGTTCTGCATCCAGACGATCGCGTGGACGGAGTTCATGGACGAGCAGAGCAAGCGGTGCCTGCGCAAGATCGACAACGCCAACAAGGGCGAGGACGACATCAACGACCTCACCGAAGTGCATGACACGAAGCTCCGTGACCACGGGGCCAGCGCCGAGCTGCTCTTCAAGGTCCTCAACAGCCACAACCCTGCCGTCGACGGCCTGACCCTCAAGGACGAAGACAAGTACGGCAAGGCCAAGTTGTACGTGACCGGCCAGCCATTAGTCATGCCCGGCGTCGACAAGATTGCCGCCGTGTTGGGACAGAACAGCGAGGACGTCGCCGTGGAGGAAGAGATTAGCAGGGTCGGTGGTGTCCTGGTGTCGTCGTCGTCGAAGTAAGTCAGCTTGAAGGGAGGGGCCTCAGGAAGCCAGGAGGCAGGAATGAGACAAGGGAGCCTGAGCAGGCCTTGCAGGTGTTGGAGAGAGATTGTTGTTACCTTTGTTACGGGTCGTCCTGAACGCCCCCAAAGCAGGAGAAACTGAGGCCGCCGGCTGTGCGGTCGTGGCAGCGCACACATGCATATGCTGATGTTGACACCCTGTTCTACTCGAAAAGACTCCCCTTCCCCCGCCATGAGAATCAATCCAAGTGCCAAGAGTGTGAATCCACTATCACCAGCTGTGATTTTGTCCTCAGTAGACTGCTGTATGTGTTTGTGTGTTTCCTGTATGCATTGGGGGCGATAGATTCGAACTATCATGACAATGACTCCGAGTCCGTCAATGGCGGCTCCGGTGTGTGTGCTGCCTATCTCGCACAGCCCCTGTTCCAAATGTTGACCGAAATGCTTCCTCAATATATGTCAGATAAAGAGACATACCGATGCTGCTGCTGCTGCTGCTGCTGCTGCCTCGGCTTGAGAGCAGCCATAGGCACCAAGCTCGCTTTGCCACGCCGCTGCCAACTCCGGGTTTCTTCTGTCAGCTGGTCTCAAGACTCAGGCTCTTTCAACGTTGGCCTGGTCTTGAGGCATGTGTAGCTCTTCACGAGCCATCCTCTCAATCTTGGATGTACCATGTCTGTCTGTCGTCACCCACAGTCATACTTTGCTGCCACCTGTGATGCCCGGGAGTAGTCTTAGTCACTTTGTGAAGCATGTCAGTCTTGAGCCTTGTTGAGGTGAGACATTTGAGAACGAGCACTGAGAGCTGCCAAGATAGTCGGCTTTGGCGGTACCGTGTGTGCTGTCACTGCGCAGTGAATCTCACACACAATCAGTGAAGGAAAAAGATCTGAGCTCAATAAAAGACCGAGTCTTCGTCGCCTTGTCCGCATCTTCAACTCGTCTCTCTCTTCTCTCTCTTCTCTGCCCCGAATCGAACCAACTTCCTTCTTCTCACAACAGTACCGAGGTGTGAGATTCCTGCCGCCCGACATGCGCCGCGCCACCGCATCTCAGCCCACGATGTCTTCCTCTCTCGCCCGTGTTGTCCTGAGCTTCCTCACCCTCACCTTGCTGGGAATCGTTCCAACAGAGGCCATTCTGGTCAACACCCCTCTCGAAGCCCTTCCTCGCATGCAACAGTCCTTCACGGACGGTGTGGCACTGGCAACATTTGCGTCTTTCGTCGTCGACTCCTGCGACGACGTGTACCTGCGGTATTTCCCAGCCAGTGACGTGGACTTTGTGCGACGCATCTTTCGCCGCGTCGCCAACCTCCCCGTCGACGCCGTGCTGACCATGAACCAGCTCCCCACGGTCCTGCAGCAGCGTGCCACCATCGGCGTGGACCCGCGGCTCTTCAACCTGATGATCTCCTACGGCAACTATCCGGGGATTAGAGAGCAAGTGTGCGGCATCCCGAATGATGATACCAACGCCGCCTTCACCTCGGCGGACGGCGGTGGGCCGCTTATCACTATGTGTGCGTCGGCGTTCGAGATGTACCCGGACGAGGACGAGATCATGAATCCGCCTTTCTGGGCCCTGAACGCGCAAGGGAATCTGCTGCCGGGGTACGGGTGCGATGGCCTCGGCGACCATGATTCGGATCTGATGTGGTTCCCCGGCGCCGTTTTGATGCACGAAATTATGCACTTTTCCGACTTATTCGACGACCTCCCGAACTGGTTTGCCTGGACGTACCCGTCCAACGGAGTGAATGGCATTGGGGACTATGATGGCACGTCACCACGCGAAGGGTACGGCCCCTTTTACTCACGCGTGCTCAATTTACTCTCCAGCCTCGAACCCCAGAAATACCGCCCCCACGAAGCCATCAACAATGCAGACAGTTACGCCTCGTATGCCCTGTCGGTCTGGTGGCGATGGAAATGCCAGAGGGAGTTCGGCCCGTCCGTCACGAAGGCTGACAGCTATAATCGAGAAACCCCTCCTCGTCCCAGCCCTTGACGTGCTCGCTGCCGGCACCCCTCAACAGCACTCTAGTGGGAAAGGAAAGAATGATGACGGAATGTTTGCGTTGTTGGAGGCTTGACGCCGCGATTGGTTCCCCGGCCCGGTTCAAATAGGGAGGTGAAAGACCGGGGTTCCGCCATGGATCGTGTCCGTCACAGCATTCAGGTGCACACAAGGCAGAATAGATGACCGCAGTGCTGTAGAGCATCTCTCCCGTGTGTCGCAGGTAGATCTTGGCTTGTATTGGACGCTCCAAGACCCTAACGAGGGCAGTTCCAGTCATTGCTTTTGTTCCTGTCTCTTTCTCTGTTTTGCTTGAGCACTTGTTCGATGCGTTGACACATGGATGGTGTCAGGAACGAGCAGCGCCAGACTACAAGGGAGTCGGAGACCTGCCGCGAGATGGAGACGTAGGAAGAGTCGTGATGGACAGGGCGTGAACTTTTCCCGTTTGTCGGCGGATAATCATCAGATTGGCACGACATGTATGCAGTCGTCCGCCTGGGACTGAACGGCAACTCGACTCGACCGACTCTGCGTGATCCAAGATCCCATGATTGATGGACACTTAGTCTTCTTTCTCGTTCTCAGAGTGTCTACCCAAGGCCTTTTACATGAAATTTTCCTTTGTCTTCCGTCGATTTTGTCTTCTTCACAGTGCTTTCAAGATCCAGGAGCCATCAGGTACGGTAGGTAGGGGGAACAAGGGAGTGTTCTTTGTTTCATCGTCGCTTTTGCAGTGGTTCGGCCTTTGTGCACGGTGGCAAACACTGGGCATATTCTCTTGCTGTGCTTCCGGCTACCGTTGAGGACGGCGCTCGGGGGGGAGAGCCAACGGTCAAAGTAGTGGTGGTGGTGGTGGCTCTTGATGTCGCTATTTATCCTTCTTCAGTTGCCGTCGAGGACGTCAGGACAGCTTCACCAAGGAGGCGAGGGAGAGTGGCAAGCGGTAGGGCCTGAGGGGGGAGGGTCTGGACAGGAATTGCATAGAATGAGACGTTCTCGTCACCAGAAATGGCACAAAGGGCACCAGGGCGACAACAAGGACAGTGTGCTGTGCCCGGGAGAAACAAACATCAGCAACGGATCGGGGCCCGGAAGGTTCTGCCGAACATCAAGCGAGCGCAGTCACGTACCGAGAAAAGAGTTCTATATCCCCTTTGTTCTCTTTCTTCTTCTTGGGCAACGGATAAAGACTGACTGCTCTGCACCAAAGAGACACAAGGGAGAGCGAGACATCTGAGACGGTTCATGGGCTGTTTGAAGATCTGTGCTGAGCTGAGTTTTGACGTGCGAGGACATGGCAGAAATGGCACAGACAAACAGACAGACAGGTAGTTCGGGGATGGATGTGCGTAGTGCGTGTCGATACAACAGATCAGCAATACTACAGCGCCGGGCAGTGCCTCCTTGTCATTGTCGTTGTTATGTATATAGTCGGTCCATTGCCCATTGTCCATTGTCCGTTGACCGTGTGCACTGGTGTCCTGTTTACGGCACGAACACCGCACACAGCAACGGGACAACCTCCTCACCATCTCCTGGGTGTGGATGTTTGATCCGGCAGGCAAATAGCACCCGAGAAGCAGTCAGTTCTGGAGGCTTTTGACGATTCTTCCGTCATTGCATGACAAGCCGCACATATTGTCAACGGTTTTGCAACAAAGCGTCGACGAAGGAGGGAATTCAAACAAATTTACCTTCAAATCTGCAATATGTTGCCACTACCACGATGGCAAATTGCTTTCCCAATGCGAACAGGTGGCAGGCTGTTCCATGCCCCGGCGAGAGCTCTTGCACAGCAGCACATGGAATACATTCATGGACCATGGTAAGCACGTTGCACAGTTCACTCATTCTCTTCTTTTTGATTGTTGATCACTCATTCGACCGGATTGACAGAGTTAGGGCCCTCAATATTGAATATCAGAACAGTCACGCTGGCGGTCACAGCTTGTATTACGCCTCAGCATACACGACTTGTGTAAGTCACCTCTAGCTTCCTGAAGTATCACTGTTCGAGGCCTTAATTGAGTCACCAGAGGCAGTGATCATCTGCGTGCAGCCTTACGGTGATAGTCGAGCCCTCTGCCTCGTCGAGTCACAGTATCACGTTCTCAAGCCATCACGCATTCTCCCACTGCCTTATATCGTCACACAATGTCCAGAGGCAGTGGTGACGTCTGACATCAGGCTCCGCCTCCTCGCGCGTAGCCCGCATCCGTCCGTCCTTAAATATCTCCCATTTCCTCCAGCTTTTGCACTTTCTCCTTCTCCCGCACGGCACACATCCCAACGCTACACCTTCCTCTCCTCCCCTCTCTATTCATTAGTCTCCAGCAACTCATGGCAGCCTTGCAAGGCCCTCGGGCTTCTGCGTGCTTATCCCATGGCGTCTTGCAAACAGAGACCTCTTAACGCAATAGCTTCCTCTGACGAAAAACCAAACTGGGCAACAGTTCATCTTCCTCGACAAGGTCCGCTTCCACATTATGATCTGAGCCAGACCAGCACATGAGCTTTAACGAGCTTTAACGAGTCCAACTCATCTCATCCAAAGACCACAAAATCTACGACAGCAACTCGACTCAGCCTTCTCCGCCGCGGGAAGGACACCTCAACGCCGTAACTTGATGCTCGCAAATCTTGAGCTCAAGTCAACCATATTTGTCGGCCTCTATCCAATACATCGGACCATAGCGGTTGTGATGTAAGTTCACCACCAGGTGCAGCCCAGCCTGGCCATCACCATCGGCTGTTTATATAAATATCAACTCCCTGACCTGCCCCTAGGTCCGGCCAGGTGTGTCTTCCGAACCAGGCAGGCGGATGATGCGAACGACCCTGTCGGCCTGGGTCGGAGACGTCAACAAGCCTGGCACAGAACCGTGGCGCTTTCGACCTCAAATAGCGCAACCACTCGCTCATACCTGTCTGCCTGCCCCCCGGCCACTCTGGACCCAGGCTGGACCACCGCCAACTCGAGTCATATCAACAATCTAGCTGATTTGGCTTGGATCTGCCCAGTGGTCTCTTCGACACTGCAGCTATTGACGTGTGGATAAATATCTCGGCCACGCTCCAGTCCTCGCAGCCCCCATCAATCCGCGGCTGCCTGCGTCGGGCAGGTCCCCCTTTCGTTCCCCTCAAGAGAAAAGCAATGTCCGGTGGTAACGTCAAGACCGCTTTCTGCTCCCTCTCAGGGTCTCTCCGCTCATTCACCATCCGACACGCATCCGCAGAATCGTCGGAGCGATGACTTGGACAGAGCGTCGGCAGCCAGTCTGGCACCGGCTTGTGCCGAATGGCGCAATCTTTATATATATTTACTTACGAGGCACCAGCAGCCCCTTCGGCCGGGTCTCACACTCCTCGAGATCATTCGTGTGTGTGTGGTTCGGCGGCGCCGTTGGTTCCCCGGAGAAAATCCTGGTGGATCTTCTTCTCCTGGCGGTTGGCCGACACTCGTGGCCGCGCAACAAGTCCCCAGCTCCATTGACTCCGGCCGACCTGGTTCGATCTGGGGTACGGTGTGCCCGGGCCAGCCGGCGCCCTCAACGACGGTCGCGGGTGTTGGGACAGATTCGTCTCCCTCGAGCTGATGGCCGAAGTGGGAGGACCCCTTGGGGCTGCTGAGACAACAGCCGCAACTACAGTCACAGCAACCGCTGGGGCTGCAGTTGGAGAAGAACAAACTACTCGTCCCAAAAGACCAAATCCGGCATTGCCAGCACCGGACCGAGGAGACTATCGCGGCACTCGAAGCCGGACAAGTCTTCGACCCGCTGGGACCGGACCACAGCACAGTTGACATCTGTCGACACTAATGGTAGAGACTGCGGCCGAATTGTACAGCGAGATCCATCACGACCCGGGAGTGAGACAAATTTGCAGAGAGGTGCCGGTGCGTGGGCGCCAGTTCTGCAGGGCTGCACAAGGGTATCGGCCGGCTGTGCCTCGTGGTGAAAAATGAAAAACGGTGGAAAGAGCAACTTCCCTGTTTCCCTGGATCAGTAGCAGCAACACCTGCAACAACAACAACAACATCATCATCAGCAGCAGCAGCAGCATCCTGGGTCGGTCGGCGCAGAGTTGGTAATGGCAGCAACGGCAGCGACAACAGCAACAGCAGCAGCAGCAGCCTGGGGTCCGCTCGCGCTCTGGCTGCTGTGTCAACTCAGTCGGGAGGAACCCGAGCCGTTGCCATTCACGGCCTCTTTTGTCGCCTCCTCCAATGACTCATGTCATGAAGTTGGTAGTGGATCCCCTTGGTCATTACTTGCTTGCTTACCTGGCTTGATTGATGTCCGTTCCGTGCTTCCCAGGGCGGCCTGGCCATCGAGAACCTTCCCTCCAAGCCACTGAGCAGAGCCTCAACATTCCTGGGCTGGCTGTGCTCTTCCGTGTGTGTGTCGGACGTCCGAGAGAGGACGATGCCGAGTTCTGAGCGGGGCGGCCAGCGGGCTGTGGCTGAGGTCAGAACGAAGCCAGTGACGGAAAGCATGTATGAGCGAACCACCGCTGCTGGAGATGCATCTCGTGCCGCCAACATGGCTGTCGCTTCCGACGGATTTTGATATGTCACTTGTTGATTGGTTGGGCTGGAAGTTGGCAGGCTTTCTTTCTGGACCTGGCGGATATTGATATGTCATTGGTGTGTTGCGGGATTGGAGTCGAAAAACGCGTTCTGTTCTTTGAAGAAGGCGGACATTGATATGTCACTGACCAGTACTATTGGGCAGAACAAGTATTCGAGCCAAGATCCTGCCAGAGTATTGGCTGTCGTTGTTGTTGTTGATTGGGTGGTTTCGATATATTTATATGTACGGATAGAAGTCCCTTCACTCGGACTCTTCCATGTCAAGACCTACCTCTTGTGTCTAAGCGCTAATCGATAGCTTCCATCTCCTCGGCCGAGGCCTTTTCCCTTCCTATATAAATCTCAAGTCGTTATCCGTGGAAAAATTGGTCCAGCATAAGCCCTTTCCTGCAGGAAATTGACTTGTTCCTTTCCCGCGTGTTCTGACGGCTTTGTATGCAGCCATGTCTCTACCTGATTGGCGTCTGAGCGGACCAGGCCCGCCCGTCCATGCGTCCATGGGGGCCTGATCAGTCCTTAAAGCTCTCTCGCTTCTGCTTCTCACCACGGCATTGTGACTGGATTTGTGCTCGAACGGCCTCCCCTCACGCTGACTTGCCGATATTGGCGGAGCTTTGGGGGGAAGATGGGTGTCTCGCGGTGGTGGATTTAGAGTTATTATGGCTGACGTAGGTACGTAACCCAGTCGCCTGACATGATCACGTGATTCTGAGCGAAATCTCATCCAAATCTATCAAGAGAAAGGTGGGAGGGTGAACGAGGGGAAGAGAGGGGGTCATGGATGGCCTGAGGACAGGGGCGCATCCAAAGAGAATAGAGGAGAGAGGGAAAATGGGCATGATATTTTGGCTGTAGCGGTGAAAGAGTGTCACCTGCGAAAGCTTATATCATGGCGGACGAGGTGGAAGACTTGTCCAGGCGAGACTGAACCAAAGACCAGTTAAAATCATCCAATTGCACTAATCAATCATCAACTATCTGCTAGCTATCATCCCCACCACCCCTGTATCGATCGCTATATCAAAACTAGTATGATTGGTTTGCAGTCAGTCAGTGCTGGCAATGCCGGGGGAGCTGGCTGAATGATGCCGGCAGTACACCCCCTCTCAGGATAGGATGGGATCGGGTTCGGTTGGATAGGATGGGATCGGGTTTGGTTGAATAAGATGGGATCAGGCCCGGTTGGACAAGGAGAGCGATCAGGACAGGAGGGACAGGGCAGCGATGACTTTCTCGGATAGTCTGGAATCTCCTCCTCTCCCCCACTCGATCCTAAGCCCTTGAATTCCCTGCCAGCGTTGGTTAGAAAAGGTGGAATTGTGGCATCACAGAGTAGGTGATGTGGGACTACTTGATTCTCATTCTCAGTTTTCTGTGTGACCAGAAAATATCTATCTAGTAGTAGCACGCTAGCGCGCTAGCGCGTCCTGTGGCAGGCAGTGGCGCAGTGTCACCTATCGGCTAACCTACCCCATAGGGTTAGGGCAACAGGTGACCGTGTCAGAATGGCTGAAGAAAACCGAGGGAAGTGATGGCGGTGAGAAACCTAGGTCGTCCATGAACCACCTGGCCGGGGAGGTGAAATGAAACACTCGAAAGGTCGACCGGCCGAACGAATACTGGCACCAACCAAACGCCATCTTAACCCACTTTGGGCTCTTGAACAGCTGCAAATATCGCTTGCTGTTTTCGACCGGATCGGCCGAGATGTCGCTGAACGAACGCTTCGAAGCGCTCGCCGACGTTCGGGATGGCTTTAGCATTCCCCTTTGCTTCGGCCTCTTCCCATTGGGGAATGAGCGCCTTGAGCACGAGGAACATATCTCCCTCGGAGTCGGTCGCCCGGGTGTCCTGTAGGTTGGCGCGAACCGGAAGGTAGTAGTGGTCAGTGACCTTGTCGGACAGGACGATGTCGCAGACCCACACGGCAACGAGCAGCGTGAATTGCTCCGGCCGCTTAGCCATGCCATGTGGGCCTCGAGCAGCGACCGGCCGAGGTGCTGTCGTTCTCGAGAGCAATATGTTTATATATACGATGTCTGTGTTTGTTTTGCGGAAGAAGAGCTAAGATCTGCTGGTTGTTGTCGCCCCGAGAGAGGAACAGACAACACCGTTTGACGCGTTACCCTGTACTCCAGGACGGAACTTGGACTTGGTATTGGCTGCGAGTCCGTGTAGTCTTCGATGCCTCAGTGTCGACGGTGACCAATGATGGAAGACTGGAGGAGGGCCATGGCCCCTGCAGGGCCTGGCCAGCATTGTCGGCCCACCAGAGGTAAGAGTGGATGAGTTGGAGATTCCCAGCGAAGGAGACTTGTGGTGATGGCCAAGAGTCCCCACGAGAGGAGAGCAGAAGGCCTCAGTGAAGGGAAGAGTGTTGAAGACGATGCTGAGGATGGGGAAGGGGAGAAAGCAAGAGAAGATGGAGACGGAGGGGATATAAATAATCGGAAAGAAGGCTCAAGCCAGCCGTGGTGACACGGTAACTTGGGGCCAGTTAATTGAACCCCATCACCACTGTGTGACTCGGTGACACCCATTCACCGACGTCACGACCTCGCTGCACGATGAATAGAGTCACTCTGTGACATCACTGGAGCTGCTGCCAGCTGAAACTCGGTACCGTAAATAGCCGTCATTCACATGGATCCAGTTCAATAGCGGTATAGATTCCTCCAGGCTGCTTCACAGTGCAACTAACAGAGAATGTTGAGTTGACTAGCCTGTGACCGGGTGACAGAAAGGTGGACGCAGTGCAAGTCCTCGTGACTTCGAAGGCGCTTGCGCAAGACTATTGTCAATAATATCTTCCCTCTGTTCCCTCTTCTCCCCGTCCTGGAAGATTGAGCTCGGTTGTAATCCTGTTGAGGGAAGCGAAATAGTAAATCACGGGCCAAATTCTTACAAAAACCCGCATTCGGAGAGTTGGGGCAACCTAACGCACCTCATTGGCTAGCCATCTTGGTGGATAACACGTGACTCAACAACCTGAATTGTGTGACGAAATGGAAGAACATGAATTATTATGAAAACTATATACCATCGTGTAATTCACAATAATTGGGAGCAAGGAAACGAGTCGCTGGTCCCAGCCCTACGATAGACTTCGACCATAAGCAATAGATACCGAGCAACAATCAAGAGCGACGACCCGCGACATCTCGGAACGACGAGCATTCCCATTGTCTGGATTGATAATTTGGCATCATGCTTGTTTCATCGTGCGGCAGATCCGGACTTGCGGTGTGAATGCCGATTGGCCCTGAGCTAGAGCACTCTGTTGCCATGGCGAGGGCCTTTCAAACTCGGAGAACGAAGCCTTGGAGCAGTACTGATTTGCTTTCGCCAAGGCGGAAAAAAGGAGTCGATCAATAGATATTGAAGGGAAACTGTCGACTCCAATCGAACGACTTCCTTAAGCTGCTCTCCACAATGGAGTCGAGCGCAGTGACCACTCCATAACGACAGGGTTTGATCGTGCATGCGATCTTGAACCAGGGTCAAATACTCGGGCGAGCTTTGCTGCGGCCCTCATCATCCTTTCTGGCGGCGTCTTCACGTCTTCCGCCAGCTCTGCTTGGTCTCTGTTTGGGCCCCCGTGTCTTCAGTCGAGGCGAGGCGAAGGGCGTTCTATCGCTAAGGAGGGACTCCTGCATTGCTCACGAGAGTGTCTCTAGCCGGTCACAGGATCAAATACCGAGAAGTTCAGTCTATGTTCTCCATGCATACGCCTGCCTGCTTGCACAGCCATCTGCTGCTTAGGCGCTATGCCGGAATTGTTCTTGTCCTCCTTCCTCTTTGGAAGATCACGTCTCGCCTGGCAGGACTTGCTGCTTGCTGTACGGAAACGCTCGAAAGGAGAGGTCTGTGGCACGATGTCTGCACGTGAAAGGACTTGTTGGTTGAGGACGGGAACTGGCGGCCAGTTAACTTGCATTATCGAGTTTAAAGGCCGACGCGTTTGTGATAGACGTGACATACCTGGGAGCAATAGCGTGGATGTGAGCAGACTGTGCACCTCCTCACAAGGGTGCTTGCAGAACAGGTTTTCTGACCAGAATTCGGTCCTGCAGGACCCAAGATATCACATGGAAGAAAAGAAGGAAGCAAGGAATCCACCACACTGGTGGAGATGAACGGCTGCAATAGCACGGTTCTCTAGCTATCTAGCTAACTGTTGTGGTGGGCTGTCTCTGACGGAGTCTGTCAAAGGAAGGAAGTGGGATGGCGAGGTAGAAGTAGCCCTCGGCAGACCTTCCCCATCTTAGCCCGTCACGTGTAGGCGCGCCAGTCACGTGCAGGCACGCGTGACAACCTGCCCATCCCCCCTGAAAAAAGCTCCGGCTTTTTGCGCGTGTCCTCATGCGTTCTCAGCTGTCGTCCCACCTTTTGTGCCATATCATGATTTCATGTTCTTGTTTGTGTCAATCTCCTTGCTCTTGTTTGTGTCATCGTTCCATGTTCTTATTTGTGTCACCATTTATTATTTTCCTCATCTATGTCTACCTCGTCATCGACGGTGATCCATTTTCCTGGGCTGATCTCTCGGAGGTTTTTCATCTATGCCTCTACGTCCTCGTCCACCGGGAGGTAGGTTTGGGTCTCGTTATTATTCTATTCTCCTTCTTGTATAATCTCCTCTTCTTCTCCTTACTCGATCAAACCGCTAACGGCGTCGAGGGTTCTGATGTTGGTGAAGTCGACTATGTCCGGGTGGTAATATTCGCATTCTCGCATTTTGGCCTGCGGAGAGTCATTTGTAAGACGATATACTCCCTAAGTTAGAAATTCTCTTATGACGCGGTAGACTACGCGAGCTTTAGAGTGAATCACTTTCTATTTGTCCATAACGACATTTTGACAATAGCGGGAGCGACTAATGGCGATAACTAATCGGTTTAGTAGATTTAGGAAGCCTACGCTTTTTCCGATAGTGATATCGACGATTATGTAGTCGAATTCGAGACCTTAGACTGAATCCGCCTTAGTAATATACAGCTTCGCGAACGTAGGGTTATCGATTATTATAGCGTCACGCATCGCGAGGTACAGAAGGTACTAAGCGTTATAGAAGTAGATAATGGCGACCGATATATCTAGGAATCGCTATATATACCCGATAGCGAGGTTCATGCAGAAGCTTGCCATCACTAGGTTATATTTGGATATAGTGCCTTTGACGATATGCGTTTGCGTATCGCGGACGTCGAAGAGTATACAGTATTTAGAGGAGCCAAATCTTTCCTTGTTGAATTTTTCAATTTCCGCGACGATCGGACGGTTTTCAACGCGGACCGATTCATGGTCGCTGAGTTTACCGTCGTATGCGACTGCGTTCAAAGGTGCTGAGATGTTAGGAGATATTCGATATTGTTCTACCAGAAATGCCCCTGGCGTACCATTAGCTAATAGGCGGGTTTGCAATGATATCTCCATCTGTTTTGAAAAGCGATGTTGATATATAACCGGTGGAGGGAGTTGATTCGGGTCTCCGACCATAACGAAACCAGTCGTATTCGGGTAGCAACCGAATAAAGCGATAGTGTCACACTCCGCTAGTCGTGATACCTCGTCAACAAAGACGATACCGATACCGTCGGTAATAGGTATCATCAATTTCGCCTACACTACCATTCCCGGGGTGGTATAGATAACGGCGGCGTATTGTAAGACGTAGTTACGCGCCTCGGTGAGCTTCTCCTTGAATTTAATGGCCGTAGTAGGGTCGAATTCCTCGTTATTCTTATACTACCTATACAGTTCGCGGAGTTCTATAAAGGTTTCCCCCTGTGGGATAGGATCCCCTTTTCCGACTGGTACTTCGCCTATCACCTGGAGGATACGCCGTCCGATAGACAGATTGAAAGATATCAACGTCACGCGATAGTCGTATACGAGTGGGACCGCCGGTATATGCTATCGTTCGTAGTTATTATAAACTACACTAGCGAGATATACTATTTCGAGTAGTTCGGCCTCTTCCCTAGTGAGATCTTGTATAAGTTTTAGCCGTATATCTTCCGTCTTAGGTCGGGCGAGCCTAGCTTCCTACCGAGCGATATTCGCTTTAGATTCCACCGAATGTACTCGAATATAGTACTAACCCCTCGCTCCGCTTTCTAAGATAATACTATAGAAGCGGGCTACTAGAGCGTATATAGAGATATTAGACGTCGATATAGCGAGAATATTATGCATTCTGTTAGCGATAATAAAAGGGCGACTAAGCTCACCATAGATATGTGTTTTTCTAGTACCGGGGGGTCTATAAACGTTAACGATTCCGGCCGGGTATTTACGAGTAAGAGCGATAACGGCTTTCTACGCGTTATTTATAGTATATATATATTCCTCCGGAACCGGAATTAGGTCTAGAATACTATAATAGATATCGTATCCGTAGATCTTCGAGATATTATTCCCTAGTAAGAGGCGTTTGAGATCATTAATGCCCGCGACGTTATTTTTTATCTATTCGACTAGTTTTACTAAACCTATAATACGATTCTTATACTAATTTACGTCGATCGGGATTAATACCGATAGCTTAGTCGTCTTTATCTTATATAGTTTAGCGATATTAAGATAAGATCGTCTTAAACTCCGAGACGAATAAGTCGGATTTCTTCCTAACCGACGAACGCTCTAATCTCCTTACTCTAATATCTTATTATATAGAGAGAGAGTAGATACTCTAGTAGTCTAGGTATAGAGTCCGCGACGATAGTATATATCTAAATATTCTAGGTATCCTTCTCGTTAACGACCGCGTCGACTAGTACGATTTTAACTACGGTTTCTAGTTATAATCGAATCTAGTTCTCGACGGGAAGATTAAGTAGTACTAGATATATACGGTTATCGCCCCTAACTATCTCGACGAAGTAGACTTTATGAATTTTAGTCTACTAATCCGAGATTTCGATACTAGCTTATTCGTCTTTCTCGAGAGAAGCGATAGAGTTAATAATAAGAAACTCGTCTAAATTAAAGAATAAATATTTTAGCTAATAATTAAGTATATCTAGTTATCTTTCTTTCTTCTTAAACTTACTTCGCTAGATTATAAATATTAATTTATCTTCTAGAATCTAAACGTCTAACGAGTTTTTCTATCGATTCTATAGAAGTTTTTTAATAAGAGTCTAGTAATTCCGGTCTATAAAGTTACTTTCGTAGATATATATGACTAGATAACCTCCGATATCGCCTATATAAATCGCGAGATCGTAGATTATAGTAGAAGTAATTAGAGTAAAGATATTCTCCGAATTAATATACGATAAATCGTAGTCGATAATAAGATTATAGTAGATATTATCTAGATTAATTCGCTAATACTTAAGATAGCTAGACGTTCTAGTGAGTTCTATAGTCTTAATCGCGTCTATCGTAAATCTAAGGACGCTTTTAAACTTAGATTTATCTTAATATCTTATATATCGATATTCTAGAATAAGCTATAACGAGCTAATATAGAGTAAGATATAAAACTATACGCGCGCGAAATTACTCTTAAATAGAGTTTCGTTTACTATAGTAGAGATAGTATATAAGTACGTAAAGTTAGAGAGATACGCGATAACTTAGTACTAGTCTTTAATAGTATTATCTTCTTCTTCTAGAACTACTATAGATACGAGATCATACTTATTTACGAATCGGCGCTTTATGTCCAATTCCTATAGAGTTTTTTCTTTTATATCCCTTTCTTCTATAACTTTAACTATACTATCGCTATTTTCCTTACGCGACTTCTTTTTCTTAAGATATTCTCGTTATATTATTTTAGAGTAAAGGTTTCCCTATCTATCTTCTTCTTATTCCTAACGTTAAGAAAGGCCGATCGGAAGTATAATAGTTTTCACTAGACCTTTAGCGTTATCGAATATTATAATCTCCGAGATTCGAGCTTAAGCGAGAGCTTCCGATAGATATAACTTTAGGATAATTAGCTTAAGAGAGGTTTAGTTTTCTAACGTAGATAGACTTAAGTTAGGACCGCTTCGTAATTCCGCCTAGTCGGGTTTAGAACGTTCGTTCTAAGGTTACGCGCTCTATCTCTAGATTTTATTTTAGTATTAATTCTTATCTTAGAGTTAAACTTCCTATAGTTCGTTTTAAGATTATCCGCCGGATTTCTAGATCTCTACTTACGTTAGAGCGTCTAGTTACTAGACTTTAATTCGAGATTTAGTATAATCTATCTTAATACTTTCTAGATTCTCCGCTATCTCGAGATAATAGATTAGGATATTATAGACTTATCTAAGAAGGAGGAAGGTTTTATAAAAAGTGAGAAGCGAGAATTTTTACGGAGAATAATTAAATATAAAGAATAGATAAAGATAAAGAATAGATAAGATATCTCCTTACGAGATAAAAATTCTTAGCGCTATCTTTACTTTTCTCTTCCTCTATTATACTCTTATTCTAATATTATTAATAAAAGTCTTTCGATATTACTCTTACTATCCGTTATTAATATTAAATAATACTAGACTCTATAGTCTACTATAATAGAGCCCGCTAAGATTATCTATTAGATATAATGAAAGAAAGTAATAGATAAATATAATAGCTTAGATCCTTCTACTCTTTAGGACCGGTATAGTTTTCGTTTCGTCGCGTTATCGAACGCGTCGACGAGTTCCGAGATCTATAACTAAAGTTCGTCCTTCTTAATCTATACGTTCTCCTCTAGACCGAGACTCTTCTAGCGGACGCGATAGAATATAGCTTTCGCTAACGTTCCTAGGATTTTTTATTTATTTCTTTTTTAAGATTCGATCGATTACGTATCGCTCTTCCTCTTTAACGATAACCGATAGAGAGAGAGCTTATTTACGATTAAGAGTATCCGGAGTTATAGATTCTAGATAGATATAAGAGATAACCGAATAAATTTTAATATAAGATAATAACTTAAGTTTAAACGCGACTTTACTAATTTTATTCTTAACCTTAAAAGGACCGATCTTACGAATATCTAACGTTAATATATTTAGTAGGCGATATCCGATTTTCACTCCTATCGCGAGCTTTAATATTATTTAGTCGCCGATTCGTATAAGTATATATTTTTCGTTAAAGTACCGGACTATTCTAGCCTTTATAAGATCTATTATATTTAACGCTTTCCTCCGAATCTATCGTCGATCGTTAAGGAAGATATCTACTTTCGTATTCTAAGATAAGATAGGATTAATATCGTTACGAGATAGAAAGTTATATAATAATTCGAATAGAGTAGTCTTAGTAGAGATATTTATCGCTATATTTAGGGTATATAATACGTTAGGAAGTAGTTTATCCTATTCTATTACTCCTTTATTATTCGTACGATCCGCTATAAGATATCTTAAGACCGTTTCTACCGTTTAATTTATCCGCTTACTCTAACCGTTAGCCGCTAGATAGTAAGCCGTTATAAGAGCTAGTTTAATCCTAGTCCGTTTGAAAATAGCCGTCTAAAACTATAAGATAAATTTTAGATTTCGGTCGCTAATAATAGTTCTAGATAGTCTAAACTTAGAGAAATATTCGTTATAGTAAATAATAGTCTATTCGAAGACGTCCTAGGTCGTCTTCTCGAGAATCAATATAATCTATTTGGAGAATTTATCTATTACCGTTAAGATAGCGTCGTATCTATTAATAGTAGTAAGTAGGCTAACGACGAAGTCTATAGTCTATACTTCGTATAGTTAGCTTAAAGTCTCTACTAGTTATAAGTCTCCGAATAGTTTATAATACGATAGCTTTACTACTACGTAAACTAGATAACTATTAATATAGACTTATACGAGAGATTATAAGTTAATAATATAGAAATATCTTTATAGTCGTTCCGTAACCTGATTAACTTCTATATATACTTATATATTATATATATATTTTAGAAACTAGTGGACTAGCTTTAAGAGAATATATAATCTTATTCGACTATCCTTTTCTAGCTTATATATAAGTAGTAAGTCCTAATCTATTTAGAAGCTATCTAGAGTATTATTAACGCCGTTAGGGTTATTTAGTGATTTCTTTATTCGCTTACGAATCGTAATATAGACGGTTTTTAGCTAGCGATTCTATAATAGCGCGAGGCGAATTTACTATAGTAGCGTCGGGTCCGTCTAGAAGAGGTTAGTCTAGCGTACGACTCTTTCTCTATTAATTTCCGTTAATATCTTAAGTATACCGATTAAGGTTTATCGGAATATCCTTCTATCTACGGAATTTACTCGATAATCCGATTTAAATTTCGTATAAGTTTAATTATCTAAGAAGGTCGTAAGTATTATAGTGTCCGTCTCGTTAGGTAAGCCGGAAGGTAGACGAGAGAGCGTATTAGCGTTTCGATATAGCTTTCCGGACTTATAGATAATCTTTATACGCCCGCGGTATTTAGAGAGGAAGATTCGCTAACGGTTTAGTCTATCCGATCGTCTCTCTTTTAAAGGACCTTTATCCTTAAATAACTAGATAAGAGCTTAATAGTCGTAGATAACCGTTAGATCTCTATAGTCCGTATATTAGAGTAGCTTCTATAGTATCTATATTAACGTATCGGTCTTAAGCTCGGTTAGCTAGTAGTTCTTTTCCGCGTTCGATAGAGTTCTAGATAGAAATAAGATAGGCCGTTTAATTCCGTCCGCACCGATCTAATAGATCGCGATATCGTAGTCTATTTCTTTACTCCCGTCGATATAGAAAATAAAGTCTCTTTAAAAGTCCGAATAGACTAAAATTAGATAAGCGACGAATAGATCCTTTAATACCTAGAACGCTACTTTTCCTTTCTCGATTTCATCTAAGATAGTATACTTAGTTATTAATTATTTTAACGTAAACTTTACTCGTTCTCTACTCTTTTCGAGTTCTCCTTTTAGTCCTTTTATCTTTAAGTAACTAAGAGCTTTAATATATATTATAAAGAAGTGGATAAAATAATAGTAATACTTAAATAGCTTAACGATAGTCTCTAGTTATTAAAGCGTCTTCGGAAAGTATAACTCTATAATAACTTTTATTTTCTCTTCTTATATACTTATCCTAAGTCGAGATACGTAATATCCTAAGGCGTAAATAGATAGGAATATAAAGAAGTATTTAATAATAAATAGAGTAATTCCCGATTTCTCTAGTAGAGTAAGTACCTCCCTTAGATACTTTAGATACTCCGACGGAGAGCGACTAAAAATAATAATATCGTTAACGTAAACTAGTACGAACTTCTATAGGTAGGAGACTAGTAAGTCCTCTATTCGATATTAGAAGAATCCGAGCGAGTTTATTAAACCTATAGTTACGACGTATAGTATTTCTTATTCGCGGTACGAGATGACGAATACTATCTTCTATTAGTCTTCCGAAGTAATAGACTACTAGAAGAAGCTTTTAACGAAGTCGAGTAAGGAAAAGATAACTAAGTCGCCTAATATCTATAAGATTATATCTTACTTTAGTAATAGATACGCGTTAGAGTAAAGAGCGGTATTTATTTTTCTTAGATTAATAACTACTCGTAGCTTACCGTTTCGCTAGACGACGAAAGCTAGTAATACTACGATACTTAGTTATCCTAGAGAGACTCGTTTTACTCGTCCTTATTACTATAGCGACTCTATAATCTTATCGAAGACTTCGCGATCCTTACGGGAGAGATTATAAGATACCTATTTAAGTTTAGCGAGATTAATATCCGATTTAAATAGGATAGATATATCGATACCGTTATTAAATATATCTATATCTTTTCGAAAGAGCTCCTTTCGTACGCGTAAGATATATCGTACTTTCTCCTAATATTCTACTCTCTAGGCGTCGGAAACATTAGCTCTAAAATACTAATATCTTTATCTATAGGATAGATTTAGAATAGTAAGTCCTTCGGGAATAGCTTATCTTCTATCTCGGAGTTATCTAGTAGACTACGGAATATCTCGTTTATTACTAGATATAGATATACGCTAGTACTCTCGGTAGAGTTCGCGTAATATATATATACTATAGTAAGTCGTTACCCCTTTAAAATCTTAACGGTATATTTATCGAAATTTGAAATAGTTAAATAGTCTTCGTCTATTCGGACGAGATAATTAGGTACCCTAACTATCTATCCGCGTTCTAGTTTAAATAGAGTCTAATCGGACTTAATTAAGTAGTAACCGCGACCGTCTCTATAAGACTTTAATCGGCGGATATAAATTAGTACGTTTAGTCTAGTATCCGGTTCTATAATAACTATCTAATTTACTAGGAGAGTAACTCGATAAGAGGATATTTTAGCGAGATAGGTTTTATTATCGATATTATTAATACTAAATCTAAGAGATATATAATATCTATTTATATATAGACTAGGTTTTCCTTTTGCGAATTACTATTTAAAGTTAAGATTATTTAGTACTAGAACTCTAGTGTCTAGAATATATAGGATTAGTAGATTATTTATAATATATACTTCGTCGTAATAGTATATCTTTTCCCTCTCCGATATCTATAGAACTATTAGTAATTTAATATACTCGTTTATTTTAATAAGTTTTCCGATAGCGATACCTTCGATTTTTATTAACTTACTCTTCCGTATCCGACGGATCTTTACTCGTAGAAAGTTTTCTATTTAGTCCCGTCGTAATAGAGAGATACTCGATCCGATATCTATATAAAAGAGTATATAGGTTCCGATTTATATATCTATATCCGCGAAGGATAGTCTAAAAGAGCTTTTTACTCTAATATATACTCGATAACTTCTAGTATCGTCGATTATTATTTATTCGTAAAATATAAACGTAATTTCTTCTACTAAAAGTAGATAAGATAACGATAATAAGATAGTAGAGTTATCGTTTAGATTATTACTTAACTTATCGGAGTCGTTACTACTAGTCGATAATCCGCTATCTATTTCTCTACGTCGAATTTAATTAGATTAGGAGAAGGAGATACCGCGAGAGAGGAAGGTTTCGCGTTCTCCTTATCGCCTTCCGAGAATTAGATACGCTTAGGGCTTTCGCGTTTAGTACCTTTCGATAGGATACTCTTCCGTAGTGGCGATTAGTAGGGCTAAACGCGAACTTTCTCTCGTAAGGTACGGATAGGACTAGACTAAGACTTTAAGGAATCGTCTAGACTATAGAACTCTTAGTGCGATAAAGAGTTATTTATATCTAAGGATTTATCTTCGTCCTATTATTTCACGAGATATAACCGCTAACGGTTTTAATAACGATTATAATTTTAATATCGATTATAATTCTAGTATTAGTTACGGTTCTAGTACCGATTTCGGTCTCGACTTTAATTCTAATATCTAGATCTATCCTACGGATTACCTTAAGGTCCGTATGGACGGTCGCCTTCTCTAGCGGTCGATTAGTTAGGATAACGAGTCTTACGGAATTCCCGATTAGTCTTTTCCGGATAGATTCGATCCTATCGATTATCTCGACGTTCGGTTAGGTACTAAAAGCGTTATATAGATTATTATAGACGGTAAGCTTAATATTCCGTATTATATAGTATCCGAAGGAATTTATTGAGCGATATCTATAGGTAAGGGCGCGGAGCTATATTTTACAAAAATAGATCTATATCCTTCTAGATAGCGTTAGCTATAGCGAAGAGATCGATAATTCCGACGTCCTATAGGTAGGTCTACTTCTTCGTAATATATAAACGGAAGCTTAACTAGTCCCGTTTACTAAACTAGAATTTGTATCTATCTACTCGGTCTTACGCGATAGTAGAGTCCTCTACGAATCGTATATATAGATTGATAATCTAAGCGTTAAGAGACGCGTTTATATTACCTTTAATAGCGAAGTCTAGTATATCGTACTAAAGATATACCTTATCCTTTATATATAGTAGTATTATATCTAATACGGCGGCCTATCTATATTTTTCGGCGAAGGCGATAATACAAGATATAAAGAAGGTGAGCTAATTACTATCGAAGTCGCCGATATCCGACGGCTTAAGACGTCTAGTTAATAGTGCTAAGTAGCTAGCGGCGTAAGATAGTAGTCCCGGTAGTCCTAGTAGTTATATTCCTATAGGAGCCGATACTAGTGGAAGAAATCCCACTAGCTATATCGGGCCTTATATAGGCGCTACGGATATTACTAGTCCTCTCTTATACGTCGTCGGAGGATAGAGACTCTAGACTCGTAGCGGTAGACGATAAGGGAGATACTATCCGTAAGCTAGGGCCGAGTGTTACTAAGTATAGATAGATAATATACCGACTTAATACGTCGGTATATAAGAGAGAATTAGTGAAGTAGAGACTCGACCGGTAAAGGAAGGGATATCTATTTAATATTAAGACTATACGTACGCTACGAAGCGACGTCTTCTTCGCTTGATCGGATTATCTATATTCTCTATAGGTACTCCGAGCCGGTGATCCGATCTCTATAAGAATCGGTTTACGAAGTCTACGACGTCTTCTTCGAATACGACTTTATCTATTATATAGCGAAGCTTTACTTTTTCCTATAGATTCGCTCTTATTTCTTAATTATAGAGCGCGAGAGCTCCGCGAGTCTTAGCTACGATTACGTCCGTAAGTAGAATTCCTAAGATTTCGGTCTCCGAGACTAGAAGTTTAGATACGATAATAATAAACTCTATATCTCGCCTATATTAATTATTAGAATATATCTCGATAGTAGAGACTAAAGACCGACTTAGTAGAGATAATTAATTTAATTAAAGATAGCTTAGGGATCCGGATTAATACTTAATTAGATCGTAAGCTACTAGATCCGAGATTTAGTTTTAGCTCGAGCTTAAGAGCTAAGTAACGTTATTTTCTATATTAAACCCCGACTCTTAATTTTATAATATACGTTCTAAGTATAGATCTTACGAGATATCCTTAAAGTCTAGAGTCTAGGTAAAAGGAATTACGAGCGAGAGAGAGAGCGATCTATAAGATAGAGAGAAGAACGCTATATCTCTATCGCGGAATTATTAAAAGACGGGAGTTTTCGTAAGTTATTTAATTCGCTACTATATCGCGGGATCCGCGGCTTAAACTCCTATTCTCTAGAGATAGTCGCGTTCGAGTACGTCCGGGAGGGATAGGTACGACGTCGGAGTTTATATATAGAATCTAGAGATAGATAGAATAGAAGGAACGATTAGTATCTATTTACTCGTAATCTAGCTTAACGATAAGATCTCCGTAATAGATAAGAGAGATTATAACTCTATAATAGATACCGTTCTAGGTCTAAGTAAGAGTATAGTTTAATTTTGCGTTAATCTAGCGTTTCGTCTCTTATCGCGTCCGTATACTTTATAAAACTACTTAGTGTATTCTCGGAGGCGTTCTTCTTCTGATTTCCGTGGCATTTAGAGAGATAAGAGATAGTCCGTTAGGTGTGATTTTTTTATAACTAGTATTAAAGTATTAATCCGTTTATAACTGCCGACTTAAAGTCCGGCGCTCGTATCCTAGAAAACTAGCCTTTAGGCGAGTAGGTCCGATAGGTTATAGATTAGAAGTCTACGGTCGTTAAGGGTCGTAAGCTAGCGAGAGCTCTAAGAAGGAGTGCCTTCGCGACCGGCCGAGAAGTTAGGGAGATGAGGGTTTAATAAGAGAGAGGTAACTACGGAAGAGGACTAGGTTCAGACGGAGGCTTCGATCAAACGTATAGTACGTTTAAGAGCGTTACTACTATATTATATGGAAGAAAAGAAGGAAGTAAGGAATCCACCACACTAGTGGAGATAAACGGCTATAATAGTACGGTTCTCTAGCTATCTAGCTAACTGTTATGGTGGGCTATCTCTAACGGAGTCTATCAAAGGAAGGAAGTGGGATAGCGAGGTAGAAGTAGCCCTCGGCAGACCTTCCCCATCTTAGCCCGTCACGTGTAGGCGCGCCAGTCACGTGCAGGCACGCGTGACAGTTTCGAGAAGAGCATATTTCCGGAAACGGTCAACACTGCCCCCGTTCAGATCATCAAGTTAGGCAACCTTCGTCGTCAACAGCGTGAGTCTTCTGTGGACCAACGACTGAGATTGCCTCTGGGACCCCTCGAAACTCCATCCGCGCTGACGAGGTGCTGAACGTCATTCGGGCGCAACCGGGTAAGGAGTTGTCAACATACTGTAGCCCCTTCCTATTCGCCTAAGCGACATTTGTAGGAACTTTGGGCGCGTGTTTAAACCCTTCAGACACTCTCTGTTCATACAGATGTGTTCAACATCGCACACAAGTAGGGGAAACCCCCGAGGCCTGCGTCCTGATGATCAGCCCGCTTTCCCGTCCAATTCATGTATAGATCTCGGCCTCTGAGACATCGATCTCTGGGGATTTGCACATTTCGCAAAAGGTAGACGGCAGAATGCTAGCTCCGCTGACAGCATTTAGCCTTTTTTGGATGTCTCGACATATTTCCATAAGCTTTGGTAGTTTCCCTGTGGCCTGGAACTTGCCGACCGTAACCCGTCCGGTCTCGCAGGACGCAAGGTGATCGTAGGTTTCATCGTCATTGCCACAGCTCGCGGAATCGATGTACGTCGCATGTGAATCCCAGAGGCGCTTTCTGACCTCATCCGCCTCTGTGGAATAAATCAGAGCTGTTTCATGTTGGCCTAACTTGGCGAACGCTTTCGATAGCTGGTGCTTTGCCAAAATGGTGGACTCCTCAGACCAGTTGGCGGAGAATTGAATTGCCCTCTTGAAGAGATCTCTGATGGGATGTTAGCAATGGCAAAGTGGGAGCATGTGGTCACCGTACATTGCGAGCTGTGTATTTCCCATCTTTTGATGCACTACTCCCAGAAGATAGGATGAGTCCAACGTGTAGTGTCCTGTTTCCCCATACAGAAGCTTGCGGCACTTGAGGTTTTCCTTCAAAAGCTTGAGTGCCCCATTGAGATCTTCGGTCATGACCAAGACGTTAGCCCACGCGTATCGGCAGCGTTCGAAGAAAGAGGCGCTTCCAGGTGCCAATAGCTCACGAGGCAGCTTGTCTTCGTCGGGGATCAGCTCCAGAGCGTCACCAAATCGTCCAAGCCAGGCCAATGTAAGCGCCCGAGCGCGCTTGACGCCCAAAAGCCCAAGTTCGTCACCCAGGCCTTTCTTGATCGATTCACAAAGGCCTAAGCACTCAAGGGCTTCCTCGTAAAACTCGTGCTCAATGAAGACGTGGCCAACATCGCTCCAGCTGGTTGCATACAGTTGCAGAACTTCTCGAGGTGCCTCCTCTGGGTCGAGCTTATTGATATGCTTTTGGAGGTGTGCCAGCGCTTGAAGGAAACGGCGTAGGATGGATGCTCGTACCGTGATTCCACGGCTCCATCTTAGCGCAGCTCCCAGGGAGTACACGTTAGCCTTGATCACATGCGGAGCGTCTGGACACCTTTCACAAATCTCTTCCGCGGTGTCTGTGAGTTTCGAGCTGTTCGCGAGCATGCCCTTCTCCCAGAGGTAGTAGGCCGCATCAGAGAGAAGCTCGGCAAATTCAATAAAAGGATCCAGCTCTCTTGTGCTGTTTTCGTAGACAGAGTGGAGACTGAGAACGTGAGGCTGGTACAATGCTTGTATCTTCCAGTGGTCGTTTTGAGGATCATGAGTGGGCGACTGTTTTGGGTAGACTTTGCGAACCAAGGTGAAAGTAAGACGAAAGGTATGTTGCAACAGATTGTGGTCTTTGTCCAGGCTATGGAGAACGTTCTTCTGCAATGTGCGGTGAATGAGCAGTCGTGCTTCTGGTCCGATGCTCTCTCGATCAATAAGGTGCCAGCTCGTCAGGGCTCCGAGCATGGTACCAAAACTGAGCAAATGTTTGTGAATTCTCTACGAAGTGTGCATTTTTTCCATCAAGGAAAAAGTAGAGGGAGGTGGGGGAGGTGGAAGGGATCACGTACTCATGCGCGGTGATTTTAGAGGAACTCAAGAAATCGAGCTCTTGTTCATGGTGTTCGGCATACAGCATCCCCTCTGGGATATCGTCAGGATCCAACATGGACAGTATGTGAATGATTCTGAGCTGTTCCGGCGTCAACCTTTGCGATGATTCTTCCCATTGCCCCGCGAGAGTTTTTTTGTACGGATGCGTGGCTGCAGGAGGATCCATCTTAAACACTGTAGCGCAGAATCGACGCCCTTCAGAATAATTCAAAAACTCCTGTAGTGACCATTTGGTCTGAGAGATGAAGCCGGCCGCGAACCCGAGAGCCAAGGGCAGCCCTCCAAGTTGAGCTGATATCTTCTTTGCATCTTCTACTTCATAGCGTTCTCCGGTATTCGGCAAATACCTGAGGATTAGCTCCGATCCCTCGGTGCTATTGAGTGACCTTAAAGGTATATCAACGGTCGCGTGCGGGCCAAGCTGATCGTTTTGTGACGTGATCAAAACAGCCCCGTGGTTTGATCGTGGCACACATGGCTCTAAGATATCCCAAGTCTCGGCGTTGTCAAATACGAGAAGCCACCGTTTTTCTGTTGAGCAATCATGATCAGCAAATAACAGCAAGGAGAAGAGGGAACAATAACAATACTTGAATTTTCAAACCACTTGCGTACAGCCTCGACGGCCCGTGCGCTGGCGAGAGTTTCAGCTAGCCCGAGGCATAAGCTAGTCGAAATCTGGGTGATACTGTTAGCGAACACAGCTTCGTTCTCGGACTTTATCCAAAAGATAAAGTCGTATGAACGCCGGTGACGATAGGTATACTCAATGGCAACTTGAGTCTTTCCCACTCCACCCATGCCATGGATGACGCACGAATGTAGCTGTTCTGCGGTTCCCGATGGATCCACACCGTTGGCAAGAAGCTCATGAAGCTTATCTAGAACCCTCCGGCGACCACAGAATCGAGTGTTTCGGCTGTGTGGAACCTCATAGAGCTGCACTGGCTCCACTGGCGCAAGCACCATGGGTCTCGACTCAGTTGTCGACGGTTCTTGCAGTTCTTGTCGATCTGAACTGTAAGATACATCTGTGATGCTTTTCTGTTAGAAGTGTTCCTGTCAGAGCCATGAAAGAAATGCGTTATCGCAGAGATTGGGTGGCCTTGTGGCTCAATTAGATGGAAAATCTCCGGGCCACCCTCAAAATAACCACGCATAGGAGGTCTGCATGTCGGGGTTTGACTCACTAGTTACTGAATCAATCTGTTCAAGGGCTATCGGTCCTGCAGCGGCCATTTCATACCATCCAAAGAGCGACTTACTTGTTGCAAATGAACTGCATATGGTAGCTATTGTAGTTGCTCTGACGGTTTGCAGTTCCTTCGACAATATTCTGACTCCCTTGAGCATTCTTGCCAATGTTTTGGACCATATGGTGGGGGGGGAATCTCGACATGTCCTGACATGGATGGTGGCACTTAGGCTGAGCCCGTGGGATCCAGACAGACGGTGGTTAGTAGAATCCCCACAAGACTGGAACCTGGAAAGTGTTTGAACAACCCCATAGCGTCGTGCGAAAAGGGAGATAGATATTTTTAAGTTCAATTTTTGAAGCTTGTGGGGTAAGTCAGGGTTCAACAAGAACGTGTCATAGCAATTCGGCAAACTGATCTACGACAACACATCCAGCAACAGTGATGCGGCTCAATGGAAGAACGTGATGAATTCAATAGGGTTCTGAGCACCGCCTCACTACGAAGCCCGGGTCTTTTTACTACGTAGGCCCCATGGACCCACATACCCCCCGAGGCTAGTAGTTCCACAAGCCGCACTACCCTTGGTGCCCGACGGTGGGTAGTACGAAGCAAGGATTCAGTAAATCATGAAAGGTTGAGGGTTACACAAGACAATCAGCATTCCGCTTTTCCCCAATAACAACTCCGTCTGTACCACGCCTCTGTCCGACGCTGTGCGGTGAGCACACGCCATTTTCTCATGATCCCCTCCCATAGGACGGCTGCTGACCATCCTCTTAGCGAGCAGGTTCTTCGGTTAGAAACTAGGTCTACACAATATCCCTGCTTCAATCATATTTTCACACATCTACCCAATGCTTCCGACCTGCCCAAGGAGCTGCCGAAAATTTGTCTCTCTGGGGGTGCACCACACAAGCTCTCGCACAGAGCCACCATGTATGCCTGCCAAAAAGCTCCATTTGACCTCGTTGACAAGGTGTAGGAGGCTCAAAGCGCAACTGACCGCCCTTGGCTCCTTGATAGAGCAAATATGCGATATCTCGGGCATTTCGGGCTTATCACTGGGTGTTCTTCACGAAGGAGAGGTCACTCATTATGCCAACTTTGGCTACCGTGATGTTTCCACTCAGACACCGCCAGACGAGGACACGATCTATGTGGTGGGGTCTTTATCGAAGGCATTTACGTCCGCAATAGCTGGAGTCCTGGTGGACCGAGGTGACCTGCAGTGGGATGCGCAGATCCGACACATTCTTCCTGAGTATCAGCGAGATGAGAGAGATTCGGCACGCAATGCCACGGTCTCCGACATCCTCAGCCACCGTACTGGTGTCCTGGGGCCAGACGGCTACTGGATGCTATCTGAAGGGGAGGTGGCCTTCCAGCGAGATCAGTTCCTCCCGATATTCAATTCTCTTCCGACGGTTCGGCCGACACGCACCGCCTTCATCTATAACAATATGGCGTACGAGCTTGTCGGTCAAGTTATTGAAAAGATCTCAGGCAAAACGGTCGGAAATTTCCTGAAGGAGAGCATCATGAAGCCGCTTGGAATGACCCGGACCTTTGACACACGCATCACACCCGGCACCGCGAATGTTGCAAAGCCATATGCTAGTTTTCTCAATCGAAGCGTCTGCGAAATAGAAATGCCTCTGACACGTGAAGATGGCTTGTTCTCTGCAGCGGGTGGGATTCGAACTTCAGTGTCAGATCTCCTGAGATTTTACAATGCGCTAATGGATTCTGGCATGTCACAATTGGACCAAGACGACCAGCGAATTCTCGGAAATCCTTTGAAGCAGGTTGCAGCTCTGTGGACAGGGATGATCAGCTTACCTTTTCCTTCACTGAGAGAACACAGCTATGCGTTTGGATGGGCTCGAGCGCAGTTACCGTCTACTTTCGGCCTCGACGGTCCACAGCCCTGGAAAGCAGTGATCGGAAAGCGAGCCCCATGTCGACTTGCTATTTACCACCAAGGGATCATTCAGGGGTTTACGTCTTTTTCTGTTCTGATCCCAGAGACACGAAGCGCAGTTGTGGTTCTCACCAATTCGGGAGGACTCAACGAGGCGGGAATGTTGGTTGCCAGTGCCGTGTTGGATACGCTTTTGGGGGATCAAATAGACGAAGAAGCTTATAAAGACCTTGCCCAGCTTGGCTATGAAGCGGCGGCATCCCGTCTGTCCGACATCATGAAGGAATTGAAAGAGGGCCAACAGATTGAAGTTCCCACACGACCGCTGGAGTACTACGTGGGCAAATATTACAATTCCCTCAAGAATTACTTCATCGACATTCGCAAAAGTGTCCATGGAGGCCTGGTCATATCCTTCATGGGCAGGCCCATGGACACCTTTGAGCTAGTGCCTTACAAGAGCGACGAGTTCTTCTGGCATTCAACCCATGACGAATGCGTCCGCCGCGGACGAGTCACGGAATGGGACATCGAGTACTATCGCATCAAGTTCAAATTTGACGAAAACGGTACAGCTCTGAAAGAGCCTGTATTGTACTGGAAATATGACTCGGATTATCCTGGAGAAGGAGAGCTATTCAGGCGGCTCGGAACCCCCAGAACGATCGGCTTGCAGCAGAGTATTTGGGAAGAGCTGGAGCTTTGAAGGAGCAATGTCTCCGGATCAGGGTTTGTCTTCCGTTGTTTTCCATATTTCCATGGGCATGGAGTGCTATATGGGTGGGTGGCAATTACAGAGCGATCTACTGGCTGCGTGATTTTTGGGGGTTCTAAGAGCGCTCTGTCATCGGAATCTGGTTTCTCTTCAACTGTTTCCCAGACTGCCCTGAGCGCGATGCAAGGTTGCCCCGTAGGGACAATCCATGACTCGGTTGGACCTCATTCTTCCTAGGAAGTTGACGAGAACAGGTTTCAAAAGGTGTAACCATCGAGATTGAACGTTCTGACCGGGTCTACGGATGAACCCTACTTCAGTCGCGTTACAACATGCACCTGCATTGGTATTTATCCAGGTTGACCCTGGAGATTCAACATCTTCATCTATTCAACATAGAATGAAGGGAAGGCAAACACAACCTGGCTCATCTATTTCGGACACTATGACTCCGGGCGCAATTGGCATATGGCCTTCATCTATATTGGCATGTACTGGGCTTCGGCGGGCAAATCATCCTCAAATAATTGTTTTCGAGAGCCAGATGTCGCTGGCAGTGGCGTGTTCCGACAGTCTATGACGTTTCCCGCGTTTTATTGATGGTCAGTCAGAAAGACGAAACTTGTATGCGCCAAAGTAGATACAATGAAGAAAAACTAAACAAATTGGAGTCTGGTGATTCATGTCGACTCGTGCGCGGAGATTCCCAATCAACGGGGAGATTGAAAGATGTCTGGATAGTACCAATTCATTGAGATCTTGTCTGCGGTGGCCTTCAGTGAGCAAAGCCCCTTGTAGTTAAACTACTCCAGTGGTGACAACACCAAGAGGCGCACTTCAATGCTTTCCCTTGGGTGCTTGTCTGACCTCCACTGCTTGCTGTGCCAAAAGGCTGAGTGTGGAGGCGTACCTGTCGTAGGTCAGCGTCCAACATACTGACTTTGCGAAGTCAGAACTCACGTATTCTCTCCTCTCCTACCCCGCTGGAGTCAAACACCATGAAGACACACAGCTCCTCCTTCACCATCCTGGAAAGGTAATAGAACTGAAATTCTTGGCTGTATTTGACCTGATAATTCCTGCGAACATAATCACCGCTGACGTGGGCGGAGCCGACGAGATCAGAGGGTTTAACCGTTCGAACATCGCACATGGCTAACGGGACATCTTTGACCACGTCCACCAGCGGACGCCATATGCTTATGACCCGGATAGAAAGTTGGCCTCTTACGCATTTCAAAGCAGCGGGAAACAGGAGTGGAACGTACTTGATGACCCGCACCCGGTAATTGTTGACTATCTCAGTGGTTTCTTCTTGTCCAAGTTCGCGTCTCAGCCATTCGAGGACTCCCAAAGGCGACTGGTCTGATAATATCAGCTCTTTATTGACTTTGACTGTGTACAACAGGGAACTCACCAACATGTACCAAAAGGGCAGGAAACAATTTGTGGGTCCCGCACAACCCGGGATGCACAGGAATCGTGCTCCGGGGCTCCCCAGCACTTCGCAACTATCACGATGGATCAGCATGGAAGTTCAACTGTTATGAAAGACATACTCGCCCGAAAATCGAACATCTCGCATCTTTGAATGCTTTCCGGAAATAAGTCCCGTACGAACATTTTCAAGTCTTCAACATATACTTTCTTGATGTCGTCCTCGTCTTCCCAGCGGACAGCTGGTAGAGCTCGTTTGTGGTATTCAAAGCCATGAGTCGCAAGTGTGAATTCTTCCTCTCTGCCACGAATGTCCAGGACCAATTGAAGCGGCGGCTTCTCAATGGTTATGTTGCTTGTGCCGTCAATGAAGTTGTCGTACGGGACCTCGACTTCATAGAGTGGGAGAGGTTTTAGATAGAAAAATTGGGCTTTTTCGTCCATTTAGAATTGTGAGGGAGACAAAGAGGAAGCGAAAAAGCCAATGATGCCTCAATATCGACCCAGGAGAGTCTTTCTCCTCTTACTGCAGCCTAGATAATCATACGTATCTGCTTTGAAGGGTTGGGTGCTAACGCGTGTCAGGCGACATCAATTGCAATCACAGCCGATGTTTTGAAATCCCTCACCCCAAGATGCCCAAGCATAGTACGCCAGTCAAAAGGTATACACGTGGTGGTGGTTACACAGCGGTGTAACCGTCCCATGGGAAAAGTATAATACAGTGTGGATGTTTCCCTCGAAGAGCCACGAATGGTCCCGACACTCTCACTCCACTGTGCCTCAGCCTCACTTTGCGCTCGTCTCCAGCGGTAGCACCTGAACGCCCTGGAAAATACGAGAAGAAGGAATTTCAAGTCCGTACGCAAGTGTTCCTGTTCCATTTTGTCAACAGCTAACAAGGAGGAAAGGTGGAGAGACTGCAACGGCTTTCATCCGTAGCGGAAATGGACTCGAGCACCAAAAAACTCGACACTTCCAAATCGAACTGGGCTGCCGCCACGGAGCAGTCTGCCGCCCAAGATAGCCGCCGCGAGACGTGGAAGAATCATGAAGCTTCTGGTGGCCAAACTGAGAGCAAAGACGGCAAAACAGCCACCGCGAAGGACAACGGCCGCAAGCCGCCTAAAGATGACGAGGAGCCAGGTGAGCAAAGCTTTATCAAAGTCAATGAACGAACAGCGCTAATGACTACACAGAGTCTCCGAGGATTTTCACTTGAGGGAAATAGGAAAATGATCAGATCTATTCTGTAACTAGATGGATCATACTGTTCAACATTATACCGATTTGAAATGATGTCCAACTATTGCGACGACGTAAGAACTCTTTCGAGAAGATGAGCTGCCTTGACAACATAATTAGTGTCCATCTTGTGGGCAGCCTCAGCAGGACATGCTGGACTAGTCTTCACCACTCTCATCGTCGTCGTCGTCGTAATTAAGATTCGACCTCCTCCCGTAGTTCCGAGTCACAGCTGCATTGTAATTGATCTGTTTGTTATTGAACCCGGACATATTATTTTGGTATGCCCTGCCACCGTAAACATTTTGAGAGTTTCGTTCATTGGCGCTCTCGAAAATTTCCTTCGGCACCGACGACGGCACATTTGAGAGCGCCTTGACAGCATCGTCCAGCTCCTTGACTCGGGCTGAAACCACACCCCGGATCGAATGGTTTGCTGCGAGGAGCTGCAGATCCATAAAGATCCCTTTCATCAGATTCTCCACCTCGTTCCCCTTGCCCATGGCCTTCACAAGGTTATAATAGCGTCGTATGTTGAAGTTTTTGCTTGGGAGCTTAAGTCCCTCGAATATGTGCTTCAAGCTTTTGACATCGCCCTCGCAGTGTTCCACGGTTGGCTTGATCGCCCTCCACACCGATTCCTCCAGGTTCAACTTCTTAGTGTCATGAAGAATGGATTGAGCGAGTGGGAGTCTCTGTTCGACTTGACGAAAGGCTGGTGGGAGGCCGGAAGCACTTTTCAAAGCACTGGAGACGGACGCAACGGCATCCAGAAGCGTCAGGACGGTTGCGATTACGCCGATGACTTCAATTCCAGACATGTCACCGGAAAAGAATGAGGCCTGCGAAGTATCAAATTCCTGACATTGAGAACCTCTTTGGCCGATCTATAAGACATGGCGACTTCAGGGCTGAGGAAGACTGAGGCCAATCCAAAACAGCTTTGGAATGAGGTGAGGCAAACGATCAGAATTTGCCCTGGACAGCCCGACAAAGTCTAGGATGCACAAATCTCAGGCTGAGGAGTGCACAAGCCTCGCACCTGCACCTCACCGGTTATGTGAATGATGCCCAAAACACGGGACGATGCGTTGGCAGCACTCCCAGCTAGGCCAATGGGACGTCAGTGAAGCACTGCCATGTGCGCGTACGATTCCTCATGTTCCCCATGACTGCGCCCCTCGCTGCTGTTGGGAACACGAAAGAAAATCCCTCAGCTCCCAGCCTAGGTCTCTAATCGTTGCCGTCATACCTGTCATTTTGCAACTCGACTAATCACCTCATACATTGAGACCGCCCAGACTGGCTATGTTGTACACGGGCAGCTAAGTCAGGACAGCGAGCCCTCTCTTATGTCGCGAATAAGCAGGAGCCAGTTCCTTAGCCTGAGGAGGGAAGACCAGGCATAAAAGCAGTGAGATCGACTCGGCTTGTTGGCTGTGGAAGTGTCCTTTTAGCAGGGGGAGTGGCTATTCAGCCTTGTGTCGAGAGGAATACACCAAGCATAGCATCGTATATCATCTCACCTAATAGTGACTGAGGCGTCAAGAGAGATAGCGACGACAAGGGTATTCCGCAACAACGTCGAACTGCCAAATAGAGTTTAGCTATATTATGTATCTAGCTAGTGCAAAGACGCCTATACTATTTGAGCGAATCAAAGAGCGAGGTACTTACATGGCGCCAAGATCTCTGTACCGACCGGTTAGGGGCGGGCCTAAACACGGGCAACCTTAAACTCCACCACGTAGTCTAATATTCATTCAAAGTAGACGTCCTTCGATTTCGACCGCCTCCAGTAATAGTCGTATGGTGTATGAGGTGCCAGGTCAACCTGAGGAGGCGAACCAGGAATGATGGGCCCTAATGTGGGATCAGACTTGCGGGGTTGAGCTGTAAAGGATTCGGCTGGAGTAAGAAAGCCGGAGAGGCTGAGCGGGGATGCGAATTCGGGGATTTGTCCTCCGTAACCCCGACCCGAATTGCAATGTTTGACCGACGTGCTGGAATGTCCTTGGCAGCGATTGCCATCGGCACAGTCTTACTCCGTACCAATGATGCAGAAAGTGACTGCCGGGCTGACACTGGAATGGATGCAGGACTGGAGTTTATGTATACGTCCGTTGGCTCGGGAGTGGCCTTGGGAACTGCCATGCCTCGATAAGATAGAACAGCACGGTCTACGGGTACATTGACAGGGCCGACAAGATGCCAGGACCCGTCGCAGAGACACTTCCAACCTCCAAGAAGGCACAGGAGCCCGTTGACATGCAGAAGATCTTCCACTACACCGACATCGACACCTCCAGGCCCACGCGTGTCGAGGACCCGTACGACTACCAATGGGGCTTCGGGAATCGCTTCCAAAGCGAAATAATCCCAGGCACGCTTCCCGTGGCGCAGAATCACCCACAGGTGCCCCGATTCAACCTGTACGCTGAAGGCCTCACGTCTTCATCATTTACCGCAAGCAGGGCCGCCAATGCCAGCACGTACTTGTATCGCTGCCGGCCCTCGGTCGCAAATCACGGCTTCAAGCATGGCGTGCTCGAGTCCAGAGCACATGTGGAAAGCTGCTTCCTGTCTGTCAACCCTAAGGTCAAGATGAACCCGGCACAGATCGAGTGGGCACCCTTTGACCTTCCCCAAGAGGGTGAGGAAATTGATTTTGTTGATGGCCTGCACTCTCTGGGTGGATCAGGAGATGCCAACATGCGAGACGGCCTCGCGCTGCATGTGTTCATGATCAACGCCCGGATGGCTCGAAGGGCGTTCCTGAACGGAGATGGAGAGTTCTTGATTGTCGCCCAGCTGGGCAATCTCGACATTCAGACGGAGATGGGCAAAATCTACCTTCAGCCTGGCGAGATCTGCGTGATCCCCCGTGGAATCAAGTTCTGCCTGAACCCAGCTGAAGGTTTGAAAGAAGCACGGGGCTATGTTCTGGAGGTTTGGGGCTCACGATTCGAGTTGCCCGACCTGGGCCCCATTGGAGGGTACGGGAACGCCAATGCACGGGACTTTGCATATCCCGTCGCTTACATGGACGATCCGGAAGAGCTACATCAACAGTGGCACATCGTCGAGAAGATCAATGGGGAGTACCATGTCTTGATGCAGGACCACAGCCCGTTCGACGTCGCGGCGTGGCATGGGAACTGCTTGCCATACAAGGTAATGCCAGATCACTCTTCCTCAACCTTACAGTAGTCATCGAAGAGATGCTGATCGTGGGCGGCCTGCAGTACGACCTTACCAAGTTCGTCGCACAGGGCAGCACGTCTGTCGATCATACGGATCCTTCGATCTGGACCCTCCTGACTGCACGCTCCCGAGACCCCAATGTGCCCCTGGTCGATTTCATCTGGTTCGGGCCGCGCTGGGACGTCGCCATGAACAGTTTCCGCCTGCCATATTTCCACCGAAATAGTGCCAGCGAATTCATTGCGAACATCTATGGTGCCTCGGGTGGACGGAGTGCAAACTTCAAACCAGGAGGAGGCGTGTACGAGGCGGGCCACACAGCGCATGGCGGGGTCGGGGACATCTACATCGTGGAACGGAGAAAGAAGAGGAATGAGCCGAGAATCTTGTTCCAGGGTGAGCTCTCTTCTGTCCCTTTTCTGAGTTCACCAGGCTTCCTGGAAACAAGCACCCACATCTAAAACACCTTGCCAGGCATGATGACCTTCATGATCGAGTCATCACGGTCCCTCCTCTTCACTGAATGGAGTCGTGAGCACAGCACCATGGACGCCACGCCGCCCGAAGTCTGGGACTCGGTGCCTGACCAGTTCTCCACTGATCCAAATGTCCGGGCCCTGCTGCAACGGGTGAAGAAGCAAAAGGCAGAGAGAAAAGCAGAGGACGAGGTATATCACGATGACGAGCGAATAGAAGAGCTTCTGGGCAAAGTCGTCGTAGCTCAGCAGAATGGGAGTGAGGCAATGAATGGGGCCTCTAAGCATGTGTCTGTACAGGCGATTCCTTCTGAGGCTAATGTGTAGGACAGCGCTGCGCAGTCGAAAGTGAAAGATCAAAGATAATGGCTCAGAACCATAGTCGAGGTCGTATAGCTAGCTATATCGCCTGTTGCTCCAGTCTTCGACCGACATCATGCTCCCTGAGATACTCCTCACATTCCGTCTTTGAATCATACCCAAACAGGCCGTCATTCCAGCTTTTCGCCGGCTTGCCTGCCACCGGCTCCCACTGCCACGCCCTGACCTGCGCCGGGTCCTTGAGCCTCTCGTCCCGCGCCCGCTGCTCCGGCCCATCCGGGTAGTGGTTCTCGGTTTTTTGCTTGCGTGCATTCCGCTGGATCTGTGTGGCGCGTGAAAACCGTAAGTCCTGGAACGCGGGGCCAACCCGGTCAAGAGGCAGGTGGGCGAGGCATTGAGCAAGGACAGCACCGTCCTCGATCGCCTGAGCAGACCCTTGAGCCAGGTACGGTAACATGGGATGGCACGCGTCGCCGACAAGAACGGCGTGCCCACGGTGCCAGGACTCTAGCGGATCGAGATCTTGAAGCTTCCATTTCACGATGGAGCTGGGATCTGCGTGGAAGAGGATGGTGCGGACACTAATGACAGGGGTCAGTCGGTCAGTCGGTCACTCAGAGTTCCTCGACAAGTGTGAGACGAAGTCAACTGCCAGGCTCAGGAGAGAGAGAACGGGGTTTGACAGACGCAGGACACCAGTCGCTGAAGTTCCGTCGCAATTCATCGACATCTGCTCCGAGTTGCTTGTGCTCGTCACCGAGAGAGCCATCGTCGGGGAAGACTGCAACACAATTGAAGAGCTTCTCGCCACGACTGGTATTCTTGTTGTCAGCCATTGTTTCTGATGCCATTCTCGATGCCAGCAACATACAGCAGCGTCCCGATGACATGCCTGCCTGGTCCCCACCAGGCAGTTGCTGCATGGCCTTCCACCAACGGCGCAATCACTGGATCGTCCTTGTACTGTTCAATTTCCAGAGCAAATTGAAAGGCATAGTCTCCAGTGGGCAATGCAGGAACGGACTTCTGCGAGATGATGTCCCGCATCTTGCTCTTGACACCATCTGCTCCAACAATAAAGTCGCAGTCCAACACTTCTCCAGACGCGAGAGTCACGCTCGGCTTGACCACGTCGGCATCGACCACTCTCGACCCTAGCCTGATCTCAATCCCCAAGCTCTGCACCTTCTTCAGCATTGCCGTGTGAAGGTCAGCGCGATGAAGCATCCACACAGGCGCGTGGTACTTCTTGAGCGCCACATTGGGATCCATTTTGACCTCACTGAGCACCTTTCCATCATCCCATCTCAGTACCCTTGAGATCCTGCTCTGGACAACGACATCTGTCAAGTCGTCTTCGATGCCCCAGCGGATGAGTTCGCGAGTCGCATTGCTGGATATCAAGACTCCGGCGCCAATTTCACGAAGGACAGACGCGCCTTCAACGATGGTGACGCGGTGTCCAGCGTCGTGGATCGCGAGTGCCGCCGCGAGACCAGCGATACCGGCACCCACAATAACCACGTCAATCACTGGGTCGTTGACGGCATGGGGAGACATCGTGAATGTGAATATTTGTCATGTCGAACTTCGGCACCCACCAGGATCACGAAGTATGGTTTTTGGCCGCGTAGCTATGCCACCACGTTACCCGTTCATATCACATGTCTCGCCCCGTACAAATTCCCCGATGGAAAGGCACGATGGAATGTTGTCGAGTACTTTTGCCGAGCCGGGACAGTATTACACACATGACTTTGTGGGGTTAAAATTATGCCGGCAGTTCGGCACCACAATACAGACCATATACTGCATTTCGCTACCGACAAAGCACTATTATACGGTGGACTTGATGGCGACATGGCAGGGTTCGTATCTAGCAAAGTATAGAGCGGCAAAATCGTCTTGATTTTAGACAAGTTGAGATCAGCAAGGCGAAGCAACGAAGCTCTTCCATAATGTCACCATCACGCACAGAACATCCGACCGACCGTCTGCGTGTCGTTGTCGTCGGCGCCGGACTAGGTGGTCTCGCCGCCGCTATTGCAATTTACCGCAGCGGGCTGGCAGAGGTGCAAGTGCTCGAAGCCGCGTCCAAGCTCGGTGAACTGGGTGCCGGCATCCAAGTCAGCCCAAATTGCTCGCGCCTCTTGATCCGATGGGGCGTCGGCAAGTACCTCGACGACGCAGTGGTCCTTCCCAGGTATGGTAGGGTTGTCCGCTGGCAGAACGGCGAGGTGTTGAGCCAGGCACCCATGATGCCGCAAATTCAGGAGAAATACGGCTTCCCCCACTGGCATGTCCATCGTGCGGACCTGCATGAGGCTCTGAGGAGGAAGGTGGAGGAGTTAAAAATTCCCATTCTGGTAAATGCAAAGGTCGTCGCTGCAGACGTTGAGGGGGCCAGCGTCTCTCTGCACACTGGCGAGAAGATTGACTGTGATTTCATTGTTGGTGCTGATGGGCTACGGTCGACGATGCGCGAGGTGGTGTTCCAGAACGAGGAAGCAGCTCCGCCCTTCGTGACCGGCGACTATGCTTATCGATTTACGGTACCCACAGAAGACATGGCTGACGACCCTGTGCTTGCGGATTGTGTCAGGGTGCCGATGGCCATTGGATGGTGGGGCCCGCGAATGCACGTTGTAGGTTACAAGTTGCGGAATGAAACCATCTTCAACGTCGTCGCTGTCTTTCCCGACGACGGAACGATGGACAATACCTACAAGATGGAAGGTGAGATCGAGCACTTAAAGAAGCTGTACGACGGGTGGTGTCCCCAGGTCAAGGCCTTGATCGAGCGCGCAAAACCCGGCACCGTCACGAAATGGAAACTGATGGATTTGCCGCCATTGCAGAGGTGGCATCGAGGCAAGCTGGTTTTGATAGGAGGTCTGTACCACGCCCTTCCTAACTTCTCCGACGGGTTTCGATTGACCTGACTGGTGATGGGGTGTAGATGCCTGCCACCCGATGCTGCCGATGCAAGCCCAAGGGGCGTCACAAGCCATTGAGGATGCCGCGGCCCTGGCACAGTGTCTGCGACACCTGCCTCTCACAGATGTGGGCACCGTATTCCAACAACTTAGATACTCACGTGCCACGCAAATCCAGAAGTACGCCCGGACACAGCGAGATAAGAATCACCTGCTTGATGGCCCGGAGCAGGAAGCTCGGGACGCCGCCATGAAGGATGCGAGTGCTGCTGCCAGATCTGCGTATGCCTGGAGCTGGGCTGCCGAGGATGATGAACCAGCGAGACCTTGGAACGAAGGGTTGTTCGGGTACGATGCCGAGGAGGAAGCATTAAAAAAGATCAGGAAGCTTGGGTACCCTGTTAAGACCGAGTAGAAGCCCCTCTCTAACTCGTTAGCCCAGCTCCATAACGCTTCGTATTATCCATGACTATATGGACAAAGGGGCCACTACAGCTGATATGGTATGGTAACGAAATGGCCGCGACAAGTGTTACGGGAACTCCAGCTTCCACCTATTCGGGGCAATGGTGTCTTTGTGGGGTATATCAAAAAGGATTGTAGCGGTGGGTCAATTCTGCACCAACATTGTGCCGCGTGCAGCCCGCTCAGAACGATAATATTGTGCCGGAGACCTGAACCAACCACGGAGGATCTGGAGTACATGTACTGTATGGGGTCCCCAGATTCCACCCCGCCCTCAAGAGCAGGTGGATCAACAGGCTACTGATCCTTCTTCTGTTTATCTCACCCTCGAGAAGGAATCAATCAATGCTTAGGCCTTCTGGACAATATCAGAAACCACGATGGCGTCCTCACAGAACGAGAGCCTTGCGGCGAACTGGAAATGCTTACTGGCCTGCCTTCTCATGGCAATGGGACGTCAGTTGACCCTTTCATTGTTATCGGCACAGAGCTGCGAAGCACTGCACTGCTAACGCTGGAGAAGCATTCCAATATGGTGTCGACTTTGGTCTTATTGCTGGTATTCAAGCCATGGTGGGCTTCAACCAGGTGGGTGCTCCGTTGATTGTCGAATGAACAGTATATACTGAGTCTGCTTTCTTTTAGGTCTTTGGCCACAAAGATCCGCTCTCTCCGACCGGATGGAACCTGAGTCCCGTTACTCAACAGCTGATCTCGTCTTTCATGACCATCGGTGCGGTTGTAGGTTGTGGGTTTGTCGGTGCGTAATACGCTCCTTGTCGAGCCCTTTTTTTTTTCCCTTCCGGAATAGAAATATGGATGGAATACTGAAGCAAGGTTAGGCCTTCTATCGACCAGGTTGGGAAGAAAGCAATGTGTCTGGCTGGCAATCATATGGTGCTACGTGAGTGACGCCATCATGATGGGCACCACCAACATCGCCGCTCTCTACGTCGGACGTATCTTGATTGGTATCGGTCAGTTCATAGCCTTTTGAGACTTACATCAGGCATGCACTGACAACAGGCCAACAGCAAACGGCTGGTTCATGACCTTTCCCCAGCTGTATCTTCAAGAAGTCTCTCCAGCACACCTTCGTGGGTTTGTATACGTCTTCTTTCAATTTTGGGTCGCACTGGGCACTCTGATCGGCACTATCGTTGGTAATTATACATTCCACCAGAGATACTCCCCAATCCTGCTGATCTTTCCGTCAAAAGACAACTTCACCGAAACCAAGCCTGGCAAGCAATCATACCTTATCCCTTTGGGCATCATCTACATCGTGCCACTCATCCTCGGCGTCGGTATCGTCTTCATCCCAGAGTCGCCGCGCTGGTTATTGACCCACGGTCGAAGAGACGAGGCTCGCCAGGCCCTCTTGTGGCTCAGACCCAAAGGCACCAACGTCGAGGTCGAGATTTTGGCCGTCGAGACGGCGCATAATCTCGAGGTGGAGAGTACGGGAAAAGGGTCGTGGACCGACATCTTCACCAACAAGATCGAACGGCGTCGGACCCTGCTCTCGCTCGGCTCTCTCACCCTCCTCTCCGCTCCAGGTGCTATGTGTAAGCAAACCGCATGCTGCCTCAGCCCTTCACACCCAAAGCGAGTATGGACTAAAAATCTCTCTATATATAGTCATGATCATGTACGGGACCTACTTCTTCCAAATGGCCCGGGTCGGGAAGCCCTTCGAGGACAGCTGCATCCTGTCTGCCTTGTCCGTGGTGGGCATTCTGGCCTCCTCCCTCGTCGTGACGCGCCTGGGCCGCCGGACCATCCTGATGTCCGGTATGGTCATCTGTGGCTTCATGCAACTGATTCAGGCCTGCGTGTACCAGGCGCAGCCCACGGCCTCCTCGACAGGCAAGGTCGTCGTGGCCATGAACATCATCTACATGTTCTTTTACAATGCGTGCCTAGCCGCCTACGCATGGCTGGTCGGCGGGGAGATGCCCAGCCTGCGATTGAGATCTTTCGTCTTCGGCCTGGCGGGTGTGGTGGGCTTCTTCTGGCCGTGGCTCAGCGTCTTCACCGCTCCTTACTTCATCAACCCGGACAGTCTAAACTGGGGCCCCAAATACGGCTTTATCTGGTTCCCCAGCGCCATGGTGGCTACCGCGTGGATCTACTTTTTCCTCCCCGAGGTCAAGGACCGGACTCTCGAAGAAATCGACGAGATGGTGAGGCACACTATTCTTTTCTTCTTTTTCTCCTTGTGCCTGTCTCCGCACGATCGGGCAAGCACCGTCAGCCAGCCAGTCAATCAGCCAAGTCATTTACTAACAAGGCTGCTTTTCTTTGGTCCATCTAGTTTCAAGCCAATCTTCCCGCTCGCAAGTTCCGGGGCTATGTCTGCGTCAAGACCACGTTCAGCGTACGAGGGCAAATGATTGCGGTGGAGAAGGGTGATCTTGGGGTTTCGGCCATCGAGGTCGAGGCCGTTGAGCATGCTGCGCCTCCGCATACGTGGGAATAGGAGAATTGTGGTAGCAGCGGTAAGAGGAAGAGGATGGATGGAAAAATGGATGAATCAGAGCCTCAGGCTCTTATATATTGTTTTCGTCCTCCATGGTAGTTGTCGATAACAGATGAGAGACTTTGCATACAGCATAAGGGATACGGCGTTCAGAAGCCTTTTTATCTTTACAGCAATCTTCCCGGCTACGAAACTCCCATATGAATGAAATTTCGGGGCATGGCTTCCTTTCTTGGGAGATCCAACCCCTCTCGAATCGCCCGACCATGCTCAATTGTAGTCCTTCAAGCTCCTTCGGATTGTGTATATGCTTGAAGAGTGAGTGAATCATAATTTGTTCTTGACATGTATAAAGTCAGTCAAGTCAGGACTTTTATCTTGTTTCCAAGAAAAAGGATACATAAACACATACACGCACACACATGACTCGGTTTCTTTCCGTTTCATTGGTGGTGACACGGCCCATCCAGCGCTTCCGACCCGAGACCCATGGCCCAGTCGAAGATGATGTCGCTAGAGAAGATGGCGGAGGCGTCGATAGTGTTGTTACTATTATTATCATTCGGCGAGGGAATGATGATCGCGTCATTATGATGTTCCAGGCTCGCACTTGTGCTGGTGTCGATAATTCCTGGTTCTCCTATCCCGTTGCCGCGCTGGTCCTCGCCCGGGGCAGGAGCAGAGACGACCCCTCCTCCTCCTCCTCCTTCTCCTCCTCCTCCTTCAAGGGTGGTGGTCATCCAAGAACCACCGTTGGTTTTTTCTCCCACGGGCGGCGGTGGAGGTCGCCATCGCGGAGCGACGCTGCTGCTGCTGCTGCTGCTGGGCACGAACTGTGCCGTCTTCGGTCTCGACACGGGATGGTTCGTGGTCGGGATGACGTGCGTCAGGGGCTCGCTGAACGGTACCGTATTGGCTTCAATCTTGCCCGCATGTTCGGTGAGTTTCTCTACAAAGCTAGCTGTCAGTAGTGCCCCCCTCCTCGGCTCGTCGTTCATTTAGTAACTGGTTGTGCATATGGGCTAATGGAGGGCAGCAATGAAATCACCGAGTCAACATGGCAGGGATGAATGGACAGATGGAAGGATAGCACGCACCTTGCATGCCCCAGTACCTCCCGAAGGTCAGCAGTGCCTTGACGATCAGGTCCATGTCGCGACCTCGGTAGTGGCCCTTGCGGTGGACCAACTCCAGCAGTCGGACGCGTGCGGCCAACACCAGCGGGTGCGGGAGGAGGTAGTTCCCGGCATTGGGCACGTCCTGGATCACGTAGGCGACGTCGAGGATCTCTTCCGCCGACGCCAGGCATTGCGACTTGGAGTAGCCGTGCGAGTCTCGGCAAGCAATGGGGTGGTGGAGGAGGAGGAGGGCGCTGTTGCAATTGGGCAGTCAGTACATGTGTGACTTAATTCAACAATATTGCTTTGGAGCATCGTGCCATTCCTCCAGTCTCTCGTTTCAACTCCCATGTCCACCGGGTTAGAGCTTGCAGCACCTGGAGAAGAAGAGGAGGACGAGGAGGTAAAACTGGCATGGACTGACTGACCTGTGGGCAAGCGCCAGCGTAGTCGGGTCAAGCAGGTATTCGCCTTCGAGGTGAGGAGTCCGCCAGCTATCGGGAAATGAGCCTAGATATGCTTGAATGATGTTGTCGATCCGGGACAACTCCTCAGCGTTCTCGCTGCTGCTTCGCATCCGACGTGTCTGGCTGAAGTCGCTGACTTTGGCGAACAAACCGAGCGCCTGTACGAATCGCGCAAACGGGCCTGCATCGCTCGCATGGTGGAGAGCAGTAATCGGTGCAGTTTGCGGCCTCGTGGCGGGCTGGGAAGCTGGCTGTGTATATGGGTGGTACATCATCAGTACGCCTCGCCCGGCCTTCTATGTCCAGCCGAAGGGTACCACTTACGTCGGCGAACCACGCCTCGTCACTGATGGGCAACATGACGGTGATCTCCCGCTTGACCGGAAAGCCCATCTCGCGCTCTTGGATAGTGGCCATCCAGCGGCTAAGACTCAGGACCATCAGGAGCGCCCTCCGTCGGCCTTCCTCCTCGACCCAGTCCACTGGTGGGTCCATCCACCGATTGGGCTTGCTCTCCCCGTCCTCACGCTCCTCCATCCTCAGCAACCTGAAAGCGCTCGCGAGCGAAAGAGCAGAGCCCACCGTCGTCAGCGCGTGCACCGACGAGTTGGGCATTCCTATCTCGTAAATGGCTTGTAAGATCAAGGCAGCCAGGGTGCTCATGTCTGGGTTAATAAAGGTTGCTTGGGCCGACTGCTTGGCAAGGCTGTAGAAGATGTCGGACTTGGATGTGAGTGAGGGATGGTGGCGGGCGGCAAGGGCGAAAACAGACAGAGACACGTGTGCATCTTTCTCCACGCTGAAGCTGGGTCGATGTAAAATGGGCACGAAGGGGTGGCAGCGGGTGAAGTAGAGCGTACAGCTGTACAGCCATCAGAGGAATGGCCAGTGATTGCAGATCACATATAGACAGAGCCAGCCGACCTACAGATTGTTTCGATCCTCTGCGGTGAGTAATTCTGATATGGCGAGTCTCGCGACATCGAATGGATCCTGCATCAAGATATCATGGTCCGAGGGCGCGTAAGGCGACGTCTGATCCACGAGCCCGGAGGGCAAGATGTCGTCGGATGGAAACTCATATTGAGTTGTCGCCTGAGCGTGGATAGTATGGCTACCACTATGCGTCCTGCCTTGGTGGCTGCGGAGCTCATGATTCTCTGCCTTGAGGGCTTCTACAACCCGTCCAATCAGCAGCACGACGACAACGACGACGACGAAGAAGGCTTCGAGAAGGAAAAGAGTGGTCTGCGTATTTCATACGGATCTGAGCTTCCAAGTTTCGGACGTAGCCGCGCGGTAATCCTGTCTTCTTCCACTCCACATACATGCACGACGCCTGGCCGTCCTCGAGGCACTGCGAGCAGGACGGTCTCCGGGAGTCGCATTTGATCTTCTTCCTTCGACAAGCCGCGCAGGCGATGGTCATGGGCCTGTTTCCGCCACCGCCTCCGATCTGAGACGACCGTCTTCGCGAGAAAGGCGGTGGCCGAACTGTCTGTTCGGAAAAGATCTGCTGCTGTTGTCGGTCGGGAGGGGCAGAAGAAGCCTGCATCGGGTTCTAGCGAGGTTTAAGCACTTTGCTCGAGATTATAGCATGGCAATACGAGCACTGCAGTGGGAGATAAGATGAGGTGACGTGTAAAGCTTGTGGGACCAATGTTATCAATTGATCTACTACTCGGTAGTATGTATTTGTAGTACTGAGTAAGTGGGACATATGCCGTCGTCACTGACTCGCATTTAATTCCCGATCGGGTTAGTGTTGCGGCATGTTTGTACCGAGTAGATCGCCAGGCAACCCCACATTTTCCTATCACGTCTTGTATTGGGTACATAACTACTGTAGAGACGGGAACGTGGTCCGGTCAATAGGTACATTTACTACTGCTGTGCCGGTTCGCCATGTGCCCTTACCCCACAATTGACGCCCAGTTGTTTGTTCATTATTGGCGGCCAACTGCTAACGTCCCACTGTGGGAAGGCAATGAGAACATTTACCCAGTTCAGGACTGATTGAGTAGCTACCGTGGCTCCTTGAGCGCGCGCATGTGCCCTCCCTATGATACCGTACATGTGCTCCTCCGTAGTTGCAAAGAAACGGAATGAAATAGTCCTCTCGAGTGACCCATAGCGGACCGTAGATGCTTTTGTTCCCGTTGTGATATCCTCCTTTTTCCGCCATCCATCCCTGCCTTTTTCCCAGCTCTCAACTAGACTGTGCCGGTTCTACCCACCTCGCGGACTTCGTCAAGACATCGACAAAGGAAGGCAATAATTTTCCGTCTGACCGACTGACAGCAAACCATGAAAAGCTTCAATCCGCAGATAGTGTCTATCATCAAGTCCACCTGGTTGCCGCGCGTGACATCTTTGTCCCCAAAGGCTTCGTATACCTCGAATCCCGCTTTGATCACGACCCACGAAAACCCCTCGAGAGTGAGTAGGTTTTTCCCAGAGGCATCTTGCGCACTGCTCATGGTGAAAAGGCGGTGCACACGGTCCAGGAAAAGTTGTTGCAGCAGAGAAGTCTTCCGTAGCTTCCATAGCGTAGAAACCATGATGAACAGCGCCTGAAAATGCGAGGATATTTTGATGTACCTGGGATAATCCCACATTTCTGGCTGCAGGTAGGGCTCGAGCACCCTTGACAATAAGGGGGGATACAAGTCATCGTCCTGCGTCAATTTCAATAATGAACGAGATCCGAGCCGAGACCAGCTCAGACCTTGAACTGTCGTAGTGCTGAAGATCAACTTTGAGGGGTCGACATCGTTTTCCCCCCGAGCCAGAAATTGGAGGACCTCAATCGCCTGCTCAAATTGAGCTTTCCGAAAAACCAGTTCGCTGGGTGACGCTTCACTAACGACGTAAGGCATGAAATGACACGTGTACGGAATTGGAGCCGTGGAAGCGAGAAGGATAGCCTTGAGACCTCCTCTAGCAGTAACAACGGCTTCATATGCCTTGAAATGAACGTTTGAGACTCCAGGGGGCGATATCCGTGACTCGGCCACGGTGGCCATAATAATGCCGTTTATAAAGTCATCAGGTAGCTGATCTCCAGGGCTCGCCTCCAGCCGTGCCTTCAAGGTCAGGTATGCGAGCGCTTTTCGGCGGAAAAAGGACGGGGGCTCATGGTCTCCCTTCAAGGATATCAGCACACCCTGTGCGTTGACCACCATCCACTGCAGAACGAAGGGTGACTTCAAGGTGTTCACCAGGCTAACCTCTCGAACTGAGCTGAAAAGCGCATCAGATCGAGTGCCGTACATTATCTGCGGGAGATAAGAGACGTCTTCCACCGCCCATGGTTAGTAAAGCCACTGTCTGCAACGAAGGTTCCAGGATGACTGACAGAATTGAAACAGTTCTTGGTCCTCCCGGGACAGATCTGTCGGCAATGCACAGAAGGGATCCAATATGGACCCAATCTCGCTTATCGAGGAATCAGGTGATTCGCTTTCCCGGTCTCTGGACGACGTTCGATCGGTGGAAGACCAAGGCTGTCTGTGAACCTCCGAATCAGAATCGGATTCGTCCGGTCGCCATAATAGCTTTTGGTCTTTGAGGTCGGAAGCATTGCTCTCCTTGGAGAAAAGATTCAGCTTGGGGTCTTGCAAAGTACGAAGTACAAGTCAAATATCACGACGCCAACGTAGACTCCTTAAGAGGCAGGATGAATTCTTGCCTACGCACCCTCGACCTTTTGGGTGGCGCGCTAGACACCCGCCACGCAGCCTGTGTCTCATAACGACGACTGCGAATGGATCGGGAAGTCTTGGATGAAGTTGGCTTGCGGGAGGGTTCATTCATGGCTGTTGGTCATGCACCGAGTGCGCATGAGCTAGGAACTAAACAGCCATTTCCGCGCATCCACCCGGAGCGCACGACAGATCTTGGACCAGAAAAACAAACTTGCGCCCCGGTATGTGGCAAACTGATGCCGGAGCTTCGTCTCGCCGGTACAATAGTGTCAATCGCACCCAAACGATTTGAATAAAAATGGAAAGTAGCCGCGAAGGAGTCGCTTTGCAGATACGTATCCCCGAAAAAGAAGCTTCCGGCACTTGGCAACCTTCAGCGTCTGCGGCCGGTCGCGGCGAATGTATAGGACGACTTTGCTATTACAGTCTTATTATTCTCCACAGAACCTTAGATCGGGAACCATGCGACCTCCGTGTCAGCCCCGTCAGCCCGCCCGCTCCGACGTGGAATATTACCGAGGAAGTGGGGACTGACGGGGCCCCGGAATGCTTCTGATCAGTACGAGGTTGACCATGTCGTGTGGGATCGTTTCAGAAGTCTTGCCGTGAGCAAATGAGGCGTGGAAAGCGACTTCTGGGCCTGTCGAAGTTGATCACTTCCTCTCTCCAGTAGATTCCCAGGGACATTCGTGCATACACCATCAGGGCGATCATGAATACAGACCAACTAGAGATGAAGATGGAATATATCTGCTGGTCCCAGCTAAGCCAACGTGACTGTGATGTAAAGCCCATAAATCGGCAGGACGGCGACTATCCACAGCGAGAAGACTGGTGTTTTGGAGCAAGGGTCGTCTGCTTATATCTCTATATTTGAGATTTATTAGTTCCCCCAAAGGATTCAAACTTGATGTCCCTCGTTCGTCTTCATATAAATGTGGGGGTATCTACCTTGAACGAGCTGTGTGCCCCACCGATACGACATGTATATAACAACCGTATTCTCCCACGAGCACTTCTGTGCGTCTGTAGCGGGCAAAGGAACAAGTAGCTGTTGTTGGACGGGTTATTTAAGGATGCAGTTGTAGGCGAAAACCTCCCTCCTCCGGTACAACCTTGTTAGACTCGAGCAATCAAATAGCGGGTCAACCACCTCACTCATAATCTAACCACTTGAATGCATCATATCCGGCGTCAATGGGCCACTGGCACAACAGATAAAGCAGAGAAACCAGGTATTCTGCGGCAAATTTCTCAATTTGAATGGTTGTTGTAGGTACCGGTGCCATCCGGAAAGCTTTGTTCGATTACGTCGGGCTGTGAATTCTAGACCGAGTGATGACTGACATGCCACATAGCCCAGACCTTCGCAACAGATGTGCGACATGGTTAATAAGGGCTTGAATATTAATGTATCGAACGATCTGGGCCAGGTCTTAGGTAAGGTCGGTCTTGAACGACTTTCTCGCAGATATATCAATGTGGCTCAAAGACTGGTCAGCTCTTGTTGGCACTGACAGCGACCTGAAATACCATAAGCCTCCTATTTTCTGTGCCATCCATGACGAATACTTCGTTATCACTGGGTTCATCTGTTCAGACGTCCGTTTGTAAAGTGCTGGCACTCTCGTAGCCTCCTCTCGGACAGCACATGGTCTCTCGCGTGTGCATTGAACGATCGAATATTACCAATGCTGGGCAGTCAGTTGCTCTCATATGTCGAGGCCATGACAATAATGGAGCTGACTATAACGTGGAAATTCTAGGGATTGGTACTGCTTTCCACCTCACCGTCTACGACGCGGATGTCTGACTTGTGTTCTCTCTCTTCGTAATCTGGGCCGGCACCTCCGTCTACAACGAGGTATGCATGAGGCTCCTGTAAGACAGACCTGAGCCATGTGAAGACGATACGAGAAGGGAGACGATGAGTATGTCGCGAGCATAGATGAAGGGTGAAATTTTTAAATAGTGAATCACGGCCAAGGCTGACAATGACAGCGCCAAGACCCGACAAGGCTGCCAATTCCGAGCCGCAGTCGACTCCAGATTTTGACCAAAAGACCGTATCCCGCTCCACACTATCCGCCTTCCATCGAGTAGTTGTCTGGTGCCTTGTCGCTGTGGCAGAGAGGTGATGTTTGCCTGGTTTCCTTCTCTTTGACATGCTTTAGCCTTGTACACTCTTTGGAACATCCGCATTCGTACAGCGTCAAGCCTGAGCACACTTTTTGCCCGTTGCAGACCGACGCAGGCATAACAATCCACCATGGCGCAATCACAGCAACAGCTGAGTCACAAGGACGCGGCCTTGTTCAGGCAAGTCGTCCGCAACTTTGAAAACAAGCAATACAAAAAAGGTGAGAGTGGCGTCTGTGGTTTCGAAAGACCCAAGCTCATGTCCCTCCAGGTCTCAAGGCTGCTGAACAAATCCTCCGGAAAACGCCAAATCATGGGGACACGCAAGCGATGAAAGCCCTGATCATGAGCCACCAAGGACACACCGATGAAGCCTTTGCCCTGGCCAAAATCGCCCTCAACAACAACATGAAGTCGCAGGTTTGCTGGCATGTGTACGGCTTACTCTACCGTGGTGTAAAAAATTATGAAGAGGCTATCAAGGCATACAAGTTCGCGTTGCGGTTAGACCCCGATTCGGTGCCTATACAGAGGGATCTGGCGCACCTTCAGGTTCAAATGCGGGATTATGAAGGCTACATCCAGAGCCGGAAAAACATGCTGCAACAGAAACCAGGGTTCCGGCAAAATTGGACAGCCCTCGCCATCGCCCATCACCTGGCCGGAAACTACGAGGACGCAGAGAATGTCCTCTCTACATACGAGGAAACACTCAAGGCAAAACCGACCAGGTCAGACATTGAACACTGGGAAGCCGTACTCTACAAGAACTACATCATTGCCGAGTCGGGCGAGCTCGAGAAGGCGCTCGAACACCTGGAGGCCGTAGGAAAGAAGAGCCCCGATGTCCTTGCGGTGATGGAAATGAAAGCAGACTATCTTGCCAGGCTGGGTCGGAAATCGGAGGCCGAGGCAGCGTATGCCGCCTTGCTCGAGCGCAATCCGGATGATTCCGCCTACTACGATGGATATATCGCTGCCAAGGGGTTAGTCGATGGTCCAGTATCAGAGATCAACAAAGCATATCAGGAACTTGCAGAAAGACATCCTAAAGCCGACCTTCCCAGGAGAAGACCGTTGGACGTTCTATCCGGGGAGGAGTTCAAGCAAGCTGCCGACCAATATCTGCAACGAATGCTGCGGAAAGGGGTTCCTTCGACCTTCGCAAACATCAAGCATCTTTACACCGACGAGTCCAAGCGCGACACTGTTCAGGAATTGGTGGAGGGATACGCCGCCGGGAATTCACAACCACACACGAATGGTGCACAGGAAAATGGCGACAAAGAAGAAAGCCGTTTCAGATCCTCGGTTCTCTACTTCCTCGCGCAGCATTATAATTATAAATTAAGCCGCAATCTCGACAAAGCTCTCGATTACGCCGAAAAATGTATAGCACTGGATCCGCAGTCGGTCGACTTCCACTCGGTCAAGGCCCGCACATACAAGCACAAAGGGGAGTTGACCAAAGCTGCCGAAATTATGGACTACGCGCGCTCACTGGACGAGAAAGACCGGGCAATCAACACTAAGTGCGCAAAGTATCAGCTTCGTTGCGATCACAATGACAAAGCCCTGGAGACCGCAAGCAAATTCACCCAGAACCGCACCGGAGGTCCGCTGGGGGATCTCGTCGATATGCAATGTGTCTGGTACCTTACGGAAGATGGACAGTCTTACTTGCGCCAACGGAAACTCGGTCTTGCATTGAAAAGGTTCCACCAGATCCTCGGCATCTTTGATCTGTGGCAAGAAGATCAATTTGACTTCCACAACTTTTCCCTTCGAAAAGGTATGATCAGGGCATACATCGACATGCTGCGGTGGGAGGATCGCCTGAGAGAACACCCTTTCTTCTCCAACATGGCTGTCTCTGCGGTGAAGTCGTATTTGCTCCTGTTTGACAACCCGGACCTGGTACATGGACCAATTATGGACTCTGTCAATGGCACAAACAAGGCAGGAGAGATGAGCGCTGCAGATCGCAAGAAGGCGCTCAAGAAGGCCAAGAGGGAACAGGAGAAAATGGAGAAGGCCGAGGCAGAGAAGAAAGCGGCGCTGAAGGCGAGCAAGCCCACACCGAAAGCCGAAGAAGGGGAAACCAAGAAGGAAGACCCGGACCCTTTCGGCAAGACTCTTGTCGAGACAAAAGAGCCTCTGAAAGACGCAATGAAGTTTCTGAGTCCGCTGTTGGAGTTCTGCCCTGACGTCGTGGGGGGGCAGGAGGTCGGGTTCGAGGTGTACCTGAGGCGAAAGAAATATCTACTTGCGTTGAAGTGTCTGCTGGAGCTGAAGCGTCTGGGTGCCAAAGAAAGCGAGGTGAAAGAAATGGGAATGAGACTGAGGAAATCATTCGAAGGGAGTGAGAAAGACGTGCCAGAGCAGGTCCGTGAGATTGTCAAGACGGAAACGGGAAAGCTGGTACATTGACATCACCAGTACGAACATCCACAGATATGGTGTGACTTGAGAAAGCTCATTTCTGGTTCTACAATGCTTCTAGCGATTGAGGACGACCTCGAACCCATGTTACGGCCGATTCAACTTCCACAGAGACGACCAGACTATTTTCGGAAAGGCTGCACAAAAGTTTCTTGCACTCCTCCAGTGCTGTTAGAAATGGATGTTTGACACGAAGGGACCCTTCTTCCTGTGTTCATTTGCGCTTCGTCAACTTCGTCGTGATCTTGTTCTTGTTGTCGTGTTGCATCTGTGGCGGCGAAGGTCGCGGGTTTGTTGGGAGAGTGACCGTGTGTATCTGGACCATGGCAAAATGATGGCGGCAATTTCAGTAGATACGTATGTTGACAAAACAACAAGTTACTTCCTGCAGAATACTCTCCTTCAAAATGGTAGACCATTCACGTGGTATCATCTTCTATCAAAAGGTATGCTAGCATTTTCCCTCTTTTGACCTATTGTACATGATCCCAGCATTCTGCTGTGGCTGTGCAAATGCTGTGGCGTCACGCGCTGTGGCACGTGCGTGCCGGCGTTGCCTGACTTCCAGACTCAACAAGCTCTTGACGAATCTTCTCCATTTCCCATGCTGGACCCCGAACGCAGAGACTTGACAAGGAGCCATATCGCGTCGTCCAAGTGATATGGCGATGCGATGGCATGGTTCTCTCGCCCTGGTAGACCCTGCGATGCATGCCGCAAGAGAAAGATAAGATGTTTGGTGTCTGACTCTGCTCGCGATTGCGTCCTGTGCCGGTCTCAAGGCCAGCAATGCGCCTTCGTAGAGGCACCTCCTAAGAAGAGACGGAAGCAGAATGATGCGGCATCCCCGGAGGAGGCTGCTGTCCCCTCAGTTTCGCCGGCAGGAACCCACAAAGAACCGCCACACTATTACTCGAATTTCCCAGAGGTGTCTCTGCTCAGCCAGACACTTGGCCATCAGCACTTTCGAACGAACTCATACATTGGCGCGACGTCCTCTCCCAGCCGTCTACTGCTTGAACTCCCGAGTAGCTCTGAGCCAAGCAAATATCGAGCGTCTGTCTCCGGCTCTGAGGTCCGTCGCGTGGGCCAGGATGGCTTTTTTCTTATGCTGCCAGATGACGAGAGTGTCATTAAGGAGCAACTTGAGGTCCTCGACAGAATCGAGGCTGCAATATCTCCACATGGTCCGGCTCTGGTGGAGCTGTACTTTCGCATTGTTCACCCCAGCTTCCCGATCCTTCACAAAGATGTGTTCCTGGTGAAGTATGGCCACTCATATCGGGAACTCACACCGGCGTGTTTAGCCGCAGTTTATATGTTGGCCTTGAATTGGTGGTCTTATAGCGTTGACCTCGCTGATTCTGTGAAGCCTGATGTCTCGGACCTCGAGCAGCTGGTGCCATTCCTCATGGCATTCGACAAAGCCGCAAAAGTGTCCGACATCCAGGCCGGCTTACTGTTCCTGCAGCGACCCAGACACGATTCTTGGAGGTTAACTGCTCAACTAGTTGCCACTGCCGAAGAAGTTGGTCTTCACCGCGATTGTACAGCATGGCAAATTCCGGATTGGGAGAAGGGCGTCCGTAAACGCATTGCCTGGGCTCTATTCATGCAGGACAAGTGGGGGGCCCTCATTCATGGACGTCCCTCACACATCAAGGCGGATAACTGGGAAGTCTTTCCGCTCGAGCACGAAGACTTCCCAGAGAACGTGGAAGAAGATCACGTCGAACAAGGGAGTTCTGAGGTGGAGAAAGGCATTCTGATCTTTATACACCTCTCAACACTGACACAGATCCTGTCCGATGTCATCGACGAGCTGTTTACCGTGCAAGCCAGCAAGAGACATGACAGTACAGTTGCCCTACTGCAAACGGTGAAGCCGATCCAACTACGGTTGAAGTCTTGGTATAACAGTCTTCCGTCATGTTTGGAACTCGGCGCTACCACATCAAGAAAACTGTCCGCTACAGGTACGTTGAGCCTTGGTACGCTATTGCATTCCGGGTTAACCACTGCCCAGGTCAACTTTATCTCGCCTATCTCACCGTAGAAGTGACTCTCCACCGAGCGATTGTCGAGTCCGAGGTGAAGAAACCACTGGATGTTGGTTTGCGACAGATCACCCGTGAAGCGGCGATCATGAGATTCAAATCTGTTGTCGACTTTCTGAAACGACTCAAGCCTGAGCATATGCAAGGATTCTGGCATTTTGCGTCGGGATCTTGTTTAGCTATCATCGGCACATTTTCGTTGGTGCTTCTTGCCACAAGTACTGATCCGAGTGAGTCGAGGGCTATCTATTCTCAGATCGCCGAGTTTCGATGGCTCCTCAACATTAACGGACCGGGTGCTGGTTTCACAAAACCGGCGGTGGACCTCCTTCAATCGAACGCAGGTTTTCTAGCAACATATCGTCCTCGAGGCCCTGCCAAAATCACTCCTGGTAACAATCAAGATCGAACAGACCGGGACGCGGATCAGGTTCGGTCCACAGCATTGTCGAACAATGGAAGACAAGATGAGGCTGCCAGAAACACAGCAAGTACGCCGGCCTTCGACAACTTTTCTGGAGACCTCCACGCCTTATCAGCAGATGTCAGTATTAGCCCGAACCAGGCATGGTTCTACGACTTCGATGACCTTGTATCCTAGGCCTGAGATTCGTAACCCCCAAAATCCACTCTCAGGAGCGCCAGAAGAGGTCATGAGAGCTCTTGATGGTGACAAGACGTCTTCACTTGTAGGAGCTCTTAGCTGAACGTTCGACATGTTCCACTCGACAAGAGTCGAACCGAGGACAACCGCGTGGAGTCTTGAACAGAGAGGCTCATAATCCGTGTTCTCGACCTGTGGACTAGTCCGATAACAACTCGTGCATCTCCAATATCAGGATTTGCCCGCGGGCTTCGCGCAGGGGCCACGGGCCCGCCAAGCAAAGCCCGTGTCACATGCTACGGAATCGCTCGTCTCTCGTCGCCCCTGCCCTCTCAAGATCCAGACTTCAATTTATGGAATTCGCTATTATTCCCTGAAGACTTTCTTCACCATGGCTTTGCAAACCGTCGACCACGTCGCTATCGGCCTTGATGCGCCTAACGTCGACCCTCTGCAAGGGACAAAGTACGACTTCAGGAGAGATCTTGTGGGCTATGGACGAGATTCCATTCATCCCCGCTGGCCGAACGATGCCAAGATTGCAGTTTCTTTTGTCATCAACTATGAGGAAGGCGCCGAAAGGTCGCTATTGAACGGCGACGGCATGACCGAGAGTGTCCTATGGGAACAATCTCATGTCGCAGAGCGTGTTGGATCAAGGGATCCTAAAATCGAAAGCGACTATGACTATGGCGCTCGTGTGGGCGTCTGGCGTCTCCTCAACATGTTCGAGGAGAACAATATTCGAACCACCATCAATGCCGTCGGTCAAGCTTTGGAGAAAAACCTCCCACTCGCTCGCGGGCTGGTGGAAGGTGGCCATGAGATCGCCAGTCATGGTTATCGTTGGGTTCCCTATCACAACATGAGCCCAGAAGAAGAGAAACGATATATGTTGCGGCAAATGCGATCTTTGAAAGCGACAACTGGGACATATCCTTCGGGATGGTTTATCGGGCGCTGCTCGTCTCACTCGAAAGCCTTGATACACGAAGTTCATGAAGAGCTCGGCGCACCCTTACTCTATGAAGCGGATTGCTTTTCAGACGACCTTCCTTACTGGGCGGATGTGCCTGCTGAAAAGAATGCGGTCCATCCCAAGGGCATGTTGATGCTCCCTTACAGCTACGACAACAATGATCTCAAATATCAGATCGCCCCAGGCACGTGGGGTTCTTCAGGCGCTTTCCTGGAATACCTGAAAAGTTCCTTTGACGTCCTCTATGCTGAAGGATTGAAAGGGCGACCTAAGATGATGACGATCGGCTTGCATTGCAGAATTAGCGGCAAGCCTGGTAGATTTGCCGCGGTTCAGTCCTTTGTCCAATATATCCAACAGCAGCCTAATGTTTGGATCACAACCCGAAAAGACATCGCCCTGCATTGGCACACGACCTTCCCCTACGTTAGAAGCAATGCACCTCTCGATGATAGCAATGTGGATGGTCTCAAGACAGATTTTCAGAAAGCCGAAAATCTTGTTTATGCTCGAATCTGACGGGGCAAATTAAATCCCATTATTTCTTGTCAAGAGCATTCCGTACCATAAGAGCACATGGTTCAAACTGGCCGACGACGACAATCTCTCGACCAGCTTCCTTGCCCAGCTCTTCTTGACATGCCTCTATGATAAGAGGTTCCATTCCAGATAGAATCACACCACCCATACAAATAGCTGCAATGTCACGCTTGCCGAGCAGCTTATTCACCCCTGCTTTCATCTTCGCTTTTGCTGTTTCTTGCGACTCTTTGGCAAGGTCATTTATGCCTATTCCTGTTGCGACAACTCCACCAAAACATGAATTCGCCCGAGATTTGCCGAGTAGGCGTATAACACCTTTTTCAAAATGCTTCACATATGCTTCCCCTGTTGTCAGGATGGCAAAGCGTTTGTTGGGCGAGAGGACACGTAAAGCGGCGTATATGCTTGCTTCGAAAATGCCCACGACCGGTTTAGTGCCAACTTGGGCTTTCAATAGCGTGACAAGTGGGTGGTCTGCATAGCACGCCAACAAGAAGGCGTCATAGCTTCCAACTATATCGAAAAGGAGAGAATAGCATTTCTCTGCATTTTCGTCGATGTCATGGCTTTGCAGAACCGGAGGCCCGCCAGGGCACGTCCAATATGTGCCCTCAAGCTAAACTGTTCAGTGTCCGTCCACAGTATCTGACAGCAAAGAGCGTACCTCTGGGCCCAAGTGGTGGTCGATGCCCGATTTGATCAATTGAGTGATCTCGGTCGAACCATTTGGATTTATGATTAGAAGTCTTGGTGGCATCTTGCTGCTTGCCTGGACACAAATGGAGAGTCCTGGGGAAAAAATAATCTCCACGATTCGTGCCCGGCTCCCGGCAATATGTCCTCTTGAATATGGTTGGTCAATTCACCGAATCTCGTTATCGCGCGGAGCCCGCGGGCCCTGAATGATAAGCCCGCTCGCAGGTCAACCCGGCCAAGTCTAGGTCTGGCTAGGGGCGATAGCCTTGCGTGAGGTGTTGGCATGGCTTGCGATTCTGCTGTGTATACCACATCTATTTATGAGGCGTTCGATTCCCACGTGGTGGACCTCTTATCCCATGCGGACCAATGCCTGCCTATATTATTGAAACCTGCCGAGAGGACATAGCAGCACGCACGGGTTGATTTCAGCAGTTTCACCATCAAAGGCGTACTCTCGAGTATTATCCTGGTCCCGATGGCCACGCTTCGCCAGTTCCACGACAAGCACCTCGTGCTGCATCCTCACGCCGGATCCTTCACCTCAGACCCAGACTCGGCGCGATGGAGTAACAAAGATCTCGACCCAGTGGCTGAGGAGAAGAAAACATGGGAATGGTGGCAGTAAGTCCGAATATTCCTGCTGCCTGTCCGTACTTCTAGGAGACTGCAGAGCTAAATCCTTCTCCTCAGTGTCGGAGGCTTCTGGATTGCTGAAGGCTTCAATCCCGCACAAATGCAAGTTCCTTCCAGTGCTGTGGCTCTGGGCTTGAACCCCGGCCTGGCAATGGTGGCTTGCTTGATTGGAAATCTTCTCGTGACTGGGCCGGTCTGCATCGTGGGCTGGCTTGGAAGCAAGGTAAAGTATTCCCTGCACCTCGAATGGCTTTGCTAATCTCCTCATAGTACTCAATCCCATTCCCAGTCATTGCTCGAGCGTAGGTTTAAACCGTTCCTTAAACCCGGCGGATGCTGAGATCAATCTAGGTCGTATGGGATGGTTGGCGCGTACTGGGCAATGGTAAAATACCTGGATATTTTGACGAATTCGTGGCTGATGCTGGCAGATCATCCGTGGCATATTCTGTGTCATTCTATATGGTGTTCAAGCAACACTCGGCGGGAACGCTGTTCGATGCATGCTTGAAGCCATCTGGCCGTCCTTTGCCCACTGGCACTTGGACAGCCTTCCTAAGAGTGCAGACATCACGGCCCCCGACTTACTCTGCTTCTCTCTCTTCTGGATCGCCTCTTTCCCGTTGCTTTTCGTGCCCATGTCGTCACTCCGCTGGCTATTCGCCGTCAAAATTGCGATCATGCCATTCTTCTACGTCGCCTTGTTCACGTGGGCGTTGACGGCGGGCCACGGCGTTGGGCCTTTGTTTTCGATTCCCAACAAAATCACAAGCGGATGGTCCATCGGCTACGTCTTTTGTTCAACCATCCTGGCCACCATCGGAGGCAACGCGAGTGGGTATACCCGCCTCAAGAGAGATTCTTGCTGACGCCGATGCCAGCTTTTGCGGTCAACATGGCGGATATCACTCGCTATGCTAAGAATCCTCGGAGCTCAGCCATTGCGCAGGCATTTGCTTTGCCGATATGCATCACGATGAGTAAGTTGAGCCCTATACCGCACAAAGATAAAACTAACGTCTGCTAGTCGAGTTGCTCGGAGGTGGGTAACACATCAAAACGCTCGGATCATAACTTGAAGGACTAACACCTCTTCAAGCGCTCATGGCTGCCACGGCTCAAGTCGTCTACGGCCAGGTTCTCTGGAATCCCTTGACAATTATTCTCCTGTGGAACAATAGAACTGCGAAATTCTTTGCCGGCCTGCTCTTCGCATTCGCGACCATCGCAACAAGTGAGTGGTCCAACGTCCGATTAGAGGTTTTTATCCTGACACGGAGACTCTTTTAGATATAACCGGAAACAGTATTCCCTTTGCTCACGATATCGCCGGCATCTTCCCGAGATACATGAATGTTCGGTAAGTATCCGACCTCTCAGAAGGGCTAGTTCAGGATCTCGGCAAAACTGACGAGCCACAGACGGGGCCAAGTTCTGTGTGCTATTCTCGGATTTGCAATGAATCCCTGGGTCATTCAAGCCCGGGCTTCTCGCTTCTTCAATTTCGTTGGAGGATATTCGATCTTCCTCGGACCGTTGGTTGGAGGTAGGCCAACGCTACTTGCTCTTACTCCCCTCCTACCCTCTTCAGATCGCTGACTCGTCTCCCAGTAATCTTGTGCGACTACCTTGTCATCCGCAAAGCGAAGCCATACAATGTATACCAGCTGTACCGACCGGGAGGTCTGTACTGGTACTGGAAGGGCTGCAACTTCCGCGCTCTGACGGCGTGGCTGGTGGGTGTCGTCCCACTGCTACCCGGTCTGATCTACAATATCAACTCCAACATCAAAATGGACAAAGGCATCTTGGAGTTCTACACGCTCGGCTGGCTGGATGGCCTGGTGATTGCATCGTAAGTGGAATTTTTACCTTCTCCGAACAAATAGATCTGGGCCGGGGACAAGTCTCTAACTAACGTGAATGGCGTCGTCTCTAGGCTCACATACTACCTGCTCTGTCTGGCCTTTCCGTTCGCGAAGGAGATCGAAGACGGGACTGTCGTCGTGATCGGGACAAAAGACGTCGAGTCTCTTCCCGAGGAGTTACGTCGTCCGCTGGATGAGAAGTAGTATGCTCAATGAGCTCTGCCCCTGCGGGATCCGAGAGATCTCGATTATTGGGAGTGGGCCGCGTCACGATATCAGCGTACCTTTAGCCCTTCGCCCTCAGAGAATTTTCTGTAGAACTAGTCAGAACTCGTGTGGGTTTTCTTTTTCAAAATAACTCAACCACTCTCGAATCTTGTTCCTTGTTTGAACAGTTAAGGTAATACTATTTTGATTGCGAGCGCATATGCCTATGCGGAGTCGTATGTTATCTATGCAAGAGGTGGAAAAGGTACGTATGTACATAACGCGTTCCGGTGACTGGGGATACCTCCATTTTCGCACTGCCACTTTTGAGCCATCCAGGTTGGGGACCCACCATTGGACCGGAATCACGACTTAACCATTCCCAACTGTGGCTAAGCGATGGACGCTTCAGGTTGACCTACTCGTGTCGAAGAGGATGGCTCTCCTCGAGTTCTTTCTCTGTTAGGGAAAAGAATACTAGTGTCAGCATTCTGAGTCTCGAAAAAAAGGACGGGAAATGCGTACTCGACAAGGTCCCACGAGCCTTGACCGCCATCTTGGTAGTAGGGGTCTTGAACGCCACGAGCGGCTCCAGGGCCACCCGGAGGTTTGTCTGGTCCGAGCCCAGCGGGGCGTCGTAGTCGACCGAGAAGACGGAGACGGTGGCGAAGCATCCCTCGTCGACGACGGTGGTCTCGCCTGGTAGCGCGCAGTTGCCGTTGATGCAACGGTTCACGCCCGTCGCGAGGTAGTTGCCGTAGTGGAACGTGCCTGTGGTTTCGTTGTACAGCGCCGAGTCGGTGAAGCCGCCTCCCGTGAAGCGGGTTTGGATGAACGGCGGGGCGACGCACGAGTCGTTGGTGAAGGACGTGATCAGGGGCGTATTGACGCTTTGTGGGAGTGGAAGATTAGCTTGTTGCCCTCCCTCTCTCTCTGTCTCTCTCACACACAAACACAGAAAGGGAACTACTTACTTAAGACCATAGCCCACCGGCATCAGTCTCTTACCCGGCTTCGTCCCGTTCACGAGTTGTCCGACAAGATCGGCAGCCAGTTTGCCCTGGATGGTCGCTGGGTCAGGGTGACCGGAGGCCGTCGTCGCGTTAATCCAGGTATAGGCCCTCTGCTCGGTGTTGCCTCCGGAAAAGGCGATACCGGGAATCCCTCGACCGACGGCGGCGTACGTGCCGCCCATGGTGCCACTCAGCGTGTAGAGAAAGCTGCCCACGTTAGTGCCGTAGTTGGGTCCGCCGACGTAGAGGTCGATCGACCGGTTTTGGTAGTACAGCGGCAGGACATGGTCCAGGGCGACAAAGGTGCACGCCGCCGGGGTGCCATTGTAATACCAGATGTCTGGGTTCGACGGGTCACGGCCCAGCGCCGGAGCACCGGCGGGCACGAAGTCGAACTCGGAGGGTCTCGTGAGGTTCCCCTCCGACGAGTAGTCGGACTGACCGCCGTGGCCGCTCTCGTTGTCGACCGGGGCGACGACCAGGACCTCGTGTCCGTCTGCCTTGAGGAAGCGGTAGAACTCACGGAGCTGGGCACTGCCAAACCCGTCGTCGTTGCCCATGAGGATGGAAATGGCCGCCGACCCGCCTGAGAGGGCGGAGAGGACGGCCAGAGAAGAGAGAAGCGAGAGCTTCATCGTGACAAGAATTGCTTTAAAAACTTGGCAAAATCTTGACTTGCTTGTGAAGCTCCACGGCTGTTTTGGAAGAGAAGCTCGAGAGGGGACAGGAAAGGAAGAGAAGTAGCTTTTCTCTCGGCGGCAGGCCACGAGAGCCGCCCAATGGCCATTTTAATACGCACAGTCCCTCCCTCCCTCCGTCTCTCTCTATCTCTCAGGCAGGATCGTCATCCAGCTTCTCGACCTGCAGGTTGATCGGCTCGGCACAAACGGGCAGAAATCTTGATTGCAACGTCTCATCGAGCAATCGAGCACACGACCACATACCGCGAGCGGGTTAGTGCGAAGCTCCCAGGAACCAGTTTTTGAGGGGTTGATTGGCTGACGATAAGGCATCGGCGAGCTCCATGGGATCGAATCAAGCATTACGTTAGTCGACTAATACCTTTCCTTACCTGTTCTGGTAACGCCCGTTAGCCTGTGGCGATCCATCATTCCTTGAGGCGTTGTCTCCAAGGGTGGACCTTCGTCTACTGTAAAGCCGAGAGGGAGCGAGATCGGTGGGTTTCCCTCGTGCTCCCCCTCGAACCCCTGGGCGCTTCTGGTATCGATTGGTGAGCACTGCTCTTTTTGACATCGGACAGACTCCAGAGTCGCCCACGAGTCAGTCATGACTTTAGCCACTAATCACAGGCACTCGATGATGATCCTCAAGACTATAGTCGTTAGTAATGCCCCTCCAAACCTATTATAGAACCCCCTAGCTGTATATGGAGTTAAGCGGGAGAATTGATTATACCTATCTGGGAAGGTAAAAAAAGGTAGCCACTACCGTCTCCGGATAAATGGTATTACAGCCAATGAAAAGTCAATGTTTCTGCTAAGCTCATGGCTAGTCAGGACTCTAAGTCAACGCCGAGGTCCTGACTATAGTCAAAGTTGACTAGGCTTGTCAATGACTTGTGCTAGTTAGTTAGCATCGGTGCAGGGCCAGCTCGGCAGAGATCGCCAGCGACATATGTTCTCACCCACCACGCAGTCACCATGATTCTCTGGCCGCTCTTGAACCGTGACGCTGAGTTCTCCTACCGTCGCCGTATTGAAGAATGAGTTGTTCGTGGCCGCTTGTCGACTCTAACCTGTTCGAGGACGGTACAAAAGATGGGAGCGATGGCACGCAAACTTAAACCATTGTGGCATTCGAGGTATATGGCTCGTTTTCCGTCGAATGCATGGAATCAGGAGTATTTATTTGGCAGATGGCTTCTGGGAAGCTCTCCGGTTTTTTAGGCCCCATTATTGTTATTACGGAACCAGTGGTGGTGAACAAAGACCTCGGCCTCGCTGTCCAAGCACGTAATCTCTTTGGTTGCTGCGGATGAGAGTATATGCCATTTGTCCTCCCAACTCAACAAGGACGATGCGCATCGACTAGTTTGCTCAGTGGCTGAGAGACCGAATTTAGAGAATGGGTCTCGACGGGCTTGTCCAGGTGGTTGTTCCGAGACGGCGGCCATCACCCGCCGTATCGCCGGATGATTGGCAAGATAATGTTCGAAAGGGTGAAAGCTCCATATAGCCATTTAGACGTAGTGATTCTGGGCAGACACGGCTTTCAAGACGCCTTGCAAAGCAAACAGATGATCAAAAGGGGACCAAAAAGGATACAAGATCAAGTTGCTTCCCCAATCTAATAAAGCCGAGTTATCCTGCCGATGCAATGGCAAGAAAAGACTGTAATATAAAACGAGTGACATTCACACTTCTTTCCCACATGACCCCAATCAGACCCAACAATATAAGCCGCTCATTGGAGTTCAGGAACAAGCCTCCGGACTCGAGATTCCTCTTTGATCTTCCAATGGCCACTATAAACTTGGATATGCCATGTAAAAGCGGTTAAGCTAGCGCCGCCGCGGAATCCTGAACACGGCTCTCATACAACGCTAGCGTTAGGTGAGTTGCAGAACACACACCCTGGTGTACTCGTAGGGTCGAAGGTAACCGTGCTGCTCGCGCCCTGCTCGGTAGACGCATCGACAAGCTTCGTGTCGAGATCGCACGTCGGCGAGGGTGGTTCGGTAGTGTCATATGGTGGACCTTGAGCGCTGGTGAAGCTGCAGCTCACTTAAGTGAATCCAGCTTGATTGGCAATAACATCAGCAGAGCTGAGGACGGCCTGGATCACACCGCCACCGAGCGGTTGGCTGCCCTGATTGGCGCTCTGAAGGATAATGGTCAAGTTTTGCGGAGTCGGGTCAGTGTTGGTAGTGAACGTGCCAATGTCGAACGCCTGAATAGCTTGCTGTGCACCGATCATGTTAGCATGGCGCAGAGATGTCTATGGACGGTTGACTTACACGAGTAACGTGGTTGTGTGCCCGGAATCCGTGCTCATAAGGGGCGGCGGAGAGACCAGTGGCAAAAGTCAATACAGCGAGGGTACTGAGGTCGAAAAGCATGATGGATGACAGCTGCTATATGCTTAAACCTTTTCGGGGAGCGGAGGATAAATACCGACTTCTGAGAAGGAGATTGAGTCGTAAGGAAGTGAAGATTTGCAGTTTGATGGGTTATAGGATACTCTCGTTGCCTTTGTGGTCTGCCCTCCTTCATACTCTTCCATCCCCTTGCTTGTAAATGGACCTTTGCAAGGACATTAACTCACCCCTGCAAGTAGCCACGGACCTGTGGGCACGGACCCGTAGGCTTTTTGCCAGGGAGATTTGTCGGGAGCGTTTCTATGTGCTTGCGGAATCCTCGTTGCTTACTTACATGATTGATGATGCGCGTTGGATGAGAATGGGATCCCAGTATGAATGACAAGGTGGGAAATGGATTTGGGCATCAACTTCTTGCTGCAGCCGAGAGAGCAAGCGTCCTCGAGAGTCTCAGCTCTACGCCGAGAACAATCCAGTTGGTTCTCAACTGTTGAGTCCATTTTGTGGTCCATTCTCGGACCATTTGAGGCGACAACCCCCGGTAACTTCACCTAAAGCCGACCATTTACCACAGAAATGGATTTCTCGCTTCCCCGCCGTCTCCATATGCTCGATGGAGCCTCATCCTCTTGTAGAATTTGGACCCAACGCGACTCAGGGGCTTGAACGAAAGCCCAATGTTCTCTTTCGACTCTAACTGGTGACCAAGCATGACGGAATGCCAGCAAATATCACAGATTCAGGCAGTATAACAACAGGCAAATCTGGTTCTGGTAGGACGTGCTGACCTCGCGTGGAGCTGCAGCGGAAGAGGATCTCAACGCATTACCGCGAATAGGCTGTACTTTTGTGACGGATTCCGGAAATGCGGTCATCTCTCGAGGAGAACGGGAGAAGTCTCTCCGATCGATAACTCCTACCAGTGAAGAGACTGGTTTGAGGGGGTCATTTCATTCCTACGATGCTGTGCGGGCATAACTTGCAGGCGTGAGATAAACTATCTCCGCAAGGAATCCATGACCGACATGGATAGACTCAGATGGTCATGACGAGACGGACTGGTCTCGACGAGTCGTTCCCACGCGTTGTAGAGCATTTCCCGCAGAGCCAAAGAGATCGGACTGTAGGAAACTCTTGCTTTAATGTCAATGTGCGATGTATGCACACGGATGCGAATGGTATGAGTTGGAGATGGTTCGGGTAGAATAATATCCGGCTTGGCAGGAGTTGGAAACCCGCTGCCCGCTGGCTGCCAAGCATGATCATGATTGGTGTACTGACAACGGCGCTTTATTGCTGAACCTCGTCCTCCGCCTTGGACAAGGTCATGTTCATGCATTTACATTCAGCGTTTTGCGTTTGTTTGTTCCGACCATCTGTTTTTTAGTATCCTTGAGAGGGATAGAGACTTCTCCCCGTCGTCATTTGTCCGCGGGGTTCGAGCAGCCAGCAGGCAAGAAGTTTTCGGAAATGTTGTCCTCGCCCCATGCTTCCGCGAGCCGCCCATTTTCAGGCATGGGAGCCCCTAGTCCCGAAGAGGACCGTCCAACGGCCGCCATCAGTATTCATTTCTTGGTCTTATCTCGCTAACTGAAGGAGACCAAAGGAGTCGGTGTGCAGAAGGCAAGAGACTGCTCCTCGTCTCCGCCGAGGATGACAGTCGAAGGCGTGAGCGAATCATTCGGTTGCCCTTAAGCCGATATTGACCTCGTTATGCTTGACAGGATGTTATGAGATCATCTGTGCCATCCTTATGTCTTCCGTTTCAGCCAGTATTGTTTCTAATCCTGTCACACGAGAGACGACCTGTGCGTCTGTGTCTGGACAAGCCGGTGTCTAGTCTCTAGTGGGTGAGTGGCCAGAACTTATATCCCTCGCGATATCAACCCTGTCTTATTGTCTGAAGTTGAATGTTGGAATCTCATTCTAATGGATGGTTTGCCGCCGCGACGAGGGCTGCTCGTGAAGCAAGGGACTTCGCTCGTGTGGCGCCAGGTGGGAATGGGCGTGCGAGACCACAGATGAGTTGCGAGAGCGAGTCCAAGTATTCCACCCTTCGAAATCCGCAGGAGTCGCACAGTGTTGTTTCCCTTGTTTTGCCAGCCTCCGATCCCTAACCGTGAAACAGATGGCCAGGACGATCAAGATGACTTGCATCGTCCCTACCAGCACGTAGACGATCCACGCACTCCAGCCCTTCCACCCCACCCGGATCATCATGTTGATTCCGAAGATCCAAGTGTACTAGTTTGTGGTATTATCAAGTGGTCAGCTCCAGGGCGTCACGCAACGAGCGACAGTGGAGAGGGGGAAGACCTACAGGAGCACTGAGGCAGATCGAGACTGGGCTCAGACTTCCCAAATGTCCCAGATGCCATGTCGTCCGCACTTGTGGAATCCACTGGATACATGCAAAGACGGCCACAGCGAGTCCCAGAATGTTTGCCCACGCCTGAGCGTGCCACGGAAAGCGGTGCAAGATGATGGCTGACACCATGAGGACAGCGAAGGCGAAGCTGCAGGCGGCGATGAGGACCTTCCACGCCCGCTTTGCTCGCCGGAAAGTACGGTCGGGTCCAGACAGTGATGGTCTCCGCCCGTGCAGTTCTGCATCGGCTTCTTCCTCCGAGTAGTAGACGTACATGAAAAGGCTAGACACGAGACTTCAGCGAGAGCCCTGCGACGAAGTAAAGAAATGCAGACCACTCACACGACCCAAAAGCACGCGATGCCAAAGATGACCTGGAGCATCCCGAGAAGGCCGCTGACGCAGGCGAAGCGCGTGTTGGTTCTGCAGCAACCGATGTCAACGGCGCTAGAGGGGAGCATCATGATATTGCCCACGGCACACACGCCGGACAGGGAGCCCAGGAGGATGTAATATGTCGACAAGCCCTCTGCGGATCTGCGCGAGATGATGCGACCCCATTGTGGAATGTAGCAGATGAGCAGCCAGGCCATCAGCGAGCTGGGAGGGAGGTCACAGGGTTAGTGTTGGTTGTTCATTCATTTGGTTATGGCGACGAGTTAGAGCCAACATCGAGGAAGCATACCAAGAGACAACGAATTGAGTGATGGAAGGCTTAGCGAGGTGATTGCATTGGTCGGGGTCCAACATCCGAGCTGGTGGGGGATCCATCTCTATACAAACGGAGCTTGGGATACGCTCTGATGTTGAACGGGCCGAGCCAGCACACTATATAGAGTATAGGCAAGCCAAAGATTCACCGCAATAGAAACATGTAAAGTTGAGCAAAGTAACAAGACAGGAACTCCGAGAAATAGAGAGGGAGAAATCCTGATAAGAAATCCCTTGTGCGCCGCATGCTTCAGCTATGACGAAAAAGGGCCGTAGACGCAGCCCGGTTGGCTGGCATCTTTCTTTGCATGTGAATAAAAACGATGCACATATCGTCATGGTCATCGGGATCTCCTGCTTGAAATCATGCTGTGTAGCTTTGACCGTAGCTGTAAGGGAGATGATGCATCGAAGATCCATGCGGGATCCCAAGCTGACGAGCAGCAGCAGCTCGTTAAGTGAGTAAGGCTGGGTTGGCTGGGATAGACGGGGAGTCTGCAGGCTAGTGAGGCTTCATTCGCAAGTCCATCTTGATAGGGCCTCTAGGGATAGATGAAGAATGTCCGTGCAGCAAGCAATTATGGGCCAACCTGCTGCTGCTGGTCGGGTGGGACTATAACACGAAGGCCAGGCGACCCGATTGTGGCACTCACTCACCGCGTGGAAGCCCATGTAGTTGTCAGGTCAATTACTTTCTCACATGTTCGCAGGTGCTCATTCGTTTCCTCTTGGCGATTGGGCAAGAATCCCTTGATCTGGAGGTTGAAGTTCCTCCTTGACGACATAAGCGTTGTGAAGACATTGAGCTGACATGATCCTGGTGGTTTAGAGCCATTGGCGAGGGGAGAAGCCCAGGGCGTATACTACCTGGGAAGTAGTGTTGCAAGAAGGAATAGAGTGAGGGATCCAGGACTCATGCGAACAGAGTTATAATTGATTGATCAGTCAATTAATTACATTAATTATCTCGCCCGCGGCTGCATTGGCAGCTTTTTTGGCTAGTGGTACATAGTAATAATAACCAACTTTTGAAGCTGGCGGCATTGCGCGTCGCCTGCGGAACAACAGTGCCGGGTCACTTTTGCTTCCCGCTCCCGGTTTACTCGCAACTCATGCCCTGTGCTTGAGTGCTTGTTGTTGTTGTTGTTGTTGTTGATGCTGCTGCTGTTGCTGTGAACTTTTGTTCCCCTTCTGCATCTTTGAATCATGCGAAGAGAAGGCAGTCCTCCTCCTTTTCCTCGATCTTGGTCCCGATGATTCAAATGCCCTCCTCAACCGCCACAACCATGGGGAGGAGGGGCCTATTATACGAGCACGCCATCGAACCCCTTTTGGCGACGTTCAACCGCCGCACCCCCCTCCTGCTGCTCTCGCTCTTCTGCACCTTCGCCCTCTTCGCGTGGTACCGGTCGGCGTCGGTGGTACCCTTGCTGCACAGCGACTACGGCGCGTACGGGCGCAAGAGGGGGTTTGACGGACAATGGAACTACCGTCGCGATGCCGAGAACTTGATGCTGGACTCGCAGCAGTGCGAGCAGGCCTTTCCCGGCCTGTTTGAGGAGGTGGAGAGGCCTGTCAATGAGAGGATGCACAATCCCATCACCTTGGAAGAGATCGATGCGATCCCCAAACAGAATGGCTATGTTCGGGCCATGATCTATAATCAACAGGTAAATGCGCCCTCTATGCGGCCGCTGAACATCTGTCGCTTGGACCCGTGTCGCTAATTGCTTTCCGTACCAATACAGCTCTACATCATTGCAACTGCAGGAGGCATCTACTCTCGCGGGATTGCCACCCTCCACGCCTTGCACCGTGCCATTCTGACGTCCCCGGAACCCCTTCCCAACATCGAGTTTGCATTCAATACGGACGACCGCATACCCTCGGTCCCGCTATGGGGATACGCCCGCCGCGCCGAAGACACACACATCTGGCTCATCCCGGACTTTGGCTACTGGTCCTGGCCGGAGACGAAGGTGGGCTCGATGCGCGAGGTGCAGATGAAAGCGGCCCTGACGGAGCAGGTCGAGGGATGGAGCTGGGGTCGAAAAATGGGCAAACTGCTCTGGCGTGGCGCGACCATGGGCCTGGAACTCCGCGAACGCCTGATCCAGGTAACGGCCGACAAGCCCTGGGCCGACGTCAAGGCGCTGGACTGGCACAACACGGAGTCCATGACCCACGACCTCAAGTCCATGGCCGAGCACTGCCAGTACAAGTACCTCGCCCACACCGAGGGCAACTCGTACTCAGGCCGCCTCAAGTACCTGCAGGCCTGCCAGTCGGTCGTGGTCGCGCACACGATGGACTGGATCCAGCACCACCACCCGCTCATGCGCGCCAGCGGACCGCAGCAGAACTACCTCGAGGTCAAACGCAGCTTCGAGGACCTGGAGCGCAAGATCGAGTGGCTGGAGACCCACGACAAGGACGCCCAGCGCATCGCGGCCAACAGCGTCCGGACCTTCCGCGAGCAGTACCTCACGCCGGCCGCCGAGGTCTGCTACTGGCGTAAAGTCATTCACGGCTGGGCCCAGGTGAGCTTCGAGCCTGAATTTTTCAAGGTCGTCAACGGCACGTCGACGTGGAGGGGTTTGCCTGTGGAATCCTACCTTTTGGAGCGCAGAATGGAATGGGATCCTTACTAGATTGGTTGGGGATTCCAGCAATATAATGTGTATGTACTCGATACCTTTTGGCTCAAGGACCCCTCTGCGTTGTCTGGTTAGGTGCGGGATCAAGGGAGGGGGTTGTTTAACGGCATTGTTTCTGGACAAACCTGTACGCATCTATGAGCCCCGGTGCCATTGTAATGTACATACATATATATATACGTATATGTCTATATGTGCTGTAACCCGATAGGGCCATACAATATCAAGTTACAGTACATATTTAAAAAGAAGGATTTTATATATAGTAACCAGTCGATCTTGGTTAGCGAGAGTTCTTAGAGTTAGTTAATAGTTATTGCAGTAGAATACTATTAGCCTCTCTTTCCTCTATCATCTATGTTTAACATTAACCCGAACTATGCAAGGACGTTGGCCACCGCGGAATTTCCCCCACTAGCCCTCGCAAACACATGTTCACACTAGTTGGTTTCGTTCGTTCGTGCGTCCACTCGATCAATCAAGCCTGGAGATATACCTCGTACCCCTGCTGCCCAACGGTGCTCTGTTGACTAGGCATCCATCCATCCATCCATCCATCGCCTGGGATTCCCTCACGGTTCTCAGCTGAGTTCCCACTCCGCCATGTCATGCGACCTGGATGCCAGAACGCGTGAAATGCGAGAGACGTGGCGAGCGTGGTCTGTGGAAATGAGGCGGCACTCCCTTGGTCGGTAAGCGCGGTTGGGTAGGACATGTCTACCACTCTTCTGTTGGTGCCCAAAGCAACCACCCATCTTAACGGGGGTCCATGTAGCCTTACGTGGGAGATGGAGTTATTTGAAAAGGCCCAGCCCGTCCCCTCTGCTGGGGAAAGGAAATGGGAGGAGGTGAAGAAGCCTGGAAGGAAAAGTCTCCCCCTGGGTACGGTAGAACGCCACAGTCACAATGGAGCATTTGCTCGCCCCAGACGGCGCCGCCAGAATCGACATCCCATACATTGAGACCCAAGAATTCGAAGCCCACCAGACGACTCGAGTCGATGTCCTGGAGAACTTCAAGAGCTACATTGAGCGTTCGGGATGGCAACGGAACCCGCAAACAGGAGACGTCGACTTTAGCAACCGCAGTCCCAGAGAGATTTTGCAGCATCTCCAAACGTGGCTCTACTTTGGATGCCTCGTTTCCGTGTTCCGAAAGGTGGGAGTCACGGTTTGTACCGGCGACTTTCTCGACAGCCACCCAACCCGCCAGGGACAGAGGGTGGTCTGCACGAATAAGTTACAAGGCTTCGTGGGAAAATGGGCGCAGTACGAGGGCTTTGCTACCGGGCCCGTCGTCCCCAGAGATTTCTCGAACCCCAAATACCTTCGTGGAGAAAACATCAAGGAAATCCTCAACTATACCTTCTGGTACCTGGGCGTATACGGGCGTCAAATTGGACGCTTTCCCGAGCCCTACAGGTGCAGGGCGAAGCTAATTGAATTATCCATCATGGCCATGGGCGAGAGCCTCTGCTCCGCACTGACGGTCATATATGGTTACGAAAGCAGCCACATGCCGACTTGGGGGCCCAGTCCGGTGTTGGACGCCCGGTTGAAAAGGAACGGCTGGTGCCCGAGCGACTCGCCGTTCTTCCCCGAGTCCATGACCAAGGCGGCCATCAGTGCTGACTATTATTTCGGCGGACGTCGCTGTCCCTGGGATCAGCGGGACCATTCGACATGCGGAGCAGCCATCTGCAACCAATACTTGGAGATCGTGGAGCAAGAAGCGTATAAACAAATTCATTCATTTAAGGGTTGCCCATGTGCGCGTGTCCCGGTCCCCAGCAGCATGACCAGCCTTGTGGATCAAGGGCAAATACCTGTGGTTCATTGGGACGGAAACAAGTTGCACGTTTCTGCCGTTGATGCTCAGACCAAGTATGTTGCAATATCCCACGTGTAAGTATAGATCTCCCCTGGCCAACATCGTGAAAATAGGTCAATGTGTCTCTGCGGCTGACTTGTCAAAATGTGATTCAACAGTTGGTCTGACGGTCTGGGGACCGACTACTCGGCAAATGCACTCCCGGCATGTCAATTGTCTCGCCTGCAGTCACTCGTTCATGAGCTCTATGCAGCAGAGCCGCTCTCAGTCCCGAGGGCGCGTCGTTTGGATGGTATGGTCCCATTCTGGCTTGACTCTCTCTGCGTGCCTGTGGGAACCGAATATGAAAACCTGCGCACCAAAGCAATTGGAAAAATGGCAGAAATATATCGCCAGGCGGACCGGGTGCTCGTGTTAGACTCCCACGTCCTCAAGCTGCCACGCTCAGCCGACATGGTGGACAAGTTTTTGCAGATCCACTTGTCGAAATGGCACCATCGGTTATGGACGATGCAAGAGGGTCACCTGGCGCGGAGTCTCTTTTTCCAGTTCCAAGACGGAGCTCAGTCATTGCACGACATGGGAGAGACCGCATTGCAGAGTCTCGACCGCTATGCACCAGAGAGCCTGTGCTCACCCGTGCGGCTTCTGTGCGCCACCGAGCTTGAGGCATTCTATCGATATTTTGAAGTGGCCAAGGCCAGTGGCACGAGTATACAGAAAAGGATGCGATCATGCGCAAAGTATTTGCGCAGCCGCCAGACGAGTCGGTTGGAAGACGAGTCCGTCTGCGTGGCCAATATCCTGGATCTGGACGCCGCGAAGGTTTTGGTATGCAAGGATTCCGATATGCGCATGGCCCGCTTCTACGACCTGGTCGGACAGTTCGACCCCCAGATCATCTTCCACGATCACCCTCGCCTCCCGCTCCCAGGTTACCGCTGGGCGCCGCGCTCGTTCCTGCACCAGCTCTCCGACTTCATACCCATACGTGAGGGTGGCGGGGTCGAAGACAATGCCTTGGATGGCTGGCTCATTCCCGGGGCCGGCGGTCTCCCTGTCCGATTTCCGGGCTTCGAGTTTGGATGTCACGGACTGCCGCCAGTTGATATGCCGTTTCTTGTCAGGGCGAGCAACCTGCCCATACACCTGCAATGGACGTTCATGAACAAAAGCGCTTGGTGGGCGTGCACATACGAGCTGAAGCTGACGGAGATGCTGCCGGGTCTTGAGAGCCTGGATGTGAGGCCTATTGGCGGCCACTACCGGCGATATGTGGTCATATTACCTGTCGAGTTCCATCCAGACGCGCTCCCAGTCAAAGGCATCGTAGGAATCATGGACCCAAACGTCCCGCCACATCCGATGATGCTCCCCGGGACACCGATGGCAGCCTGGACCACTCTAGATGTAGGGCTACCGGGCAATCAACGTCCCTGTTACTCGACACCGAATGGGATTCCCATTCAATATCTTGGTCGGGTCCATGTGAGTCTACCTGCAGCAGAAGCAATTGCCCGAGTCGCCCCCTTCGGCATGGCCTCGGCCTACGGGCGTGAGCAGGAGTGGTATGTCCGTTGAACGTTGGACGCCTGATGTCAATGGGTATATTGTCGAAGGTGCGGGACCCTATGTATTGACGTGGCCGCATTTGAACATGGCTGTGTACCAAGCTTGTTGCTAGTGGCCCTTCCCTGTTGATACTGACTGGCCTGACGGACCGGGAGTGCGCCCAAGCAACATCCAGGGCTTGGAAGGATCCGAGGCCTCGAAGACAGCGATGCTGGTGGTGGTGGTGGTGGTGGTGGATGCGGCTCTGTAGCAAGACATCTATTTGGCTCTTTCACTGGCGCTATCCTGATTCTTGGTAACGTGTTCGGCCGTGCATCTCCTAGAGCGTTTTTGACTAAAGGAGAGAGATAGGTGGCAATGGGAATGGAGAGGGTTGCTAGCTGGTGTGTAGGGGGGTGGTCGCTGGTTGGCGTGCAGTCTGAAGGCTGACTGGATGCCCGACTCGTGTCTACCACGGGCTGCGACGTGGCAAGTGAAGGAAAGATGGGAAATTCCGGTGACTGCTGTAGCGTGCAGGGAATCTTTGTCGCTCACTGTCGCTGTAAGAAATACGAGGTGAGGGTGTTGGAAGCTAATGAGTAGCAACTCGGACGCTACCGTCGAAAGGCAAACAACACGTCAAGCTGCATGCATGCTATGTATCTGAGAAATCCCAGTGGCAAGAGCGCAATGTCCCAATTGCCTTATCTGCCATCCCCCTACCATGGCATTCCCCCATCCCAGAGACACGGTCCCCAGCTTCAGTCATGTGCTGCCAAAACTTCCTCTCGTCTTCCAGGTCACTCGCCACGGGTTTGGAACTGCTTGGTATACACAGCACAGCATATTCACTATTAGACGACGAGCCAGTCCACCGTCAGACTGGCTGTGCCACCAGCTCTCACAATCTCACCTCCAGCAAACTACTGCCTTTCAGCTTGATCTGGGTGTGTACTAACAGTGATTGACGCGAACTTTGGGCCGTGGCTTTGGTACGTACATCTTCCCTTTCCCAGTATGTACCCGGAAACCTGGAGAGCTGACCTGCAACGTGCTGTGTCACCTAGAAAACGTTCTTTGACCCGAGAAATACCGCTGTCGTCGAGTCAGTTACCCTCTCGCACTCGGCCTCTTGTTCCTTCCTCTCTTCAGAGGGTTGAAGACTTCTCATTTGTCTTAGCCGACTCCAAACACACATACAGCATCGTCTTGGTCCACGGTCTTGCAGGCGACGCATTGTTGGCCTGGAAATCTCCCGCCACCGGGACGGTCTGGCCGCAAGACGAGCTCCCTTTCTATCCCGGCCTGGACAACTCGAGCATTCGGGTCTTGAGCTTTGGCTACAATGCCAACCCTGTCACGCTCGTGAATAACAGTGCCGGCATCAATACCATTGACGATAACGCAAATAATCTTCTCGGAGATCTCGTTGACCTCAGGGGTGGGCCGGATGCGGTTTGCCTTCCCTCTACTATATGTGAGTGGAGGGATCGCTGACGTTGATGCCTTTCGCGGTTTCTAGGTCAACCGGCCTGTTATCTTTGTGGGGCATAACTATGGAGGTCTTGTTATTATGAACGTGTGTCCACATCCTCTCCTCTACTCTCGTCGAACTTGAAGCGTCGAAGTTGAAGTCCCCCATCTAGAAATTTGTTCGACCACCGCTGACACCAGGATGACCTCTTCTGGCACACCCAGGCCCTCAACATATCTCACACGAATGACATTCAGGGCACGCAGCCGGAACTGGCAGCAATCTCCAAGGCCAATATCGGCGTCCTGTTTCTCGGGACGCCTCACAAAGGAAGCGATCCCACTGTTTGGGCTCATGTTCAGACACGGTTTTCGCCACTCCAGGTCTCGAGCTATTCCCTGGCCGTAATGGCCGCAATTTCCACCGGTTCGCCCTTACTTGCCAGTATCGAGGCCGCATTCACGAGGGGTCCCATCACCAGGATGGAGGTCTTCTCGTTCTTTGAAGGGCAACCGAGCCGGATGAATCCAATCACTCTCCCACCTTTTCAAATTGTATGGTGAATGCGATACTCTCTCGTTCTACCTCCCTCCCTTCTCTTGCTCGTGTCTGTGGAAATTGCATAACATGCATCGTTTCCTTTTCTCTTCTTCTTAATCCTGAAAACCTGCCTTCATTTGCCGGGAAAAAGGCACCGTGAGTCAAGGGGCCCTGGGTGATGAGGCCTGTGTGATTACCATGACAACCAGGGCCCCCAAGGCGGTCACGTCACAGGAGTGGCAAGACATTGTTGACAGAAAAGCAGTGTTCAGGTTAGGGGAGAAGGGTATACAGAGAAGTTGCGTGAGGATTTTTGAATAGACTGCTCGGTGCTGGAGGGCAAGTATCCTTTAATGTAGGCATTTCCCGCACAGCTCGAAACAGTCATCTGCATCAAGCCAGGCATTGTCACCACAGGGAAAGATATCCAACCCCAATTGGGCACTCAAATGTAATCGGGCGGCTGCAGAGCAGAATTGTCGAGAATGATCGCGACGAATGAATAGACGACCATCCCACACGGTTAGTGACGTGTACTCGCATCACAACTGAGCTGAACGAGTGGAATTGAGCTAGCTGGCACATTCAGAAAAGGGAGTGGTTCAAAGCTCCAAATTAGCGATGTAGACAAGATGCAGTGGTTTCAAAGAAGTGCGTTAAGCGAGGAAGAAGGACTGCAGTATCTCTGATGAGAGGATGGATTGTTGGCAAACGGGTGAGACGGTGGCCACGAAAAGAGGTCAAGGAAGGCAGAATCAGGCTGAGCAGAAGTGCCGCAGAGCTGCCATGCAACAGTATTTCTGTCACAAGCTCGACTCACCTGAGGTTGGCACGTATTGGCCAAGGCTGCAGCGTGGCGTGGGAGCCATGCGTTGTTGGCCAAAGCCAGGCAGGCAGGAGTTCTTCGAGGTCGTAGAATGCGCACATGGTGGCGAATACCAGAGAGTGCATACCGGACAAGGTTTCCTGCCTCGTGTATTGCAATCCTGTTATCGATGGACAGCGTCTGCCCAATGGAGAGCGGAAAAGCGAAAGGCAGAGTAAAGCGGTTGGGCGGCCATCACAACCCGGTTGGGTTTGAATCTGCTGTTCTTTTCATGACAAGGAGGAAGTTTTGTCGATAATTACAATAATTCAGTCCATCAAGAGGAATTCGGCTAGATACTGGAAGATTCCCCAGTGTTGACAAGTGTGATGATGATGAGAGTGATAGAGATGAAACTGAAAATGGAACTGAAAATGAAGGATGGCTATGGCCGGGGATTGTTCGGTGCTAATCTCTCCTTCCGTCAGTCGCCGCCCAGCTTCGTTTTCTTGCCCAGTCTCCAACATCTTGTAGTTCAACTCGTATCTTGCTGCTCGCGGTGCCTTGTTGAGCCTGCAAAACCATGTCAGATCTGCACAAGAGAAAAGCGATTCGAACCCAGAAGTGCTTGACAACTTTGAAAGCTCAATTTGTCTACACTGAGAGTGTCCCAAGCAGGCTGTATGCCACTCTGTTGATACATATCTACACAACTTGCCATGCAATCATGTTCTTGAGGAGATTCCGCGGCCCCCATATCTCCCTTCTCATGAAGCGTTGGACTTCCACTTCGTCGGCCTCAGGACCAGCCTCAGCAAGACTCCCACCTCGTATTTCTGGCCTCCCTGCACGATCCTTTTCTGTGAAGGAGTGCTTCTCGTCCAGCAGAATCCTCTCCTGCCTTCGTTCCTTTTCCATCATCATTCGTGCCTTCCACTTCAACTCGCCGACTTTCCATCCCCTGACCACCCATAAGCACAGGCCTGCGCCGATATACATAAAGGCTGTGAAGATCTGGGGCGGGAGGTAGATCCAGTTCTCTGTATTCTTTCGTCGAAGCTCCAGAGCTATTGCTTCTGCACATGTCGTGGGTGGCACCATGATCACCCATGTCAGTGATAACCCAGCAGGGAGATCCTGAAGTCCCAGCACCTCGGCGCCGACAGGGGCAATGGTTGTCCAAAAGGTCCCTGCTAAGGCACCACCAACAATAGCGAAGAAACACAATAGCCCCATTGGAGAAGAGACCGTTTCGGCAGGAATCCAGAAGGCGAAGCAGAAAATGCCACACAGAATACTGAGGAAGGCGGCAAGGTTGATGCGACCCCAGCGATCGGAAGATAGACCGATGAAAGGTCGTCCAATCATCTGACCCAGGTTCAGGATCGCTCCAAGGACCGAGCCTTGTTTTGCACTCAATCCTATGGATCGCGCGTAGGCGGGCAGTGAGAAGAGCAAGATTGTGTAACCGAACATACTGAACCAGGACCAGCCTTGAACGAGCAGAAATTCGGGTTTGCGGAGGATTTTGGTGTCAAATCCCTTGTGGCGCGCCCCGGTTTGTTTGTTGCGGTCGCGAATGAGGTTGGACGCCGTCAGATTGACCGCAAAAGAACAGATTCCCAGGATGCGAAAAGCCCACGGAAGACCCATTGTATCGATGATCCGTTGAGTGACAAGTGAGTACATCAAGCCACCGAGGCCAGAACCTGCCGCGGCGATCGAGTTTGCCACGCTGCGTTTCGTGGTGAACCATTGTGCTATGATGCCGACGGAGCCCACAAACAAGAAGCCCATTCCCCAGCCAAAGCAGAACCCTTGGGCCAGGATGATCTGGTATTTCTGCGTGGCAAAGCTAGCGCCAATGAGGGAGAGGGTTTCAAAAAAGACGCCCAGATGGAGGCAAACTTTTGAGCCGTAGAGGTGGATGATGCGAGTGGCTAGAGGCGCAATGAGCATGGCCTGGGAAATAGAGAGGCCGCCGATGAAAGCATACGCCAGAGCGGACGTATTCGGGAAATAGTCGTGATTCAGATAATAGGACAGGAAGACGCCGTACGAGGAGTTGATCCCCCAGGTATGTCCTAGATGCCAATTTTGTTAGCCACGGGGGTGGTAGAGCGAGGTGGTTCGAGGCGATAGAATGCTTTGACCCCGGATTGCGTGATGGTGCTAATCTCCAGATCTCTCGTACTTGATACTTAGCGCATACCCCGGATTTGATCTCAAAATCGGGTTTGACTGGTACACAGAGATTCGAAAGTCCGAAAGTGGTCACATTGACAAGAGAAAAAAAACCATCCTCACCATTGATGAAGAAGTTACAAGCAACGCATACCCAGCCATAACCGCCGTCGGGAGGGGGTTCGTCTAACTTCGGGAGAGTGGAAGGGCTCTCTCCAATGTCAACCGTCTTTTCGGATTCGTTTTCATGACGTGGGTGGATTTCTTGCGGAGTGCCACGAGGTTCAGCGACATCGACGGGCACCGTATCTGCCATCTTCCCTTCTCCTGCGCCCAGATTCTAGAAAAGATAGGTAGAGACACAGATGAAGAGGGTTTTGAGGAGGAGGAGTCACATTTTACAAGTGACGGACAAATTTCCTGAAGGAATCCATCGAACAACCCTGTCAACCGAGCCATGTCCGGAAGGGGTGTTTTTTGAGATCTCGGGCAGAGGCCGTTGGAGCCGTCACCACCGTGTGTGCGAGATGCGACGTCGGGCTTTGACTAAGAGATTCGATGATTGGGCGGAAGAGGCATTGCCATGTACAGAATACGCCTGTGGATGGCGTCGGATGTACGCAGAACGGAGTAGTCCGTACAGCGTGCCGTGAAGGGAAGGATTCATGGTCGTCACAAGTACCTAGGCAGTCAGCCATCGTGCGGAGAGCCAGGCGGAGATGGGTTGACCTGATCCTGCCGCTTCTTCCGACAGAGATGGAGAAGATGGGGGTGAAATGAAGATATGGTGCGCAGCTGCGGTCATCTAGCGAGGGACTGCGTGCTCGACTCGACGGAGGGACAACCATCGTCACTTTTGGCTGCCACGACTGTTCTCACAACGTGGTGATGACGACGAAGGGGTGAGATTGGCGAGACGGAGGTTTGTACGGAGTATTGAGGGAGGGCATGCCGTGGTTTCTAATGGCGGTACGGCGGTTGATGCCCAGCGCAGGCGGAGCCCGATCTGCGGTTGGTTGTCGTCTCAACCACGCAGCCCAAACAAAAAACCGGCTGCGGTCAGAGTCTCAATCGCACTCACCCGTGGCCATTTCAACACACTATCGTATCGATCTATTATTGCTTGTGTCGCTGTAGTCTCTCTGTTTTGCCTGCTTTGATGTCTCCTGTGCTGATCGAGTCCTCATTTTGGTTATACTTTGGGGTGCACCTCGCCTGATATCGTTGCCTTGCTTGATAGTACAAGATCTCGACGCCGGTCAATTTGGTGCATATGCGGTGAACCCGTCTCAGTTCGGACTTCAACAAAATACACAAAAATGTTTCACAAAAGAAGCAGTCTAGGCGGCAGAAAAGTCTCCCCGCCCCAACCTACATTCATGACTGCTGAACAGAAATGTAGGTGTCACTTTGAAGCTTCATCCGTTCCCTGCTGCCGCTGTTCATGAGCCAGAGAAGATGCCTCCTCGAGAGCCTCCCTTTAAATCCAAGTACTCACATAAACTTCCAGCTGCCTATCTCGACAATCTCAGAAACAATCGCCCGGCGAGACCATCCGGTTCCAGACCTGCGCCATTCCCATCCAAGAATTATGACTCCCTAGCATCTCAGTCTTCGTTGGCACGCTCCGACTCAGCTCCAACGACTGGCTCAAAACATAGTGATGCTCTGGATGATTTTGAAAATGATCCTCCGATGGTGCAGAAGTCCTTTTCTTTCTCTTCCACCTCCAGGGGCCGACCGATAGCGCAACCTCCGGATCATGACCGACCGACCTTGAGCGGAAGAAAAGTTTCTCCGACTGCTACGGTTCAGACCCCGTCAATTGCACAGGAAGGAGTCTATGTCGAGTCTGTCACACGGAGGTTGGAAAAAGAGGAGGCACACAGTATACGGGAAGCACTGCAGCTCATCGACCAGAAGGATGATGAACGAAGAATTTACGAGGCAGCCAAAGACGAAGCTGCTGAACTGGTCTGGAAGCACCAATTCCCCAAAGCCGCAGAAGATGAAAAGGTAGCTCCATACCGAAACCCGGATCTGAAGGCCAGGGAGAGACGGCAAAATAGCGGACACCGTCAAGCCAGTGGCTCCAGGAAGGTCTCTTTTCCTACTCCGAACAACAAGATATATGAAGAGCCAGAACCGGAGGAGGAAGCCTCAAGACCATCCATTCCGCCTCCCAGCGTGGACCTTCCACTGAGGGCAAAATCACGCAACAGGCTCCCCTGGCTGAGAACGAAGGGCCCTGCACAGTCGGAGCATCCAGCCCAGGACCCCCCGGGAAAGAAGTTCGACCGTTTCGAGATTCACAGAAATCCACCGACTCAGTCACGTAAGGCCGAGTACACCGAGAACACACCTCCACGGACGCCTGCCATTGATGTGATCGAGGAGGTTGAAACCCCCAATTCCAGCGGCACTTTGGAGATTCGGAGCGAAGAAATTCGAGCAGCTACAAGTATGAAGAGGAAAGATCGGAGCCCGAATCTTCCCACACCTACGGCCGTCAGCGATCAACTTGGTCGACCAATCGTCAGCTTTGATCCCACATGGAAGCGTCCCAGCGACTCACCGAGGACAAGTGAAGACGTCGAAAAACCAGTCCTGAGGCTGACAGAATCGCCGGCTGTGCGACCATTGCCGAAGCCAGCGCCCGCTACACCAGAAGTCTCGGTATCTGCTCCTGTCATCCCTACGATCCATGTCCCAGACGACGGGCCAGTCATCCCCGTCATCAATATCCAAGGAGACGAAACCTCACCGACGGTGCCAACAATCAACCTCCCAAATGATTCAATTGAGGCTCCCACCTCTTCCAGACCTTTACCAAAGCACTCGTCGTCTGCACCACCGAAATCCAGCAGCACCGTTGTAAAAACACCTTCCCAACGCCTTCCTTGGCTTTCGTCTCGGCAATCCATGCCCACTGTCACCTGTTCGAGCTGTGCGCTGCCCATCTCTGGCCGCATCGTGACAGCTTCGGGAGCCAGTTCCCGCGATCTCAAAGCTCGCTTCCACCCCGAATGCTTCACGTGTCACCACTGTGCAACTCCCCTTGAGTGTGTGTCCTTCTACCCTGAACCGGATTCTTCACGCCTCTCTCGTCTCGGCATCTCCTCGGCTTCCCACACAGATTCATCCAACCCACCAGCTCTCGCCCCAGATCAACTGGTGCTTCTCGAGAACGACCCATTGAGGTTCTTCTGTCACCTGGACTTCCACGAGTTCTTCTCTCCCCGCTGCCGAAGCTGCAAAACGCCCATTGAAGGAGAAATTGTCATCGCATGTGGTCACAGTTATCACGTCGACCACTTTTTCTGTGCAGAATGCGGAGATCCGTTTTCGTCTACCACGCCTTTTGTGGAAGGGAACGACGGATACGCCTACTGTGTGCGGTGCCACACGAAACGCACATCGGCCCGGTGTCGCGGGTGTAAACTACCCATCCTGGACGAGATCACGGTCGAGGCGCTGGGTGGCAAGTGGCACGGAACCTGTTTCGTGTGCTGCGAATGTGGTAGTGGGTTCGGAGACGAGGGGAGGTTCTTCGTCAGAGAGGTGCACGTCGAACCGACGGACAAGGAGAAAAGGAAGGGCATTATGAGGAAGGTCGAGGAACGCGCGGTCTGCGGGGGTGTGAGGAGAGGAGGCTGAAGGCATGAACGGACTCGCACGCCTGGGGGGCAGAAGGACGCTGGTGGCCGGAGTAATAGGCAAGAATGGGGGGTGGACGGGGGTATCATCATGCTTGATGGAAGGGGGCATACGGTTGACATGGTTGGTGTTGGGATGTGGATGGAGGAGGAATCTGTAGTATGCCATCGCTTCTACGCTGGACGACGTATCTGAATGTCGACTGGAGTTGTTACCTTATCCTTTCTTCCCAAGAGCTCTCTCACTGTTGCTGCGCCAGGTAAGAGGAGCATGAAGTTGACCAGCTCGCCCCTCGCCACTGTCGTAGCACACTTACTCCCCTCCAGCAGGTCAGTCTCAAGACAGAAGACGAAAGTGATGATTAATCTCATTGAGTTCTAGCGCAATAGGGGATACATATGGTCTCCTGTCTGAAGCATCTATCGGTCAAGACAATGCGTTGCATCTGCGTCAACCTCAGCAGCTGCGTGCTCCTGTGATATCCCACTCCGAGCCGTCAAGCAGACAATTCCATATTCATCCCACAAGGCTGTAACCTGTCCAGCCTATCCTCTCTGGGTATACCTCCCACATTCCACGAGCGGTCGTCAATCTTGAGAGTGTACATGTCCACGGCCGTTCGATCACATCACCATAGCTTCGTCCGCGTTGATTCCCTTTCCACTCCGCGAGCAAGATTCAGTTGTCCATCCCCCACAGGTCATGCTGGCTTGTCTCTTTCTCCCCCGAAATAAAAAAAGTCCTTTGTCTTCGTTTGAACTCCCGTACTCCTCGCTTGGGCAATCGCTGCATGTCGAATGACTTTTGTCCAATCCAATTCAACGCCGACCCCCTTTGAATCCCAGGGGGAAAGGACAGGAAAAATGAATCGTGCCAGCCTCACACCCGATGCATAATGAACCATTTTGCCTGCTCAACTCTTTGGTCCAATTCCTATTCCCACAGTCAGCCGGAGCCCTGTTGTCATCCATTTTCAATCTCGCTGCAGAGTTTTCTCCATGTGCGACACTGTTGATAACTTCATCCGACTGACCTCGCCGATTTTAAGTATAACTTGTCTTAACAATATTTTCTTTTTCGAAGTAGATGCCATTCCGCGTATGTGTTTCCTTCGGTAAATGTAGAATGCAGAACCCAGTCAAGTAGGCACAATCTTCTTTTGATACCCATATCTGCGTATCTTACAGCCGTGAATGCAACTACCCATCTAGGGATGCTCACGATAAATTCCACTTCCTAACGAGGAGGTGAAGTCTGGTAACTCCCATTCGTCGCTCGACCGTCGACGTTACTGGATTCGTCGTTGGGTGAACCTTCGCCTGCAAGCTTGTTATCTGATGCAACGATCTTGCCGTGGATGTTTTGAAGCTCTTTGCCTTTAATGCCCTTGTTAGGCCAATAAGTGGCGGCATAGTCCCTGTGACATGTTAGCACGGCCCGTAGAGGAAGTCAATCAACGGAACTCACCAGAAGCGCTTCTCCACGGATTCCTGGTTGTCGTCGAGTTCGGCAACTTGATCGGTGATGAAATTGCCTATCTGCTTGAGCAGGACTCGCAGTTCATTCGCCCGGGTCTGTCCATCCGGTATAGCGCTCTTTGTTGTCGCCTTGATCTTCCTCAAGCTTTCTCTGACAGGCCTGAACAACATGTCCAACAGAGGATCAACTTCGGACGAAGTGGCATTGGCCGAATTTTCAGTTCGTCGATGGTCACTACCATGTCGATGGTGGGAGCTGTGAGCATGTTCGTCACGATGTCTGCGCTCTTTATGTTCTCTGCCCTCACTTTCGTGCTTGATATGACCGTGACGACTCTCAGATTTCGGGGTCCCATATCTTTCAGAGCCTTCGCGGTGAGTCTGGCTGACTGCTCTGTGTCGAGGCTTCTCAGATTCGCGATGTACCTTGCGATTTACGATGGAGGCGGGAGACCCGCCGCCGCCAGATTTCTCGGCGTGGTATTTCTTGTTGTTGCGGTGGTGGTTTTCCACAGCTCGCCTGGCCACGGGGTCATCCACATACTTGCTCTTGAGGACAGAAAGGAGATAGTCGGCGCGTCGAACAAGGTGGACTGCACCGGGAGATTTGGCGTTTTTGTCATCCAATCTCTCGCGTTCTGCTTTCTTGTCCACTCGATGCTCCTCCAGGAATAACTTGTCTTTCAGGCCAAGATCGGGGTCGTCACGGATCTTTTCCCAAGCACCGTAGCCATGTCGGGCAATACCCACACACAGCATACCATCTTCCCTCGCACCCCACGGACAGGAATAGCCCGCGGCTTTGGTCGCTTCTGGAATGCGGAATGATTTGAAATCTGGGTCTTTTGACGTTACATCTCGGAGCAGACGCATCTCTCCAGGTCTCTCAAGAATGGTCTCAGCGTTGATCCGTTTGACCCCGTGTAACTCGAAAAGAACTGCTTTTTTGTCCTTTTTGGTGATTGGCCGATTTGATGACCGTTCGAGCTCGGCCATTCGTCTCTGCTCTTCTCTGAATAGCTCCTCTGACTTGTCCAAGATCTCTTTCATCGCAGCCTTGACCACGGAAAGGTCTCTACCTCGAAGGCGAGCTTCCGTTAAAAACTCTTCTTCACGGTCCTCGATAGAGCCATAACGGAGATGACCCTTAATGAGATATCGATATTCACGCTCGCTCAACGGACGTGCCGGATCTGCCTTTGGACCTTCGTCGGATTCGCTCTCCGAATCGATGTCTTTGTGGCGCTGTTCCTGCCGTCGAGCTTTGCGCACCTCACGGTCCTCCGCCTGTATATTCCGGCTTCGGGGTTTGTTCTGCTCAATCATTTCCGCGAGGAACTTTTCGTCGGCCATTCGTTGCTCCTCTTTCTTAATTTCTTCCAGCTGCTCCTTGGGGATGATATCGTCCCAAGAGAGTTCATCAACCTTGACGTCGACAAAGTCGAAACTTCGCAGAAACTCTTCTCCCCCATCGGCGTCGGTACCATCCGGTTGCTCAACTTTGTAGTCCTCGGCGTTATTGAGCACAGCATCCAGATCCAGCTCCTCGAGTTTCTTCTGGTTATCGGTCTGCTCAAACATCTTTTGACCACGTTTCTTGAGAATTCTTGAGATCTCACTGGAACTGCCCGGTTCCCCGACCAAGGCACTCCGGCGAGCCTGTGTCTCCTTGTCTGTAACACCACGCTGAATGGTCAGGAATTCAAGCATCAATTTGTTTCTGGCGCGCTCGAGGATTTCCTCCTCTATGGTCTCCTTGGAAACCAAACGGTACACGCTCACTGGCCTGACTTGGCCAATCCGGTGAGCTCGAGCCATTGCTTGCAGATCTGCCTGTGGGTTCCAATCGGAATCGAAGATGATGACCGTGTCGGCGGTCATAAGGTTGATCCCAAGACCACCAGCTCGGGTGGAGAGCAAGAAGCAGAAGTCAGTGCTGTCCGGGGCATTGAAATGATCGATGGCAACGCGGCGAGGACCAGCAGCAATAGTGCCGTCGAGTCGTTGATAGGCATGACCTCTATAATCCATGTAGTCACCGAGGATGTCGAGCATTCTGACCATCTGGCTGAAGATCAAGACACGGTGGCCGTCGCGTTTGAGCTTGGTCAGAAGTTGGTCAAGAAGCATCATCTTACCACTACTTGTAACCAGAGCACGTAACACCTCCTCACGACGAGCGCCTTCCGGGACAAGGCGTTCCTCGGCGGTGGGAAACATGAACGGATGATTACTGGCCTTCTTCAGCTCCATCATAATGTTTAGAAGAGATTGCTTCTGGCCCTTGGCACCTTGGTTGAGAGCAGCATAGTTCTTGGTCAGGATATTCTTATAGTATTCAAGCTGGATGTCGGACAGTTCAACGCGAATTATCTTTTCGGACTTTGGCGGCAGGTCCTTTTCGACTTTCTGCTTAGTTCTGCGAAGCATATATGGCTTGATGTCCTCGGTGAGTTTGGCGATCTTAGCGCTTGCTTCCTCGTTGGTCAGGTCCATATTCTCATCGATATTGACGACACCCGGGTTCAGGAAGTCGAACAAGGCAGACAATTCCCCGAGATTGTTCTGTACAGGAGTACCGGTGATAAGTAGTCGAGCTGGAGCTTTGAATTCTCGCAATCGATCGTACAACTGGGAATCACGATTCTTAAGACGGTGGGCTTCATCAACAGCCATAAACTGCCATTTAATCTGACTCAAGAATGGCGCATCTTGCAACACATACTCGTATGTTGTGAGGAGGACATGAAAGCGCGGATGGCGAAAGTTTCCATCTGGTAGCAGCTCGTAATCTTTGATGATATTTCGGGCGGTTTGATTGCCGTTGTAGACCACGTAGTTGACATCAGGCGCCCACAGATCGAAAGTTTCTGCCCAGGCCGGCATAGTTGATAAGGGAACAGTGACAAGAAAAGGTCCCTGTTGGCCACGGTCGTGTCTGAGCCAACTCAGGAACGCAACAGTTTGGACGGTCTTGCCCAGCCCCATCTCGTCGGCAAGGACGACATTCTTGCTTTTGACCCAGTTGTATGCAAGAAAGTTCAGGCCAGTCATCTGGAAATCTCTGAGTGTTCCGCCTTGGATATAGGAGGGCTGGTCGCGGACGGGTTGAAATGGTGAGCGGGTCGAGGGGTTGCTCTCAGTCTGGTTGGACTTGACATCTTCTCTCCTGCGGTTGATATATCTGTCGATTTCGTTCTGTGCAATCTGGCTGATCAGGCTCGACGCCTCCCAGGTGGCTTGGTCATAGAAGAGGCCCTTCCACTTGACGTAGTATTCAGTGCCTTCTTCACCTTCGCGATCTCCGATGATCCTTTCGACCTTCTTGTAGTCATCGAGAGCATCAATGTATTGCTCACGATCTAATATCCACTTTTCTTTGTCTTCGGGTGCGATGGTAGGATCAGTTTGAATGCGAATATCCTCCATCAGGGTCTTCTTGATGTAGTTTTCCAGCCGCCGAACGCTCCGGACGCCAGCAAGAGACTCGATCGTCTCCCACGTGGCGTGGTAGTAGGCTTTCTGCTGCCACTTGATGAGATACTCGTACTCATCTTTCAAATACGTCGGGGTGGTAACGTCAGCCTTGAGACGATGGTTCAAGACAATATCAATTGCGGGCGAGTTGTCGTCTTGACCGTTCACCCAGTAGTTAGGTGTCATCATCTCAGGATCTTCCTCCTCGAACATGTCATCGTCGTCGTCTTCATTGTACGTAGACACCTTCGCAGCTCGACGGGTGGAGAAGCGGATTTCAGCGTGTTGAGGTGTTAGGCTCTCGGCAGACTGCAACAACCTCCGGCGCTGCTTCTTGGATAGCTTTGCGCGTCGACCGCCGTAAGCATCGGAATCGTCATCGGAGTCAGAGGGAGACTCGACTATCGGGGTAGGCTGCTTTGATGAGCGTTGAGAAACGTGACGCGCCCGCTTCCGGGGAGGAGCAACAACGTCTGAGTCCGACTCATGATCATCAGAGGATTCTGCCATATTGGGGACATGTCGAGCCCTTCCACTTCGTCTCAGACCATACATTTCTGGGTTATTCCGAATATAGTCATCTTCACCGACCGGATGTGCCTTTCTCTTGACAGGTCTAATGGATTCATCCGAGGAGGAATGGCCCTCGTCGACTTGTGTACCATTAACCCGCATGGTGACATCCATCTCATAGTCGGCGTCACCTTCAGCATCAGGCTCATCTGAGCTGAGTTCATCATGTTCCATCATGTGTTCATCGACATCCTCGTTGTCGACATGTGACGGCGAGGCTTCGGCAGCAGCAGGCTCTGCGGGCTCTGACAGCTCGCTCTCACTGTCGGAGTATTTGGCGCCGTTCTGCATGGTGGTGTCTGGCGGTGACGGAGGAGGCTCGGAAGTTGGTGAGTGAAGAGATATCGAGGGAGGTTGAGGTTCGGCGAGGGCACTGGAGGCTGTAAGAAGCAGAGCGTCAGCAAGGTCGGCCACACGGAGGAGGCCGGTAATAAAACCGCCGCGGAACTAGGTAATTTGGACTTCCGCGATTCAGAAAAGCTTCGAGAAGACAACAAAGGGCGCTCGTGAGATGAACAATGGGCAATATAAGATGGATTCGATGAAGTTGGGAGACGACGAGATGATTTAGGGCGTGCAAAAGTCGGAAGACTCTTGCGCGGCTGGAAAAGCCGAATCTCGGCCCAAGACGGTCCTGGAGAGCACAGCAGAACCGAGCATGACATTTCCGACAAGTTGCTGGGACATTTCCAGCGGTGATATTTTGTTCTCGAACGGGGAGCGCTGGACTTGAAGACGAGGCCGAGCAGCCGCCGATCAGAGGAACAGGGCCCGAGTCTGGAAACGGAACAAGCAAAATCACCACGACAACGAAATGACTTACACTCCATCGTCAAAGGACAGAGCCCATCAGGCACCTGCAGATCGCTTGAGGTCGTAACAGAAGTGGTATATAGAAGTGGACTGGAAACAGTGGTGTGGGTGTGGATGGAGTGAAATATGGGCTCACACGAGACGAGAGGGACGAGGCTTTGGGGTAAAAAGTAAGAGGAAGGGCAAGCGCAATTTTTGACAGGCTCAGCGGCAGGGAAGAACCTGCTCCTACGTAGCCAGTGAACGGGCGAGCCAGGTGAGCGAGTTAAGTTTAGGGAGGACCTGCTCGCCGCTTTGAACCGCCGCCCGCCTAGGGTCACCCGACGCCGAGGGGGTCTGCTAGGCGCCTTGAGTTCGGCAGGTTAGGCGGGCAATGGGCACCTGGGCCAATCACGCGCTTAGGGATTTTGATTTTTGGTAGGCCACTGCTATTGTGTGCCCATTGTGTGTCATTCACTCACGCCCCGTCACTATTGAGGACCATTTCTGCCCGCCCACAATACACACAGCCCTCGTTCGATTCACTCACTCACCGCACCCTCGACAAACCACAATAGCTACATAGCCGGTCGGTTGGCTAATGTATTGCTGGCGGTGACTCATTCGCACACAATTCACAAATTTCCCGGTTCAGAATTCTTTTCTCCCCCTCTGCTCCCAGGCCTTCCCAAATCATACACCCTCAAGTCAAGTCACCATGGCGGACAAATTGACGAGGTATGCCTTCATTCTCCATTGACTCGACGATTACAGGCTGATTGAGTGCCGCAGGATTGCCATTGTCAATAGTGACAAGGTGAGAGGAGCCTCTGCTCGTCTGTGCCTCTCTCTGTTTGCTGGTTGCTAACAATTCATTTTTCTGCCCCGCAGTGCAAGCCAAAGGTGAGCCCAAACCGCCAACCACCACCAGATCCTGTGGACATCGAGGGCTGACCCTGTCACCAGAAATGCCGTCAAGAATGCAAGAAATCATGCCCTGTCGTCCGGACCGGTAAACTCTGCATCGAAGTCACCCCCGAGTCCAAAATCGCATATATCTCGGAACTGCTGTGCATCGGTTGCGGTATCTGCCCCAAGAAATGCCCGTTTGGTGCCATTCACATCATCAACCTGCCAACAAATCTTGAAACCCAAGTCACCCACCGATACTCGGCAAACAGCTTCAAGTTGCACAGATTGCCTATGCCACGGCCTGGTCAGGTTCTGGGATTGGTGGGGACAAACGGCATCGGAAAGAGCACTGCCTTGAAGATTCTTAGTGGCAAGTTGAAACCCAACTTGGGCCGTTATGACAACCCACCGGATTGGGAAGAGATTTTGAGATACTTCCGTGGTTCTGAATTGCAGAGTGAGCAACACCAGGAGCCTTTTTTGGAGATGGAGTTCTAATCCAGGTCACCAGACTATTTCACCAAAGTGCTCGAAGACAACCTCAAGGCTATCGTCAAGCCACAGTATGTGGACCAACTTCCACGCGCCATCAAGGGCCCAGTGAAGACAGTGAAGCCGCTCATTGAAGCCAAGTCTGAATTAGGCAATCTCGACCACATCATGGATGTACTTGGTGAGTGCTACGGCTCCTTTACAGGTGAAACGAAGAGTGACTTACCCTTCTCGCAGAGCTGAATGCCGTCGCCGACCGGGAGATTGGTCTCCTCTCCGGTGGAGAGCTGCAGCGGTTTGCTATCGCCCTCGTTTGCGTTCAAAAGGCGGATGTGTACATGTTTGATGAACCCTCGTCATACCTCGATGTCAAACAACGTCTCAGCGCCGCCAGAACCATTCGTGAGCTCCTCCGACCCGATGACTATGTCATTGTCGTCGAACACGATCTGTCAGTCCTCGACTACCTTTCCGATTTCATCTGTGTCCTCTACGGAAGACCGGCGGTGTATGGTGTGGTTACTCTTCCAGCCTCGGTTCGAGAAGGCATCAACATCTTCCTCGACGGCAACATTCCCACTGAGAACCTGCGTTTCCGTGAGGAAAGCCTGACCTTCCGCATCGCCGAAGCTGGCGAGGACTACATGGTTGACAAGGCCCGTGCCTTTGAATATCCCTCGATGGAGAAAACCCTCGGCTCGTTCCATTTGAAGATCGAAAAGGGAAAGTTCACCGACTCGGAAATTATTGTCATGATGGGCGAAAATGGTACCGGCAAGACGACCTTCTGTAAGATGCTCGCTGGCGTGGAGAAGCCCGACGGCACCCAGAAGGTCCCTGCCATGAACATTTCGATGAAACCGCAAAAGATCACTCCCAAGTTTCAGGGCACTGTCCGCCAGCTCTTCTTCAAGCGCATCAAGGCCTCCTTCTTGAACCCGCAGTTCCAGACCGATGTCTACAAGCCTCTCAAGATCGACGACTTCATCGACCAGGAAGTACAGAACCTGTCTGGTGGTGAATTGCAGCGCGTGGCCATTGTCCTGGCCCTTGGTCTCCCTGCAGACATCTACCTGATCGACGAGCCCTCCGCGTACCTGGATTCGGAGCAACGGATCATCGCGGCGCGCGTGATCAAGCGCTTCATCATGCACAGCAAGAAGACAGCCTTCGTTGTAGAGCACGACTTCATCATGGCCACCTACCTTGCCGACCGTGTCATCGTGTTTGATGGCAAACCCTCCGTGGACGCCCGTGCCAACACCCCTGAATCCCTGCTGACCGGCTGTAACAAATTCCTCAAGAACTTGGACGTCACCTTCCGCCGGGACCCCAACTCGTTCCGTCCGCGTATCAACAAGTACCAATCTCAACTCGACCAAGAGCAGAAACTATCCGGGAACTACTTTTTCCTGGAGGAAACGAGTTGAAATTTCATTTAAATTTTTACGAAGGGCATCTTCAAGAATGAACGTCATCATCAACGGAATGATCGACATGACAAGAACAATGAGCATGAACGCCAACACCAGCGTCACGAGGATATGAATTACGAATGTAACGAGCCTTTCGACGCCGGGACGGCCTCAGGGCTGAAAAGCACGGGTAAAAGTGCGAAGGAGCGCCGAGGTGGAATCGTCGTCTCGGACGACGACGAGGCTGAGGACCATGACAATGAGGACGAGGCCGACGGTGTGTGCTTGTGGTGGTGGGAACCGGCCTGTTGGACTATGTGCTTCTCGCCATACATCAGCTGTTCCCAGAGACCTTCAACTACTTTTTGGAGTCGGATTGAAAGCTGGGGTCCGTCATGAATTATCAGAAGCACAGCTCCAAATTCGGCTTAGGCCGACCACCACAAATAGGACAAGCCAGGGACACGGTGTTATACCGAAGTCGACTTGGCTTTCAGTCCCAAAATGCTGAGAGAGGGGTAACGGCGCCTACCAATATATTGGAAGATCGAAACAAGACGAAGAAGAGCGGTTGGCATGTGGCAGGGATACGCCTTCTGTCGGCCAAATCAGAGCAGGGAGGGAGGCTCCTAACCTTCACTGGGAACTGAGGACAGGGGAGGAGCATATTACATGTTTACACTCACTTGGAGCGGAAAGGGGGAATCAATATGTTATGTGAAAGATGAAGCGGCGGCTTCTCGTTGGTGGAAGGATTGATTGACCCGTAGCCACTCATTCACTCATCCCAATTATTACAATTATCTTACCATTCTAGAAACGGTGATAATCTCAGCAATCCTCCACCTGGCCCTTTCCCATTCCTACCTATGTATCAGTCCTACCTGCCTTACCCAGGCACTTACATCTTCTCCGCCTGTGCTGCGGCTGGTGGCGGCCACTTCTCTGGCAGTTTATTTATCCATGCATCCTCGTATCGTATGCGAGTGTGTCCAACCGACCGACCCGTTACGCCGGCCGGCCGGCCGGCCCGGGCCGATCCAAGCATTAAGACTTCAGATCAGGAACCTTGCCGCCCTGGGGGCGTTTCATCACTTTGGGTTTTATCCCTGGAGTTTTCCTAGGACTGCATTGTTTACGTGTAGAAAAAGTAGCGAGGTAATGTAGTAGACAGACTGACGGATGGAGAGTCGTTATGTATTCTGTATCTCTTGACTCATGGTTAGTCTTCACCGCGACGAAACGGGAGCTGCGTGGCGCAAGCATCGGGCAAAATCGATCATTTCCTGGCTTATGGCTAATTTGCATTGACCTGTCCCACCTGGTTCGTGCGGACACTATCATCAATCTTGGACAGTTCTCCTCAGTGATAGTATAGTAAGTACGAGGTAGTCTGTTCTTCATCGCTCCTGCCTCCTTCGGCATAGGTGAACCTACATCTCCTGGTTCTCTAACTCCCCACCTTCTCGCAGCCAATGCTGCACGTACGAACGCACAGTTCACCCAAAGTGCTGATATAGAGTCGCCAAAACACCAGGTCGACTGATAACTAGCATACTCGAAAAACCTAGACCCATGACAAACGAAGTATAGCACCAAGACGAAGCATCCTCTTCCAAAGTCAACCTATCCTCAGTGCCATCTCAGGTTCACCTCCTTGTCTGTCCGAGGTGTTTCTTCTTGTTCGTCCCTTCCGTCATTCCTCCTTGGTTGTATTTCGAGTGTCCGGCGACGGTCTGTCAAAGCTGGAAGGGCAGGCGCGTGCCCGGCTCCATCTCTCGTCACGAGTTGACCGTCATATTCTCCACTGTAGACAAAAGAAAGTGATTTGATGTAGCTATTGTTATAGGTATACCCTTCGCCTCCATACCTGTCATCTGTGCAATTCATTACCATATGTCGACAACAAGATACCAGTGGAGAGAGGATAATTCTTTCGGCGACGCAACTGATCACTCCGTGCAATAAACTAATATGACAGAGTTGCAGAACCATATTCCCAGTACAATCAATAAAGAGGACCGGCGAGTAGAGCCCCTGCGAGACGAGCTGCGTGCTCTTCATCATCCCTTTTCGTCCTTAGTAGTCGTCGGAGTTGTAACCCTCCCAGTTAATGGTCTGGGTTCTCCCGCTGCTCAGCGGTTGCTGAAATATGCATTACAAATGAAATATCGTGAGAGCTTAGGTGCCATGCGCCGGGCAACGTGCGGTTAGATCAAGCATCGTTGCGCGTCGTCAAGGCCCGAGATCGAGCTGTCGATCGGGGTAGAAGTGAAGTCGAATAACAGCTTCCACGGCTGTTGGTGAACATAAACAGAGAAAAGGGAGTCATCCACCGAACCGAGCCGGCTTAGCTCAGCGGCTCAAGGTCGTCAAAGGTCATTCATCAGTGGAGTGTGGTGTCGTGATAATAAATTCCCAAAACGCCGAACAAAAGTCTCCGTGACCTTCATCAAGAAGCCACAACGAGTGCCATCGTGAGTGCCGTGCATCCTCAGGAAGGCTTGCCATGTTGCATGCCGGCCAGATTGCACGTCGACCGTCCACGAGAAAGAAACGGTTGGTTCTCCAAAAGGTCATCATAATGTTGTTACATAGATCCCAGACTCAGGAGAGCTTCGATTGCCGCTCGTTCCTGAGAGTCGTTAACGCCAGCGCCATTGGGAAATGCAAAAGTCGTTGAATGGTTGACAGGCATCGGGTTGGTGGGAGCAGTGTTGGCTATATCGCCCGGTGTTTTGGAGCGATACCTTGGCCGATAAGAGTAGGTCGCTATGGGCTGATACAGTCTGCCTGGACCAGATACCGATCGGCCTTGGTTGGGGAGGGATCTGGCACGAAGCCCTGCGGCGCCGATACTGGCCCAGTCCTCCTCGTCGGTCATCTCCCCGTCGCCGAGGTCCTCATCAAGAGGTTCAGGAGCGACCGAGGACACGTAGCCATCGTCATCGTTGTCCAAGGACATCTTGTCAGCCTCGTGCTCCAGCATATCTTGATCCTCATAATCCATCTCGGAATGAGAGAAGACCGCCGAATTGCCGGTGTAGCTGGTGCCCAGGTTTTCAGATCCCGTGCGCCAGGAACGCTGGGTTGGCACCTGAAGGCCTACCTGGGAATAAGAAGATGGTAAACTGCCTGGAGGAGTGATGGTAGAGCCTTGACGCTCACGCGGTGGCTGGCCCTTCATCCGAGCGTCCCATCGCCCCCATCCGACCTTTTCGAAGATGACGTCTCCTTCGCGGCCGCCGGCGCCTTCTAGCCCACCACCTTTGCCCTCCAGCGCTGCCACGACCAAGCGACGCGCTCTGGCCGAAGTGATGCGTGAGAAGCCGGGCACTGAGGTAGTCAGATAACCCATGATGTGCCTGATAGCCAGCGGGCCGTGAGACAGCAGGATATCGGGGAGATGGTGTTTCGCCAGCATGCTTGGAGTGATGGCGCCAGACGAGTCCAGATCACCGAGACTGTCAAGGGCTTCGGCACTCAACGCAGTGGGCTTTGGCTTGTCAGGCGCATCCTGCAAATCGATGTCCGAGTCCAGCGCCGTGCTTTTTGGCGACATGGGACCATGCTGGTTGCTGTCTCGACGACCATGGCCACGCGGTGGGAGGTTCGGAGAGATGGAGTTTGGAGGAGTTGGCAACATGCCAGAGCGCTTCTTGGAGGTGGTGGCCGTTACAGCAGTGAAGTTGTCCCGGCCTTTGAGAGCATCGCGAGGCTTTGGAATGTCGACGGACGCGGACTTGCCGTTGAGAGCCATTCCCAGAGCCGAAACAGATGGAGGAGCCATGGTTCTTGATATGCTGCGATGAGGAGTCGTGCGTTGGATGCTATGCGATTTATGAGTCAGCTGGGTGCGAAAGGGAGATATCGCGACGCGTCATAGGGGAAGAGGCCCATTCAGCAATATAGAGGGACCATGATGACTCACCACACGACAGTATTCGACAGACACAAGTGACGATAGCAGTTATCGGATTCGGTTCAGTGGTTGAGGACACTGGTTGGGCAAAGGTGCGCAGAGGTCAGATATCAGACCAAAGGTGGTGTGGTTGGGGTCAGCGACGCAAGGTTGATGAGCTTCGGAGTGAGAGCGTGGGCGAGAAGAGACGACCTGGACGGTGGTCTCCCTTTGCAGCGAAATCTTCCCTTTCGATAAGGAAGATGTAGAGAGGAAGAAAGAAAGAAAGACAAGACGATGGAAGTGAATGGACGTTCTGATAAACAAAGCGGGGGTGGTGGGCGAAGTTGGTTGTGCTGTTGGTTGTGCAGGTGCCGATTTGGTTGGCGGACAGATTGGGGGAATGTTGGTTTTGTTGTATGCAAGAGTTGCAGATGGGAAAGCGAAGATGGGGGGCGATGTGACGGAGTTCAGGACCTCTGGGAAAGGGATGAGTCTTAGGGGGGGTTGTGCCTAATCCGTGGCTAGGCGTGGCCACTACAGGGCCCTCGAGGTACAAAGGGCTCTTGCCCACGAAGCAGCAGGTTCCAAGCCCCAGGGCCGCACGGTTGTGCCTGCAAATGGAATTGGGGGAATTGGCTAGCTGAACACTCCACCCGTCACTAGTCACCCTCTAGAAATCGGTGGAGCGGCTGGTCGGAAGTTGTGGTGATGAAGGAGCCATCACGAGTTCATGTACAGGGCGCCTCCGCTGGACTTGATAGGCCTCTGAGCAGGAACCCTGGGGGATGCCGCGTGGCTAAAGATCAGCGCCCAAGAGGTTACAGACCAGCAGTTGGGCTGAGACCCAGGCTCCAGTGGGGCTGCCATTCAGCGCCCAATAACGGGCTCTCTCCCTTGCACACAGAATCGAGGACTCCCTCACCAAGCACCATCACAACTGCGCAAACCACTCCACGTTCCCGGAGCTTCATAGTACTCGTTCTCCCATGACACTCAAAGCGTAATCCCTCTTTGCTTGACGCCGCGACCACACTAGAAAATCTCAGAACGCATGCCAGTCGGGTTGAACCGCAACCCACCCCCAAGGCCAGTAGTTGTGGACTCGTTATCTTGGGGTCGGAGCAAGATAAGCCAGAACTTACGAGTTCTTCGATGCGGGCAAAGACGGAGCAATGGCCACATCCCCGAACGAAGTCCAAGAAGATACGGAAGACACAACCCAGATTACGAGCCCATTCCTCTCGCCCAATGTCATGATGGTCTCGGGGATGACCCAGACAAGCAAAGAACAGCCTCGTCGCCGAAGACGCCTTCACGTCATCGTCCGCCTGGTTTGAATGCCGGCCGCACATGTTCGTTCTCTTCCCTGCTTTTCGACCCGGGAACATCACAATCCACATGAGGAAGAGGAGGAAAAAGGATGATGATGCTTATGATGTGGTAAGACACAGTCTCTGATCGCTCAGCTGATCCTTGATCAACCGTAAAGCAAGCGCCGGCTACAGACACAAGTGGAAATACTCCACCTCCTCCAGACTTGCCGCCCTGTTACTATCCTTGGATTCCTGCACGTGTTACAACCACACGAGCACATCAGTGCTGGTTGTTGTGTCATCCTCGCCGTCGATGCCCGGCATTCCACCTCGTTCCCGACGGCTTGACGGCAAGCCGCTCATGAAGTATTCTGCCGAGACTTCTCCACATAAAAGCCGGAAGAGGGGAAAAGAAGAGAATCCAGACATGCTGTGCGGTGTACGAGGTAAGGGAGAGTCCACATTGCCCCATGTTACGCCATCTGCTTGCCGGCCAGGCCTCGTCAGGCCTCAATCGTAACCACTCTACGTATTCACGCGCGTCGATCATGTCTTGTGATTCGCGCTCGCCAAACGACATGGCAAGTTTTTCTTCAATGTCAAGGTGTCTCGCATTGCATGGTTCGTTTGAAGAAAGTTAATGCCCTTTTCCTTCTCTATGATTAAACTCCTTCCGACTCGCTCGTCCCCAGTCCCTTTTACCTCATCGAATTGACAGCGCGCTGTGCTATTGCAGAAAACTCTGTCAATGACGCTTCCGGCAGGAATGAAGGAACGGAAGACCAAGTTTCGAATCGCTCATATTGTACCAAGCATGTGGACTACGAAATCATTACCATTATCACTTTGCTCTCTTCAAACCAGCTCTGGCAGTATTGTACACTGGTACATGGGTTCGGACATAGATACAACATCATCGTCGTCGCAGAACTTGTGTTCTTGACACAGTACATGAGCGATATTCCATCCATCCAGCAATTTCGCTGGCTCCGTTCTTGTCGCTCTGTTCTTATATCGGTCAAGATGTAAGGATCAAACCACGAGCTTTTTTGGCTGCTGTCGTGCGTCGCCTCTTCCTCATTATCCCGTTCATCCCCCACTTCTACATGGTTAGCCTCTTACTCCCCCTCGACCCTTCACTCCTCACGGATTCCCTCCCCAATATCGCACGAGGAGGCAACGTCGGACTATCGGGCTCGGGTGGCAGGGCTTCATCCTCCCATATCTCTCCTTCCTGTATCGTGTCCCTTTTTACCGCCTGAAGCGGGTAATGGAACGCATGCGTGCGGTTTTTTGGCATCGATTTTGTTCGAAACAAGCTCACATGCTTTTTCGTCGTCGATTCGGTGACCCCACCGTGGCCCCCAGCAGATCCTTCTTCCTTGCTCACTCGCGACGCCTTGCTGCCTGGTGCCTTCCTGGCAACGTCATCGAGCAGGAACTGGTAGAGTACCTGCGAGAACCGGCTGGATAGTCACCGGGTCGGCGTACCCAGGTTGAGCCAGGACATGTCCGAGTTGACGGTGGCGTTGTTGTCTGGCAGCTGCCGACTATTGCTCCGTTTATGAGCTGGAGCATAGCCGAAATAGTCGTTGGTTTCTCTGCCGACAGGCTGTTCATGGCTGGGTCTCGTCACCTGCTGATGGATTGTGGTGCTGCCGTTGTTGACAGCGCCTTCGCTCCCACCAGGCTGAGCAGATCGAACCGAGTTGGGCATCGGGAAAGAGGGGATCGACGAGTCCAAGGTTCCGGTGGAATCACTGGCCTCATTTGAGCTTATTGTCGGAGGGGAGCGTTGTGCCTGTGCCTGCTGAGCTGCGATATAACTACTCGGAGGCCGTAGTGGTCGTTGCGGAGGCCCTGACCACGTATTCCCTACCGGTGTCCAGGGCATGTCATGCACGCTGGCAGGAATGCCACTCGAAAACGCCCCCTCGAAAACCTGCTCGTCTTCATAGTCGTCGTCATCGTCGTCATCGGTAGAATCTACCGTTCGCACAGAGCCGGCATTGGAGATTTGCCCGGATATCCCTTGAACAGATTGTAAGCCCCTCGACTGAGGGTTGGAGGGCCCATGTTCAAGGTTTGGACTCCCAGCTGCAACATTCTGCGCTTCCAGCGGGTTGCCTACACTGTCCCGGAGGATAAACTTGGGGGACCTGCTGGAGTTTTCCAGAACGCCGGATCCAGGCCAGAACCCGCTCCTTGCGCCAGAGCTCCTGGACAGGAATGTTGTTCGATTTCCAGCGAGGGTTTCGCCCTGAAAGTACTTCCCCCAGCCTTCGTCAGTCTTGCGTTGAGACACCTTTCTCTGCGACTGCGTCTGCGGCGTAGCTGCTACCGGTGCGTCAGGGGGGGTCGCTTTTCCAAGTTCAATACTCGGCCTAGCTTGGTAATCGTTCAAGATCGGCATCATCGGCTTTGAGATGGTCAGACCGACCTTCTCCTTCTCCTTCTCCTTTTCCTTCTCTTTCTCGCGCTTGAACAATGCCTGTCCGAATCCTATACCTGACCCCCGGTACCCAGTTGCAGCATTATCTGACGATACACGTCTGATGCCCATTCCCGCTTCAGGTTTTATGTCTCCAAACATAGAGGTATTGTCCGAATCAGGTATAACGGCTGAAGCAATTGGGCTTCTTCCCATCGGCTGCCCAAGCCCTGCCAGGGGACGAAGTCCTCCTTCTTCGTAGTTGTAATCTGCGCTTCTTTTCTTGTCGTCCGGATATTCATTTCGTTTCTCAGATCCCGCCTTCCGCCTTCTTCGAACCGATCTAAGCCAAAGAAGGAGGATGACAAGGATCGCCAAAAGGCCACAGATGGCACCCAGGACCGCTCCAAGGACAGTCAAGCCTTGGCTCTTGTTGCCAGAAGAAGCCGCAGCGGCCGGGGTGCTCGATCCTGTGGGAGTGGAAGCGAATGTTGGTATACTTGAAGAAGTTGGCGACGGCATTGTCCTACTCGATGACGTCGCCAGCGGTTGTTGCTTTCCTAAGAGTTGGGACGCCGCTATCCAAAGATTCCCGGACTGATTAAAGAATAGGACTGGGTTATCATCATTACCTCCGACTAAAGCCAAGAGTCCGCCATCGCCTTGGGCCAGATCAAATCCTGTCCGAGGAGCTGTGGGCGCCAGACTGTTGTTATAGGCCGGGTAGGTGTCAAGCGATGCTTGCCTCCTTGCCTTCGAAGTAGTTGTGGATGAGGGCGAGGGAGTGTCTGAGGTATTGCTACCTCCCACGGTCTCGCCAAACGTGGCGGGAGCACCTCCTGCATTCAACAGAACATTTGTCGTCACGGTTGGCGGGAACTGGCCGAGGTCAAAGGTTTGTAGAACCCTGCTGTTGTCGGCGAGTGTAAATAGGGCGCTCTGTGCTATTGAATGATCTGGTAGAGGATTCGGTAGTGTCAGGCCAAGGTCCTGCCAACCGTCTGAAAGCCCGAATGTGAATAGCTTGTCATTGGTCGAGCTGCCGCCCACCATCAAGGTATGATCCTGGCTCCATGGTAACATGAAAGGACTGACCGTGGGCGGTGCATCGGAGCTGTATGCCAGCACCGAGTAGGGAGGAAACAGCCCAATCGTAAAGGTCTCTGAGGATGGCCCGGTATTGTCATTCTGAGATCCGCCGTAGACGACCAAAGTGGATGAAGCATTCATATAAGCCGCTCCATGATTGAGGCGGTTTTGGGTGACATTGACAACGGGGATAATGGTTTGCCATGACTTGTCCTCAAATGAATATCGCTGGAGGCCAGTATAGTCCGTTGTCGACGCATTCGTCGCCCCGCCCACAACGTACAAGGCCGACTGGGAGTTGTCTCCATCCACGCCACCTTTTACGCAGACTGCTCCTGTTACCGATACGCCATTTGCTTCTTGTTGCCACTGCGCGCCCTCTTTCAGCGCCAATGTCTGAAAAGCGTCTGGCGAATAGACGTAGATGACTCCGTCATGGATGACGGAGCAGTGATTCTTGATCGCGACAGGAGGCTTGGGCACTGACATCTCCAAGTGGATGATTGGTCACCGAACGCAAGATGCGGGCGAAATGTCAAAGCCGGAGTTGCATTTTCTCCTCGAACCAATTCGAGAAGGTATATTCTGTGCAGCCTCTGTAAAGGTTTGCGACGAGCGAGGTAACGGATTCGGCGGGCCAAGGTAGGTCGACGTCGTTTGTTCTTTCTCTTTCCAAGGGAAAGGGTGTGTTGTCGTTCAGTTGTCCGGTTCACGCGGTGCTGCAAATACCAATCGAGTCAAGTCAAAGCCACTGAAAGGAAAGTAAAAAGGCCCAAGAAGCCAGATTTCTTTCCAGCCAAAGGTCGATTTGATTGAGGGGATGCGGTTCGCAGGTCTCCGAAGGGGTGTTCTTGACGCGTAAAGAGGTGTGATGTTGATAGCGACCAAAGATCGTAGAACGACTTAACAGACTCGGGGGTGAGGGTTGTTCTGTGAGGGCGAGTTGCGAAAAAGGGAGTTCACCTTGGGTTTGAAGAGGCGCTCGCTCAGTCGCGGCGCAACGCAGTTGGGCTTGGGGTTGGGCTGGGTTGGATTTGGTCGGGCCAGTGGGTCAGTGGAACAGCTTTGCGCGTGGGATTGTCACAAAGCAATGTCGATCGGTGCTGGGGCTTATCCAAAGGGGAAAATACGAATAGATTATTTGCGGATATGGCGTATTCACCGCTGCAGCTCGGGAGAGACGTGAAAGTGGTCAATGATTATCGGTGAAGAAGGGAGAGAGGGTAGGAGAGCAGAGAGAGGAGCTCGCAAACAAAGGGCAACCCGAGAGATGGCAGCAGGACGCTGGGCACAATAGTCGTCAACTAGTGACCTGTGACTGCGCGAAGCGAGGTACCAGTGTCGGAAAGAAACACAAAAGAAGGCTTTGGAAGCGCATGCAACTGAGCAAAGACTGGAGGGCTGGACGGATAGACTCCGAGCCACCGTGCCACGGGCCCATAGACCGGAACAGAGATAGGCTCTCCTGCAAGGCACCGCAAGCCAAGTCAATGAGTTCCTCTTCCTCCTCCTCAGAACACCCGCGAGAACAGCCCGACGGTTTGTCCACGTCTCCTTCTTTTTTGGTGCGGATGATCCGCCTTGACATGTTACACCCAGGCCCAGTGTGAGTGCGGCAATCCGGCTTGGTTGGAGTGACGAGGAGGAGAAGAGGTGATCAAGGTGTTTCATACGGTCGAGTCGAAGCGCGAGAATTGGCTGAGCTGGAGGGGTCTGATCTCCACCGTCGGGAAAGTGTGCTGCAGGAACGGATGCAGACAGCCAAACCAAGCACCGAACAGGGGCGGCCACACGACGCTAAAATCCAGGGGTAAGCGAGCCAACAGCCAGACAAGCCAACGGAGAGGAGCCAGAAGAGTGGAAACAGAAAGTGTCACCAATTGCGAGCAGCCAAAGCCTGGAGGCATCCCAAAGGGGGAATTATGTCACTGGGCAGGGTGTGAAAGTGTGAGGAAGAGACACACGGTGGTGGAAGAAAGAGCGCAGAGTATCATCGACACCCTAGTGTCTATATGCCCGGTCCACAGACTACGCTGCACTTTCGTGAACTACACCCAACATACGCGCGCTGGCTGGTGAAGCGATGTACTTCTCGGTACGGAGAACGGAGGACTCTTGGCCACCGACCGACGTCTCCCTCCAGGTACCGAGTGCTCTGTCATATCCTATCCTACTATGGGAATAGAGGGACTCCGTATGCAGCAAGCCACTCCTGAGTCGCCCCCTGGCTTCAATCGGCACTGTCTGCACTGCCGTTCGCTTGCTGTTTCGACTTCCACGCATGGGCCATCTGCAACAGCTTGGACATCTTGGCCGCACTCTCGTCGTCAGCCGGGAAGACATAGTCGATGTACTCCTCGAACCGATCATCCTCAATCTTTCTCCTCTTTTTGACCTTGCGAGGCATCTGCTTCTCGATCCTCTCAATGTCCTCGGCTGAACCATGCGTCTGCTCAAATGATCGCCATGCATTCAATAGGTCGACTCGTTCTTCCTTCATCTCTTTCGACTTGAACAAGTCGTGTGCCCGCTCAAAGACCTTCCGTGCCCGTCTCTTCGCTTCTTCGCCTACTCGTTGCTCCTCGTCGTCTGTCGTCTCGGGCTCGTTGGGATCCGGGACATTGATTTCAAATCGTGCGTAGTTGATCCAGACCTTGACGTGGTCCGTCTTCTTCAGCAGCCGCTCATACAGCACGCGGGCTCGGTCGTATTCTTCTTCGTACTCCTCAAAATCAATGTATGCCTTCCAAACCAGCTCAGGCATGTCCAAGGTTGGCTGTTCGATACCCAGTTCAAAGATCGCTCTCGCACGGTCGAGATCGTCCAGTCCGCGTTCCAGCTCTGCAAATTGGATCCACGCCTGGCTATTGGATGGGTTCCATTCAATCTGCTTTTCAAACAGCGTCCGGCACCGCTCGAATTCGAATAGCTGTTTCTCCAGTTCAATGTAGCTCCGGAACAACTTGTCCTTAGGACACATGCCGATCGCTTGCCCAAGAGTCTTCCTCGCTGCCGTCAGCTGCATTTGCCGCACCTCGAACTGCGCCTTCATGATCCAGATTTTGGCGAATGTCCATTTCTTGTGAGGAATCAGCTTCAGACATTCCTGGTAGACTTGCCTCGCCCGCTCCACGTCGTTGTTGGCCACTTCCTCCCACAAGGCATAAAAGATCCATAGATAAATGTATCGCCGCCAGTGTCGTTTCTCCTGTGAAGGCGGAACTTGGGCGATTGCCCTCTCATAGACGTCTCGCACCCGGTCCACATCGCCCCCGGTCTCTTCAAGGCGTGCAAAGTCGAACCACACATCGTAATTTCGAGGGTTGGTCTTGAGCTGTTCTTCATATTGCACCCGTCGCTTGGCGAGGATCACATCTTCTACTCCCTCCCGATTTCCGAATTGTTTCTCGAACTGCGTGTATGCTTTGTGCAGTGCCTCGGATCGAGAGCGGGGCAGTCGGTCCAGTGCATACTTGTAGATGGCGCGAGCTCTCTCGTACTCTTTGAGTTTGGCCTCATAGCGAGCATATGCGATGAAAAGCTTCTCGTCCATGAAATCTTTACCAAGAGTCTCGATGGCGACGCCAAAAACATCGCGAACCAATTGACTAGTCCCATTCTCCTCTTCAAATTTGGCCCATCGAATCCAGTTCCGCGGTTCTGGGTGGACGATGGTGAAGCGTTCATATATGGCCCGCGCACGGTCATACTCTCCGTACCTCTTCTCCAGCTTAATGTAAGCCAGCCAAGCTGCTTCGTCCGGCTCCCAGCTCATCCACCTCTCGAAGACCTGTCTCGTCCCAGCGATGTTACCAAGGGTTTCTTCCATGTAGACATACTTGTACCACAGCTTATCGATCCTGGGGAGAATCGTCACAGCTCTGTCCAAAAGATTCCTGGCGTGGTTGATGTTTCTATTCTTCATCTCCGCCTCGATATACCGAATCCACAGGACCACGCTTGTGCTGTCCACGTCTAACGCCCGCTCAAAGATCGATCTCGCCCGGCGAAACTCTTTCTGCTCCAGCTCCCATTGCGCATAGCGCATCCAGTTGTTCATATTGATTCTGTTACGCCGAACATAGTCCTCGAATTCCTTCCGCTTCCGGCCCTGGAATTCATGTAGTTCTTCAAGATCGGCAAAACGTTGGGTAGGTGCTTGCAGCCCAGGCTCTTGTCTGTCGACAGCTTCCCGCAGCAGTTGCTCGGCCGAAATCTGCTGGGGAGCTGGTGCCTTGTTTTTGACCCTTGGAGGGCCTCTCGCGGAATCCATCTTCGCGAGCGCAGGTGTGTGTGGGAGTTCGGATGGTGGACCGGACCCAAGCACTCAACGCGGATTCTGTCGCGAATGGTCTTGGATAGAGGATGAGTCGTAGTTTGCGTAAATAAAATCTTTGCGGAAATATGTCTGAGAAGCTTTTTTGTCTTGATGTCGAGATGGCAAGGCCGCGACTGCGGAGAAATTCTGCCAAGGTTTCCGCCCTGCGCCAAAGTACTCGGAAGTATCACCAACTCCGCATTCGACCTTCAAGTTCAAACTAAGCCTCACCTTCGAGCAAGCCTGAAGTCTCATCTCTACCATTCTCACCGCGAGCACGTGCCTGGCAAATGGCGACTCTGGCAGATGAACTGCTTAATGACTTTGAGGATTCCGGCGACGAAAACAACGATCAGGCAAATGGCTTTCAGGATGGAAACGAAGCGAACCATACAAACGGCCTGGAATTCGCGACGGATCACCCAGAGCGAGGTGGGGATGAGGAAGAGCTAGAAGATGCTGAAGAAGAGGTCGCCATTCGGGAGGCAGCCACCACAGCTGCTGAGGATGTCGACGAAGATGAAGAAGATACCAAGGCCAAGGTTGAAAAGATGCGACTGGGAGGCGTCCGCGACGTCAGAAGCGTAGCCGGTCTAATGAAGACTCTAGAACCCGTGCTCGAGGTAAGATCCTCCCCTTGCCAATATCTCAAAGTCTTGTCCGTTTACACAAGTCGAATACAGCCCTGACGGTTCGTCCACCCTGCAGAAAATAGCACACTATCAGAATATCCCGCCTGATCAGCGGACGACGACGGTTGGCTCCGTCGAAGATAACCCCGAATATGCCCTCTTGACTCAGGCAAACTCCCTGTCCACGCAGATCGACAGCGAAATCATTCTAGTCCACAAGTTCATTCGCGATCATTACTCTGCACGTTTCCCGGAATTAGAGACCCTCGTGGCCAATCCGATAGATTATGCCAAAACAGTCGCGATCGTCAGAAATGGCCCGGTGGGAAACATCAAAAGTTTAGCCGACTCTAGTGACAACATTGTCGGGGCTCCTCTGCGATCTATTTTGGATGGGCCGACGTTGATGGTCGTTACGGTGGAAGGAACAACGACGAAAGGTCAAGACCTGAGCGAACAAGAACTTGAAACAACCCTCCGGGCATGTGAAATGGTGCTGCGGCTGGACAAAGCCAAGAAGACCTTGACCGAATATGTGCAGTCGAGAATGAACGTCTTCGCTCCGAACCTCACTGTGCTTATTGGTTCACTGACCGCCGCCCAATTGCTCAACTTTGCTGGCGGGCTCAAGAACCTCGCAAAGACACCCGATCGGAATGTCCCCGCAATGGGTTCAAAGAGGCAGAGGCAGAGTGGCTTAGCCACTAACGTGGGAGTTCGACAGCAAGGGTACCTCTACCATTCCCCTCTTATACAAGAAGTCCCAAACGACCTGAAAGTGCAGGCAATGCGCATCGTTTCTGGGAAGCTGATCCTTGCTGCTCGAGTCGACAGCGTGCATCAAGCTCGCGACGGCTCAACTGGAGAACACCTCCTCAACGAATGCCTGCGGCGGCTCGACAAGTTAATGGAACCTCCCCCGAACAGAGGCGTCAGGGCTCTGCCCGCACCTGATGACAAACCCAGCAGAAAACGCGGAGGACGAAGAGCCCGTAAGATGAAGGAGGCATACGCCATGACCGAACTCAGAAAGCAACAGAACCGTATGGCGTTTGGTAAGGAAGAAAGGGAAGTCGGCTACGGAACGGGAGAGGAAACAGTGGGACTGGGGATGATCGGGGCTCAAAACGAGGGCAGAATACGAGCCACACAGGTCGATCGTCGAACCATGGCGAAGTTGAGCAAGAAGAATCCCGGCTGGGGTGGTTCTGGTACGGCAACAAGTTTGAACAACGGCGCAACTACATCTCTTCGAGGATTTGGAGCTGTTGGAGGAAACGCCACTGCGCTGCGGACTGAAGGTCTTCGTACCAGTGGCGTTGGGGCCGGCACTGCAAGTTCGATCGCATTCACACCCGTCCAAGGTCTTGAGCTGGTCGATCCAAAGGTGCAGGCCGAGCTGAAGCGGAAGCGAGAAGCCGAAAGTGCCGGCTACTTTTCAAGCGGCACGTTTACTCAAGTCAATTCCACCGCGACAAACGGAGGATTCAAGGTGCCTGGATTGCCTTCGGCGAAGAAGACCAATATGGGCCCTCCCCCAGCGCCTGTTAAGTGAACCGTGGAGAAGCACCACTTGGCTGCTTAGTGTTGGACGCCATCTGGAGCATGGCCATTCAAGACACGCTTAGGTCCCGGTGCTGTGGGCTAATTTTCGAAGAAACGATATGCATGCCATATAAAGCGCCGTGCTGAACAACTTTACACAAGCATCTCGACAACTTGCATGTAAGGTACGTGCTCAGCCAGGGACGGCATGTTACCCTTATCTACCAGAAAGTACAGTGGCGAAGCAGGTCGTCGAATATGGATACAGGGATCACAGACAAGGGTTCGTCACACCATCGATTCCACTGCGTGCGACGATAAACAACAGACGAGACGATGAGGCCGGCTTACGGACCAAGACAAGAGATCATCTGGTCAGGGGTGGGAGAGGATCACGTTAGAGCACCATGCCTCGAATGCACTGGTTTCCCCTTGTCGCATCTCACATTATGCCATTCTGCCTAGCATCTGCGGAGGACTCCATCCAACCCCTTCTTCACACACAATTGCAACTTGTCCACTGTCTACTTAACGACGTTGGCAAGTTTCGTCGAAAAGGCCGGAGGAATACGCCGGTCGTGATGGCTTGGCTGGCTGCGAGAACAGACATGGACACGACACCAAACAGGAGGCTCGAAGTCTTCCTCTTCTGCATGTCGGCCTGGCGATGTTGAGCCCCTTCCGGTCACTTCGCCCATCGTAGACTGGTCATTTCCCCTTGAGATATAACCCCAGATAAATCAGTCTGGAAAGCGACACCTGTCGAAAGAGGAAAAATGAAGCTCTCGCTTCTCGGTGAATGATACCCTGGTGTAGAACTTTGTGATTGTCCTTTCTACGTATGAGTTTACACTGTGCAGAGGGTTGGACTTGCTGAAGGGCGTGACGCAAGTTAGCTTTTTACACGTTTCCATCAGCCAATATTCATCTACTCGTACATGTCCTAGGCAATTCTCTCTTTCCCTCTACCTCTGCCTCTACCTCTAGGCCCTTCTCCTTTCCCTCGCGGCAAGCCCCTCGTGCGCAGCTTCTCGGGCAGTTCGCGGACTGAGCCCCTGCCGGCCTCCCACAGCAGACCGAGGCCCTGCTTGACCTCGACGGCGGCGACGAAGTACTCGATCGGCACCAGTTTCTCTGTTGTTGCCGTGGCATGCTCCTCCTCCTCTTCCTCCTCCTTCTCCTCATTTGCGCCGGCGGCCACGACGCCTTCGGAGAGGATGACGCCGTTCTCGCTCCGCCACCACTTCATGGTCGGCGCCTCGGCCAGCGCCTTGCGGATGTCCACGTAGATCAGGATCTGTGCGTCGCTGCGCATCCCGCTGATGACTTTGTTCCTGCCCAGCAGCGCGCCCAGAGGAGGCGTTCCGGGCTTGTGTTTCGGCCGGGCTGTTGCGGCAGGGCGTTTCCCATCATGTCCATTTCCATTTCCGAGGTCGTCGGTATCATCAGGTTTATCCCCAGTGCCATTTCCAACGTCATCGTCGTCCGCCGCCGCCGCAAACGAGGACGCTGCTGGAAGGACTTCGGCCAACGACGGGCCCGACGCGAAATGGACGTGGTTCCGCGCCATGCTCTTCAGCCCGCCGCTGCGCAGGATCCGGTCCCACGCGCCGTAGAACGTGCCGTGCACGACCGTGTCAGGGATCGTGGCCGGGTCGCTGAGCGAGATGGGCGTCAGCAGGTTCTCGGCCTCGACGGCTTTCATGCTGTGGCCCTGCGTGGCGCGGATAAAGAACCTCCGTGTGTCGGCCTCGTCCGCGTTTCCCAGCGACTCGAACGTCGATATGGCGCGCTGCGTCTCCGTTTCCGTCCCTGCTTGCGTCGTCTCGGTCTGCGGCTCGGGTGATGTCTTCGAATCCGCCTCGATCACCTGGACACTGGCGTCAGGGTTGACGTACTTCATCGCGAACCGCTTCTTGTCACTCTCCTGGACGACCTCGACAACCTCAGCAAACGTCACGGGCGGCTTCATGCTGCGCAGTTTCTGCCAGCCCAGCAAGTGGTCCATCCGCACGTAGCCGTGGTTGTCGATGGGGATGCGTTCGTCAACGGCAGCGTGGCGCAGTAAGCGGGAGAGTGCTTTGGACACCAGCACCGTGCGTGGCAGCGTGTCATGGCGGAACCCGCCCCGACCACGTCCACGGCCCGGCATGTTCGAGAGGAGAGGTCGATCGATGCTGATAGAGCGATACTGGTGAAAAAGCCCCCCGTGTAGGAAGAGATGGCTGAGTGCGGAAGACGTGGAGATTGTGAGGGAACACAGAACAGCGTCCAAGACTTCATATGTCTGTTTAATATTTCTAATTTCCACTGTGAAGAATCAACCACCCCAAGATTTCTGATACGCTCGAGTTCGAAGAAAACGGTCAAAGGAAGAGGACCAAAATCTTTTGAGGAACGAGCTTGATAATCGACTTGTCCGAATACCTGCACACAGCCAGTGAGTCACGGACGAAGGCAAGAAAGAGACGACGATCCTTTGAAAGTGTTGGTGACTCAAGCATTTGGCCCCCGACGACTCATGAGGCCTGAGATCCCTTCTTTGGATCCTTCTGGATCGTGGAAATGCCGCTGATATCCTAGAAGGCAGAAGATGTCTTCTCCCGCACGCTGAGAATTCCTTTGAGCTAAGTTCTCAGAGACTTATTATGTGCATCATCCTTTGAAGCCAATATGTGACTTCGTATCGGGCGAGGCTCTGCTTATGGATAGGGTTAGCGTCAATATCTCAGGCTCGCATACTTCAAGGATTCTCCGGCTTCTGTTTCGTGCGTGGACGTTGTGACTAGCATTGGGCTAAGAAAAGAAGAACAGAATGTGCGGTAGTTGTGGGAAATGCCCGAGCTCATCGGACCATATTTACAGTCTCTGCACAATGTAGACCTTTGTCCAGACAGCTTCTGCTAGCACTCAGTTACCTCGACGTCGAAGACACCCTTTCGACTGCCACTGGTTCTCATCCTTGTCCCTTCGACCTTCTCTCCTCCTTAATTACATGCTCTAATTTGAGCGGATAAGATATGTGGATGCTGCCACTCAGGCGCCCGAGAAGATATCGTTGGAAAACCGGTCAGTAACTCCAGATATGATGTAAATTCTCCATAATCCATAAGAGATTCGTCAAATATCAGCGACGGCAACAGAGCAGGGTATAAATAAAGAAAAATGGCGACGATCGATCGAAAGAGATCAGGTCAGATGCTTTTCCCAGAGTGACAATGCCCCCATAAATCAAAATGAAAAACAAACAACAGAATCCGGAGGGAGAAACAAAATTACTTTGTAGATGGCAAGGCAGCACCGGCTTAAAAGTTCTGTGAAATCCCGCCTTGGCCTTGTGGGAATGTTGGTGCTCGCTCGATACGGGTGTTCCTTCGTGCTTGATTGTCACGTATGACGGGTTGTGTTCCGGCGCCCCCATACGAACCGTCACCGTAGGGCCCATGGCTGGGGTTTGCATCGTTATATATATTATAGGGGACTTCTTCCTGATAGTATGGGCCAGGCATCTGTGGCGCCTCTGAAGAAGCCTCGGAGTGGTGGCCCGAAGAATACGCGGACGAAGCGTTAGACGGTCCACGGCGAATGTCTCCTGTCCCACTGCGGTGCCTGTTAAGTCCCCCGGCAGTCCCCAGAGCTGCGACGCCATCTCCGCTCTCTGGATGGCCGTTCATCAAGGGATCCGCCGAGTAATGGTCCGAAGTCGCGTTGGGCGAGGCCTGTGTGGCATAACCTCCGGGTTGGCTGCTGCTTTCCGACAAGGCAAGACCGCCAGCAGCTCGTCCGTTGGACCCTAGCGTCGTCGAAGGTTGCCTGTTCGAGGATGTTGCTCCCCATCCGCGATATCCACTGCCGTCCTCTTGTCCTTCGGATTGATTGTCGGTGTATGCGGCTGCGGCGACCCCAAGCGTTGGATCGCTGTTGGGATTGAAACCGTATTCAGCCATCTCGCTCTTGCGGAGTTCCTCTGCATTTTTCCTGGCCTTCCGCTTCCTCCAGCAAAAGAACCCAATCAAAAACAATGCTGCGATAACCACAATTGGAATGATGACTGCTATTGCGATCTTTGCACCAGAACTGAGCCCGCTTGAGGACCCAGACCCGGAGCTTGAGGCACTTAATGCTGATGGGGTAGGGGATGAGCCGGAAGGAGGAGTGACCGTAAACGAGGTGGTCGCAGTGTTAGAGGTCGGAGTGTCCGGAGAGAATGTGGAAGTGACGACAACAAGCGAAGGACTCTGGGTAACCCCTGGCGATGATGCCGGAGTTTGAGTGACAGTTTCTGTGGCGATAATGACACTGGGACTTGTATCAACGGGGGTGGTTGAGGCAGGTACCACTGTGGTCGAAGGGGGGATTGAGATAGAGGAGGTAATGGTACTCGGTGGTTCGGAGGACGTGTCGGAGGATATAGATGTATCAGTAGATGACCCCGTCACCGTGACAGTGGTAGAGAAGGAGGTCGTAAAGCTGGTCGAGGTTGTGCCGATAATAGTCGTGATAACCGAATCGGTCGCACTCGTATCTGCCATCTCTTTAGTCTGGGAGCTGGTGCATAACTGAATCTATCCATACCAGTTGCCATTGCGGGCTAAGTCTCTGGAGCAAGTGTTTATAGAAAGCAATCCCTGCCGCGGCTCGCGGAGGTGACGTCCAACGCGTAGTGACACCAACTCTGCTGGTCTTCCAGAAAAGTCCTGAACTCAGATATATCCAAACCTCCTATTATATAGGGAGAATCTCGAAGATGTCCCGTCAGCCGCAAGGAAAAAGGGTAGGGGGCAGACAAGAGTCGAGTTGATGTGTCAGGACGCGAGGGCTGTGTGTGGTCCTTAGGCTGTCCAATAATACATGCAGGGAGACGATGAGAAGGAGAAGTGACTTTCAATGGGTATCAGGTCGGTCAGGGACCGTATACAGTGAGGTATAGGAGGATATAATGCGACGGCTTCGAGAAACAGGTAAGGAGAGTCGACATCTCAATGTCGAGAGAAGGAGAGACAAGCTGCAGGAGGGCGCAGCAGTGGCAAGCCTGAGACAGAAAGAGGCCGCAGAGGAAGCGAGGAAAATTGGGCGACGATGGAAAGAGCGATAATAGTTGAGGGTTGTGGATAATGGCTACCGTCGGTGGTGGGGCCCTTGTTATTATTATTGGGTAACCCGCGTGCTAAACTTACCAGGAGCTCGCACGCTGTCGGGCCCTGGCACCAGCTGGAACATGGCCACCGACCACCTAGGAGTCTCCTGGTAAGGGCCTCTGGAGCTGCTGGCTCTTGGGGCTCACTATCCACCTTGGGCTTAGTGATCCAGGAATCGTTACAGCCCAGCTCTCCATTTCCACACACACTATTAAGATTTTCAGTTTATTAGCACCTTCATCTAACACTCACGAAGCCGAGATTCCGGTCAGTTTGAGATTTGCAGAAGCCAAGCATCTGTTTTCGAGAACAAAACTGGGTACTACCCTAGTTACCTCTTTGCTCAAGAAATCATCGGCATCATACGATGATCGTCTTTAACGACGAGGGGCACTAAAGGCACAGACTGCGGAAGTACCTCCATATAACCAATCCTTTACGCATCCTGAGAGGCCCTGTTGTGCGGCTCATCCAGCTCCGGGGCCCATACCAGGCTCCATTCTGAGTGCACTGTGTATCGTCAGTGACCCGATTATGTGAGACTGCCGCCGTCACGACCAAAATACGGAGGGTACAGCCCACCCTTTTTGTCGATGTGCTACACAAGCTGCTCCGATGCGCAGGGCTGGTACGACCACGGCTCCCGGCCATTGGGTCATCATGCTCATATTGAGCTTTCGGGAGACGCCAGCGCTGCAAGGTGCCGATTCACCCTGCACTCCTGCCAGGATTCTGGATTTTGTTATCCGCCTCTCCGCCTGTGCTTCCCCGTATCAGACAAGCCGAGCTGCCTGATTCTGATTCTGACTAGTCGCTGCGACTGGAGGCCCTTCCCTTCTGCCCATCATCCACTCGAATAAGCTGGGGACGAGATATCCGAGCTGCAAGACTGGTTTCATGCAGCTCGCATGCATTCCTACGACAAAGACACCGGGCAGCTCATAGGAAGGTCTGGTTCGAGCCTGAAATTGGTCGAGTGGCCGATCACAGTGAATTTTTTTGCTTGTCTCCAGTAAGGATCGCAGGGCATCTCCAGGCGGAGGTATAAACTCCTTCACCTCGATACTGTACATTTCAACTTTTTTCGACAATAACAAGTCCCAAAGAGACTCTCCAAGCCTCCAGTGTCCCGTAATAATAAAAGAAACCGATATTCCACCAAAAGAAGCTCCTGGGCATCCTGAAAGCGCCACTCGCCATGCTTAAGAACGGTTCTATATGAAGTCATGTCCTTGGATCAAAAGATATCAGTCAGTGTAGCTACATCACGACCCGTGAAGGGATTTCATCGGTTCAGGTCCCACTGAGGCTTCAACGCTGCCGTCAGCTCGTCTCTGGTCCCTGCAACCTCCTTGGGTATCCGACTGACTCGGTATGCGCCAGTCCGGATATTATGGAGGTGGATAGCCGATATCCCTGAACGGTTGCTGCGAATACTTCCCGTCTCGCTCGCGGTATCGGGTGCCCTGAGTCGCGATGGCGGTGCAAAGTCCAGGGCAGTGAACGTGGATGACTTTCTCAATTGATGCCTGTAGATAACTGTTAGCTATAGTCCATCATCGTAGGATCTTGAAAGAATACGTACGGGCTGGGTATCACCGCTAGGTCATCGAAAGATGATGCCAGGGGAATGTGAGCCCTCACTGCTGGGGAATAAGGTCTTAATCCTCCGCGAAGGCTATCAGGAGTACCAGACCGCTGATTATGGATTTTCTGGGGGGGAGCGAAGTCAATGGGCAAGAACGTGTCCTCTTTGAGTTTTGCCGGTGTGGGAAGGACGTGCAGCGGTTTGGGTGGTGGCAAGTTCTTCTTCGGCGGCATGCGAGGATACCCTCCGTACCGCCCTGATGCTGATGAGAATGCCCGTGGCCCTGACTGGTAGCTACCATTAGACACCGTGGCGCGATGCCTTCCATACGCGCCAGTTTGTGACATCCCTCGAGGTGGTTGATATGCCGCTTGATCATAGTAGCCGTCTTGATAGGCACCCGGTCCATAGTTGTCCTGGTAGTATCCTTCAGCACCATCATAATACTGCATATTTTGAGCATGATTTTGTGGTTTTGAGTCATCAAAGTATTCTTTATAAAATGATCTGATCCGGTTGGCGCGTTGCTCGGGGTTTTCGGAGGGATCATCAGGGGGTAACGGTCGCAGGCCCATTGTGATTCGACGAGGATCGTACCCGGTGTAGTCATCATAGTCCTCATAATCATAGTACCCGCGGTCGTCATGGTATTGTTGATCCTGGTCTCCGTACGCCTCGTATTCATCATAATAGTCGTCTTCCTCTTGTTGGACCCGGTGTTGAACTTGTGATGTCTGATCGTGCGAGTGCTCTAAGTAGAGGAGGTCCGTCGAAGGGGCATCATGGCCCCGCGGTGTCTTCTTCGAAGAATTCAAAGTGGTATGAGCGTCTTCTTCGGTTGCGAGACTCTGTTGTCTGTTATTTTGGGAATCGATGAAGCTAAGCTGGGGTGGCCTTGGTTGGCGCTCCTCTGGTGCATTCAATGTAATGCCGGGCACCACGGTTGTCTGCTCCTGAGAGGCTAAAGTCGTGACCGGTGGGGGAGGGGGCGCGTCTTTGAGCATAACAGGAGGAGGTGCCTGGACCTGCACGACTGGTGTCTCAGCTTGGACCTCTTTCACGGACAATACTGGCTCTTTTTTGTTGGGCTCGTCCAGTCCAAATGTGTCTCCACCACTAATGAACTGGCCAAGATAGTTGTTGCTGGCTCTCAGGGCATTCACCGCGCCATTACTACTCGCCGTGCTCACAAACGAGTCGCGCACGGGATCGGGCACGGTAGGGAGAAGCAAGTTATTGGGTTTGCCAGCTGGCATGGGATTACGGCTCCCCAGAGCCGAATCTGCTGGAGTACTGCGTCCCGAAGGAGGCAGCCCATTCGCAGGCTCTTGAGCATTGCGCAACAAATTTTGCTTCGAGTCGAACGGAAATCTGCGAGTGGAGGACCCGGTGTAGCTTGACGAATCGTCGACCGGGCTTCTGAGACTTGAAGGTGGTCGAACAGAGCCATCGTCGGGAATGAAGGTGGTGGCACGATATTTGTCGTCGCCGGTATTTATTGAACGAGACAGCGAGTGCAGCGATTCTCGAGAGTGCTGCAGTTCAGGAGGTAATAGATATGGATTGTTAGCACCCATATCAAGCGACAAGCCACGACCGCGTCTACCGCCCGTCTCTTTTACTTCGGACATTGACATCTCAGGGACTTTTCGACCATTCCTTTTGCCTGGGTTGTGCTTCGATTCGAGGAGGCCAAAGTCGAGGGATTTGTGCTTATCTTCTGCGTCTTCCCGTTTCAGTTTCTTCACATGTCTTCGGTGTAGATATAGCAGCAGGATCAACGCGATGCCTAGAGGAATGACCACTCCCAATACAATAGGCAACGTTGTACTCGATCCATCAGAACCGTAATATTTCTCACAGGCGCCTGAATTGTCGTTTGGCCCGCAAGAGGTCGTAGTTGCCGGGCTCGAGGAACCTGAGGAGGATTCGGCTCTCTGTACGAGCGAAGGAGGTCTCTCTAGATATAGACCTTCTAATCGAATGTCGGGGATGGGACCTGGACGAGCGAAGGGGTTCCTGGGCTGAATCTGTGGTTCATTCTCCGGGAGAATGGGGGAGGACATGATATTAGGGGCAGATCGAGGGTTGTTTGTCTGCCGACAAGGGGAAGGTGTCGATTAACAATTACTCTAGCATAACATGTTGACAGGCAGAGAACTGTAGTCGTTGGTGTTCCGGGGGATTAAAGTCACGTTGGTGGTCAATGTGAGGTCCAGACTGCGGGCGGAATGAGGGTAGAGGACCAATCCACAACAGCAGTTCAAGAGCTGGTTTAGCGAACGACTCTGGTGAGGTGTGAAAAGAACGACTGTAGTTGGGGGGGGGAAACGAGTGACAAAGAGAAGGACTGAAAGCAAAAGCAAAGGATGGTGGTCTTGTTCAGAGCAGAACGCAAGATGCTGAAAGCAAACGGTAGTGCATACAAAGGAGACGAGAGAAGCGGTGCTGCAGATTGCCAAGGCTCATCAATGCGCAATGCAATGCTGGTGCGATCGGGGGCCGGGCCCACGGAGGGCTGCCTCATGGTGCCCCGACGAATGGGTCGCTTTAGGCGCATCAGAGATTCTCGTTGAGCGGCCACTAACCTGACTTGCCCTGACTAGCCGGGGTCAGGGGGAGCACCAAGCTGGCGGGTTAGTGAAGTAAACGGAGTGGCTGCGGGGACTGAATTTCGCCGCCCCCGCCTACAATTTGGGCAAAACGGCAGCGCAGTGCAGGTTCCTGCTGATCTCAAATGCGCCGAAGAACAAACAAGTGGTCATCCGCGGGCGTCTCTGAGCCTGTACAAATGAGTAGGTACTTATCAAGACCTGAGCAGTTGGACCAGTCCTGCATACTCTCTGAGATGAAGGTATCTTTTCTCTCAGCAGAAAGTTGCCTGTACTCCAATTCTCTTAGACATTGTTTACCTACTCCGTACTCATATTTGCATCGCCACAATGGTGACCTCCGACGATGGTTCGTCGTCACGACATTGGTCAATTAATTGTCAATTTCCGGTTCCCAACTTCGCGCCTCCACTAGCCTCTCCCACACTTCCCCGTTGCACACTGCGTCCACCTCAATCACCTGTTCTCTGGCCACCGTCTTTGCCCTTGCAAATTCCCTTCGTCTTTGATCCGACTCGAATTGCGCCTCCGTCATCCAATCATCGATTCATTTTGCAAGCCCTGTTCGTTTGACACACGTGCAGCCGTTCCTGGCCTCAGACTAGCCGGGCTTCACACGCGTCCGCGACCTCAACTGGAAAACGTGAATCCCTGCTCGCGTGTCAGATCGGCTCTGTTCCAATCATCTTGCACTTTTGGTCATCATCTGCCATTCCATCAATAGCGCCTTTGTTTCGGGGCCATCCCCCTGGCCATTAAATCCTGACTACGAGTCCTTGTCTGGGCTAGGATGGTAGGATTTCAATAATGGGCCTCCTCCCTGAGCAATCTCCAGTGCAGCCTTTTTACGATCTGAAGTGTCATGCTTCAGTGCAACCACCGACGACAAATGTGTGGTATATGCTCCTCCGGGTCCCTGGAAAAGAGATGCTTGGTTGGTGGCTTGAGTTGTGCTTGGGCAATAGATGTTTGTTTGTAACCTAAGGTCTCCGAGCCTTCTGTTCTTGTTGGTGTCTGACATTTCGTTAACGCTCGACATCGTAGGGTCGCTCAGGCTCCTGCGCAACATGGCGCCACCTAAACATTGAACCTACCTATGAAAAATGTGCGGCCTCTGGGTGCCGGAAACAGTGGAAGATCTGCTAGGAGGCGGACGATGGAGGCTTTGTAGCGAATGTACGGATCATCCAGTATGTGGTCCGACTGGAACAGAACCCGGTGGTAGGATTAGAAACAATGCAGCAAACTATTGAATGAATTAGGCTCGGTCGAATGAGTGTCTTTGCCAGTTCAATCCGAGGAGTTCAGTTCCATATGAATATCGCCCTCTTCATCCTCTTCATCTAGTAGTAGGCCCTCAAGTCATTCGTGTCCCCAAATCATCAGGGATAATCCCATCCGAGAACGTCCAAGTGAAAAGATTCTGAGTGGCTGACCGAGATAGTTTCTCACTGCAAGAAACCTGAACTGGTGCCAGTGGAGACCTATTATGGCGACCTCTCCAGCACATACTGTACACACGCTAGCTCGGAGTGCAACTGCTGACACAGCAGAGTGAACAGATCAGAGAACTCACACTGAAACGGTCATAATGCTATGAGTTCGCATGATGGGTAGACGTTAACAACAGGTTAGACAAAAGACATCTTCTAAGAGGTGAACATTGCAGTCACCGAGTCAGTCCCAATATGTCACTGTGTTGAACAGCACATCGCGTCTGATCGCACATATTACCATCGGCCACAGTGTTCACCATTGACGTCAGCTGAAGACGTTGTCCTCAAGTGTCACTTACAGTAATATAGGTATGTTTAGTGAATCTCGATCTCGCGCCGACGAACTACATGTACATTATTTACTATGTTGTCGCAATCAACGGTACAGCCACCACCGTCAACCCCCACAGCCACAGTGCTACTTGCGCTGGTGGTGGTATTCGTTATTTGGGCCAAGTTGCCAAAAAAAGACTCGTCATTGCATAAACAGGCATCTCCTAATCCACCTTATGCAGAGGAATTTGTACTCGATACCGTCGCAGAGCACAGCCAGGGCCAAGCAAGGGACAAATTAACAGACAGGGTGGCTTTCTTTGGGCCCTCCTCTTCCTGCGTTTATTCGCCAGACTCTCGCCAAATCAAACACCTTCTGCGGCACGGTCCTTGACGCTTTGGGACGTGGCACGAACCTACGAGAACCTTGCCACTGCTCGCCTACTATGTACTAGTTCACCCAGTCGCGGCCAGGCTTCGCAGCCCAGCCTCCTGCAATAGGGCTGATCGACCTGAGATGTGGGCGGCCAGCACGCCGACAAGAAATACTACACAATCTCATGCTGGGGGCCTGGGTTGATGTGTCGCTGAAAGTCGCGATAACATCCCACCTATTTTATTGACTCTGTTTCGAATGATGCGTAGCGGTCACATACAAGGGGCTCATTGCCTGGCCATTCTAGACCCTTCGGTGTTTAGAGGGGTTGCCCAGTCCTCTTGATGCGGGAGAGGTCATGCATGGCTCCTGAGTCCTTGGTACCTTTTCCAAAGGCGGGCATTTTTCTTCTGTGCCCTATCCCCCTCTTGCTTGCAAGCATAGAGCTACCGAGGAAAGGGACCGGTCTCACAAAAACATGGTGAACCACGCCAGCCACGTCGATTCTACCTTCCATTCTCGGTTATGGGTCACAGATGATTCATCGACCGTCAAACGTTGACGACGCAGTTGAGGCTCGGGTTGTGAAAGGGGTTTGTGAAATCCCCTCCTTTGCTGCCTTGAAGCTTCTCTTGTTACCTCTTTCTTCCGTCCTTCGCCCCTACACTTGTTTCAGCAGACATGTCGTTTTCCATGAGGCGGTGTCGCTGATGGCACCCTGCAAGCAGCGACTCTGTGCAGGCGTTTACAATTGCACATACAATCATCTTCGTCACAAGTCGACTGTTGTCTTCGGGGAGTATTATCTCCCAGGGGCGGATACTGGCGGAATATCGGCGAGTCCGACCCATTGGGCAATCGAGTATACCAGTCGACGAGGATGCACGGAGCTGCATACCTGCTGGGACTTGACCATCACCAGTTTTCTTATGGACCATCTGCTCTGCAAATATAAGAAGCATCCCCCATTGTTCCTTGACATAGTCCTTTGGTCATAGACTCGAGATCCTCATTTTCCCCTTTCTAGAGCACTGGTCACCATGAATACTCTTTCAGCCTTCCTTATTCTATCACTTTTTGCATTAGGCGATGCTAAAGAAGACAGCAATGGGTCCGGTGAATTCACCTCCTGGCAAAGTTCTCCAAATCAGCGAGGTACAATGGATATCGTTTGGTCATGCTTATTCACTGTCTTCATTTGTGTATGTACTCTCCAAAAAGCCTATCAGTGCTTTAAGAAGCTTCGGTGGACGCTCAATGTACCACGGGCTTGATTCACTAATGCTACAATGAGTGCTAGGTTTGGACGGCCGTCCATCTCAACGTGCCAGCTCCGCCTGATACAGACACAATCTTCGTTTTATGGTTGAGGAGGATAAAATGGGGTTCGCTGCTCACTCATTCTTGCCGCGTACGCAACTAACGCACAAATAGTCGGAAATTGCTGCATGGTGCCCGAAATCGTTTTGCTGTTGGCTGCTGGCCAGTGGTCTTTGGCTCGTGCTTGTTGGCGGGAAATGAGAGAGATCCTTGCCGAGCTGGACGAGGCACATAAAATGGAGGCCGGCGAGAGACTGAACACAAAATTTGCAGCTACACCAACAATTGAGGTTCAAGCCGACAATCTTCAAGCTGATCCTGAAGGCCTACCGGAAGCGGAAAGCACACGACCTAGGATGCGCCGGTCCGAGACATTTGAAGAGCAGAAAAGAAGAAAACATAATGAGAGGTGGACGCTACGGCATGCGTTCTATGCGAACATGGGCGGCTTCCGCCTCAGAGACAGTACAGGCCAGGTGTACATCGTCACCGCCAAGCACATTAACCACCTGGTTCGGAAGAGGTACATTGATTTGCCCAAGATAACGCCCTTGGAGATCAATGATCGCAGCAAGTCCGACAGTCTCGCCAAATTCCTGGCTATCATGCAAGTGAGTTCGCTCGCCGTCCAGGTGATTGCGCGAACCATCCAAAATCTGGAGACAACAGCATTGGAGATCACGACTTTGTCATTTGTGGTTTGTACGTTGGGTACTTTCATTGCCTGGTACCGGAAACCCTACGACGTGCAGACCTTTGTGGTGCTCGAAATGCCGGGCTATGCGGTTGAAGATATCGAATTGGAATTCGTGGAGAGAGGCGGCAAGCAGCGAGACCTGCTGAAGGAATACATCACAGTACATCAGACGAGCAACGTGGTCGACAACGATGGCAAACTTCTGGCCCCGTACAACAAGCTGACGATCATTGATGACGGCCTCCCGACCTTTACAGCCTCATTCACCGACGTATACGGCCATTTCTGGGGACGAAAACCGTATGATGCGAATCGCATTCGCAATGACCGCCTGCCGGTGATGGAGAAGCCGGTCACAATTGTCTGCGCCATCACCACGCTTGCTTACGCCGGTCTCCACATTGCGGCATGGAATTTACCTCTGGCGACCGACATTGAGCGACTGCTTTGGCGGATCTCATCCATTGTGTTGATCAGCTGTGTGGTCGTTTGGTTCTTCATGGACCATTTTGGAGAGTACTTGGCTCACAGAAAGGTCAAGAAGGGCAAGGCGACCGATGGAGTGATTGTTCCTTGGTGGAGGATCCCGGCGTCGATCGCTGTTACTGTTGTTTATGCCTTGTGTAGGCTCTATTTACTGGCCGAATCGTTTGCGGCGTTGAGGTGGCTGCCGAAATCAGCATACGAACAGGTGGACTGGGGCAAATGGTTGCCTCATATCTGATCATTTCTTGACGACAATGAATAATGGGAGGAGACCCTTAGAGGGAATGATGGTATGGGGACGGCTCATTATGACGGAGTTCAGGTGTTCATATCTTGCTCTCTGGTACGCTGGGCTGGGTCGGGTGACTCTGGCGTCTCTTAGGATCTAGGATAAGTCATGATCTGTTATCATGACTTCTGGTGTTGCAAGTTGAGATCTGTGAGTTCAGCGTGTTGTGGCAGTTGCAGCCTGCATCCTCCCCCGTGGCAGAGATATACATCCTCTTCGCACTGTCTCCATCTCTCCTGGTTCCAGTTCGATCTTGATTGTATTGATTCACTCTCATGAGATGTATGAACCGCACCGAGGCCCAAGAACTGGCATGTTTCTGCTACGGCAGCAATGCCGCCCTCAGATGCAACTACGCCACTGGATGGGGGAGGCTAATCATGTACCTATGTAACCAACAACATGCAAGTCCCTACCACCCACCTACCCGAGTCGAAGACTTTACCGAATCCCGCAACAAATCCGACGCTCTGTTTCCCATGCCTCCTGTCCTCAGTTTTTTGTCTCCGAGAGACCATGGACATCCTGGACATTTGTCGCTCTGGATGCTAGGAAGACACAGGAACAAAACTGCCCATCTGCACTTCTCCAGCAGGACTCATTCTCTTCTAATAGCCACGCTCATCATCATCATCTTCTTCTACTCCGAGAGCATTCAGCAAAAGTCCTGTGAAGCTGTTCACGATCCCATGGGTTCATTCGACGCATTCCTGTGGTGTTTAGCCTTACTCCTGACATGGGTTGGAATCAAACGATGGCAAAGGTGGAAGGTACAACAAACTTTCAGCACCTGTCCCCGATACACTGATCAAACCGAGATGCATATGTTTGGTTATTGGGCTGATTGGGTTCTTTCAGGACTTGTCAGCCTATGCATCCGCTAACGGCTGCAGACCTGCCCAGAACCATTTACATAACCCGTGGTGGCTTCCCTTGGGTATAGACAAGTAACAACAACCACCAGAACACTGCCTTTGAGCCTCATGCTGACATGCCTAGGATGCTTCCGACTCTCAGAGCAGACCGGGCAGGCAGGCTTCCGGCGTTTATGCTGCAAGAATTCGAGAAACATGGCCACACATACACCCAACGAGTGACGGGCCAACTCGTGGTTTTAACCAGATCACCAGCCAATGTGCAGACCATTTGCAAAACCCGCTTCAAAGGTTGGCGTGCTTTCGCTCCCATCTTGCCCTGCACAGAACGCCGTGCTGACCCAATCCCCCTAGACTACGAGATTGGGTCAGACCGCACCGGGAATTTTCGTGCTCTCATCGGCCATGGCATCCTTGCCTTGGACGGACGGCAATGGTCCAGATCTCGCGCCATGCTGAGGTCTGTAGACTTTCCGACACCGTAGGACGGACAGCACTGACTGCAAGAGTGCGTACAGACCACATTTCACAAGAAACTTTGACCAAGACTTTGCACAATTGGAAGTACACGCCCAGCATCTTCTGCGGCGGCTGACCGATGCGGCCTCGAAAGGCATGCCTGTCGATGTGGCTGACTTGCTCTTGAAGCTGGGCACCGACTTCGCAACCGAGGCAGTCTTCGGGCACAGCACCAACTCCTTGCTCTTTGACTTAAAGCACTGGTCAGGAGAACAGGATATAGGGAGCGCAGGAGATTTTTCTCTGGCGGTGGATCATGCTCTTCATATGCTAGGACAAAGAGGTCAGCTGATCAACTTCTATTGGATTCGCGATTCGCCTCGGTTTCGACAGTCTTGTCGGACTTGCCAGGCATTCGTCAATCAATACCTGGAAGATGCACGACAGTCTCAGACCGAGCAGAGCATCGAGGACACGGGGAAAGGGGGGGCCATGTCGTTCATGCATTCGCTGGTGGCCAGAGATAATATCCCCGCCGATGTGATAAGGGATCAACTTTTGGCTTTGCTGTTAGCAAGCAGGGATACCTCAGCCTCCTTCGCCTCCTGGGTGATCTACGCCCTGGCCCGACATACCGAAGTCATGGCAAAGCTTCGCAGCTTGACCGAGACTCAATTGCCTAGGGATAGGCCTCCGACGGTGGCAGAAATCGCCGCTCTTCCGTATCTCCGTCACGTCTTGAACGAGACGCTCCGCCTTTTTCCTGTGGTACCCCTAAATGGGCGGACGGCCAAGGTCGATACTATACTCCCAGAAGGAGGCGGTGTCGACGGGAAAAGTCCGCTGTTGATACCGGCAGGCACCAAGGTGGCTTTCAACATTTACGCTTTGCACCATCGACGAGATATCTTCGGGATGGATGCTGACGTCTTTCGACCAGAACGATGGGAAGAGATTGGTGCTGGCGCCATGAGTGACTTCGAAGGAGCCTTCGTGCCCTTCATACTCGGGCCTCGGGTCTGTCTGGGCAGTAGGTCGTCGCTGATTCGTGGTGCTGAGTTTGGCCTTGATCAGACTAACAGGTGTCCCAGAAAACATGGCGATGATGACCGTCTCCTATTTGATCGTCCGAATCCTGCAGAAATTTGAACACCTCGAGGCTGTTGAGAGCCCCGCATCACAAACCCTCCCCAGAGACCCGCGCAATTGGCCGAGTGAAGACACCCGGTACGATATGGAGGATAAGGAGACAACCTTCAGCATCGGCATAACGATGTCTCCTCGTGACGGTGTGTGGGTGAAACTGCGATCGGCAGGAGAGACATAGGAGACGCGAACGATGCTCCGACAATGGCAGTGCCGATGTTTCAGTTCACACACACAGTTCACACAGCAACAAAGGGGTAGTTCAGCGGTGACGGTTTCGGCCACATGTTGACCGGGAACGCGACGGCGTCCACGCAACAATGAGGAATTTTTGGTGCAGATGTTGTCATCTGGCACCATCGAGGTCCTGAACATGAGCCTAGGCCCGTCCAGGTCAAAGCCACCGGCAAATTCTGCATCGCCATTGGGGGTGAACGCTCCAGGCTGGTGCTGGTGGATTATAGCCGGCCAGCTGCGCCCCCAAGCAACCCACTGGTACCCCCAAAACAGTGATCAACGTCACACAACGCGACCTTGAGCCCCCCCGGGAGACCTCAGGACCCCCAGCCAGCTCCCAAAACGGACGATACTTTCTGACCCAGGGTGAAAACGCACATCGAGGCTGGCTGGAGGGAACAAACAATCTCAGAAGACCTTTCCACAATAAGGGGTCCCGTGGAGCTAGCTCTCAGTGTTTGGAACACCACATGGTCTGTCGACATGCGAAGATGCATTGTTCCAGGCCTTGAGGATCAAGTCTCGCCGAACTCAATGGCATTGGCTTTTGCCTGACAACTCCAGTTGGAAAGGAAGGAGAGCGACGGCGAGCGCACTAGTCGGAGCCTACTGACGTGCGGAGAGGGACATGCACACAAAAAAAGACCTCCAGGCTCTCATGGATGGTGCCCGCACTCAGCGAGAATCCTTGGGGCGCTTCCAGTGGCTGACTGTGGTGAGATAGACTCGATGGATCTGGCAACAGCCTCGACTACGAAATCCTTTTCAAAGCCTCCTGATAAAAAGTACAGAATCCCTTGCATGGGTGGAAAAAGCTATATACACATGGTCCTCCCCAAGGGTTGCCATACATACTACTTGGTTTTGCCCAGAGCGATCTCCCTACCCAGCCACCAGCCACCAACTTTCCTCCCTCCCAACCCACTGAAGTGACACCCGGCAAAGCCGCGTAACCCTTCGGAGAGCAGAGACATCATCCGATCCCGCAAGTCAGTCCACTGGACACTTTGGACCCCCCCGCATCACTACCCAGTTTTTGGTAGCAGCTGATGCAAGCGACGACGTCGACATCCCACCCCACTCGCACGCACCACTCCCAACCTCAAGGGGTGCTCATGTCAATGGCAGCATATCTACTCGGCTTTGTCTTGTAAGTTCTATTCTCCCTCTCTGTCTCTCCCCCCTTCGACCCAACAACCCTTGTGCACTACACATTGGCGACCATGATCAAGAGTCTAATGCGATTGCTCTTCAGCACCGGGTTCTCGCTTGAGAATCACCGAGACGACGATTTCTTCAACGAACCCTCGACGATGCGGCCTCGATTGACTGCTGCAGCCGCCAAGGAGGATGGTTCCACGGAGCACCTGGCACCGCTATCCTCATCCTCGACGTACCAGGTTGTCGCCAGAGGTCTTCCCGGCGCAAAAATCCATTATGCAGCGATGTGTGCCTGAAGACATGACCAGACAGCCTTCGTCCTCTCCTTTGCAGCCATCATTACGACCATTTTCTCGACTCACGAGCGAGCGCCGTTTCGTCCTTTTCTCCTTGATACCTAGAGTGCGTTTGGTGTGACGCCATGTTCAGCCGAGGCAGCCCACAATGCAGGGCCCCATCGAGAGGTCAACGTTCCCTTTGCGACAGTGGCAAGAAAACTGCCCCGAGCACGACGACGACTATAACCGTTCTTGGAGCTATGAGGGTAGCTGGTGGATTGACGGACACCACAGCCGACGTAACTATACGAGATCCACCCCGCCCCTTCGGCGCCATGACGGCAACTGTTTGCCCATCCCATGTTCTTTGGTCTTTGCGAGCACGACACTAGGTACCTGGTCCGCCACTGTCTCGCTTAGAGAGTTGGCATTACGCCCACTTTTTTTTACGCTCTCTCTTGCAACCATCGAAGTCACGACGCATTGAAAAAAGACCTGCTAGTTGAGTCAGCGGAAGAGTTTTCACGGCTGCGAGGACTCTTCCCGTCACTATACACACACATGAACGAATTTCCTTTCCATTGCGGCACGACGCAAAGCCACAACAGCTGGCTTTCAGAGCACGACCATTTGACGATTTGCATACAACTATGATGATATGAGAACCACACGATATGAGGGTGCCTTGGATATTGCTGGTTACGTATTTGCAGCTGTCTATTGAGAGATTTATTCGCGCGGGGGGAGGGGCAGTTAGTTTGCTGGGGAAAGAAACAATGTGGGCTACGTAGTTCATCATGCCAATTTGATTCCAGTCTTTTGTCCCGCTTGCCTGTTCGTCTTGTCCCATCAGTGTACCACCCTGTAGCCGACAGGGCGCCGCGAGCCTCAGGAGACGAGTCAAACGTGTGTGCAACAACTGACTGCATGCGAGCTCCCCCGACGGCAGGGGAGAGCATTAGGATTGCGTGGCTGGGAGGCGCAGCACCACCTCGTCGCTGTTTCTGCCGTTTTGGGATTCTTGATCATGCAGTGCGAAGTACGAGGTACTCGGTACATACCTCGTAGATTTCCTCTCGTGTCGCAATCTACTCGCGGTGGTCCGGAGCTACTCTACTCCCGCCCATGTCTACGGAGTATTGCCCCCCAATCCTTCCCATGCCCTGTCTCAATCTCGATTGACAGGCTCGGGCCCCAACCTCGTTGCATGACATCCACTCTATCTTCAGCAACAGGTGCATCGTTCCAAATTGTCGTCCTGTTACGTCCACATGAGAGCCAAAGCTGAATTCAACAAAATCTATTCCCTATCGGAATCAATCAATCAATCAGTCAATCAATCAATCACCCCGTGGCAGGCAGGTTTCAGTCAGCGTCCCATTCGTATTTGCCCGTGAACGACAATTGCCAAATGCGGCTGCAGGCCCATGTGCTTATTTAAATTTTGCTGTTGCTCGTTTGTTCAGGCTTGCTTTCCATCCATATGGAGCTCCTGGGTCTGTGTTATGCAAAACGATGCTGTCGATAATCGTAGACGAATACGCATGTCTCCCCTTGCAGGGTAGGTGCATGGTTCAGGTTTAAGGCCCTGTCCGCGAGGTCAGCATGCGTGTCGTGCATCGGTGCCTGGGGAATCACTCGGGACCGCAAGTTCGTACAACCGCAAGTTCGCTTAACCGTGATTAGCAGGATCTACAGTAATTGGCTAACATTCGTATTTACTATTAGGCCTATTTTGAAAAGCCAGCCTCTGCCATGTTAATAAGAGCGATCCGGTTGCAACTCATGACCGAAACCCCGCAGAAACATAAATGACTTCCAATCCTCACAGAAATTACTAGGCAGGAAGAGGTACTTGCGATTGTACGAACCAGCGGTCGAACTTGCGGTCGAACTGGCGGTCCCGAGTGATTCCGGTGCCTGCTCGCTGAATGGTTTTATCCTGTTGTGGCGTTGGGACTCTGAGCACACACAAAGAGCGAGTCCTGCTGCTGTTTGTCATTGACCAAGCTCTAGGACGAAATGTAATCTTTATAAGCAGTGGATGGCTGCATCGAGGCAGAATCTACAATTTCTCTTTTTCTTCTATCTTTTCCCCGTTGACGTCTTATCAACCACAGGAGGGGGCCATCGCTAGCAACCATCGTCAAACAGTAGCGATTTGGGCGCTTTACAGCCATTCTATGACCTGCTGCTTCGCCCCCTACTTACAGTATGAGCATTTGCTGACCGCGCCGAATGGCTGCTCCTCGGGCATTTCTCTTCGTGGACTCATCTCCAGCTCGCACGGATACAAGGGACAAGGAGCTCATTCGTTCTCGAGCTCTATCTCATGCGGCCAAAGCCTCACATCGTGCAAATCGCCAGGACGTTCCTCCCGTTCGTGCTGAGCAGAAAGTTCCACATGGCGCCAAGCAAGAACCCAGCCATCGTCCGACTCGCAAAGGACGACGGAGAACTGAGCAACGGTGGTGTGTTGCGCCCCCGAGAAGCCATGGAGACGGCACGGTCATGGAAGCATTTGCATAGATTCACTCCTCAGCAGATGGCCGACCAGCCACTCTTCCATGAGCTCCCAGATGACTTTCCCGATATACAAGGGAAACTCGACGCCTTCAATTGTACTGCGGTCCCCTTCACCGTGTTCGACATTTCCCTGGTCAAGGATGACTGAGCGGAGTCTTGTTGAGATTATCTGGCCAACGGAGACTGCCATGCGCAAAAGCCACCCAGCGTTACTGGACAGGTTGTGGAAAGGCATGCCCAGTCTTCTCGATTGTTCAGCGGCCGTGCACGCATTCGTCAGTCAAGCGCATTACAGCAGGGCTTTGCGCCACATGGTCTCCGGCCAACACGACCAAAAGGACACTGTTCTGGCCGAGCAGCATCATCTTCGAGCAGTGAAGAGTTTGCGGCATCTCCTCGAGACATATAGCCATTCCGGCGATCTCGATTTCTTGACACAAATCAGAGTTGCTTCCACGCAGCTTGCAGTCTGCGGTGTGATTTCTGAAGACGTTGGCTCTGCACAGATCCACTTCGCCGCGTGAAAGTGACCGTCGATCTCATAGGAGGCTTGGGGAACATGAGCCCAACGCAATTGGAATGCTTGGTGTTCTCACAGTGGCCAGTGCTTGGTTCGACCGCTGACTCCCAGTATTCCATCCGGACGAATGGGACCCAGGACCGTGGGCTGAACAAAGGTCGGTCATATGTGGGCGGCTCTTTTCAATCCCGGGAGAACGTCTTGCTCCCCTGTGCCATCCTGGTTCGCGACCTTCGGCCATATCTCACGACATGAAAGCTATCATCGATCAAGTTAGGGGAGCTCTTGTATGTTCAAGACGTCAAATTGGTCCTCGCGTCCTCCAGGGACAACAAGATGGCCACGCGGGTGTTTCGATGGTCCAGTCTCCGCAAGCTTGCCGTTCGAGCGCGCAATCTCTGCTTCTTGTGCGACGTCAACAAAGCCGTCAAGTCAGCAGGTGCTGGCGCCAGCATGGGCTGCAACCCTTCAGTATCTTTCGACAGGGTCATTTGCCTGACAGTACGCTGCTTTGGCAAGGCTATCTTTGAAGAGCATTACTACGTCGGCACCGTTCCATTTCGGCTGAGCAGGACATTCCTGGCTGAAGTGGCTCGCTGCCTGCAATGCGAACCCGTCTTTCCCTTGCTTTGCAGGACTGTACGGAGAGTCATCTGACCGCCACCACCACCACCACCACCACCACCACCAGCGGATCTTAGAAGACGGAAGGAGGTACGACATGCTCTGGATATGCTCTGTTGGCGCACACATTGAGGAGCACCATCTTGGCTTTAGTCCATGCGCTTCGTCCGCGCCGTCGTCCATCTCAACCACCGGACAAAGAACAACCCATGAAGCGATTACAGGCGTCGGACTCTTCGCCGCCGGATTCGTGAGGTTGACCAAGATGCCGGGCTTTGAAAGCTTTGACGCCGTCGCGACGTTTCTGAGCGAGAGGGATCTGTATTGTCCCCGGTTCCAGGATGTGACCTTCAGGGAGCTGTTCTGACTTTTGTGCGACGCCGAGTTGTTCCACGGCGGCGAATGTCCCTGCTCAACCTTTCGTCCACGGTCGGTCGGCCGGTCGGCCGGTCGGTTCTTGTGGTCGAGAATTCTGAATAGATAGATCTCGTTCAGCAGAGTTATAAACTGAGGAATACACACCACAGAGTCAACACGAGTAAGTAGAAGGTGAAGAAGCAAGAAAGGACTGAGAGTCATTCCATTACCTGCGCGGGATGGAGAGAGGAACGAAGCTCTGATATATACAGACCCGACTAGTTTCTGCCGGGCATGTCGCGTTTCCAGTCATCTCCGTGATTATATACTAACCCACCGCAAAAATCCCTGGGAATAGCATGTCCACTTCAATACCCAACACCCAAGTGAATTCGGTTGTATTTGCCTGTAGTATAACTTTGATCTGCCGCTATCGTTTCTCACATTCGACGCAGTTATAGATGTCAGTTTTACCATTGCGCGAGAGACTTTCAACCCTTCCTGGCAACGACGTGGTTTTCCCATTAGCCTGAGTATATGGCGTGTTCCGTAGGAGCCAGGAGCAGTAGTGCTTTTTGAACGAGACCGTCTCAGGGCACCGAGACACCCGAGAAGGTGAGATTTCCGTGGACGCTTCGTACCCCAAAACCATTGGTCCCTGACGCAAGGATAGAAAATAGCGACGCTATGGTAGTTGACCCGAAAACGACGTTGGTAGATGTCCCATAATGTTCGAAACTCATGTCAAGAAAAGCGGCTCAGCCTTGGGACCATTAGTAACGCAGTCTCTTGTGTTAGTCCTAGGAGACACAAACCTCCCTATGCAAACCTCGCAGCTTCGTCTCGCTCGGATGTTACCCCTCAAGTAGCCAGGACAACGCTGGTTGACTTGCAAAGCTCGGTGGGGAAATAGCAGAATGGTCCGACTGGTCCGCTCTCCTCATGATCACATTGCGTCCATAGCCCAAACACACCTCCTGATCTGACGCCGCCTGGCTGGACACCTTCCAGCTGCCACTGATCTTGACCGCCGTAATTGATGATAAATCTCCATCTTACCTCTCGTCCGCCGGGAACAAGGCTAGCACAACCTCGAACTCCTATGACCGGCCGGTGTATGCCAGCATGGCCACGAGAAAGGCCGGAGAAGTACAATACAGGTAAGTCAGTACACACAGCAAGGGTCGTAAATAGGCGTGGGTCATGAGAAACGGCGTCATCTAGCTTGAGTTCAAGCTTCATGAGATCGCCACAGTCTTCAGGTTCGTCGTCCAGGGTCGGCTGAGCGGCAAAGTCACTCGTCCAGGTATTGAAGGAGACGAGGTCGGCGTAGTCGAGCCATGAGTACGTCCCGAGCCAAGTCCCGGTAACACGCGCCCAATCATTTGGGGTCGTTGGATCGGTCAGAGTGCGGTGAGGGAGAGAATAGCAGAAACCTTGTGGCATGGCAATGCGGCCTTCAACACACATGGAAAAATTGAGACTGATAACGCTGACGACAGCCTCAAGGAGGGACCAGTCGACCTTCCCACTTCCGTCCCGATGGAAGGGGCCGTAATCATTGTCTGGTCCGCTCAGACTCCAGTTGTACACTTTTCGTCTGGCAGCACCTCTGGCCCTGTGCTCGATGCGCTCTCGAGTCGTCAACCCGTAAAGTACGTGGAGCCGAGAGGCAGACTCTGGCCGATTCTTATCATTCTCGCATGCGGTCATGCTTCTGGTGAAACGCAGTGTCGAGGCCAACGTACATTCATCGGATCTGGCGCGCCGCACCATCCTCTGCGACCCCACATCGTGGATGAGACTCTCGATGCCCTCCCGATGGGCAATCAGATCGGAAAGAATTTGGAGATTCAACGAGGTTGTCCGGTCGTCCTCCTTCGGGGTTTTGCCGCTAGCAATATCACGTGTAGAGAGTGCAAATTTGGCCGTGTCGAGGATGTCGAGTAGAGCTTCGAGATAGGCTTTCCCACGACTGTCAAGCCCACACCGTTTGGACTGTACACCTCGCAAAGCCGCCATTCTCGCCGAGAGTTCGCGATGCCAGTCCCATCCACGCTCTGCCGCCAGCGAAGTGTGACCGGGCATCATGGACCAAGCATCGTTGGGGTCATCAAAGACATGCAAGAAAGCTGACCTCCAGAGAATCTGGTTTTGGGGACGGACGAATTCATGGGCAGCCTTGCAAGTCTGGCCAACGTGGACGATGTCTGCAGGGGGCAGACATGATAATACCTGTGCAAGGATTTCTCTGGGCAGATCCAGCCGCTCCATAATCAAGTTGAAGAGGAGTTCGATGAGACCGCGATGCCGAGAGTACCACGCCAACTACCAGAAAAGAGGCGACGGTGAGGGGAGTTCAGAGGAATGAGGTAAAAAGTAGGTTCCTAGATCTCCAGTACTTGAGATCGCCAATCTATCAGCAGGCAATGCTCCCCCGGGTGGTGCCAGTGCCGATTGTGGTGGCATTGCCCCTCACTTGGCTGCTTCGGGGGCGCCCTGTTTCATCCCTGCACGCTTGCCTGCCCTACTATATGGACCCCTATGCCCCCTAACGCCTGTCAGCAGGTGTCACAAACCATCATACAGGATGTGTGGCGCCAGAGTGAGGTGCAACGGGGCATTAGAGTGCGGTAGGCTGACGGGTTGAATAATTGACTGCACAATGAAAAGCCAGCAGGGCGACGGATTGCCTCCATCTCTAGAAATGAGCAATGAAATAGCTGTCGAGGTGCTTGCTTGTTTGCGCTTGTTGGGCCCCCGTGCACCGCCATCCTCGAGACAGGCCGTCAAATCTCCCCTTCCAAGACACCAACAGACGCTGCCAATCTCACCTGCTCACCGCAGACACCCAGCTCGCCAGTAACCGCTCGCACAGCCGCAACGCAGTCGCCCTCAATTCTCTGGCCTCTTGCCACTTGCCTCTCATACTCATGTCGAAGTCCTGCATGCAAATTAAGAGGTACTGCCAATATCGCAGCACCTCCTGACCACCTTCGTCCTCCCTCCAAGCCCATCAACCCACCAACTCAACCCCACATTCTGTCTTGATTCCATCTGAGAGATAGCCTCGCCCTGACATCCGACCTTATCGAGCTACAATGCCTCTGAGAGACTTGCTCAAGAAGAAGGAAAAGTGCGACAGTGATGCCGCCCTTCAACCCCCTCCCCTGCCTCAGGCAACCGAGTTCACATTTGTCCGCACCGACACACATACGGAAGAGTACATCAAACCGCCTGGATTTGATGACGATCGGGAGCTTGCGGAGTCTGTCGAACCAAAGAGTCCGTCCCCATCGAGACGCTCATTTGGTCGATTTCGAAAGAGCCAGAGTCCTGGTGCTGCCGACCCGTCGTCCCCCGAAAAAGAAAAGAAGGAACATCGGCGGCTGTCTGAGCGGCTGCATCTGAACAGGGATCGTGCCGCAAGTACCAGCTCCGTCAATCTGCCTTCTGACCTCCCTGAAATCGCGGAGGCATATAGTGAATCTGGTGATCGTCAAGAGACAGAGGCAAAATGGGAGGAACGTGCTACCATCTTAGCTAGCAAGAGTCCCGCTATGCCAGCTCATTCTCCAACAGGCGAGCTAGAGACTCTCAGCTTAGGCCTCCCTGGGCAACCACCGTCCCGACCTCGAAGCATCAACGACCCGGAGAGCGATATTGACATCCAGAAGGCGATCCAGCTTCACGAATCTGGTGACCTCAAGGAGGCAACCCAGATGTTCCACCAACTTGCCGAGTCTGGGAACGTCTTGTCTCAAGTCCTTTACGGACTGTCTCTCCGGCACGGCTGGGGCTGTGAGCCTGATCCGGCAAAGGCAGTCACCTATCTGTCGGCTGCAGCGTCCAACTCCGCCACAATCGAATCTGATGCCCTGAAGGCCGGAATGAAAAAGGGAGGCGCCGCCAAGGGTGAGCTTGTGCTTGCAATCTTCGAGTTGGCAAACTGCTTCCGGAACGGCTGGGGGGTTCCGGTCGACAAAGTTGCAGCAAGGCAATACTACGAAACGGCAGCAAATCTAGGAGATACAGATGCCATGAACGAAGCTGCTTGGTGCTACCTCGAAGGATTTGGGGGCAAAAAGGACAAGGTGAGTTTCCGCGTGATTTTTTCATCATTGGAGCTGGGGTTGGAAGTCCCAATACTGCATGCGCCTTGGATGTCTGGCATCTCTCAATCAACACGACACCCCCCTTGCCTTTTGACACGTGATGAACAGCAGCGGCGGCGGCGCCAGCAGCCCAGCTGAGCCTCATCCGCCGCGAAGGGGGTCCAACCATGAGATTCGGGTGTAACGCAGTCTGACCCATATCGGGAGGGCCATTACTTGGGAGGGGAGTCCTTCTGACACTAACTTGGGCGGCCTACGGCCCCCAAATACGCGAAATACCCAAATACAGCTCCCTCTCAATGGCAGCTTCACTTTGGGCAGCAATGCAGATGGCCCTCGACCACTCAGCGACCACCTCCAAGTCTTCTGTCCCCGTACCTTGCATTAGTTCCAAGTCATGCTGAACTCCGCGAATCACGATCGATGTTTCTCTCGGAGAAATAAATGGTTACTGACACATGGGGCTTGCGACATAGTTTAAAGCGGCACAACTTCTCAGATTGGCCGAGAAGAACGGTGCAAAGACACTGGGAAATTCCTGGTAAGTCATGGTCTCATGTCATTTTGTCCCAGAACTGCCTATCACCCGACCACCCTCTCCCTCGCCTGGTCCTTAATCACACTGGCTCTGCGTATTTTCACACGAATTGGGTCGAAATTCCGGCGGTGTCCTATACTTCGATGCCAAGAGATGTCTGATTGGCGGTCAAACTTTGGAGACACTGCTGCGACCTGTTCGGCGACCCGGTCCACCACACCAACCTTGCGAAATGGTTCGTGCTGGACACTCCGACCTTCGAAGGCGAGGTGGCTGGGCCGCAGTCCTGAATGAGGCGCAACAGTCTAAGGCATTGAACGGGCGGGCTCTTGACCTCACTGAGAACCTTGAATGTTTCATTAGCAACCCGGACAAAGAGCGGTGATGCGTGACTGTGTGCTGACGTCTTGGTGTTTGTGATTATCAGGATTTGGAAGGAGAAATACAATCCACCAAAGTGAGACGGTGGCCTTCACCGTCTCCAGAAGTATGCCGAAGTGATCTTGGACCGTGCCATGGCCTGATGATCTCTCGATCCAGAAACCAGGATATTCCCGTGATATGACTCAAAATCGAGACGAGGGAGCCGATGAATCCGACGACAGATAAGCAAAATGAATAATGACCTTAGCCATGACTGGCCCCTTGGGCCTCTCTGCCCTGTTCTTGCGCCCCTCGCACACGGTCTGCCCAGGCAACCTAGATTGGGCAACAGTTTTACGGCGCCCTCCCATTTCCACTTGTTGATATCTAACTTCAGGAAGGATCCAACTCATGAAACGCCCGTCCAGGCACAAAGATAGATGTCGGCAGCGCCACGGCCCTTTCTTTCGCCCAGGTCAAGTTGTTGGTCAGCCATTGTGGAGGTGGATGAGGCCGTGCCTGCATGACGCAGGGGACTTCGAGGAAACGGTGTCTCTTCTCGCCTCTTAGTCAGGGGATGAATATCTGATCACGATGGTGTGTTCTGGCCGCGCGGTTCAGGACACGAAAGGTCCCCTCGATTTTGCCTTTCTTTGGTCACCCTGTGGACCATTGACGTTGGCGACGGCTATCACCGATGGGTAGTGCCCGTCGACTTGATTGAATATGGATGGCCAAACTCGAAGCGAGCGAGCTCGGTGAAACAAGAGACCTCAAAGCAAGGCAAAAGCACATGCCCGTGACATGATGTTCACACAGATTGGCTACACAGTAGGCCCTGAGCCTGCGTGGCCACCTTCCCAATGCCGGCGGACCTGGCATCACACAAAGAGAGAGTGAGAGATATGGCCTGATTTTAGGGACGCAAAACAGAAAGTGCGGATTGTCAGTGACAAGAGCTCGGAAGTGGGTTTCGTTTGCCATTCCAATAATCCTATCTGCTGTGGCTCGAGACCATTGTGCTCGGTGGCCTTTCTTGTGTGTCTTTTTCTTGCCCGAGGCATGTTTATACGGTGCTATATGAGAAGGCGTTATAAAACTGTACGTCGGTCGTTTTGGTCGTAACGTCGTAGCGAGGGAGGCTGTTGATTTGGCCTCTGGTTCATCCTTCATCGATACATCTAGCCATATCTGTGGCCATCTTCCCATGCTCGGTCCACATCCTCTCATTTGCTCTCGCGGAAGAGTCTCTGGTCCAATAAAACCGCTCCGTCGTCTGGTGGTCTTCCTGATCCCCCAGCCTCTCAGTTCTTGTCGCCCACTCTCCTGTATCGGTCTCACTCGTCCCCCTCCCAAGCTCCATGACTTGGTCATGCTATGTGCACTCCTCCTGCCCAACCTATTCAATCCCGTGGCCGAAATATTAGAAAAATGCAGAAAGGATGAATTTTCATGCCATAGGCCGTTAAAAAGTTTCTGGGTCATCATAATCAATCATGTCGTGTCCTATCGTATCAACTGATTTGTAAAAATCCTGATCAAAATCCAGGAGGTCCCTAACTGTGAAGAGATAAGGAAATTGTGCCCTGAAGCATATGAGTCTTTCGCTTTCGTAGGTTTGGTTGATCAGACCTTGTCCGTCTGAATCGAGAGAATGTAGCCCCAAAAGGGAAAACGATCACAAAGGAGAAAAGAATTTTCCACCATTCCGAAAAACCCCCGTGATAGAGAGTTTACCGTCGGATTTGAACGATTTTCTGGTGCCGTCCATACATCGAAGAGCCCTTGGGTGGATGTAAAGCTTTTTTACTCGACCCTGGCAATCATTTCTCGGAAATCTCGAAGGACTTTCTCCGGGACGCGGTCGAGGAGCACACTCCGTTCGCGGGCTTTCCCGGCCAGGCCACTCATTTTCTCGAGCCCATCCCTCTCGGCTTTCATATCTGCAAACAGCTGTTGCAGCCGCGTGGGTTTTACCTCAACCACGTCATCATCATCGTCGAAGGCGCAGTCAGGGCTACTAATGTGGTTGTAGGAGGCGGCAGAGAGGGAGAATGCGGCGGCAGCTTGTTGCTGGCGAGATGGCGTGGTGAGGGAGGCGTGGAGATTGCCGAGTGGAGTATCGGAAGGCTGAGGGGTCATGTCAGAGAGTGCGTGGGGAAAGCCGTTGCTGTCCAGCGAGGGTGCGGGCCGCCTAGGGAGGACTTCATGGGTAACCTCGGGACCCGAAGCAAGCACCGCCTGGAGGACGTTGCCAGCCTCAGCACGATATTCGTCGGATAGAGCAGGCATGTTGGGTGCCACGACCGCAACAGAAGAGGCTGCACTCGCTGCTCTTGAACCGGCCTGCGACATGATGAAGGCACCGGACAGTAAGCACATGTAAAACGTCTCCCAGCTGAAGGTAGCGTCGACCTTGACATCAGATTTCATGGTAGTATTAGGCTGGGCCGTAGAAGTAGTCGGTCGGGGAGTGGCTTGTCGCTGCAGAGCATCTGATTCTTCCATTTTCAAGTCTTCGTTGCTCATGAGGCCGAACTCGTCGTTCCACTGGTCCTCCAAGCCGAGATCCTTGAAACTCGAAAAGTCGTTGGAGAAGGCGTCTGATGCGTTAGTGGAGAAGGCACGAGCATGTTGATTGCGTTCCAGTTCCCTGAAGCTGTCCCTCAAGATGGTGTTCATTCGTCGAAGCTCGCCGGTCTCTAGAGTCGACGTCCGGATGAGCTCCTCGTTCTGGTACTTCAGGTCCGCAATGCACTCCTCGAGCCGCTGACGATCAAGCGACCATTGTTGTCTTTCATGGTTGAGGACGTTCTCGAAGTGACCTAGGGCGTCCTCGAGATCGCTCTTCTCCCTGATCAGGAGCTTCTTGTCCGCTTCCAGCTTCTCGGCATTTTGCTTTTTGCGCATGCGAGAATCCAGCCTGCGCGAAGAGGGTTAGTAGGCAACGAAGACCGTCCGGGTTTAGAATGACACTTACGCTGCTTGACGATTTCGCAGCAACCGTTTCTGCTGTTTGAGCTCCTTCTTCTCTTCCTCGTTTGTGGCTTGGTTGATCAAGGCGTCAATGGTGTTGATATTCCGTTCGGGAGGAATCTCGAATTTGGCATTCTTCTTTCTGATACCGTCGGACCTCAATACCAACAACGGGGACGCAGCTCTGTATCTGTGTCGGAGAATGCGATTCGTCTCGGTAGCGTCTGAAGAAGTAGTCGAAGCCCACCCGCCTTGGCTGGACTGCGGCGACATGGAGACGGCAGAGGCGGGATCTTGCTGCGCGAAGCCCGAAAAGGTGACAGGCCCTCCGGTATATTGAACCTGCTGCTCAAATGGCTCTTGTACCGGACCAAAGAAGGCGGTAGGAGTATTCGCTTCAGAGCGCCCCGACATGGCCCACTGTTGGTTTGGCATAAAGCCGGGACCGCAGTTTGCAGCGTTCATCTGGCTGAAGAACTGGCCATTGGGGGATGACATTGGGAGCGAGGACTGCGAATAATGGCGGACGGGGCCCATGACACCATGGGGTCTCTCCTGCCAGACATGAGCAGATGCAGGATAGTCGTCCTCCAGCTTGGTGACTGAAGAACGTCGATTGTCAGAGGCATCGGAAGCTGTCATGTCGGCGGGGGTCGAGGATTCAAAGACCTTGCCGTCAAGGATGGAGGAGGAATCGTCTTCGGTGAGCGCGGGTTTGACGTCCTCAGACCACTGAGGTTGCCCATACGGGAAGTAAGTTTGGGTCGAATATTGCATTGCCATAGGTGCGACAGAGATGGGAATCGACAATAAAATGGATTGTTGTTGTGCCGATGGAATCGATGGACCAAGTGGCGGTGAGCGAAAAGGTGGGGAAGGAGACTTGGTGGGAAGGCGTTGGGTTTTCTCTCGACAACGAAAGTGTGAAGTCTTTAGCAGCGTTGGAGAGTACCAGCCGCAAGAAGCATATTGGTGATTTCTCAACTTCAAAGTCAAAGAGGATGTCAGATGTTCAGAGGTGGGAAGAGAAGAGGGAGATGCAGCAGGTTTAGTACTATGTATTGCGAGCAGGACAAGCAGCCCTGGCCCGGTACAATACAATACCAGCGAGCGAAGAAGAGGCGGAGGGGCAGGGGATCCAAGATCAGAAACATGGAGCCTGACGAGGAACCGTCAATGCCCCATCTCCTGGTCTGCGGACGGGTCTGGGACGGGTGATGTGAGAGGCAGGGAGGGTGAGAGGAGCGACGAGTTGTAACTGGGCCGAGGAGGGGGGAATCCACGACGAGGGAGAATTCCTGGGTGGAGAGAGAGGAAGAGGACGCCGGAAAGATCTCCAAGCCTGAATTGGCCCTTTGCGAAGGCACTTCCAAGAGAAGGAGGGAGGGAAAGGTAGCAAAAAGCAGCAAGGAGGAAGACATGAGGAGAGACGAAGCGACGGTTGGGCGGACGAGAGCGAGCCAGGGTACGGATTGGATGCTCTGCGAATCCCAAGCACTGGTACTCGGGCTTGTGGTATTGTCCCCTTCCTTCACCTGCCGTTTGGTCTGCTTCGTTTTTTGGGCAGCGATTGTCCCCCAGTGCCAGTAGTAGTGGCCGGAATCGCGGTGCGTGCAGCATGCAGGAAGTTTGCTTGCTCCCGCGCCACGAGACTGGCTGCCACCGACTCCGCCCAACGGTCACCTTTCATGCGACCACCTTTTAGGTCGCTTCAGCTTTTTGCTCTCTGCTTGCCTTTCCTGATTAGGCCGAATCTGCGTTTCTCTTCCAACGTGAAATGTGAGTATCCATTGCTCTCCTCTACCGAATCGAGACGGCGAGAGTGGCCCTGGTCCTTTGGTGGCTCCGGTTGGAGGTGTCTGAAGCGACCTGCAACCCTTCGGCCTTTGGCCTTCGACCTTCAACCCACGATCCTCGAAACCTCGACCATCGGGGCAAAATGCTCAGATGAGGGCCAGAGGTCAGAAGACAGAAGAGAGGGAGGGACCAGTGACCCAAGAGAAGGAGACGAGACCAAACCGCGTCCTTTCCCGACCCTGAGTTGGTCCCAGATGTACGCGACTGAAAAAACAAACAAAGAGGGCGGCATGGGTCTTTGCCTTCCGGGGGCGCTTCCAGGCCACTAGGCTTAACTGGATGCTCTCTAGGCTCGGTTCGCTTCCCCCCTTGTGGTTCTTGTAGCGATGGGCGGCGCTGGGGGGCATTGATTCTCGGCCGGCACGGGCCTTGACTCGTAGCTGGACATCACATCACGCTTGGAGGGCCTTGTGAGTCGCCCTCCTGACCTTCCTGGCCAGACTGCGACTAGGAGCCGATTCCATCCTCGCTATCCCTCGCCGCTTGGCAACACAGATAGATCCCTTTTGTCGATCTACCAACCTTCATCCATCCCCCCGAGTGGAAACCACCACAGTATTCTTTCACTTCCGCTCCTGCTGTTCTCCTGTCCATTGATCTCCTGGGTTGTCTGCGTCTCGCGATGTCTTGGGTCCTGACGGTCTGACAAAGGCCCTCAGACGTTGACCGCCCACAGTCCGGTGATCCTGAATCTCATGATTTGCTTCTACACTGCGTGCTCGAAACTGACCGCCCTCGTCCTTATCCCACGCTAGCTGGAAAGGTCTTACCGGAGACTCTGAATAGAACAGAATGTTTGCGGGTCCCAACCCCTGCATCTTTCGACGCACGTCGCACGCTGGACACTGGATGCAAAGAAGGTCGAAGCCCAACATAGACCCAAGATGGGCTGGATGCTCGAATGTCTTTCTCATCCACGTGACGCTCACAGGCATCCAAGATGCCGCGTCAAACCCATCACTGCCTGGTCCACGAGAGAAGACATGACCCCTTGGATTACCAATGCCACCTCATGCCTCAATGGGGCCTTCGGACACGAGCAACTGCTACCATTGATATAGGCTGTATGCGCCAATGCAGACAGAGGAATTGAGAAGAAAACAAGGCGAGCTCGCTGCCGAGTATACTCCTCAAGGATGCCTGGTCCCTTCGACTGGGAGCGTGGGATGTTCATGACCACTACATCCTTTCCTTCTGTGAGTCACATCAGCACTCATTCGACATTCCCAGCCACGCTGTCTTCTGTTTGTTGTTGGTCAGCCTTCTACCACGGCGGGGAGGCTGTATCTGGAGATTGCCTTTTTCGGTGAAGACCATTGTGTGCTGCAATGAGCATGGCGCAGTTTCGGTCTACCTCGTCCATTGCAGTATACATCTCCTCATGCTGTCAATGCGGACAAAGTTCAATCCCACTCACTGAAGGCGTGTTGGACTTCCCTCGCGCCCTGATGCGTTAGTCCTTCTTGGAAGCCAATGTTGGCTACTCGTCTTTCGTCAGACATGTGGACAGTGAGCTTGCTGCTCGGCCCTGCCCTCTTACTCTGTCAATCAGGTCCATTCAGAAACCGTGTAGCCATTGCAGACAGTCCGCCAACAGACACGCGCAAAGTGGTGCGATGGCTCAACATCAGGGATACTGCTTGACACAGACAATCACGCAGTAGCAGCGGTACCGGTAGGTTCCACTGAAAGCACATAATGTAATTGGATATATTTCGAGATCCCGCAATCGTTGCTGCACGCCGACATAGCAATCGACTTTCTGCATTCTATGTTCGACATCTACATAGAGACTTGCCGACCAATTTCATCCTCACAGACACTCCACGCCTACAATTTCAATGCAGCGATGATCGGACCGCCAATGCCTCCCTGCACAAGGGCAACTCTTTCGTATCCGTCCTTCTTGAAGCTTGGCAATACAACTCTCGAAATGCCGCCATTCCACTCTCCGATCTTCATCAGCTCTTTGACGACATTGCGATGAGGGATCTTCTTCGACTTGTTCGGGCCCGTGCGAGGCTTGACAGTTTGAAGCACGGGATCATACTTGACTATCAGCACGTCATACACCATATCCGCTTCTGGTGCGTCGGACGCAAGCCTTAGGTCGTTTCCAACCCGGTCAATGCCCAGGGCCCAGGTCATCCCATTTCGTAAACCCATTGCCCTCATGATGATCTGGTCGATATCCTCCTTGGTAGCACCGATACCATCGGAGACACCGTCGACAACGATCTGCGGTGTGAAGAGACTGTTTTTGCCCCATTTGGTCAAGTATTGACGTTGTCGCGAGTCCCATTGTGTCGAACCAAAGGTGTCCTCCCAGCCGCTGGATGGGTTCCAATATGTCACATCGTACGTGAGAAGCAGGAGGTTCGGGTTGTTTGTCGCATCTTGGATGCGTGGAACTGCTGGTGGGCATGACGCACAACCCTGAGACTGGAAGAGCTCCACGACCGAAAGGGGCATGATGTCCACGAAGCAGGCTTGGGTGTGGGTGTGGCCTTGATCGAGGGACATGATACACGCGAGGGGTGCCTTCTGCTTCTTGAAGAGGTTGAAGAAGGAAGACATGATCGAAGTGTTGGTTCTGGGTGATGGCTTTCAGAGGCAATGAGGAGATCTGCCGAAGGACTCAAAATGAAAGTATCACAAGGTTGATGGACGCGAGAAAGAGAGGTGCGTGAACTCGGTACTTTATACAAATATAGCCTTCACTAACTGCCGACCACAATTTGAATCACACCGTGCGATGGCATGTCTCCTGAAATCCAGTTCCAAATGTTCTCTTACACCCTTGCGCCACAGCTCCAGAAAGAGCCTTGGGGGCGATGCTATCCAGGCCAATTGCTGCTCGCATTCTCCTTGCTGAAAAGGATCACAGTCAGACCTCCTGAGCTGAAGTGTCGGTCCCTGCATGGACGAAATCTCGAACCAGGAGCCGAGACTCGCACTTTACAGCACTCTTCGCCTTGTCGTGGCCATGAATTAGATCCAGGCAAGCACTGTTGTACGCCTGAAGGCCCCCAAACAGGCAAGATCCACTGGAAGCACTAAACTTGGTCGGGTTGTATTCCTCGAGATGCGAGATGAGCCCTGTGAATATGCTTGATCGGAGCACGGCAGTCACACGAATTTGATGGGGCCGGTCCATGGGAACGCAGCTCTTCACAGCCTCGAAGTCCAATTTGCCAGCGTGGTTGAGGAAAATGTTTGCGATACTCTCGGCTCAGTAGGAAATCAGGGGTGATGGCAGGTTTGATCATCAAGATCGGCCCGGTTGTGCAACGATGGTCAAATTGCAGGTTATCATGACTGTCTCGTCCATCCATCAATTAGGACAAAACGAAATTTCAAAAAGAAAAGGACTGGAAATCGCGAACTTCTTCAGATATCATCGTAACCCCGGGCGTGACGCGTATCGTCCCCTCTTCTATCGATGTAGACTTTCCAACATCCACCTGGGCTCAGCTCAGGCTTCCCCTTTGTCGACAAACCCTTGATTTTCAGGAACGTGCCCGTACAATCGCCCTGCTCGTGGTCGCGGGTGCTTGGCCTTTTCCTCGGGACCGACCACCATCTCCAGGTGACCTGGATACGTCTCCCTCACGGTGACGACCTGCCGCCACGTTTTCGCCGCGGCGACACCTGCGCAGGTGTCCTGCAGCCTGGGTGACGGGCTCGAGTTCATTGCGAGCGTTATCAGCTCGGCGACCGTCGTCCAGGCGGCCACCAGCCCTTCCTTCTGGATGACGAGTTTATAAATGAGGAACAGCGAATGCGCGGCGGCAATGGCGAGGTGAATCAGAAGGACAATGATTCCGAATTGCACGGTCTTGGAGCCTTCCCAGCGATAACCGTACCCGTAGCGCTGAAACACCGGGTCAATGCGCGGCCAGTTGCGAACGTCGGCGACCGTGGCGTTCAAAATGGTATCTTCACCGCCTTGTGCGCTGCTGACAGGGAACCTGCCCACGAGACTGCCGTCCTCGGTCTGGTTAGTCAAGAACATGGGAGCAGAGTATGGGAACAGCCCGTTGCCAGCAATCCGGGCCAGGCCATCGGTAATGACACCCGCGAGGAGGGTTGATATCATCGTGGCACGACTCTGCCGGACTTCGGCATCTGTGAGATTTGCAGTGGCACCCGACTTCGCACTTCCGACAAATGGCGATCTGAAAGTGTTGAGCACTTCGTCGGTGACCTTCTCGTCCGGGAAGACCGCTTCTTGAAGCATGGCTACGATTGCTGGGATGTCTCCCGTCACAAAAGTAATGTTCTGATTAATCGCGTTGGCGAAATCCAGGCTGATGGTCATGTTCTTGATCGGTTGATTGACCGCGGCCTTTTCATGGGGCAGCGAGAGGCAACTGTTGGTCATTTCCCCTTTGACATTGAACCCAACCTGGTCGCTCGTCCGTGGTTCGTAGAAGACATCGACGGGGATCCACTGCGCATAGATGCTACAGGCATGGATCTCGGTTGCTTGCCTCAACTGCTGGCTCTTGTCGTCCACTTCTATGTATTCCCAGGGAACTCGGACCGCCGCACCAATGGCTGGATTCCCGGGTCCAGCTGGCATTTGAACCCAGTCAAATGTCGTGTCGTTGAGTGTGCTGTGGTATGGCAGGATGTATTCCGGGCTTGGAAGCTGCCTGTCGGGGGTGAAACTGGGAAAGTTGACATGAGTCCGAGCTTCGACCTCCGAGACATTGAAATAGTCGAACCCGTTGCACATGACTTCGACCTTGGGTGCGTACACGGGGCCGGGGAGGCTGATTTTAGGTTGTGCCATGACAAGAGCAAGACCCTCCCAGTTGTCCTGGGCAAACGTCCAATACGCCGTCAATGCTCCGCTGATAAAGGTGTTCATCGACATGCCAGATGCTCTGCCGTCGAAGTCGCTGGCGCAGCTCTGCGTTTCCAACACCCTCCGAGTATCTCCACGGGCGTCAGGAAAGCTGATGTTGGAACCGGCGCTGGAATTGGCAAACAGGAGATTGCCCGCCCAAGTGTAGGTGTCTCTGAAGCCTCCGGCCGGACAGGCGTCTTGAGTGGTGGTCGTTATCGCAGCGCCGACGCAGTCGATGCCTGAGTCAGGAGCGTTCTCACTGGCGCGCGTCACGTCTTCTGGCCACAGGACAGTACTCTGGTTGAAGATGTAGAACGGCAACATATCATTGTCGAAGGGTTTCTCGACGTTGAACCAGTTGAGAGAGGGGATGACTGCAATGGCAGAAGAAGGACCGGCCAACGTTGCCAGGATGGTGGCAAGCACAGAGAGCAGCCAGAAGCGCCAGTAGTGCGCCTTGCCCGTCCAGATCGAGGACCAGAAACCTTTTGTCCGCATATAGTCTCCTGAACCGATGGCGAAACTGTTGGCGAGCATCCCCAACGGCAGTCCATGCGTGCCCACCAAATGCGCCTGAGCAACATGCATGACAATCGTCCCCAATGAAGCAACAAGGATCAACTCGTGGAGCTTCGCCGCCAGCTGGAGAGCGTTCATTGCGCCGCCCTGGGTGATGCCAGGGAGGATCTGGACATTTGGATCCACCAAGTCCATCCAGTAGCGATCGCGGAAACTCAGCTGGACAACTGCTATCGTGACGGCACTGGCCGCCAAGTGAGGGAGCAGCTTGTGCGAGTTCGGCCAAAACCCTCTGCGAATGGCTTCTTTGGGCCTTTCGAGGGACTGACCGAATGTCTGGGCAGGGTTAGGAGGTGGGATATCGCCCAAGTCGATCTTCTCATACTCGATAAATCTCTCCTGCGGGCTCGACAGACTCTGAAGAGTATAAGACCTTTTCGCGGCTGGGACGATGGGATCGAGGGAATGCTGGGAATCGAGCGCAGCCGGATCAGGAACAACGTTGAAGAGTTTTCCATACAAAGAGCGAGAGGCACGGCGACCGGCACCAATGTGATTCATCGTGACAAGGAAATTAAAAAAAGAGTGACCTGGTAAATGATTGTGGTAAAGAATGGCTGCCAGCCGTGGATCGAAGCAGAAAAGCCTAGAGTATATGCCTCTGGCACCTCAACGAAAATATGCCTGGGATCTTGCCATAAGCGTACTGAGGCAGAAATTGTCGCAGAATGAAGTGGCTAGGGCATTTATCTCAACGTCAGTCAGCAAGATGCCGCTTGGGAAACCCGTCAGCCCAGCGAATGGCCCGTCCTATTGCGACATGATTGATATGCTGAAGACGCCACGAGAGGACCCGGTCCCAAAGGGGGGCCGATCAGCCTCAGCAGGCGAGAAGGATTCCCACATAGCTCTCTACAAGTACAGCAGTAATGTTAGTAAAGGGACGAAGAGCGTGTGGAAGCGCACAACTTTGACCCAGACGTGAAACTTAGCGAGCGCGCAGAGGAGGTCGCGGTAAGCACTAAGCCTGTTTACCAAAGCTGGCCCACGTTTCAACGACGGCCTTGTGCAGTACTCCGTACACGGTAGTAGCTGTCGCCTCCAGAGAGATTTGCGTTTGCCAAAAGGAGCATGACTCCTAGGTTCAGAGAGGGACAGGGTGATATACGAGATACAGTAGTAGACGAAAGGGCAAATCGTCAAGAGAATGTCAATTTCCGGATGGGGGGACTTTTGAGGTCAAGCGAACCGGATGCCCAAGTGTTGCCATGAAACTCTGCACGATCACCAACTAGATGATACTCCCGACATATTATTATGAAATGATCAAAAGAACCACGGGGGCCAAAACTGGCCCTCTCGACATAATCAGAAAATTCGAAAAGAATGTGTAAATTCTTCCGTTTGGTCAGGTGTCTCCTCAACGAATCAACATGCCTGGTTCGCCGGGTAGGGCTGGAAAATAAATGCAGGTGTTGCCAGCCTGACAACATAATATTCTCTTTGAAGCTGACCTGAAGCAGATGGGGGCCGATTCGACTGTGCGACGAAGAACGAACACGGATCCCAACGAGGCCTTTCGCGCCACAACCTCTGTGGCGCTTGGGGTCTGATTGCGGCCGAACTGTCCGGTGTGTTCGTACATACATATCGTCTCTGTTCGAGCCGAAGAAGGATCCAAGAATTCCCACATCGCGTTGGACCCATGTCTCCATTTCTGACCTGGCACCCAGGTCTGCTGGTGCATGTCCAGCTTCGAAACCCACGGCAGCTATCGCTCGTCGTCACATTGTGTGCCTCCTTTTCACTAGTGGAGCCCATACGCTACTCTTTCCTACAGGGCATGCCAGGATTGCGCGAGATCAGCTGGACATTCCGTGGCGGGCGGCCTGTCAACCTGTTAAATCTTCCGTCACGCGATTCCATAAAGACACTGTAATCGATTAGCATTTTTAGGCTGCGTCTTGGCTGTGCGGACAAAGAAAACCACCCAAAGACGTCGACCTGGGGATGTGTCAGGTGGAAGAACAACAAAGATAAGCCAAGTGCTCCTTTGGGTCAGACGCGAAAATCTGCTCCCACAGGTTCTTCAATATGGTGATCTCCAAGCACGCGCTGAGAGAGCCACAAGTCGGTTGAGCCACATCTGGCTTACAATGCCCTGACTAGCCGAGCCAAGGGATGGCAGTTTTCTGAAACCACAGTGGCTGCCAGTGCATTCACGAACACACAGTGGCGACGGGCACCAAGAGCAAGAGCTCGATTGTTTGCATTCTCACGGGGACGTCGGCCGCCACACCGGTCTTCAGCAAAGTTTTCTCAACGGCTGATTGTCAACCCTCCAGAGCAATGCCGACGACAGTGTACTCCATCTTGAGACAGCTTGCTTCTTCGATTCTCCACACGATACTAACATGAGAGATCTGCGCTACAACGTCAGAAATGCGGGGGTTCCATCCTATTCGATGTTGGCGATAAAAACATGCCATGCGACGGCTTGGGAGTATTGGCTTCGATTCTTGAGCGTCAATCCTCCTTGGCTTCAATCAGCGGCGTCGAAGCCATGATTGAATGGTCACCCAATGTCTGTGGTTGGCACAGACGTTATCGGATCAAACAGACCATTTCAGTCAGGTCCCGAGAAGAGCTGGATACGGTTCTCCTTGAAGACCTGCACAACGTGCGTCCTACCCTTGCAGCGCAGATGCCGATCGAGGCTGGGCGTCAATCGACGATCACAGTGTAAGCGACCTGATGGATGATCAACATGACCGCGGACGCGTGCTTGGGTCTTGCAAGGTTCTATTCCACCATTGATGGACAGGAGAAAGAGTCTCGAAAGATGTTGGAGGTCGACATCTCCGATCAGGACGCTGTATCTTCTGTCTCTTTTCAGATCTCCTTTGTCCTGCTCGGCCGTTCATGGACCTGTGGACCTCCAACATGTAAAATCATATGGCAGCAGGGTGGTTTTACTCACCCAACAGCTCGCCCGCTACTTTCTTACCGGCCGACCAGTCTCAAGCCTCCGCGGACCGGACTGCGCAATCCATCCCACATCCTCAGAGATCTTGATAAGCATCAATGGCTTATGTTTTTGGCAGACTTCCTCGGGTGGACCTGGGATGCATTCGACTTCTTCACTGTTTCTCTTATTCTCACTGAGATCGCAGAGGACTTTGGCGTAGAGAATCGCTAGTGTCTTCGATGCGCGGGTCTCGTTTCCTGAACGTTGAACCTTACTGATCATCAATAAGGTCTCACTGTCACGTTAATGCTTCGCAATGTTGGCGCGTTGATATCTGGAGCTATATCCGATCATTATGGCCGCAAATGGCCTATAATCATCAACTTGGCCTTCTTCGTTATCTTGGAGCTCGCTTCTAGATTGTGTACCACACTCCCTCAGTTTCTCGGCGTCCGGTCCTTGTATGGCATTGCTATAGGAGGTGAGATGGCTGTGCGGTCTTTCGGGAAATGCTCTCCAACTTGGACCAGGTCTTCTTGGACCTGCCGCAGCAACGGCTCTCGAGGAATTGCCTACGATGCTCGTGGACTCTTGTGGAGTGTGTTTGAGCAGGGTTATGCGAGAGGGTATCTGCTTGCATCCATCTTTTATCGTGCTGGAGTTCAACGCGGTCTTGTTTCCCGGCCGTTACTCATTCTTTCCAGCTGGTGCCCCCTACCTCCCATGGCTGGCGGTCGCTATTCTAGTTCGAAGCTAGCCCTCCAATCCTTATCATCGCTTTCCGCTAATCACTTCCAGAGACAAATATGTTCCAAGTCATGGCAACAGTGAGTAGCACAGCTCATTGCGGACAAACAAAGAGGCAAACATGTTTACGTCAAGTCTGTAGCTTTCAAAGCATGGGTTAGAGACTCCTGGGTGGCTATAAAGCAGAGCTGGGTCCTCTTTGTAAGCCTACGCGCCTCCCATTGGCGGCCAGTCCTAGAGGGAGTGTGCTGACAGATGGTTTCAAGGTCTATTTGGTTATTTTGATGACGGGTTTCAATTCATGCAGCCATGGAAGGTGACTCACTCCCCCTTAGCCCTGGAAAAGAATAGACTAATGCTTACGGGATAAATCAGTCAGGATTTCTATCCGACTTTCCTGAAGAACCAGGTCCTCATAGGACCGACTGACGTGACCATCATTAGCTGTGTCGGGCAACTAGGAGCTCTTCTCGGCGGCACTATGCTCGGCCATGTGAGCACGTTCTTCGGCAGGAGATTGACAATGATCGTGGCCTGCGTGTGCGGAGGAGGAGCCCTCGTACCGGCCTACATTATGCCACACGATATGAGTCTGGTAGCCTCAGCGTTCGCATTGCAATTCTTCGTAGGAGAGGCGTGGAACGTTATACCAATCCACTTGATGGAGGTTGTCCCGGAGACTCTTCGACCACAGCAGTTGGACTCACTTACCAACTGGGCAACCTGGCCTCGTCGGCATCTGCGACCATCCAAGCGGTGATTGGAGAGCGCTATCCACTGCCTCCACATAGTGGCGAAAAGCATTTCGACTATGGGAAGGTGATTGATTGGCATCTTCATGGGCGCAGTGTGGGCATACCAGATCCTCTTCTTGTTTGTGGGACCTGACATGAGCGAGGCTGAAAGGGCAGAATATGCAGAGGCCAATGAGCTGGAGAGGCTTCGACAAGGAGGGCGCAGCTTAAAGGAGAATGGAGTTGAAAGAGTCAAGTCCAGACAGGCGGGAAAAGCAATGAACGATGATGCTAATAAGAAGGCGTCCGCGGGAGAATATCTGGAGGTGGCATGAATTGGCCGCCGCCAGGTTGCAGGGCATCTTCAAGCAATCCTTTGTCCGAGATAGAAGCCGTACCAGACCATAGCAACCCATGACATCAGGTTCACCAGCGAAGATGTGCCATGCAGTATCTCGAATCTCTTATTGAGTCCTTGCATCTCTTTGCTATGCGGCGGCGGATCGTAGCTCCTTTTCCCATCCTTGGTCTCCTGGTGTTTCCTCTCACGCATGCATTTGGTCGTTGCAGGCCCGAGGTACGCCATGTTCATCAGTCCTGTGACAAGCATTGTCACCAGGGGTGTGAGGACGTGCAATCTGTTTTCCGGATGTAGGACGCCCGCTATACTAGCAGGGTTTGTTCCAATCGCCGTTCTCTCGGCGGGAAATGTCAGTGCGAGAGCAAGAGGCAAGGCGGTCTGCATCGTGAAGTATATGGGAAACGTCGCTTGCTGGAGGGTTGCAAATTGAGGTCGAGGAAGCGATTTGAATGCTACGATACCCCCAATAAAAGATTGGAAAGTTGTCGTGCCCAGGAGGACACCATAGCTTGAATGGACGTTATTAGTTCACCGGGTAAATCGATGATGTACACGTCTGAAGCTCACCTGATGATGTGGTAGGGTGCTGCTGAATAGAGAATCGATGTCTCTGGCATATCGAGTGACGATTTGAGTACCTGGGCAAATCTGAGGCAGGGTTTTCTGTTGAAGAGCTCTAATGAACGGAGAGAGATGTTTTTTGACAGCGAGGCCTTGATGGTGTCATCGGACGCGGACGTACTCGAAAATCCACGTGAAGACGCGAGACGTTCGTGACGCCGCCTGCTCCCCGCTTGAGACGATTCCACCATCACTCACCATCGCAAGCACCACCAACGATATACACGTTTCTGTATTTGTCTTTACAAAGTTGCCTTTACAACATCCGTGCGATTGTTCACCCTGCCCGGCTGCTCTCACATCAGATACCCACAGCCTTGACTCAACTCCCCGCATCGATCATCCAATGGAACTTCCGTCTGCGCCAACGATAACCTAGACAGAATGGAAAAAGAGGTGACAATATACATCATTGACCTAGCCCGGTCGATGGGCAAGAAACACAACGGTCGAGACGAGAGCGACCTCGAATGGGCACTACAATGGGTTTATGACAAGATCACCAACGTGGTCTTCACTGGTCGGAAGACGCTTCAGGTTGGGGTTGTTGGACTTGGGACTGCTGAGACCGACAACGAAATGCAAGGGGATCCCAGTTACAGACACATCAGCGTGCTACAGCCGGTTTCTCAGATCCTGATGGCCGAGTTGCAGAACTTGCCCAAAGTTCTCAAACCAAGCAATACAGACGATCGTGATGTTCTCTCCGCCGTTATTATTGCTGTCGATATGATGATGAGACATTGCAAACATCTGAAGTACAAGAAGAAGATTGTCGTGGTCACGAATGCGACAGGAAGCCCGATTGACGACGATGACATCGAAAGCACAGCGGAACAATTCAAGAGCAATAATATCGAACTGGCAGTGTTGGGTGTGGATTTTGATGATCCAGAGTATGGATTCAAGGAGGAAGACAAACCAGAACTCAAGAGGGAGAATGAAAAGATTCTACGGAAACTGGCTGATCTTAGTGGAGGTGTTCTGGGAACGATGCAAGAAGCTGTCGACGAGCTTTCTCGACCGCAAATCAGGCCAGTCCGACCAACGCCCACTTATAAAGGCCAACTGAAACTTGGCGATCCGACGCAGTATGACACGGCCTTGTCCATTGATGTCGAACGATATTTCAAGACGTCGATCAGGAGACCCCCCACGGCGAGTGCATACGTCGTCAAACCCAACGGGCCCGAGCAAGATGACACGGAGAATTTCGCCAGCGTTCACAACCTGTACAAGTACAAAGTCAAGGGCGAAGAGTACGAAGGCGGATCCAAAATTCTGGATCGCGAAGAACTCGCGAGGGGTTACGAATACGGGCGAACAGCAGTTCCCATCTCAGAGTCGGAGCAAAATGTCACCAAGCTGGAGACAGATATGTCATATGATATTCTCGGTTTCATTCCTGTGGAAAACGTGGAGCGATACATGTTGATGGACAACACGAACATGATCGTTTCCCAAAAAGGCAATGACAAAGCCGCACTCGCCCTCTCTTCCTTGATTCACTCCCTTTACGAACTCGGATCTGTAGCCATCGGCCGCCTTGTCAAGAAAGACATGGCAGAACCGATTCTCACGCTCTTGTCTCCGCTCGTCGAAGCAGACTTCGAGTGCCTCATCGAAAATATCCTCCCTTTTGCAGAGGATATCCGATCCTACCGCTTCCCACCCTTGGATAAAGTCCTCACTGTCTCTGGAGAGGCATTGAGCGAACACCGCAACCTTCCGTCAGAAGGACTGTTGCAAAGCATGAGTGATTTTGTCGACAGCATGAGTCTACTTCGAGATGATGACGAGGAAATGGTGGTCATCGATGACACATTCTCTCCTCTCCTACACACGATCGAAGGCGCTATCAAATACCGGGCTGTGCACAGTTCCCATCCCCAGAAGAAGGACCAGCTCCCGAAGAGACCTGAAGCATTCGATGCACTTCAAAAGCCACCTCCGGAGCTGCAGGAACGGAGTAGAGGAGTACTTCAACGCTTGATTGAGGCAGCAGACGTGAAGAAAGTGCCCAGCAAAGTAAAAGGAAGAAGACGATATCGCGACAGAGAGGTAGAAAAGCCTTTGTCGGGTCTCAATGTAGATGACCTGTTTCGCAAGGCACGACCTTCCACCGAGCCCGGCAAGGTCCATATTTCGTCGGACAACGCGATCCCTGAGTTCAAACAACTATTGGATTCGACAGACAACATGGACATAATAAAAGAGGCAGTGAGACAGATGCAAAAGATTCTAGAGGACTTGGTGAGAAAAGACTTTGGCGGCCAGAATTATCCCCGCGTGGTGGCGGCTTTGGGCGAGATGAGGCAGGAGATAGTTGGACTCGAAGAGCCGACGATGTACAACACCGTGTTGCGCGAGCTCAAAGAAAAGATCTTTACCGACCAGCTGGGTGGGAATAGACGCGAGCTATGGTGGTCGATTCGAAAGAGCAAGCTCGGATTGATTAGCGAGGTCGAGGACGAGCGGTCAACTGTTGATGCCATGGAGGCAGAAGAGTTTCTGAACATAGTCCCCAAGCTACAAGGATGAGTCAACGTACTCCAGAATAAAGGAAACGAGGACGGTTTCCAAGAGCGTTGTGTTTGTACCAGATACCACGAAGGATGCTTGCTAATACGACGAATACATGTCTCGAAGGAGGATGTTGATAATGGTCATGATATCTTCCCAATCCTTCGCTTCGCGATCTGAATCTTTCCATGTACGCGATCAACGTCCTCGTCTACCATCCTCAGCATCTCATTCTGTACCTCCAACTCCTGGTTGATGGCAATTCCTAACTCCTTTTGCCGCTGCACAATTTTCCGTAACTCTTCCACATCAAGGTCTTGGTCAGCCATCTTTTGTTTTTGGAGCTGGAGGACGCCTTGGTTGTCAAGCTCCCGCGTTTCAGCGGTTTCTTTGCCGAGGACTCTGCCGCCGCCGACCTTGGGCTTGTTGTTCCCGTTCCCCATGAGATGTTGGGTTTCCTGCATAGAGGCGACTGCATTGTCAAGTTTAGTTTTCGTGGCCATAGCATTCAGCAGGTTCTCGAGGCCATCTCTATCCTTCTTGGCTGACGCGAGCAAGTCTTTTCTTCTGCGGACTTCGCCCTCTCCAAGCTTCTGCCCGCCCCATCCTCCCTCTGTAGCGTTTTGTATATTGGCCAGGCCTTCCTCTAATGCAGCGATCAAAGATCCTGCCTTGACGAGATGGCTCTTGGCAGCCGCGCTTGCTTCGTGTTGCTTTTGGGGTGTGGATGCTTGGTCACGGTTCGTCAAGTTCAGTCGTGCGTCTTGTAGCTGAGTCTTCAGATCACGATGGACATCGAGCCAGATAACCGGGTCTGTGATCGGAGCGCCTCCACCGCCAGGCCCCGATATGACGGAGTGTATTGCGCCTGCGTTGCTTGATGTCTGGTTCGCGAACGAGGAGGGTAGGTTGAGGAAGGCTCTCCAGACGCTGGTCGAGCGCCACCTCGAGTCGTCAATCTCGTTGATGGTCTTGAGATATGTCTCCAGCCCCAGCCGCCGTTCTTCCGTCAGTTGTGGATTGGAGACAGTTCGCTGAAACCATGACTTCGCAGGCAACGTGCAGGGTGGCGGTGAACCGACCTGGTCCGTCAAGCCATTGTGCAGAACGAGGAAGTCCGAGTAGCGCTTTTGCACCGTGAAGGATCGCAAGGGTAGGCGCAGCGTGACGTTGTAGATGGTATAGGGTTTCGAGCCGCCAGATATCGTGGTATTAGGGATGGAGATTTCGACTCGTGGAGCCATGGTGCAAACGGATGCTCATGTAGTGGTTCGAGTCTTGTTTATTGATGCTGGCATTATGCGAAGTGAAGGCGCATGCGGAATGACGTCGCCTCGTTCCACCACCAAACGGCTGAGGAAGGACATTCAGGATCTAGGGACAAGCGATCACCACATCACGAATCACCCTGTGAGGGAGTCACCTTGCCTGGGGGGACCATGCTATCGCCGGCGTGAAAACGACAAACAGACATTTCTTCTTGTCTCCGTCATGCTGACTCCTTCTCGTCAGACTCTCTGCCGCCATGGCAGCACGGTCGAAGCCCCCTCTTCCTCCTAGAACCCCCTCGGCCGCTTCCAATCGACATGTCAGTTATCTTTCGCCCTCGATCAGTCGAGATCCCAATTCATCTGTCTATCTCGATGGGCTACATGACCCACGAGTATCGTCGACACAATCGCTTCAACCTATCAGACCGGTTGGCGACAACCGCCGCACGTTGCTTGTTGTCTATATCCATGGCTTTCTCGGCACCGAGACCAGCTTCAAGAGCTTTCCCGCCCATGTACACAGCCTCTTGACCCCAGCTGTGGCAGCAACGCATGTTGTCTATACAAAAATCTATCCTCGGTATCAGTCGCGTAGGAATATTTCCTTCGCCCGAGATGATTTTAGCAATTGGTTAACCCCTCGCGAATCGGCCACTACGGATGTGATATTGGTTGGCCACAGCTTGGGAGGTATCCTTGCTGCCGAAGTGGTCTTGATACCCTCCCATTTCCCTCCAGGGAACAACAACCTCTCCCAACATCGTATTCTTGGACTCATGGCCTTTGATACGCCATTTCTGGGCATGCATCCCGGGGTCGTGGGTACCGGCATTGCCAGCTTGTTTAGAAGTGCTCCTCAACTCCCAGAGCCTCAATCACTGCACTCAAGGCCTTTTTCAGATGCATCAGCAACGCTTCAAGATCCGACATATAACCCAGCGTATTCCAACGATGTTTATCTGGCTAACAGGAAAGGCAAATTACAAAGAGCCTGGTACTTTTGGAACAAGCACTGCGGAGAATTGGCAAAAGCAGCCGGAGACTATGTTTCTTCTCACCTTGAATTTGGTGGCTGCCTTGCAGACTATCCGGGCTTGAAGAGGCGCTACAGTGCGGTTCGCGCTTTGGAGGACGTCGACGAGACCTTGGCACCAAAAACGCCGGAAGGAAAGATGATGAGACGCGTGAGGTTCGTGAATTACTATTCGGCAAGCACTGGGCCTATCAGGGAGAGATCGCCTTCTCCAAACAAAGGGCAAACGCTTCTGGAACCGCCTACGGCAGAACTTCAGGATATGTCGACACGCCGATTATCTGGAGAAAGCCTTCATCCATCGACACACTCGAGTCCGCGACTGTCTCTCGAAGAACATCGTGATGGCGAGGTCATAGCAAAAGAAATGGCTGAGCTCAAAATCGACCCAGATCCCCCAGATTTAATTCCTGCCTCAAGCACAAGCGAGCATGATTCGATTTCGGGTCCAACCAGCGACAGTTGGGCTTCAGCAGAAGCCCTCTCTGCTGAGTTAGGGTTACCGCCACTTCCAGCATTGCCTGAACGACCGGCGCGATTCGACGCCAGTCAATATCCCGACGAAGATACCCTCAAACTGGTTCAAAAAGAACATAAGCGGCAAATGCAGATATATGAAAGGGCAGTGAGAGACTGGAAGAAATCCGTCAAAGATCGCGAAAAGCTACTCCGGAAACGCCAGCGTAAGCAGCAGGAACAGGCAAAGACCACCAAGGAGCAAGAAATCCGGCAGCAAAAAGAACGACTACCAACATCGTCCAAAATGAAGCCAGAAGATCATGAGAGGCAACTGCAGCCAGAAGCAAAAGATTCTGGCGCTACATCGCCAAATGAAAAAGTCCAGAAAGTCCGCAAGTTTTGTGCTCTCCCGCCGAAAGATCCAAATACAGGCGAGCCAGACCCAACATGGATTAGGGTGTATATGGAGGGAATTGATGAGGTGACCGCGCACACTTCAATGTTCAACGAGTCAGAAACCTATGTAAAACTCGTGAGAGACGTCGTCGAGAGGATCGAGACATGGGTTGCTGAAGATGCGTCTATACGGACAGTCCTGGCGGAGCTGGATCAATGAGTCTCATTCGAAAAGCACATACGATGATTAATGAGCATATGAGATATTCAATTAGTGAAGGACACGATTTCGCGCGTTATTTGATGTTTTTGCACTAATAGCCACCCGTTTCCTATCGATAAGTTCCCTGTCTCCAAATTGCACGAGACCCCCCACCGTGATTTCGAACAGCCCACTTTTCGTCTCATGACTCAATTCCAACTCTTTTTGTGTCCTCTAAATTTCTCGCGCAATCATCGTTTTCTTCTCGTCTCTGCAGTCATCAGATCAAGATGGAGAATAAAGAAGCCTCATTACCGACGCATGCTAAAGACAACCCCAACGTGTCAGCCGACGGCGCACCCTCGAAGAATGCACTGAAGAAAGCACAGAAGGAGGCAGAAAAAGCCGCAAAGAAAGCCGCGGCAAAGGCAAAAGAGGCGGAACAGAAAGCTGCCCAACAGACGCAGGCGTCTGAGGACACCGCAAAGGACAAATATGGCCCATTACCACAAGACGACCCCGAGATCACCCATCTCAAGAGGCTTGGAGAGGAGCATGTCGACAAAGAAGTTACGGTGATTGTCAGAATCCACAACTCCAGAAGCCAGAGTGCGAAATTGGCATTCCTCATGTTGCGTCAGCAAGGAAAAACTATCCAAGCTGTTGTTGCCGCGGCAGGAGAAGCTGTATCAAGGCAAATGGTGAAATGGGCTGTGGGCGTCAATGTCAACTCTTTCGTCCGCGTCTCAGGAATCGTGAAGAAGCCCGATCCTCCCGTGGCCTCGGCCTCAATCAGCAACCTCGAATTGCACGTCACCAGGATCTACCTGATCGCTTCCGCCGCCGAGCAGATCCCCATGCAAGTAAAGGATGCGGAGCGACCACCGCCACCATCAATAACAGGAGAAGAAGAAGGAGGACCAGCAGTTGATGCCGAGGGAGCCCCTATCGTCACGTTAAAAACCCGTCTCGACAATCGTGTGATCGATCTGCAGACGGAGTGCAACCAAGCCATCTTCACCATCTCCTCTGGCGTCGAAGGCTTATTTGAAGAATTCATGCGCAAATCCGGTTCTCGCAAGTTCAACACACCCAAGCTTCTTGGTGCTGCAACAGAGGGTGGTTCTGGAGTCTTCGAAGTGAACAACTATTTTGGCAAGAGTGGGTTTCTTGCGCAGTCTCCACAGCTGCACAAGCAGATGCTTATTGCTGGGGATTGCGAGAGTGTCTTTGAGATTGGCCCGGTGTTTCGCGCGGAGAACAGCAATACTCATCGACATATGACGGAGGTATGGCTTTCCGTTCACACTTTTAAAGTAAATGCTGACTGCGCTTCAGTTCACCGGACTCGATTTTGAGATGGTCTTCAATCACCACTACCACGAAGTGCTGGAATTTGCCGAGAACCTCATCGTCTTCATTGTCCACGAGCTACAAACTCGCTACAAGGACGAAATCGCCGTCGTGCAAAAGTCTTTTCCCCGTGCAGGAGATTTCCGAATCAAAGACGGCAAAGCTTTACGACTGAAGTATTTCGACGGAATTAAGATCTTGAAAGAAGCGGGCGTGGACACCACCGAACAGGATAACTACGTTACAGATCTGACAACGGCCCAGGAGAAGAGACTGGGACAGTTGATCAGAGAAAAATACGACACAGATTTCTACGTGCTGGACGAGTTCCCGATGGTGGTCAGGCCCTTCTACACGAAACCACACCCGACGGACCCGAAACTGTCCAATTCCTACGACTTCTTCATGCGGGGTGAGGAGATCATGTCCGGTGCGCAACGAATCAACGATGCCACAGAGCTAGAAGCATCGATGAGGAGCAAAGGGGTAGACCCGAACGCAGAGGGGTTCCAAGACTATGTCAATGCCTTCAGGCAGGGGTGTCGGCCTCACGCTGGTGGCGGGCTGGGTCTGAACCGTATCGTCATGTTCTTCCTGGGGTTGGACAACGTGAGACAAGCGACACCCTTCCCTAGAGATCCGCAGAGGTTGAGACCTTAGACTTTTCTTTTTTTCTGCGCGAGACTTGCATGGATGGTCGGTGGATCTTCGGAGTGCGAGGGGACCGGGTGGTGAAAGTCCGAGGCTCATTTTGCTTCCAGAAGCTGTGTTAGGCTGGAGAAAGTTGAAGAGAAAAAACAGAGACAGAACAGCCGCGTGGCGCGGAATGACAAAATGTAGACCAGAGTCTTTGGACGGGAGAGGAGTTGTGCCGAGTAGCCGCAGAATATGGTCGCTTTCATCCCGCAGCAACTCTACAGACACGCCGCAGCCTTGCAGTGGCACAAAATATCCTGGTACTTACTGTATGTGCATTATCCGGTCTGCGGCCCCGTGCCGGGAGCTGGCGGGGGAAAGGGTGGAAAAGCTTCCAGGAGACAAGGTATATGTATGGAATTGAGCGTGTATATTCCAGCTCTTTCCCTTCGCCTCGCCTTGAGTTGTTCTCTGCAAGTCCCCGTTCCCTTCACAGGTTCAAATTTTTATTATTATCATTATCAAATCCCTTCTTCGACATGACGTACACGGGCCAAGTTCCCCCGTCTCTCGCCAACAAAATCGATCCGCGCATCGCCCCCTTCTTCGAGCGCTTCTATGACGTCTCGGACAACCCGACTGCGCACGCCGAGTATGCCGATTCCTTTCTCCCAGACGCCGACTTCGTGATGGGCTCGAAGGCCGTCAAGGGCCATGACCAGGTCCTGGAGTTGCGCAAGGGACTCTGGACGGGGCCGATCCAGACCCGGAAGCACAAGCTGGAGAAGATCTTTCCCTTTGGCGAAAGCAGTCTGGAGTGCATGTTGTACGGCAGCGTAGATTACGGCCTGAAGAATGGCAAGCAGTTGACCGTGGAGTGGGCCGCCAGAGCGGTGTTGGCGGAGTACGAGGGAAAGGAGTTGAGGTTCAAGAAGTATCAGGTTTACTTGGTGAGTGTGTTCACGTCGAGCAGGCGGGAGGAGAGATTGGAGCTAATGGGGAATCATAGGATTCGGCGCCTGTCGCGAACGCTGCGAAGGGGTAGGTAGAAGAAGAGTGCGAAGAATATCCATATGCGCAAACAACGCTCTGCAAGACCCTTTTGGAACACTCTCCCAACCACGTTCAGCGTGATCTGCATAAAACAAACTGAGCACAGCTTCGTCCGTCTGCTATCCGGCCATCTCATAGTAGGTTCCTTTCCGACCGGGCACCCTCAAACCCCCATCTTGTGTAGGTCTCGTCGGAGACATTCTGACCGGGCTGCCCTCGACTTCGGCGCTCTGCGGTCTCTGGAAGTCCTGATATCGCGGTGCTGGCGACGCACTCGGAACACTTTCGTCTGCGGGAAGTTCTGACTTGTGACCGGACCATGCCGGACTTCTCATCTCTGGGTCGCTCGGCCTCCTCTCCACTTGCGGTAGCGTGGGTTCCCTCATCGGCGCCGCTTCATTCTGCTCCTCTTCTCTCTTAGCGCTTCGACGAGCGGATGCACATAATAACCAGGCAAAAGCCAACACGATCGCCGCTGCGCACACTGATCCAAGCCCTATGCCTATCTTTTGTCCTGTGCTCAAGCCGGAGTGGCTAGGTGTAACCGTAGAGGCGGCAGCCGGTGCAGAGGAGGTCTGATAAGAGGTGGATGGGGGAGGCGGAGGAGAACTCGCTGCAGAGCTAATTGATGCGGGTGACAGGGGACCGGTTGCGTTAGTCACTGAGCTGGTGGAAGCGGTGGTCTCGACATCTGAGGCAACAAGTGTGGCAGTAAGGGAGTGTTCTGATGAGTACGCATCGGCATCTTTCCAAGTAACACTGCCGCCCACTGTCGCTGGCAAGGACATGATATTGGTGAGGACGGAGGAGTCGGTGAAAGCGACAGTCCTCGAGTCAGTGTCGGGACACCAGCAAGGTAACGGAGTTGTAACTGTGCTGCCTTCATCTTCGCACGCTACCCATTCATTCGAAGTGCCGTTGCAGTAGACCAGGCCGGCCCATGGTTGCTCTGCAGGGGTCAAAAAGTGTGGGACGGACTGGGTGCGGACTCGTTTCCCTACCTTGAAACTCTCCTTTGTCTGGACAGACCGGGTCGTCGTAACTCGAATCTGTGCAGCCGGCCAAATATGTGACGCCAACTAATCATCGTCAGAGCGAGAAATCTCTAGGCAGCAAGGGGGGGTTTCTGACATTGACCGTTATAGCAAGCGTGCGACGATAGACACATGTCCAGACTCTCACAGCATGACTTGTGGCCGAGGGCGACATTCCCACAAGGGATATACCTGGAATCGGCCTGTGTGCCATCGTAGTAGTAGCAGGTGCCGTTGGAGATATCCGGGTTGTAATCCGCCATGGCTTGCCGAAGGACGGTTGGCATGAAGAGGACGAGGGAGGTAAATAGCATGGTTGTGGCGAGGGAACAAGATCAGTCAGGGTCGTGTAACCCACACGAGGTGTTGTTGACAGATGGTCGCAGATGTCAAATCCAAGATCGGGTACCGGCAGCAAGAGGCTTGTTTGCTGTGAGACAGAGGAGGCCTGTGGGTGCGGTTTCCCGTTGCCGCATACAAGAGAAACGTACGCCTCAGGAAAATGTGCCGTGGCATGTCTCAATTTCATCTCACTTCATCTCACTTGTTATCAGTCTGCCCTGGGTGCTGCCCATTTGCTTCGAAGATCCAGCAAGTCTCTTTGGCCGTAAACCTCGCCTGCAATCGTGACTATCATGTCCGCGATCAGGCTGATGCACTTCTGTCGCTTCGAATCCTGCTCAACGCCTTCAGCAAGCTCTGCCTCTCCATCCCCCATTGAGAGAGTCGGTGTCGCTTCGAGAGGACCAATCACGCCTACATCCAGATTTTCATGTGAACCTTCCTTCTCCTCCTGATCCTCGTCCTCGTCCTCGTCTCCTGGTCCATGCTGTACGTCTCCCATCTCCTGTAACCGAAGCGCCTTCTGCGCCAACTCTCGGATGTCTCCCACCTCCTCACTCGACAACTCTCCGCGATCTCGGCACTTCCCCAGGACTGCCCACACCCAAGCTCCAATCCTCGTCACCCTCACTGGATCCCGTGTGTGGAGCATCTTGTACAGATTTGCCGAGATGAACCTGACCAACTCCACGACAGTATTCATATCCATACAGGCAACCTGAACAGGATGAGGGTCCGCAGACAACATGTGCTCTTCCCACTGCTTTCGCACCTTGCGACTGTTCTCCGGGAATGATATGAACTGCAAGGGACGAAGCGCTTCAACAGCTGGAAGAGGTGGTAGGCATCTTAGCGTAGCACGGACTAGTCTGAAATGTGCGAGAAGCGAGTTGTAGTACTGGATTTGAGCAGGTGGTAAGCGCGGGTCTGCTTCCACTGGTGTTGGAATTTGGTTGACTGCAGTGTATGTGCCATCGTTATAGTACCCGCCCTGCCCCATCTCCTCCTTTTCTTCGATTCCATTCAGATGTGCGGCCTCTATCTGAGCAGATAGAATGGATGGGACAGCCTTTGCTTCCGACCTGGGACACAAGATCAAATATCAGCCCTTGCCTGCCCTTGACCTGGTATACCAGACGTTCAGTGACAGGCGACCAAGTTATAACGAGGAGACTCACCGCACCATCCTCAGGTAGTCGACTCCATCATTCGCAGGCCCGTAGAAGAGTTCACCCCTATCCTCCCCAAGCCCAGGAAACGCACCGACCTGGCCACTAAACTGGTCGATGTACGGGACTTCATCCGTCTCCTCTTCCTCTGAATCGCTCCTGTATTGACGCTTGACGAGTGGAGACTCATCGGGCTCGGGAGATGACGTGTTGCGGCGTTTGCGCGACATGTCGCAGGAGGCTTCAAGTCATCGTGTACTGAATTGCCGGGTGACGACCTGGTGGGATGAGAGTGAGCCAAATCACAAGGCGTCTAAGGAATGCGCTTCGCGTGCGCCAGGCAGTACGGCGGATCACACAATCTTTTCGAGGCTTCACAATGTTTCTGCCTTGAGCTTCCATTCTTTTTGGAATGCTCTTTAATTCATAAAATACCAGTTATCGGATTATAGCATGGAGTTCGACATGTCATCGAGATACATTGCGTGGCACAACACTGGAGATGCATATTATCGTCCGCTGCTGTAACTACGCAACAGCTAAGCAATTCCGACGAGCACCATCATCTGCAAGCACCGCCTCCGATCAATCTCTTTCTTCAACATGACCAAGCATGTGGCCACGATTACCGCCTCATCTAAATGACTTGTCGCCTCCTGGTCGAGTATGAGCTGCCCCCCATTTCCAGCCGCGCATCTGGAGGTACCCTCCGTCCGCGTACCATCGGATCTGATCAGCTGGGCTAGGATGGCTCCCGTTTCCTTTTGGCGCAGTGCAATGATTTTGACTTTCTTGCCCGATATGTCTTTCCTGTGTGAGTAGCTCCATTCAAATGAGTGCCCATTTGGGGTGGTGAAGGTTGTGGACCGAGAACCCAGCTTCCCAGAGACTTTAATTCGGTCGGAATTGTCGCCTGTCCCGGTTTGACCTTGGACCAACCTCAAATCAGGCTCACGCTTGGGACCAAAGAAGTATGACGTGCTTATTATGTCGCCCAGCTTTGGGTGGTTGAGCACTGCGTCACCAGAGCACCGCTTTGCTTTCGTCGAGGTATATGCCAGACTCCCGTCATTATGAAAAACTTGGATTTTCAGCTCGGAGCAAGGCCCTGGAAATCGGAGCACGCCGATTCCTCGAGCTGAAATATGCAGGACCGTACCAGGGCTGAAGATATCGGGGTCGAGAAGGGTAGTGGCGGACGAGGCATGGGGGAAGAGGGAGGTTTCCGCAGATTTGGCATCTACTTCGGCTATCTTCTCTGTCGAGGTTAGGACCTCATTCTTGTACTCGAAGTATTTCGCAGCCATTCTGTTATGGTTCGATGTATTTCTCTCAAATGGCAGATAATAACACTGAGTGATGGTGACCGTGCAAGACTTTGACTTTCCTAGACTCTGAAGACCGGACTGACGTACTCCTTTCGGACATGCCGGTGACCCTGAACCTTTTAATCCCCAACATCCCAAGAAGGCCAGCGGCCTTGTCGTCTGTACCACGCCTCGTCATCGTATTCGGAATTCCACATGTAGGCTGGGTTGACGAGGCTGATTTATGATTGGTCGAGAATGCGAGGCAGACTCCTGGGCGCATCCGTTGACAGGCTGGGGCAAACCCGTCGAATCGGTCGAATCTCAAAAATAGAACGAGATTGCGGGCTTGGACAGCATCGATCTTCTTGTGGAGAATCCAGACTTCAGGAATCATGGCTGCCTGTTGACTGAGCGTCTGCGCGCCCCGAGCCCCCTTTGCCGAGAGGTACTGTTGTCAGTCTCGTTCGCCCGCCGCTTTCACGACCACGATGTCAGGCAAATCTCTGATGTCGGTCAACACCCCCATTGCCGAACCCCCTTCCTCCACTTCTCTGACTAGGTCGACCACTCTCATGGCGTCGACCCGTAGGGTGCCGACCTCAAAAGCGACCATCTGAATTTCGCTCTCGTGGCACTGGTCATGAGCCAAAGGACCAATCCTAAGCTCTGCTGTTAAAGCCAGCAGATCAGTTTCCGGGGGAACAGGATAGGAGTGGTGCATAGCATAGACGACGTTTTCATCGACAATTGCCTGTGCGATATCAATGTCCTCGCCCTCTTTGGTGTGTCGCCGCTCGCTTGGATGGAAGGAGGCAGTAGATGACTTCGGTGCGTGTCGTTTGGCAAACAATTGGGTCTGAGTGGTTTGGCGTTGAATCCGAGGTAAGGGAATGATGGCAATTTTAGCCATCTTCAGGGAATTGTTCACGACCAGAACTTTCCATGAAAATGGCTCGCCAACTCGGACTGGAATGTCGGGAGCTGTGAAAGATATTGACAGTCCACTCCTCGCCTCGGTATCAAAGGCTGGCTGTAGGCTGGCGCTGACGGCAGCTGCGGGGGCTGTCGTACCGATGTCAGGGTTAACCGGGAGACTTGTCGGGCGATTCGGCCGTTGTATGGGCTGTGAAGGAGGACCAAACGACGGGTTAAGGGCCGGAGTAAAGTCGACGTTGGTAGTCCACTTCATAACAAGAACCGGATGACATTTCTCATTCAGCTTGATCGCCAGCCTAATCACAATTGACAGGACGTCAACGTTTGGATTGACGGGTCCGAATCCAGGGGCGCGGTTTGGGCTTATCTTCTGATGGAGTCTATAAAGGAAAGTTATGCAGTCTCCTGAGCGGGTTTTCATCGGCAGAAATCCAGGCATCAGAGGCTCGGTGCTACCATTCTTGAGAGAGAGATCAACATACTCGATTGTAGCATCTACTCGCACGAACGGAATGATGTCCATATCCAGCAGAACGATAGTTGCGGGGGTTGTACTGAAAGCATTCACCTTTTGATACCGTATTCGTGACATTGTCGCAGGTACTGCACTATGCCGCCGAGAAGGGACGTGTTGGAGGTGGACCCGGTGCATGTGAGTTGTGGTCATGGGAAGTACGCGTTCCAGCCTCGAAGCAGCCAGGTATGGAGGGTTATCTTTGAGCCCGGGGAGAAAGCGCATGGGTTCGAGTGCATTTGCTTCCAGCGGTTGAAAAGGTTTAAGATTGTCATTCTTGTCAATTTCGTCCCGCTGAGGAGGATTGATGGTGGCAGAAGGGATCAGGATGATTGCAGGCTGAGGAGAGCGAAACCTAGGTCGGTTGAGAATGATTTCAATCTCCCAAACCAGAGTTAAGGTCTGACCGCGGGCTGCAGTCTCACTGGCCAGGACCATAGGTTCGTTCTTCTGGATCGAGTCTGCGGAGTACACGAGGTCTTTGGGAGGTGTTGCGTTGGGTGTATTTTGTTCGTTGCCTGTCGACTCCTCGATGGCCCACACGTCAATTTTGAAAGAGAGCTGTGAGAGAAATGACTTCAAGACATCTTCGTCGCAATGAGGCAGGCGTATGACCGCCAGTGTCCTCAATCTTTCATCTGATCTGGGGATGAGTAAGATAGAATTCCTCGGACGACCGGGACCAAACATACCAAAAAACAGTAGCTCTCTTTCCTTGATGGCGAGAAGCTGGTTGGAGTCATTCTGAACCTCCGCCCCTGCTTGTAGAATCTCAGAAACCTCAGCCACTGTGTCCGATGGAATAATGGCATCTACCAGGGCTGACTTGCACAGATCAGCTTCCATCTTGGGAGGTCGATTCGAGGGAAAGCTTGTCAGGCATGCCTCCCTGTCACTACTAGAAGACACAGGTTCCTGGTATCATCTTGACCTGCTGTAATAGGGGGATGATGCTCATCAATGGTTTGTGGATGACACGATGAAGTGCGCGTGCGTGGTTGATGCCAATCACCCGGAAAGACGAGCAGCTTATGTAATAATTGATGGTTGGGTTCATATTTTTCGGCTCCCACCTCAAGTCCCCCCTACCATTTTCTAAGAATCGCAGCTCATCCTCCACGATTCACGTTCGACTTGAACCTGTCATTCCTTACTGTCATCATCACTACCTCCTTTCCGTATGACCAGTCAACATTTTAACGTGTGAAAATGAACGGGCTTCCACCAACACCCGGACAATGGCGAGAAGCGCGCGCCCCCGACGGACGCACTTACTACTACCACACCATCACCAAGGAGACAAAATGGACCAAACCTCCCGATCTTATGACTCCGTTGGAAAAGGCGCTTGCCGCTCAGCCATGGCAAGAATACACCACTCCCGATGGCCGGAAGTATTACTCAAACTCGGACACGAAACAGACCGTGTGGGACATGCCACAGCAGTATCGCGACGCCCTGAATTCCGTCCAACTCCCTCCTAAACCGGTCCAGCAACCCCCTGCCTTCGTTGCCGGCGGAACTACTGCCCTTTCGTCCTACAATCATGCTCGCGAACGAGACGATCACGCGCCTTTCGATTTGAAACCTCGTCCTGAGAGCGCGCTCTCGGTGCCGTCCATCGCAAAGGAAGTTGTGCCGGATTACTCCAGCTTTGAGGAGGCGGAAGCTGCGTTCATGAAACTGCTGCGACGGTCCAACGTCCAACCCGATTGGACCTGGGAGCAGACGATGCGGGCGACCATCAAAGACCCTCAATACAGAGCCTTGAAAGACCCGAAGGACAGGAAGGCAGCTTTCGAGAAATATGCGGTCGAGGTTCGGCAACAAGAACGGGAAAAGGCAAAAGAAAGGCTGGCTAAGCTACGCACAGATTTCGGTAACATGTTGAGAACACACCCCGAGATCAAACACTACAGTCGATGGAAAACAATCCGGCCCATCATTGAGGGTGAGACCGTTTTTCGATCCACTGACAACGAAGATGAGCGTAAGCAGCTTTTCGAAGAATACATTATCGAGCTTAAGAAGCAGCATATCGAACAGGAAGCCGCCGTCCGCAGGTCTGCGCTGGATGACCTTGTTGCTATTCTCAAAGCTCTCGACTTGGAGCCTTACACCCGATGGGCGCAGGCGCAGGAGATTCTTCAATCCAACGAGAGGATGCTGTCGGATGAGAAATTCAAGCTTCTGAGTAAGTCAGATGTTTTGACGGCTTTTGAGAACCACATCAAGTCGCTCGAGAGGACCTTCAATGATGCACGTCAGCAGCAAAAAGCCACCAAAGTAAGACGCGAAAGACAAAACCGCGATAGGTTCCTGGAACTACTTCAAAGCTTGCGAAGTCAAGGCAAAATCAAGGCGGGCACCAAGTGGATGAGCATATTGCCCGAAATTGAGGATGACCCGAGGTATGTTGCAATGTTGGGTCAGGCCGGTTCAACACCTTTGGATCTCTTCTGGGATATGGTCGAAGAGGAAGAAAGGGCTCTGCGGGGAAGGCGAAACGACGTGTATGATGTGCTTGAGGTAGGCTACAGACCCTTTCATATACACAGCATACGCTAACCACCAGCAGGACAAACGATATGAAGTCACAACTCGAACTACCTTCGACGAGTTTTTTGATATCATGCTTACTGATCGGCGAACAGCCAATATCGATCGAGACGCTCTGCAGCTCATCTTCCAGCGGCTGCATGACAAGGTAGTGCGGAGAAGCGAGGATGAAAGGCACGCAGCAGACCGCCACCAGCGTCGCGCTGTGGACGCGCTGCGGTCAAGGATCAAGCATCTAGAACCTCCGGTCCGCATTACTGACTCTTGGGAAGATATCAAGACTCGAGTGGAGAAGACAGATGAGTATCATGCCGTTGAGACTGAAGAACTGCGGAAGTCTGCCTTTGACAAGGTGGTCAAGCGGCTGAGAGAAAAGGAAGAAGACGCCGACAAGGACCGTGAACGGAGGCATTCCAGACGAGGCGATGACCGAGATCACCGAAACGGCCATCGCGGTGAAACCAGATACGGCCGACTCTCTAAGACCCCAGAGCCGGATGCTTACGAAGCAGACCGCCGCAAAGCACAGGCAGCTCGGGAGAAACAATACAGAAAGGCGAGTGGGTTCAGTCCACCACCTTCGCACCCTCGTGAACGAAGGGAACGCGACGAGAGACACGGTCGCCTCGACCGTGACAGAACACCTCCAACTCGACGCGTGAGTGCTTACGAGCGTGAACGGCGCGAGAGAGAAGAAGAACGAGAGCGTCTATATCGCACACGAGCCGAACCGCGCAGCAGCAGGGATGAACTCAATTATGGCGAAGAGTCAAGGAGCATCACCGGCGGCGACCGACGAAGGAGAAGGGAAGGAAGCGAAGACAGCGTTGAGAGTGGACGGCGTAGTGCAAAGCGGAATCGTCGGGAGCGAAGATCACGGTCGCGTGAAAAGGGAAAGAGCAAGACGCCCGAACCACCGTCAGCCAAAAAGGACAAAGACAGTGATATGCTGCGAGTTACAGAGCCGAGTGGTGTGCATTCGGGAAGCGAAGAAGGCGAGATCGAGGAAGATTGATCGGTATCAAGCGGCATAGCCCTGAAGGAGGACACACCAGGTCAGTCAGTCAAGGTCTTTTTGCACCTTTCCTTTGTTATCAGGGACTTACAGCAGCTATGTCCCCAGCTACTTCCTGCACGCGCAGGAGAGACTTGGGACAGCAGGCTGGGGTTCTCTCGGATAGAACACCTGAGGCAGCAGGCTTCAAGTTGTCTGCTCCAGAGCCGACGTTGGGAAATGTGCATTCTGTTAGGTACGTAGAGCCCTGCGTCCCAGGCTTCTAATCACGAAAACTCCAGCGTCTACGTCTTCGACACCAGTGGTATTTATCGCTGGAGGCGGATGGCCTCTTGGGGACTGATCTGTACCCATGTGTTTCTCCATTCTCGTAGATCCTCGCTTCGGCCCGAAACCGTTTTAGTTGGGGCTTACGATTATTATGATCCACTGCCTCCCTTTACGAGAATCTATTCTGATGTGTCAAACTATTGATCGTGGGTGGTGCGCTCGTCAACGGCATACCGGTCCGCGAAGCACGTCAAGACACCAGGTGCACGCATGTCCGGCTTCGTTTATGTGTCCTACATATGCTTAGACATTCAGCGGATAACCAGAAACGAATGAGCGCGATATAATAGACTTGGTTTGAACCCGGGACCTATCTGGGTTTTGGAGCCATCATAACACCAAACATTGCGAGCGCTTCGCCACAAAGATGAGCTAGCCCGCCTTTATCGGGCTCAGTTGAAACAGTGTCTTTCTTTTTAACCTAGCGGCAGATGTCGCAGTTTGCACGTGGCACTCGACCTCCGCCTGGTAGACAGTGCTCAAGCATTTCGGTGCACACATGTAGCTCCAACTGTTCAAAATTCCATGTCGTCCTGGCCAGCTCCAACCCCATTTCTCAGAGAAACTTTCGATAGATTCAATCTCGATTGACTCTGATCTGCCATCAGCTCATCAGCTTCTTCATCTCTTTCGCTCTCATCGTCTATTTCAAAGTTGAAATCTCCACGCTCGATCCGACTGCACCTATCCAGAATAGCTTGGTATTCTTTCCGCAAGTCTTCCAGGGTGATGATCACGCGCCGTCGTTTGTTCATCTTCATCATCTCCACGTCGTGTTGCAGGTTAGCAACCTCACCATTGATCGGGTTTCGAGCCGCTTTACTATTCTCGGTCTCGACGAGAATATACGCCTCATCCGGTGCCATACAGGCCATGAGATTGATGAGAGCAAGCAAGACGTGTCTCAAGGCCGTGGCTTTTGGGTCATGCCGAGCCCGAGCGGATTTGCGGATTAACCGGAGTCGGTCGTACAGGACAGTAATCGCACCACGATAGTCATTCTGAGAAATGCGGACGGCGTGCATAATGCTAAGATAGTCGACTTTGCCGTTGTCTGAGCTCAAGTTCGATGACGTCAACTGAGATTTTGCAAGGGAAACGAGGTGTGAGTCCATATGTCGGGCAAGTTGAGGATACATTGCCCAAGGCAGAGATTGAAGAGTCTGTACCACACCGTCGGGACCGAAAACAGATCCACTCGAAATCAAGATTGAGTTGATCAGGCTTGTCACTGATGATCGCTGCAATGCCTGGTCGGGGAGCTGGACCAAGGCACTGTAGGCGCGATCGAATCTAGATAGCTTGAGTTCTGCAGTGACCAGTCTGGATAGCACTTCGGCTCGAAAATTGGGGATTGGCTCTTTTTGCCCAGCGTGCAATGATTCTAACGTCAAGTGGGCAAACTGAGCTGCTTCATTATACGCTTTTGCAGACTCGAAAAGAGATGTAATATGATGCAGGTAAACGGGCAGTCCGTTGTTGAAACACTCTGCTTCAATCATGGACAATAGTCCTGCTGAAAGCGCAACCAGGTTTCCAACCGCTTTTCCGCACGCGAGACCGTATGACGCCTTCCGGAAATAATGTGCTGCAACATCATACTCGCCTTTCGCATTAGCCAGACGGCCTTTCACATAGCTCGACCAGGACGTTGACGGTTGATACTGTAAGAATTCGGTGGCAAGCTCGAGTTCGCCCTGTACAAGTAGGTCACATTGGAGGTAGACTGCACCTTCTTCTGGATCCAACGTATCTTTTCCAGAGGCCCAGTTGTCAATCTCCGAAAGCTGGTCTGTGATCAGATACATCAAAGGTTTCTCGACGGCAGGCTGTGGTCGGACAGCTTTGCTTAACGTGTCCTCCATTATGGTGACCCGTCGTTTGTTTTCGGCAATGGTATCGGACCGTTGGCGGGAGGCATTCGGGTGTCCATCGGCACCAAGAATCTCCAAGGGAACCCGTCGTGAGTGTGATGCTAGCCACAGGTTGCGATTACACAGCCGGAGAAGGGGTGCAATTTGGTCGTATAGTTCAGACGCGTCGAAAATTGTCGATTTCGCTTCCTCCTGGCTTAACTCGCCCTCCACAAAAATCGCCAGAGCAAGAAGATCCATGAGCAGTTCCTTTTGGGAGGACAAGAGGTTGAGCACACCAACAGACAAAAGAAGATTTCCGAATAGCGTGTTCCTCAATGCGCTTTTCGCTCTCCTGCCCCTAGGCACGAAGAGCTCCAAAACTCCGAAGAAAAGTTCGTTGTTCAGGCCAGAAATGCCGCCTACAGGAGAAAGATCAGACCGAAGTCTTTCAAAAGTATCGTTCGATATAGCGTCACCAAATCCTGTGCTATCATAGATATTCAGTGTCCGTGTCGGAGTGACATAATCGGCACCAATGGATATATCTTCGTCAATTGCAACCACGAGATCCCGAGCAAGGTCTGAGGGAAACGATTCCCTGAAAGTCCTCGCCGCCGAGATCAGAAGAGCCAGGTCGAGGAAGGGCTCTCCGTCGTCAGTACTGACTTTTCGGTGAGGCCATAATCGAGCAGTCGTGCCTTCGAGATTTTTTATGTCGTCAAGCTCATTCTGCTGGAGGAGTTCAAACTTGCTGCATTCTCGAACCGCACAACATTTGTCTGCCATGGTAATCCACACCATCCCGCCGAATGCATCGTAGGCCAGGGCCAGCGGAGCATTGCGGTCGTCATTAACATTTTCAGCTATTCGGTAGAAATTGCGCCATTGGGTATCAGTGTCGATACAAAAACGGTCAAAGTCCATGTCGGATTCACTATACTTCCGCAGAGAGATGTTGGCTGCCACAGTCGTACACATGCGTTGTCTCAGGGGAGCTTCTTTCTGAGAAGCAGTCAATTTCACCGAAGTCGCATCTTCATATATGGATAAAGCCGTGTCGAGGGCCTCCTCAGAGTAGCGGCCAGGATGGAAGAAGAAGGCCAACCACTTCGAAGCTGGATCTTCCTGATCGCCCTTGACGAATTCTGGAGGCACAGTCTTCGCTGACACTGTCGCGTGGCATTTGACCCAGTTGGTCTTCCATGAGTTTGCCAGACTGCCCAGTTCCAGTTGACAGTTGTAAAGCTGGTGGTAGTTGTGGTTTCGCCAAAGCACCCAGAGCTGAGCAGACTTGTAATTGGTGCCTGGATCGAGCTTGAAGCCAATCATGGACCAGACAGTGTTTCCTGATGGGTCTGGATCGGGAGCACAGAGTTTTGTCTCCGGATATCTGTCTTCAACAAGAAGCGAGTCTGTGAGGCTCCCCTTGACATCCCAGAATTTGAACTGCCCTCCATCTTCGGGACTGTAAGTCAAAATTGTAGGAAATTTCTGCACTTCGTCTTCTTTGAATATCTGCAAAAGGGCATCTCCCGCTGGGTTTAAGTGGGTTCTGTCGTTAGGGTCCCGGGTTAAGCCCATCAGGTCTTTCGTAGCAACAATTTTCCCGTTGTTGAGATTCCAGATTCGCAAAGTATGATTCAGGCACACAGTGAAGAGGAGATCCCCATCCGCGGACACGGACATGGTCTGGGCGGTTCTCGGATCCAGTTGTGTTGAACCATATTCGATCGTGTGATAGCCCCGTCGAGTGACCAGTCCTCGGATCGATGCGCCCCATGACCGGTCATCGTAGTTATCCTGTTCCCAGCTGTCGTGTAAAGACCTCCTCTTCAGCCTCTGTAATCGTCCGCCGGCAAAAGATATGATCACTACCAGCGAGGTATTCGCATAAATGCGGTAGACTTTATCTATGCCGAGGGTGGAACTTTCGAGTGGCTGGCACCACTGATTGAGGTTCTCGCTTTGTAGGATTCGCGAGTCGTGAAAGGCTCTCATGGGCACTCGTAGGTTGAAGATCTCGTTTTTGTCGGTACAAACAAAGATGCTAATCTCGTCGAGATTCTCTAAATCCGCAAAAGTGACTCCTCGAGGAATGATCTGATCCTGGAACTCGAACTGGATGGTAAGGTAGGCCTCGTTGAGATCGGCTTCGCTTCTTGCGAAATCGGCGCATTGTATTTGCAGCACTTTTCCATTGTTCACCACTTTCCAGTAGAATGTCCGTGGGTATGTTTTGGACGCTCGAAAATATATCGAGCTTTGCGAGGCCAGGAATTGGGAGAAATAGGAGCTTTGATCGTTTCGCGAGGCTCGGCCATTCTCAGCACGGGTCGAAGCAGATTTGGTCTTGTCATACAAGCCGTTCTTTCTCGGAACACGGAGGTGTGTTACTGAGTCTGCGGCCGCCGGGGTCACCTGGAAGGCGGTCTCGGTATAGAGATTGAGCATGGTTGCGGCTGTTGCCTGGGTCGCATTTGTTCAAGGAGCGTTATGGCGAGGAGCGACTTGAAGCATCTGTGCCATGATAGTGGACTTTGGGGAATGCTTTGTACAGTAGAGTAACAATAGCAAGATTTCTAGGACGCGTCTCTCCTCAAAATATCGCGACCAATGATCGCTAAGCAAGGAGGAAGCACCAGCCGGGCGACTGCGCCAAGTCACGAGCTCTTGGCGCGGAAAGAATGGGAGCGGGTTGGGGTGAGGGCTCGTGGTCTAGTTGATTTCATGGCATCATGGACACATAATCGGTACTTCATCCTAAGTCCAGGATTGAGGGAAGCATCAATATCAAGTCGCGCCCCTTCTTTACATTCCAGATCCCGTCCGTTGTCTACCACCAGTCGCCTTGATCTTTCATCGCTGCCGCGACCTTGGTGAATCCGGCAATGTTGCTGCCCGCCACCAAGCTGGGAAATTCGTCCTCTTTTGGTGTGACATATGTCTTCGCGGTCTGTAGCCCGTTTTCGAAACAGTTCTTCATGATGAGCTTCAGTTTCTCGTCCACCTCTTCCGCAGTCCATTTGATTCGTGCCGAGTTTTGAGCCATTTCGAGACCTGAAACCGCCACACCACCTGCATTAGCAGCCTTTCCTGGAGCATACCAGACCCATTTCTCCTTCTTGAAATTTCTGGCTGCCTCGAAGACGTCGATTGCAGCTTTTGTGCAGCCCATGTTGCTTCCTTCGGCCACAAACTTGCAACCAGCGGCGACGAGACCTTCGGCTTCCTCGCCGGATACTTCGTTTTGCGTCGCCGAGGGCAGAGCCACGTCGACCTGACCCACATGCAGCCACGGTCGCACACCGTCAATGTATTTGACCTTACTGCTAAATGCAGAGGTGTGGGCGACCTCGGAGAGCTGTTTTCGGTCCACCTTGAGTTTTGCAATGGTTTCGATCATCTCTGGGTCAATACCCTGTGGAGTAGTGGCGACGATGGCACCCTTGCTATCACTCAAAGACACGACAGTCCCCCCTAGCTCAATCACTTTCAGGGCTGCATATTGGGCCACATTTCCAGAGCCAGAGATGGCGACCCTTTTCCCTGTGAATGATTCGGTGCCGCCAGAGGCATATTTGATCATGTGCTCGACGTACTGGCAACTATTAGTCAACTGCCGCTGACGTGATGGGGAGGCCTCACATAGACGACACCGTAACCTGTCGCTTCAGGTCGGATGAGGGAGCCACCCCAGCTGCCTGCAATCTGTCAGAGATTGTGTTCTCTCGGAGGTATGAATTGTTGACTCGCCTCCTTTCCCAGTCAAAACACCTTGCCACGTCCTGTTTTGTTTCTTGTATTGTCCAAATAGCCAGCCAATCTCTCGTCCAGATACACCGATGTCGCCCGCTGCCCACATAATCAGCCTACCGAATAGAGCAAGTGGTCTCGTGTCGCTTACCCGGAACATCGACGTCCGCGCCAATGTGCTTTCCGAGCTCGCTCATGAAAGCACAACAGAATCTACGGATCTCGTTGTCTGATTTACCCTTGGGGTCAAAATCTGCGCCACCTTTTCCACCTCCCATGTTCAGTCCAGTGAGTGCGTTCTTGAAGATCTGCTCGAAACCCAGAAACTTCAGGACAGAAAGGTTCACAGTAGGATGAAATCGGAGGCCGCCCTTGTAAGGACCAAGCGCGGAATTGAATTGTACACGGTAGCCCCGGTTCACTTGGAGCTGGCCCTTGTCGTCTTCCCACACCACTCGAAATTGGATGACTCGTTCGGGGATGGAGCAGACGTTCAGGGCTGTTTTGTATTCTGGGTTCTTCTCAAAGAGCGACGAGTTCTCGAGAGTTGAGACAAGCTCCTCGTATGCTTGCTCGAACTCGGGTTCGGAGGGGATGTTGGTCATGTTGTCGGTCGAAAGTGAAGAAGCAGAGATGAGCGAACAGTGAAGTGAGAATGCAACCTGAAGAAAGGTTTGTGTTGGAAGCAGAAGTCAGAGGGGAGGGGAAAAAATGTTCACAGATATAACGGCTGGCAGTGAGTCTTCAACCAGCTGTCTCTCGGCCTGGAATGAGCTCTGTCTGTCGTCTACAACCGCAGCTCTTCACCCTTGGCAGCAGAAAAAAATCTGTCAGTACGTCAGTCCGAAAGGTGACGACACACATCCCACACCCAGGCACCTTGCGCACCCATGATGCATGTGCAGCTAGCAGGCCTGGAATTCTGCTCTCCTTAGCTTATCTGAAGCCCAAGGAGACAACAGGGGGAGTCCAGAACCCATCGTATCGACAAGTGCTCTGTGAAGATGGTGTTGACAAAATTTTGTAAGGGTTGGAAGTGAGCGCGTCCATTGGTTCGATAAGGGAGGGCGCGCAGAGATGTTGATAGAGCTGCAGTGGGGACTTGGGATGGGACTCAGGACCACAGGAGCCCCATTTTGTGCCCCTAGCGAGTAATAGTGGTGGCTAGGGGGTTTACAGTAGGTAGCTTCGGAGTTGGTGACAATGGCGAAGCCCCAAATTCTATTATCGAGGCCCGTCGCCCTTTCGTTTTCCGCGCAGTGGAGTGCAGGTGTTGAGCGGCTGGTCCTGCTTGTTGCGTCCAGAGGTTGCTCGATCCGATGTCGCTGTGCATCGCCTACTTCCCCCCCAAAGCTTGTTGGATGTAGAAACACTAACCCACCCGAGCCCGGAGTCAGCCATCAGAAGCAAATGCCCTCGCTAAGCACGTCCGCCCCAGCTGGGAGCAATTTTTCTTTCTCTCGCTAAATACATGTACAGTAAATGGGCGACTCGGATGTACCCGAGCCCCAGTGCCAGCTGACGAAGAGGAAAAACCATCCCACCATATCCCGTGTTATATCGCAGAAACCCCTGTCCACGTTAAGAAGTTTTCTCCACGAAGCCGGGGCACGGGTTGAAGTTGGACACGTGAAATAGAAAATTCTTCCTCAACTACCTCCCCGCCCTGCACCACAGAAACAAAAGACCGCAGGCGGTATTTTTGTGTCAACTCCAAGGGCGCAGTGGAATGGTGCTCCAGAGTGGAGAGGGTCAACATGGAACCGGAAGCAGGCACATCGCCCCGGAGTCTGAACCTTCCACCCCTGAGTCCTGAGTCACATTCCCGTTGCGCGAAATACCAGGATGTCAAAAGCAATTGCTTGCTATACAGGCAAGGACGGAAACCAACTTCTCAAACGTTGCAGCTCGGTTGATGGTTGACCGTGTGCACAGCTATTTGCTTTACTGCTTGTGGACTTTTCCTCGCGCCCAATAGACCATCTCGCCGTGCTCCAAATGGCCGAAACAGGAGCAAGCTTTTCCATAAACCCCGTGCGACTTCCGAGCGACTTGTCAGATACTACTGCTCTCTTCTATGCCTATGCTAGGTCCTTGGGCTTTGACCTATCTTTCCAAAATTTTGACAATGAAATGGCAGGGATGCCGGGGAAATATTCTCCTCCACAAGGAGAATTACTCTTAGCCAGGAATGACGCTGGGGGTGCTATCGGGTGTGTCGGACTGCGGCCTCTCCCTTCTACGGTAGCAGGAGGTAAGGTCTGCGAGATGAAGCGCCTCTACGTTACGCCAGCAGGGCGAGGGACCGGAGTCGGCAAAGCCCTGGCCTCTGCCATCATCGCTGTAGCAGAGAAGCTCGAGTACGACGAAATGAGGCTGGATACCCTGCCGAGTATGACCACGGCGTTAAGGATGTACCGCAACTTCGGGTTCGAAAACATTGCCGCATATTATGAGACTCCTCTAGAAGGGACTCATTTCCTCAGCTTGAAACTGCCAAGACAGGCAAAAGAACGACCCTGGTCCGGAAGCAGGAACTGTTGATCGACAGAGATATTATCGTTGGGGTGGCACCTCGGGTGACGAGTATAATTGAACATTCAGCACAACGTACAGTGCCAGACGAGCTCGAATGCTTCATCGCAGTGCATTGGGATGTTTCTGTTCCCATTTCTTGACAGCATTGAGCGCGGCCGTGATTTTCATGCCCAGCCGGGCGTCAAGCTCGTACTTCTCCCAGCCTCTCGCCTTTTCCAGGTGATGTTTTGCTTCTTGAACCAATTTTACGTCATGAACGAGGTCAAGCTCGGGCATCTTCTCTGTGGGATCTCTGATGAATGTGGCTCCATGTTGCTGAGTGTATGCTGTCCTCTGCATCCACAGATTAACCGCCATTTCATGATGTGCGGTTGGAACCATCCAGTCGTCTTTGTTCGCACCCTTGAACTCATGGGCCCCTTGAGTCAACAGCTTTTTTTTCAACAGGCTTATGGATTCCTCGTGCCGGCGGAGATTTCTGAATATGATAGCTTTGAGGATGTCAAGGATCGCGTACTCATCGACATCTTCATTACTCCAGTTAGGTATGCTTTCGGACCATGAAAGATTGTCCAAGGAATCATGCAGCTGCGACTCATTCATTTTTTTGAAGCCGTTCCAGAGGAATATCATCTCATCAAGCGGACTCACACCAATTGCATCAACGAAGCTGCAGTTCCGCCGAGAAGCCCGTTCTTCCCATTTCGAGATCTTGCGCACCACGAAGATGTCGAAAGGTAGTTGCCTCCCCATCATCTTTTTCTTTCCAACTTTGGTTGGCGCTGTCTTGAACATTTCTTCGGCGAGCTTGGCGTGCTTTTCTCTGTCTTGGCTGGAGAGGGTTTTGTCATGGCGGTAGAAGCAAAGGTGTGCGGCGCCAGCAATGTAATAATATAAAGCGCGAGACCACGCGTTGAGATCCACGCACGCTAGAATGGAGTCGGCACACAACTGGTATCTGTGGGCGTGCATAGCGCTCAAACTCTTTTCGAACATGTGCACCGCTTCGATCTGCTTTAGTTGACTCTTGCCAGGAGTGGCGAGAATGGCCAGAGCTCGATCAAGGTTTCTTCTCGAGGCCGCTGTTCTTGCTTCCTCGACGATCCAGAGATTACTGTTGGGGTATCTCTTCCTCATCTCCAACAGAAGTGTCTCCAAGCGTTGCGTGGGATACGCCTCTATGTCGTCCGGTTTAGATGGATCCGCGTCCGCAATGATATCGCAAAACCCAACCAGGCCATTGTACCAACCAAACAGGATTAAGCTTGCCATCCCGCCGTTGATGTTGGGGAATCTACTAGCTTGCCACAACATCCGAATGCCCCTTTCTCGATCACCACGGAATCCGACGATATACAGAAGTTTGCTGAACGCTGGGGGAATGATGGAGATGAGAAGCGCCAGTAGGCCAGACATTAGATTGGTTCCCGAGTGGATGAAGACGTCGAGCGAGTTACTGAAAACTTCGGATTCGGGCCCTTCTGTGAGCAGTCCAAGCGTTGCTGTTGTCGATCGGCTCAGCACGCCTTCCGGGGGCAGTTCACTAAATTGCTCAATTTCCAGGTCCAGTTCCGTCGTATGGTCCGATTTCACCTCCACCTCCATGCGGCCGTTGTATTTGTCTGTGGCTGCATTGGTCTCCTCTGCTTCATGAAATTCATCATCTGAGACACTATCTGGAGTAGTATCGACGACTTCCGCATTTCTGAGCGCAGATGGTTGAGCAGGTTGGGCTTGGTGGTAAGGATGGGGCTCCAGCCGTTCTGAAGACAAGTGGCCCGACTTTCCGGAGGCGGATGAGCGCAAACTTTCGCTGGACCGATCTCTGGAATCTGGCAGAGTGCTGCTCGAGCGATTGCGGTTGAAGTTGATTTCCATTTGCACAAGGCTGTCCAGGGTAATATATGCCTTGCGGAGTTTATAGAAGCCCCGCAGTGATTCGGTCAGACTCTCATTGAGCACGCCAACCACGGCAGACATGATCTGGGCTTCTGCTTGGCACAATGCGAATTCTGAACCTCTTTCATAGATGGTGGACTGAAAAGCACGCGAGTCGTGCTGGGCCCTCGCGTGACTGGCTGCAGCACTGGATTCGGCCTCGTAGAGCGTCTCCGAAGCCTCCTTCATGAACTCTTGTTCGAATCCCAAGGCAGCCTTCATAAAGGCCAGTGTGCCTTTAGCAAGCTTGTGAAACGAAGAGTTGCCATCGGCGAGGCCTGCTTCAGCACCCTTGATGTCATCATCCATGACTCGGTCGACGGCTCGCATGGCAGTCTCAAGGTTTTGAGACTCCTCCAGCGAGTCTAGACTGTGAGTTGAAGCATTGAGCGAGGAACGGCCGCGATCAAACCATCGTCCGACTCTGTGCATGTTGAAGTTGAGGAGACGGATCTAGAGCGAGGGGTCTTCTGGAGCCCGAGGTTGGTTCAAAAACAACAGAGAAAGTCGACTACAGCAGTATCTTATATCAAGAATTTCCAGTCAAATGCAAACACGTTACGTCGCAGACGTGAACCAGCCGAAAGAAGAGGGATAAAGGAAGACGTATTACAAGGAGGTTTCAGCCCAAGAACGAGGATGGAGCTTATTTTGCTCTGGCCCCCGCGTGCTCGCTGCAAAAAAGCTCCAGCGGCATGTACTCGGACAAGGGAGGTGCACGGAGTCAATTGAGCCGTTTGCCTTCAAGGGAGCAGTGATGACGAACATCAGGAAGGATCTGTGGAGTTTGTGAGTTATGCCCGTGCTGCGGCATCGCCTGCCTTCCTGCATTTGTGCCTGTTGAGTGTTGTGCCTGTTACTAGCGCCCTGTCCATCCGAACCCACCACGGCTACAGAGCTGGCTAATCACAGGCTGCCGACTTGCCATAAGTGATCGCTCTTCCATCACCGCACTCAAACAGCAACCTCACGTACTTCTCATTCGTCATCTAATTTTCCGTTCAGGTAACATACACAAGATCACTCAAAAAAGCCCCATCGTCTCACTGCACACGACTGAATTTCCTAGAGGAGGAGCCTGCCATCATTTTGACTGCTTGGTAATTTTTATTGCAGAAGGGAGCCCTTGTCTGCTTCTGGTCTCCTCTATTCGCCGCAAGACTACGTACTCAACACGCTGCCTGCGTTCACTCACAATCTACCATGTCCTCGTCCGACTCCAACGCACCAATCGCGAAGATGCAACCGACTCAGAAGACCGAAGTTGATGCTGCCCAGGCATCTAAGACAACATCAAATCCGCCCCCAGCCATGCTCGAGGAGGATGATGAGTTTGAGGATTTTCCGGTTGAAGGTATGGAGAGCGGACAAGATATAACAGAAGGGGTCATGTTGACATGGTTTTAATCAGACTGGTCGCAGGAAGATGCAGAGGTACCCGGCGGGACTACACATCTCTGGGAGGAGAGCTGGGACGATGACGATGCGAATGAAGATTTCAGCAAGCAACTGAAGTACGCGCCGGGCAAGCTCCTCCTTTTCTCCACTACGTGCTGTGTGACGGCTGACCTTTTCACATAGGGAGGAGTTGAAGAAAGTCGAGACAAGCAAATAGAGCTCGTCATGCGAAAGCAGCACATTGCATGGCGTTTGGGGATGATGGGCTCAGGGCATCAATGGGTAAAGAAACGGCATGTTCCTTTCTAGCAGTTCGTGGCAGGAGAAACTATCATACAACAATGTACTTTCTTGTTTTGCTTTTCTCTCAGAGGTTTGATCTCGCAATACCGCTTGCTTCGACACCAATCAATCGCGCGCGCGTCGATCATGGAGGGTTAAACTACTTACTAGACAGGGCAACCACACCTGGCAGAGCTTTGCCCTCCAGCAGTTCCAAGCTTGCGCCGCCGCCGGTTGATACGTGGCTCAATTTGTCCTCCACTCCATACTTCGCCGCGACAGTTGCTGTATCACCTCCACCAATGATGACAATCTTCCCAGCCTGGGCTGCCGCAACGCATGCATCCAAGGTCTGTTTGGTGCCATTGGCGAACTTGTCGAATTCGAAAACTCCAGGAGGACCGTTCCACAAAATTGTCTGCGCTTCATCGATGGCTTGCTTATACAATTTGATGCTCTTTTCGCCGCAGTCGAGACCCATCCATCCATCGGGGATGCCGTCAGCATCGGTCGCGGTTCCCGTGTTTGCATCCTTGTCGAATTTGTCTGCAGTGATATAGTCGCATGGCAGGACAATCTTCACGTTGTTCTTCTTGGCCTTTTCCACTAGCTCGGCGCATTTTTCGCTTCCAGCTTGATCGAACAGACTGTTACCGATCTTGACACCCTCCAGGGTCTTTTTGAACGTAAAAGCCATACCGCCGCAAATGATCAGGATGTTGACCTTGCCAAGCAAGTTGTCGATCAGCTGGATCTTGTCCGAAACCTTTGCACCACCGAGAATGGCGAGGAATGGTCGCTTGGGGTTCTCGAGAGCTTGAGCAAAATAGTCGAGTTCTTTCTTCATCAAGAAGCCGGATGCCTTTTCAGGTAGCTCGACTCCGACCATAGAGCTGTGAGCTCGGTGGGCGGTTCCGAAAGCGTCATTGATGTACACGTCACCCAACGCCGTCAGACCCTTCCGGAAGTTGGCAACATCGGTTTTATCAGCCTTTATTTTGTTACCATCCTTGTCTTTAGAGCTCCCTTCTTCCTCGATGTGGACACGCAGGTTCTCGAGCAAGATGACCTGCCCGCCGGTGGCTTTGTTCACGACCTCTTCCACCTCAGGACCAACGCAGTCGTCAGTAAATATGACACTCTTGCCTAAAAGCTTCTCAAGCTCAGGGACGACAGGCTTCAAGCTATATTTGGGGTTCTTTTTTCCGTCTGGGCGGCCGAGGTGGGACATGAGGATCACGGCTTTGGCTCCATGGTCGATGGCGTATTTGATTGTCGGTAGAGCGCCAACTATTCTCTGGTTGTTGGTGACCTTCCTGTCGGCGTCAAGCGGGACATTGAAGTCGACCTGAACATGGTTAGCAAGAGCAGAACGCCAATCTGAGCCAGACATACACGGATCAAGACCCGCTTGTCCTTGAGGTCGATGTCAGTGATGGCAAGCTTGTTAGATAGAGACATGTTGGATCGGGTCGGAATAACAATGTCGTAGTAGAAGAGAACGTTGGTCAACGTGAGAATAAGAGGCAGAGAAGGAAAAAGAACTGTGATTGAGCTACGGAACTGAACAGAAAATCAACTCAACCTGTTGGACTTATTGGGAATTGTCGGAGGGGTCAACTCGGGTTGGGCTCAATACAACGGAACTGGTGGGGTGACTGGAAAAATACTGGCACGCAGGTGCGTCGGCAACCGACGTCAGAGGCATGCGCGACCCAAGGCCATTCGGGGGCTTTCTGCTCGTAGGTTCTGTTAGCAAGCAGAAATCTCAGTCATTCGCTCGCTCTAGCTTGGGATGCTTGTTAAAGGCCCTGCATGAGAATGGAAGCTCTTGCTGCTTCGCCAACAAGATGGATACTCTCATGAGTAAATGACCCGATCAGCCCAGGTCCGGCTTGCACATGTCGAGTAGGCATAGGCGGAACTTGTGCTAACAAGTTCGTTAGCGGTCACTACCTAGTTTATGGCTTTGTACCGAGTACTCGGTAAGGAGAGTAGAGAAGATGGGAAACAAAATCGCAGCCGCAAGGAGATCGCATTGTTTTTTCTTGACGCTTTTCCTTGCTGTTTGCTCTTATCCAATCCCAGTTATTGATCGGATTAGCTGGATGGTTTGAATGTCCATGCTGACTGGTGGAGAAACATGGTCATGCGGACTTCCGACACCCCTCGACGCATCGAGGCTGATGAAGTTCACTAGGCATAGCCTGCCCTTCTCCTCCAGGCCTGGTCCGTTGCCCGCCAGTGTAGACTGTCAACCAACAACTTCACCCTCTCATTCACTTGTTACAAACGAAATCTGACGATCCTTGACGGATAATAGCCAGAATCTTGAATCGCAGTTGCACAAGACAGCCCTCATTAATGACTGTGTACCTCACTTTTTCAGCAACGTCGCGACAAACTCAACGGCTGGCCCATTGTCCGCTGTAGCCTGCGCCCTAGTTTAGGACCCTGTCGTCACAGACGTCCCTCACTTGACATCGTTGACCTCATCTTCCCACAAATACCTAAGACCTTTTCAACTACTTCGTTTCCTCACCTTCTCACCGACTTCCTCCTCTTCACGATGCTGGAAACCTCGAGACGGAAGTCATTGGCGTGGTTGTACAATACTTACATCTATGGCAGGATCGTACGTCAATCTCCTTTGATTCTGGAATCGACAGCTCTGTTTCCCCATTCCTGAAGCTGACACTCTCCTCTTCTTCAACAGCCATTATTACATACTATCCTTTTCCTCGTCGAGATAGCAATGGCCGCCCGACTCATCGCTAAATTCAACTCCTACTACGCCCAAAAACCTGTGCTGACCACAATGATCACGAATGCGGTAGGTGGATAAATCTGCGGCGGCTGGATGATAGCTGAAGGTGAAACAGATACTTGGTGGCATTGCGGATACGGTGGCACAATCAATAACTGCAGTCCGAAAGAGACAGTCCATGCTGCCGACTACGACTGATTCGAGATACCTTATCTCCTCCGGGGTCGAACTTGAAGACCTGAACGAAAAGCCTGCAAGGTTGTCGCCTGGTCTTTCTCCTCGGAGCAGCGGACCTCAACCCTTCGACTTCGAACGTTTGACTCGATTCATGTCATACGGCTTCTTGATGGCTCCGATCCAATTTCTTTGGTTTGGTCGACTCACGAAATGGTTCCCAATCAGTGCCAAAAGCGGCACTGTTCCTGCACTAAAGAGAGTGGCCATGGATCAACTGATCTTCGCTCCTTTCGGTCTTTGCTGCTTCTTCACATTCATGACGGTGGCCGAAGGAGGTGGAAGGAAGGAGGTTCTGACCAAGTTCAAGGACATTTATTTGCCCACCTTGAGAGCGAACTACATCCTCTGGCCGGCCGTACAAATCCTCAACTTTCGGGTCATGCCCCTCCAATTCCAGATCCCATTTGTGAGCACTGTGGGGATCGCCTGGACTGCCTACCTCAGTTTGACCAATTCGAGCGAGGATGAAGCACAGGCTCTTCAGTGAGGATCGACACGCCATAGCAGTTTCCATCAGCGACTAGATACCCAATGATCGGCACTAGCGGCGTTTGAGGCAGCACATATGTCTATAAATTGTACATGGTCAGAGCGCAAGCCTCAAGAACACCGATGTATTTCTGTCGGTTTTATTCTGTCAGTGGGGAAGTGTGCTCTTTTCCCTTGGTGTGGGCGCTTTTGCAATTTCCTGCATGTCTGTAGCTCATGCTCTTCAGGTTACATGCTTAACAAATACACAGTTGAGTGAAAGAACGCTCACTATCCTTCCGGCCTGTCCGGGTGTGTCTGATGTTTGGAATGTTCATGAGCGTGTCGGACATCATGGCACATCGTAACCCTCCATCATTTTCTTTCTGTTACCTTGTCAAGCAATCACGCAAACCAACGCTGCGTCTTCAACAACCGCACGCCGTGGCTGACCTAGGTCAACAGTTTGACGTAGTGGGCTCTCTTGAGCTGATTAATTCTGGACGTTGCTCCGTGATCTGCACTTGACGCTTGCGGGTACTCAAGCAGCGCAAGTGCTTTATGGCGCTCTCTCCTGACAGGTTTGAAAAAACCATATCGATCCTCATACGATCCTCATACGAGCCAGTCGCACCACTGCTTCTTGTGAAGAGTGAGTATCTGTTGTAACAGCCGACGTTTGCTTGACGGAAGCTACTTAGAGATATGTCTTGGTCTTGCACAATGAAGTAGACTTCAACATAAGCGGAGAAAGCTGAGGAAAAGGACGCCTCCTCATTAAGAAATCGTGAACCTTGGTATCAAAAGCGTTTGTTGCCTGGATCCATCTGTTCGAGAAACCCAATAAATTGAGTGCCAATTGTCTTAGTGCATTTTTTTCCTAGTGGCATGCCGTCCATTTCCGATAAATCATATATCGATATGGCTGTGGGCGTTCTTCTTAAGACTTGATCGAAGTCGAGAGCAAAAGCGCGTTTGGAGGTGTGTCTTTTGGAAGTATTATTGTGCAACAAGAGCTAGTTGGCGAGGAGAAATGGGTCGATAATGACGAGGCTGTAGCCTTCTATGTAATAGCTAGCCGCTAAGCAACCCAATGAGGATTGATATAAAGTTCGGTTTCTTGGATTTGCGGCCAAACCACGTCTTTCCTTTTTCTTATCCCATCTCTCCCAAACAACGCCGATTTTTTGTGCCTTGTGTTGACCTTCTCTTGGAACGTCCAGACGGATGTGGGCTGAGAGACTGGCATAAGAACTGACAGGATCTGGCGGTGAAGACAATCAACACTCTTTCTGAAAGCTAACAGTCACACTGCCGAATGCAGAACATAAACTCTTCCCAGCACCCTGATACGAGCAGCGTTTCACCATCATGTATCCAAGCCATCCCAAAGCCTACTTACGTCCCAAAGATATCTCTTTACAAGCATTATCGGACCTCTTGGTCAGGCCTAGAACCCGTCAAGCCCTTGGGCATTTCCCTGGTTCATCCAGCAAATCTTGCTAGTGCAACTCTAGGTCCTCAGACCACGTCTCGGCAAGTCGAAGAAACGAATTTTTTGATGCTTCAGTCAAAATCTATATAATGGACAATGCTATCCGTCCCTTCGAAAGGTCTGCAGCACCCGTACACCAGAGACATTCCGAGGCCTTCTAGCAATCCTTTGGACTTGAACTTGGACCCCTCCTCGTCTCCAACCAGCTCACCTCAGTCCTTTCTGCCTCAGGTCGCTGCTATGAGATTTAATTTGATTGTCTACAGTGTTCTGCTCGTCGCTGTCTCGACATCCTACCCGTTCTGCTTTGCCCAGGCTGCGACCGTTATCACCTCGTTACTGACCACGGAAACTATCATTACCAACCTGTACACATCACTACTGGCTGGGACAACTACTCAAGCTCCAGTCACGGTGACCCGCATTGTACAAGCTCCAGTAGGGCCTGCCTCTCAGACGGCCGCTTATCCTTTACCTGGCTCTCAACCAGCCCAGCTCGGCGGGCAAGGCGCGCACCTTGGCCTCAGTCAGCCCAACCCGCTGGATGGTATAGGAGGTATTGTTGGTGGCGTTGCTGATGCTGCTGGTAACGTTGTGAGAAGTGGAGCTGGGATTGCTGATGAAGTGGTCGGCACTGCTGGCGATGTTGTTCTGGGTGTGACAGGTGGGGACCTTCGCGCGCCCTTACCAGTACCTGTGCCGGTGCCTGTCCCAGGAGCACCGGCCATACTAGCGGTGCCGGGGATACCTGGTGTCCCTGGTATCCCAAATATCCCAGGCATCCCTGGAGTACCAGGAGTCCCGGGGCTGCCAGGGGCACCGGCCATTCCTGGAATTCCAGCACCTCCGGGGGTCCCAGGCATATCAGGAGTACCAGCAGCTCCTGGAGCCCATGGAGGTGCTGTACTTACCGGACTCGCGCCCCTTCCTGCACCTGCACCTGCACCAATGCCACTGCCGGGTTCTCCAGGATTGCCAATGCCAACTTTCCCCGTCCCTGCGGGACAAATCTTTGGGCCTGTGGCAACGATTCCTTCAGAGTCATTGCCCACTTCGACTGCCGGTTCTGGCGCCAGTTTTTCAGTTGGACCTCCTGCAATACCTCCAGTGAGCGTTTCGTTCGTTAACATGCCAACGTATGTTCCGCCGATGTCATTGGGACCCAGGCCGGCACCTTCAACAGCGAGAGATCCAATCCCAAGTTCAATATTGCCCTCGACGACCGCTTCGAGTCCAGTTCCAACCACATCGGGATCGGCAATGATCTCTTACATGACAAAAACTCTGACACGGCCTGGGACTCTCGACGTCGAGGTACATGGAACTGTGACGCATGTTTTCCGAGGCAGTTCGTTCTTATCGCATGTCTCATCACGATCGTCATCGCAGCCTTCGTCGACTTCCTCGGTACAAACCTCGACCCAAGCTTTGCCGACCCCTAAAGGATCCGTCTTGATAGGCCCGACAGACGCACGGCTAAGAATGACCCGCACATTCGATCCCACGACTCCTGTACCGACGCATAGCTGTCCACGAGATGCCATTGTTGCTCTGGCACACTACCGTGATTATTGTAACAGCCCCGGTGCTGACAGGACTGCTCAACGGAGATACTGTTCGGGGGAGCCAAATATCGAGTCGTGTTGCGGGATGTGGACGAATGGACATGACGAAACGTATGCAGGATATGAAACTGTTCGTCAGCGAAGGATGCTTGAGTCTCCAGGCCCGAAAGTTTCTCTGATCTCACGGCCTTTTGAGTGGAATTTACACGAAGTCAGAGATAATAAGGGTGATATTGTCCAACGTGAGGTATGTGGCTTCATAATCTCCTGTGCTGCTCCCTGCGCACCTCTGTCCTCCGGGTTGTTGAGATCTTCCTGGAATGGTGAAGGATCCCACCGCTCGTGGTTCTTATGCGCAAGCCTGGACTCTCTTCCCAGATGTGTTCTCAAATTTCCCTACACATTTTGATCTCCGAGAAATGCGACAAACCCCCGTTTAACAGAATCATGCTAACTACACTTGAAGGCGATCAAACAACTTCCAAACGAGTTCAATCGGGATGTCAGGTCTTGTTACGTATGGAGAGCCACGGATGATCAGTTTGCCTTTTACATGCAGAACCTCGATATTTTCGGCGTTTACGATGTTGACGACAGTGGCCGTTCAATTGGTACGATAGCTTTCTGGGAATGGGAACCAGAAGGACGTTGGCCGCCTGATGCGGAGCAGCGCGCGTGGCGAACTGCCGGGGTCCAACCCAAGACAGGGCTGCCGAAGCCTGACAAAGGAGTTAACGCCCGGCCAGAAAGTCCGCCAACGCTGGACGGCCTGATTGCTGAGTACGACAAGCGCAGAGAGTGGTTTAGGGAAAGACTTGTATACAGCGAACTACATCTTCACGGTGTAAAGGACAAGACCGGCGAAGGGTGCTCTGCACCTCTCTCACCAAGCAACTTCGTGTCCAAGATCGAGAAGTTTGGCATGCGCTCTGACGCCTTGAATGACCATTTGCCCCCATTGCCCTCAAATGAAGTATGGCAGCACAAGAGAGATCTGGAGTTGGCTCGACTGGTCTGGAAAGATTTCTTCACACCACTCAATGTTTGTGCCGAAACTTTGAAAAGCCGCCTGCCCTCCAAACCACAACGCTCCGAATATGTCAGCGAACAGAAGTGGATGGTGGCTGAACAAAATTGGATCAATCTTTTCACTGAAGACCCGCCTAAGGAATACGAAGGCAAAATTCCGAAGCCTGACCGCCCGAAATGTCCAGAGGCGGCCCTGAAGAAGCTTGGCAAACTTGGAAAGCACCTAAGGAATGTGGATGGCGTGCCGAAAGAGGATGCGAAATGGGAATTGCTGGATACGTATGCAGCAGAGCTTGTGGACAAGAAGATGTGCCGGGAACAGATAATTGTGGTTCTTCACAAGCCCAACAAGAAGGCGTACTCGAGCTTCCGAGAGTGGTATTCTGACCGACGCAAGTGGGACAAGTACATTGCAAGTCTTGAGAAAGGAGAGGATGCTCCGGTTCCGAAGTTGGCCGCCTTCAGGATGAACCAGCCTCCACAAAACCAGCCGGCAGATGAAGGGCAAGATCGTGTGATGTACGAGCAGCCTAAGAAGGACAAACCTCGAGAAAAGGATAAGCCTCGCGAGAAAGACTTCCCACGGACGAGACTCGACACCATTTTCGAAGCTGGAGAATTTGATGAAGCCGAGGAGCGCGTCCCCGGGAACGATTCGGCACGAGATGAATGGGGCGTCCAGCATCGTGACTTCGGTAGCCACGACGTGCTGAGGACCATTCCGGACGAAGAGGAATCTGAAGATACCCAGTCCCTCGCAGACAGCGCTGCTGGGGGTAGAACGAGGGGGAGGACAAGGGGCAGAAATCGACAGGGTGCAGATTATGTCAGGAGGTCCTTCATTGCCTAAAGTACCGGTAGCGAGTCGAGGTTGAACAGGCGATCCCCTTATGACAATAGATTTTTACGGAGTAGAAGTACAGTTGTGGCGATTTCCCGACCAAGATCTAGACCCGGAGATGGGCTCCCTTATCTAGGTTTCCTCACAAAAGATGATTTTGTGTGTTCAAAGAAGGTCCAGCTTTGATGTCGAGTTCAATGTCCACCCGGTAATTGCGTTCATTTTTCTTGTTCCAACCACGAGCCAAACTTGTCCAGCCTACCGCCTTCTTCTGCCCCTTCCCCGTCATCATCGTCGTCAAAGCCCACCTTTTTGTCGCTCGATTTCTTGAACTTCTCATGACCGGTTGCAATGTACGCCTCCAATTGTCTTTCATCGAACCATCGTCCATTCATCAGCTGTCCCCACCGTCAGCATCGTTCCAGGATGGGCCAAGCACGACATACTTGGACACAGGCAGCTGCAGCCTGTGCATTAGAGAAGCGCACACTTGCGACGCCTTCTGCTTCCTTGTCGAAGAGGACAACGTTTGTGACTTCTCCAAGCTTCGCACATTCTTCGCGGATGTCTTCTTTGATTTCGAGCATCGCCGCAGGATCCTCCTGATTTCCGTCAGCCCTGAATCATTCGTGCTCCTCACAGGCGCTCACCTCCAGCTCTTGAAGTGTGAACATATGCTTCAGGATGACGACCTTATCCCACCTGGAGCTTGTCTCCTGCAGGACTTGCGGGTCGTCGTCGTCCCAGTCCATAAGCTTGCTACACGCCAATCAGCCTCAATCCCATGAAATTATCGGATGATCATACGCCTTCATCTTCTGTGTTCTCTGGATAACCTTTTTCTGTTCCCTCTTGCTTGTTTTCGTCGGAACATCTTGTTGGCTCTTGTATGAGAAATCTGCTGCCTGAACTCTCATCCTGCCCATTGGGCCTTCTGTTCCCAACCGAAAATCTGTGTCGTCAAGCATTTGAACAGCGAGGTTAACTGATTCGGGTCTGAAGTAAACCACAAGCGCGTCGCCCTTGAATTGTCCCTTGTCATCCTCGTACATTTTGATTCGCGGCTTGCCGGAGTCGATCTCTTCTGCGATGACACCACACTTGGAAAAGACATGCTGAATTTCTTCCTGGTCGGCATCAAGGGGTATTGAGGTCACATAAACAGCGGTGTTGACTCGAGGTTTCTTGGACTTGGTGCCGGACTGACGGAGACTATATTAGCACGGTTTATGATACCACAGGGCTCACGCACCTCTTCACCAGTTGGCTGTTTCCGTTTCTTCTTCTGTGATGTTGTTGTCGCATCCTCGTCGACACCTGCAACCTTGTAGATTTCGCCTTGTTGGTCCAACAGTGACTGGTCCAACTACAACGAAGACACGACATTGAGCAGGTTAGAATCTGTTTCCTCACACCGTAGTGCAAGAATGTTGTGGAAATAGAGGGCGCGATGTTTCTCGGAGGTCTCATGTTGCGAGTTTGCCTACCACTGGAATCCATCTTTTCAGAGCGGTGTCCCATTCGAACTCGTTGCCCTCTTCGGTTTCGAGGATGAATTTGTTGTCGAGTTTCGACCAAGAGATTCGGGGATCAGCATCGAACGACGATGGGTCCAGAGGGAGACCGGTCTGTATGCCCTCTTTGGAAGGATGATCCTCGTCGGCCATGTTGTTGGCGGGATTCGTGTTCACTATCCTCTGGTTCCTAGCATGAGATGTGCTGCGAACTAGCAATGATGCAGTCCTAGTTGTGCCAAAAGCAGCAAACAAGCCAAGTCCGCATATCAGCCTCACCAAGACCTCTGCAGCCTTGCCGCTATCCGCCAACACCTGGAAAGTTACCTCAACAAACGTACTTGTATATCAATGTGTGCAGCCACCGAGAAAGGGAACACAGTTGCAAAACGTTAATCTCGTGACTTAATCGAACAGAGCATTGCCGTGTTTGATTCAGGGTTATATAACATGCGCAGTGAAGAGAAAAGAATCTTAATTCGCAGAAGCAAGCATATTGATCTACATGCAGAGCTGAATACGAGGCAGCCTGGCGCAGCATGGTAAGTCTCTTAGGGACCACCGAAAGATGCTTTGCTCGGTGGACTCCTTGGAGCGCCCGAAGGCCGACTAACAAACCACAAATTTCGGAACTATGTTCTGCAGGCGCGAGTGGCCGATGGACCAGTGGCCTTGACGAATGTTTTATGGACTATTATTTCCCCATCGAGCTCCCAAAGTTTGAGCTTCAAGCCGTCCCGCATACAAAATATAACAATTAGTTCGCTCTCACATCGTTGCCCCAATTCCCTTTGTACTTGTGTCGTTCAGTCATAAAACACGTTGAGAAATTGTTAACGAAAGGCCCATTAGTGTTAGGGGCAGCTGATTGCAAGGGAAGGGAACGCATTACAGCTCTTCTGTCGATGCACACAACGTATCAAATCGTGCGATTCCCATGCTCTCCTGTTTCAACATCCTCTCCGGAGACGCTCCGTGAAGCTCTCGGCCTGTCTGGGAGCGCAGATCGGTTCTCGACGTCCGGTGATGGTAGCGATGAAGCACTGCTGACATCGGAGGCCTTGCGATCATGCGTAGGCCTCGTATCTCGGCGGAGATCAATGGGTGAAATTGCTCTGTCAAAACCCGTGATGTGTTCGTCCCCCAATGCCATTTCACCCTCGGGAATCGGCGCAAAGCTAGAGTTTGTCACGCCGACCGACGCTGTGTTTGGTGATGCAGGAGTGTTGGACTCGCCTGATCGCGACAATGAAGAGCCGTTCATTGCCCTAGGTTGGCCGGCGCTGACGAAACTGGGGGGGTACATGGTCATGTTACGAATATCATAGTTGATGTCATCAGGATGAGTGATCCGAGAAGAACCATGAACTTCGTGCACTTCAGTGTCTGGGCCCTCGACCGGACCATCATATTCGGCTCTTGGTGACCGCACAGGTGTAGATGATGACCAACGGTCCTGGTTGCTTCCCGGCTCACTCCTGAAAAAGTATCCTCCGGGTAGTTCATGAGGAGCCGTTTGTGCCATGGGCTGTGGCGAGTGGGGATGCTCCACCTCGGTGACGGATGATTCGGTCGTGTGGTCTTTGCCAGTAGACGTCGACCGCAGCCAAGACAGGATACCACTCTTCTTCTTGTCGTCTTCAGATAGATCTTGCCTCTGTTGGCGATCCCTTCGTGCCCTCCGGCAGCACAAAAAGATGAGGCCAGCAAAAAAGGCCACCCCAACCACAACGGGAACGGTGACCGCAACTGGAACGACCCAGTCCCTATGGTGATGTAGCGCCGGCGTTACAGTGGGTGCTGCTGTATTCGTTGGTGTGTTCGTGGTAGTTACATTGTAAGGGCCCCAGTTTCTGATCAAGTCTGTGTTGTAGGCCGTATTGAACCACCCGGCAATCTGAGGAGACATGCCGCCGTTAGGGGTCGGTGTTGCAGAGACGACACTGGCTACAATCGGAGCAGGCTTGTAGACATCATGAACAGCGGGATCGTATCTGCCTGTCCAGCTGAGATCGTTCAGATTGAAGACGTCGACACTGTTGTTGCTGGCTAACCCAGCTCCAAAATCTCCTGTGCCGCCGATTACAATCATTTGATCGGGGTATGGAGACATGCACACATGGCCTTGTCTTCTGGTCCCGTCAATGTTTGCCCTAATCCAGGTGAAGGAAGGCACGCTCAAGATCCACACATTGCCATACGCGGGGCCATCATTACTGTCCCAACCTCCGTAGACAAAGATTTCGTGGTGAGAGTAGTCCTCACTGGAGGCGACAACGGTGCAGAATTGTGCCAGTGGACCATCGGGAATTGGAGATCCTGAACTCAGCGACTGCATGCTCCATGTACTGGAGCCAATATCGTACACAGGAAATTGGGTTAAAAAGCTGTTCGCCACTGTGATGTCTGTCGTGTTGTCCGTCTCGAGGTATCCATTCAAGTCAGCAGGATAAACGACACCTCCAATCGCGATCAGGAGTCCCCGCGTTGAAGCCGGAATCCAGACGAGAGCACCCTCGGATCGCAGTGTGATGTTGCTGAGTGTGAGGTCTTCTCGCGACCAATCCGCGTGCCCTTGCAGGGTAGTGTCGACCCTGATGAGCCATGGTGAGTAGTCTTTGGGCGGAGAGAAGTAGGAGAAGGCCGTGCCATCTTCATTGTATTTGCCGCTGAAGTAGAAGCAGAGGTTCTCACTCGGAGCATTGGCTCCGGCGCCGTTTGTTATGTCTTTGATGAAACTCCCACTCTGCGGGGAGTAGGCAACATTTGGAACGCCTGCCTGGATACTCGAATCTGGCGGAATATCGTAAAGAGGGTCGTTGACAGTACGATCCGTAATAGTATCGCCGGAAAAGTAGTACATGCCCCTGGGAGACAATGTCAACTGGACAGCGCAATAAGGCAGGATACAGGAGAGTTACCCGTAAGCATAAAACTCATCATAGTCAGCAAACATATATCCGTCGAGGTAGTAATTGCTGATCGGGCCTTCATTGATGGATTGGAATATTGCAGGGTTGGCTTTCGTGGTATCAAAGGCGTCATGCATGCTGAGTCTATACAAAAAGCCGTCGGAGGAGGTGGAGGCTGTCAGTGAATCCCACGTGCCATTCCTATAAACTCCTGTTTCCAGATAACCTCCCTCGAGATACACATGGTCTCTGATCAACGCAGCTCTCGGTCTGTCCCAGAGACCGATGTCGCCAGAGTTATGGTCACAAAGAACGAGACTCAAGAGGGTGAGTACCCATGAGCTGCATTGCAGTATGGACAGCATAGTTGCCGTATGGATTTGCAACAATTCTCTGAAGTGTAGAGTTTAAGATCGAACCACGAGGCTCAGGCCGTCCCTCAGGCTATAGATACGACCTTCCATCAGCTCCAAGAAAGTTCAAGGGACGAGTGAGATCCTCCCACCACCACATAGAGTACACAAACGACTCAGATGATCGAGGTCCCTGCGGCAATGGTACGCTGGCTAGAAGAGCCTAGCTTGTGGCGAAGGTTATCGGACAGCTAGAGTGTTCGGGCTGTTTTCCGCCACTGAAAGACTTGTCGAGAATCCCTCCATGACTTTCTCGGGACCGGCGATGATCCAGACTGTGGTTGACAAGGGTGCCGGTCGACTTTCGTTAGTGCTGCTGGGTGCAACTCGAGCCCAATCGACGTCCCCGCAACCACGAGACAGGAAGAGAAGCACACAAAAGACGGGAAGTCGGGTGCAAGAATGAGCCTGCCGGATGGGGAAATGGTGCACAGCATTGCAGGGGGTTTCTGTGAGCAAGCAAGGATGCTCACTGCATGCTCTGAGCCTGAGGCCGCGAAAGAGCGGGCAGAAAGAAAGGCTGGGGCACGCTAAGCCGCTCAGTCAAGCTGCAACTGGAGTTGGAGCCTTCACCAGAAAAGGACAGCTTTAACTGGGACGAGTTACATTATAGCCCCCACGGATAGGTCGAGATTATGGGAAGCCGCTGCGGATTGTAATCAATGACAAAGACAAGGACATAGCCCATGAGGTATAGTTAAAGTGGTCGTACCGTAGTATACAGCTCAGCCTCATCGCCCTCTCAGAAGATGAGAACCACCGGGTGTATGAGGTACTCGTTGGTGAATGTCCATCCTTCACTCCTACTCGCCATCAAGAAAGTCATCTTTTTCCTTTTCTTTCCAGCCTCCTTTGTGCGACACCAGGAATCGAGCGGACAATCCTTTGCTGACAAGGAATTGAACGGGCGGCGGGTGAGGTGCCGAGTTCCCTTTTGGGACAGTGGTTAGCATCCACCCTGGTATGTGGTTCTAGCATGGTTTGACGGTGAGTTGATGTGCGCTGTTCACTGCCTTCTTAGCTGCGAATAGTGATCGAGCTCCCACAAGGGACGGCGCAGCCACTAAGTTGCCAACTGCAGAATTTAGAGCCCCATCATTCGCCTTCAAGCTTCACGTGCCGTGACGCGCCGATCTTGGGGTCTAGGCAGCTATAGGGCCCGAAGCTGAGACACATGTTAGTTCTTTAGGTGGGGGTTCTCGTATTTTTAGTGAGCTCCCGCCTCCACCAAGCCACCGCCGACCACCCCGCTATCTATTCAGTACAGTATATGCCTCCCCGACCCGAGCCTCCACTGACGCGCGCCCTTCGGCGCCGTTCTCCCCGAAAGCTAACCGTCATTAAGGATGACAATTTGGACCTTGTCGGGGCATCATCTCGACTTTTGACAGTAAATATTCCGCGAAGGATTGATCTCATCCACGCTTGCATTGCCCACGAGGCCACGACGTTGTTCTCAAAACAGTCTGCGGTAATGGATCGCCCTGCCGTCACTACGTGAACCTCGCACTTGGCGCTTCTCTGGAGCCGTACGCATACAGAAAGAATTGGCCCACTGCTCTCCCACTAACATGCGGAGAGGCTTGCCTTGTGCATAGGTGTGGTGTATCGACTAATCGAGCCGACGCTTCCAAGGCCAAAATGCCCTTGAGCAGAAGACCCTTACCTTCTCACACGACCGGCGTCACTGGGCTGCTTTTTTTCCCGCGGCCATACTCTACTCGGAATTCTCAGCCTCATCCCAACCACCTTCTCGACCCTTCAGGTGGGTCTGCTCTATGAGCATTCTTCCAGAAAGTCATGGTGCCTCTCTTCGGCGTTTCTCCGTCTCTCCAAGGCACATCTGGGTTTAGAGCTTAGATCGATTGGTAAATATGTCCGTTGTGATGGGGACAATACTCCGTACTGTGCCTTGGGTCCCACTTCTTAGGTCACAGTCCTCACCCGCGTCCGCTTTTGCGCCCGAACAATATGAGCAGCGATTCGAAATGCGCCCCAAGGTTTGTCTGTGTCTTGCCGACCCCTACTAAGAATATGACGGATCTTGGGAAATCTATGGGTGGGCTCGATAGACTCTACAGGAAACCCAAGCCGTCCTCTTCATTCGGTGGGCCTGGGACGCCGGGCCGTGAAGACTGTGGCTTCGTCGCAAGACTATGGATATTTATCGATTGGCGGCCTTTAGAGTCCAAGCTCCTGGCCATTCGCTATGCCAAGCAGGTTTGAACCCCGTCCTGCAGTCAGTGGCTGCCTCAAGGCAATACTTACAACCGGGGTGATGAAAATAGTTCACTGTCCTTTGCACACGTGCACCAGCACGGCCCAACGCTGGCCCGCTCGACCTGGCCCGCTATGCAAGCTATTGATCTGACGGTCCTAGGTAGCACCGCTTCCGTTGAGACACCGCTGATTCTGGCAATTATGACGAGCGAGAGAACAGGAACAGGACAGGACCTGAATCCTCATATATCGGACATGGTATGGATCAACTCCCCAGATTCTCTCCTGCTTCCCTCGCCTCAGAGACTTCCTCCATCTCGCTGTTGCCATCCTGTCACTCGTTCTACATTCGTTCACCTTCAATATGGCCATGAAGAGGCTGAACCTTGTCAGCCTTGCTGCCTCACTTTTCGTCGCCTTGACCCAGGCTGGAGATGGCGGAGACAGCGGCTGGGGCTCAAGCTCCTGTGCCACTGTTTACTCTACCGTGTGGTCTGTGTCAACAGAGTACGTACCTACCACAACGACCGAGGAGAAGACGATCTACTCTACCGAGACCGACTACGTGACAGTCACTACAACTGACACAGTCTATGTCACGGACACAACTATCCAGATATCGGTCCAGCCAACTACCATCGTGGACGTGGAATCGACCACCATTGTCGAAACAACAACCGTGGTTAGTCCAACCACTCTCGTGGTTCCGACAACGGTAGTGAGCTTGAGCACCGTCGTGGACATTGAATCGAGCACTATCACGGACATAGTCCCTACCACCATCATCAGCGTGGTTGCCACAACAGCAACAGTCTCGACATACCCAGGCCTCGTTACCTGTACCTCGAGGATCATCAACCCCACTTATACCCCCAAAGGTCCTCTACCCACCAATTACCTCTGGGGATGCGCTCCGGGCACAATCTGTACTCCTCCACAGATTGGTTGTAACTGGGAACAAAATCCTCCGGCGGATACATACGTCTGTGCCCCCGAAGAATGCAAGCCTGTTCCTGAGCTCTTCTTGCCAGCGAACCTCAGCTCTCTCTGGCCGAACCCGACCGAGACCACGTGCGCTTGGGATGAAGCACCCCAGGGCTTCTTCCACCTCAACCCACAGCATTTTGGACTCAGCTTCGCCATCTTCGATGTCTACGGCCAGCCACTTTGCCCGGCTCCGACGACGACGACGACTTGGGCTGAATGGTCTACTCCTCCGCCGAAGCCTACATCGACCTGGGCTCCTAAGATGCCCAGACGTGGAATAATGGCCAACCCGATCGCCGAGATCGTGAGCCGACAGAACTTTCTCACAGCGCCGGCGCCGTGCTATCGCATCTATGATGCTGCAAACCAAGCTGGTCAAGCGGTGGGCCTGGTCTATGACGAGCTCTGTCTCAATGGCACAACATTCCAGCTTGCCCTCACTCAGTGTCGCCAATGTGCTCAACAAAATGCTGGCAGTGCGACAGGCACAAACACCTTCCCAGAGCTTCAGAGTTACTTTCAATATTGCCAGACTCATACTTCATAAATAATGGGACTGCATCTCAACGACACGGTGGCATCGACCTTGCCAACTCAACCACGGGACGCCGTCGGCGTTCCGCAGTACGCAGTCGAATATCGACAAGGAAAACCGGTGTTAGTTCGTTATGATGCGGTTGAATTCCATGGCACGTCTCTCAGTAAAAGGCTATGAAGCCTGGTCGAGCCGGTATAGAGCGGCACAGACTAGGAAGCATGTCTTTACTTGATGTATATACCCCCATCTCCCAAAGCTGCTATCAGTGGCTTTTGCGGCTAGGAAAGCTTCGCGGACTTGACAAAAAAGGATCACGAAGATGGTTTACGGATGAAATCAATGATCTAGTTGGTGAGGAGAGAAACGACGTCACTCCTTCACGATGAAACATGTGTAAACTGAGATAATGATAATACATATGGCGATAGTCGCTACGATCAACGTTCTTTTCTTTCTGCTTCGTGTCTTCTTCAAGCACGTCCGAACCCACGAGATGAGCAGATACTGTACATTTCGGCCCACCTGTCACGAATTGAACCTGATCATAAACCCGATCGTCTACTTAATCTGCCGCCCATGGAGAGGTTCCGGTTTACATACATGTAGAAGTACTGGGCTCTGCAGAAAAAGGCAATATCCCGGCTTTTACCATATCTTCGAGCAATTGTCTTCACAACCATCAGGTCACCCTTCGGTTATAAGTCCCTGACGCCAATGTCAGCATGTCACCCTTCACTGACCGACTGATGGCTGTCCCTCGAACCAACGCCCACGAAAGCCCTGTAGCCATTTTGGCACCGGCTAAACCAGTGTGGAGTGGAACTTTGAGTGATTGTAGACAAGCCAGAGCTGTTTATGAGACGAACAGCGTGAGGCATAACACGTAGGAGAAAGTGAGCGCCGGCAATAGACCTCGTCCACAACTGACCGGAAGGAGTCCATTTGTCCTTCAATCTCTGAACATTACTGGCTAGGTTTGTCATAAGTGCTTGGAAAAGGATGAGCACATCCAAGGCAGGTATTGCGTTGTCAACCTCCCCACGTACGAATATCGACGTGCACCGTCAGTCTGCGCAGTTTCCAACTGTAAGAAGACTACTGATCTTCTGGACAAGATCGATCCTGCTCCTGATGCCTCCAGGAAATTATAATTATTTTCCTAATAGTATCCGCATATAATTTCAACAAGCTAGTTTAGAAGAAGAAAACTCTTTTCTATTCAGTACACAAAATGGTCGGCGAACTGTAGTCATCTGTTCAGCAGTGGGTGCCGCTTGTCACATTTCAAAATCTAACATCCCCCAGTAATTATCTTCGCTCATGGCGACTGAGGTACACTTGCTGGTTTCTCAGGGTGCTCGCCATCGGAGCTAGGTGCTTCTCGGTGGGCAGGGGTGTCTTGTTCAAGGCCATTGACAACGTCTCGGGACAACTCGACGTACTTCAAAAAGTCAGTAACGGCAGCTGGTACAGATCATCAGGGGATACTTACGTCGTATGCAAACTCGCCTATCTCGGTCTCGTCCATACCCATGATCTCTTCTTGCTCGGATGCACGAAGATGCAGGCCAGGGATAAAGTTGAGCACGAACAAAATGGCGCAACTGAGGACGAAGGAATATGCCATTCCAGTAACACCGTCGCAGAGTTGATAAGCCAGTTGAATCCAGTGATGATTGAGCCAGCCACCGTCGATCACTGTGGCCCCATCCAGATGAGCGATGTAATCCGCGGCGAAAAGTCCGGTCAAGAGATCTCCCACCAGGCCACCTACACCGTGGATTGCAAAGATATCGAGGGAGTCATCGATGTGAAGGAGGAACTTGAGCTTGGTGGCATAGTTGCAGGCAGCGCCACCTACCACACCGAAAATAACAGCTGCCCAGGCTGGAACGAAACCACTACCTGGAGTAATCGCAACCAAACCAGCAATGACACCACTGCAGAAGCCGACAGTCGACCATTTGCGTTCCAGACGGAAGTCAAGAATGCACCAGGTGAGTCCACCAACGCTTGCTGCCAAGTTGGTCACAACAGCAGCCATGATGGCACGAAGATTAGCAGACAGAGCGGAACCAGCATTGAATCCGAACCACCCAACCCAGAGAAAGACGGTGCCAATGACTATGTGTGTGACGTTGTGTGGGCGATAGTTGAGCTCGTGAGTACCGTGGCCGCGACGCTTTCCAAGCATGAGAGAATAGGCCAGGGCAGCGGCACCAGAGGAAATGTGGACGGGAGTACCACCGGCAAAGTCAAGACCACCCATTTTGAAGACCCAGCCCGATGAATTCCAAGTCCAGCAGGCAATGGGGTCGTAGACGACAGTCGCCCAGATGAAGGAGAAGACCATGGCAGGGAGCATTCGTCCACGTTCAGCGGCAGCGCCAATAGCGAGGGCAACAGTGATCGCGGCGAACATTCCTTGATACACGGCGAACATAAGATCGGGGATCTTGCTCGATCCAACAGAGGGAGCTCCCAAGACATTCCGGAAGCCAAAGTTCTCCATATCTCCAATGAATTTACCAGCGGAGTGGGAGAAAGCTAGAGAATACCCCCAGAAGAACCACTGAAAGGAAATCAAGGCTGTGGCTGCGATGGAGAGCCAGATGAGGGACAGGGCGGATTTTCGTCGCGCAAGGCCGGAGTAGAAGAAGCTGTGATTCGCTCGTCAGATCGGCCACACCGAACTCGATGGGAACACTACATACCCAACACCAGGAATCATAAGTAGCACCAAAGCAGTGGATGTGATCATCCAGGCAATGTCGCCGGCATTGTAATAGACATTGAGATCCTCGGTGAGAGAGTCCCCACCAGTCATTGTTGTTCCTGCAGTGACGAGATGGTATTAGTTGGGGGCCGTTTTCTGGACTCGCCTAGGCAGCCATCGGCCTCGAAGACGAGAAGGAGACTGCTTCGTACCATTGTAGACTTCCAGCGGAACATAGGGAAGCGATCCCAAATCATCAGTCGACATTTTAACACAGCGACTTTTTTTTTTACTAGGTTGACTGGTGAAGCGCCTGTACCAATTGCCAAGAGTAACCGCTGTAAAATCTCAGGGGCAAGTGAGGCTTCAAGAGGCAGGGCCGATCAGTGTCAGTATTAACTGAATGGCAATGGACGCGGAAATCCCTCTCATAAATTCGCAGCCAAAAGTTGACACCAGTGAGAAAACCCAGGCGAAGTGTCAAAAGATTGAAAGAAAGTCGGAACAGGTGGGAAAAGTAAGGATTGAAAATGAAATTCAGTCTGGCAAAAGGAACGAATATAGCACAGGAAACGAGTCCGAACGGTTGAGGTGCCACTATGTTGTCCTGATTGTGTCACCCGCAGAGCTTGGGTCAGGCTCAGGTCGACTCTTGGCATGTACTTCTAAAAAGGATGAAACCCTAAAGCAGAGTTCGCCGGACAGCGCCCGTCAAACCCCTGAAGGAGCTGTGAGGGTGACGGTGATAGGCTCGATAGCCTTGATAGAGAGCCCGGGAAGAGCCGGGCTAAGACCATGCCAGACGCCACCCAGCGAGATTCGGAGTGGGCAACACCAATTCAATAATAATGGTGTTGACAAAGCGGCTCAGGTTGCCTGTGGGCTGATTCAACGCTCTGGAGCCCCAGACACACGGCCAAGAGGCTACGCTGCGTCCATCACTGCATGCCTAGAAATGCAAACAGGAGTCCCCTCGCGAGTTGCGACAGCGAGAGGCAGGCTTGTTAGTCTCCATCAATAGCGGGGTTTCTCCCACATCGTCTCCTCACCTCTCCCGTCTTACTCAGAGCACTGGAAAATTCTAGGTATTGTGCGCGTTGCTGGTGAATACAAATCTCTGCCGGTCCATCTATAAAAACGTATCGGTGCAGGCTTCGATCAGGTACCCGAGTCGACATTCAGCCCAACGGTGCAAGATATCCGGGCTCCAAGGCTGCCTCGTGCTTCTCGCCTACTAGTTGTCGCTAACAATTGAAGGTTGCATAAGCCTCAAACTCCAAGTTCGCCAGGCACACTCTAGGCCATCGCCTGGAGGCGTGGAACCTCCTCGCAATTCTGGGCGAGATAAGCATTGGCCACTCGATTGGCTCCCACGCAAATCCAAGCCTTGGGGCCACCACGGCGATTCTGAGCACATCTCCACACAGATAACAGATTGGACGATTTGGGCACTGTTTCATCTCCTTCGGCTCCTGGTGTTGCCATGCGATAATACTACCCCCTCGCTTGTAGGTATGTTCCGAGTACAGAGTACCTACGGCACACCCGGGAATCGCAACCAGCACAAGTTTTTGACCTCTTGCGCCAATTATCGCTGTTCCTCAACCGACACCACTTCTGCCAGGTCATCTTATCAGAGCCTAACCGACTTTTGCGGGTCAGGGACGGATACATACTGCGTGACATTCACCTGACACATTTGCTGACCGAGATTGTGGTGAAATCTTTTCTTCTCGGATGTGACAATGTTATCAGGTAATACTTCATACCTCGCTTAGACTTATGGACGGGTGGGAACGTATGTCAACCCTGATGTGATCTTGAGTCAGTCCATCGAATTTGCTCTTTCAAAGTGGCTAGGCGTATTGGCTGAGAGCAGGCACAAAGAATCCACCACCTGTATCGAAGATCTAACTCTGCCTGGCCTTCTCTGGAAACACGGCACCTCGTAGCAAAACCGTTCAGTCACTGATCGAAGCCAAGCCAAGCGACCAGGCAATCCAGTCCATTCAATCCATTGCAGATAAGAAGATGGTTCCAGCTCGAGCACCGCACAGCATATTCCAAATGTTTTGCAAGCCCGGATACTTGGCCGCTGAGAATACTCGACCAGTCTCCTCTTCCGAATACCATTCTGAGCTTCGTGCGAGGGGCGCTCAATCACGGTGATCCCATCAATTGGGCAAGGAACGGGACAAAGAAGGCTCGCTTGTATTCTGCCTGGCAAGAGTGTGGCCATGTAGAGCCAGTTGTGTTGCTCTTCCCTACTGTTTGCTCCCAAGACCACCAACGCATGCTGGTCCGATGACCCTCTTCCTGCTGGGTCTTGCTGCAAAGGGTGGCTCGCTCAATATCGAGTTGTGAACGGTGCTTGCCCGCGATCGGGAATGAGATTAGCCGTCGCTTCTTTACGGAACCTGTACTCGAGAACGACTGGCAGGATATACTAAAGACGGAACACTTGCTGTATCTCTTTGGGTGTTATGGAGAATGACTGTGTATTCGGAGAAGTTTCTGAGAGCGGAAAAAGGGCTTTCTGACCTGTCGGAGTGCGCAGGAATGGTACTTTATACTTCGCATCTCTAAAGGTTGGATAAGTGGCTGGGAGCATAAACATCATTGATTCTATATTCGCATGGTGTAACAGGATTGAGGAACTGGACAGACCCAGATGCACCATCAGTGGGGTAGATCGTTGTGGTGAAGACTCGGTGACCGAGGCTAAAAAGTCGTGATTTGGTCAGTGCGAGGTTGAACACAGCATCTTAAAAGGCTCCAAAAAGCGCGAGTAGTGCGATCTCGCCCTCCTGCCAGGTTTTTGTGTCAGTTGAAGTGGGAAGGGCGAATAATAAAGCAGGCTGCCTACATGATTTCCTCCCCCTTCCATGTTCGGATCAAAGATCCAGGCAATCAGTCAGTCTTCATCGGCGACTCATCGATGGGGCGGCGACAACGGGAGGGACGGCAGTGGACACCATCGTGAGGCGCGTACCGTGGAGATTGGCATCGACGTGATGCTTGGTCTTATTTTTTCTATCATTATCCTGCTCTAAAGTTGCCCCGGATTCCATATCATAACCATCAATATCGCGCCCTTGTAGGCCCCTTTAATGCGGCGAGATAGAGTTTCAGAGGAAATCTTCTCCGCAGGAGGGCACAGCCAGTTGTTAGCTATTGCAGCTATGCCTCAGTCAGCAACAAGCCAACCAATTCCAGCACCGGTTGGAGTTGTTCATCAGCCACATGCTGCGGCTGCCACGACTGCCAGTGCTTCTCTTCCCGCTGCAGCCGACTTACAGCCAGCACCGCTGCATCCAACGTTATCCCAACCTGTTCACAGTCAGTCTCAGGTCGTCGCTCCCTCACCTGTGCATCCCGCCGCCTTACCGAGATTCGGGCCCCGTGCTCCCAAGACTGAGGAGCAACGCCTCGAAGAAGGTCGCCTGCCCCTCGTCATGGAGCACGAAGAGTTGCCCATGCACCGACCGAGCGGCGGCTCATCCTCTGGCTCTGATGAAGACGCCATTCCGTCCTCTGCCTATGCGTATCCTACTACTTCTTACGACAACCCTGAAGGCCCTGTAACCTACACTCCTACGTCCTCCATCTCGACGTATACTCCTTCGACGGGGTTCTCATCCGGACTATCGTCCTGGGGCTCCTATGGACCAAGACCAAGAGGTGGAAGTGGGGGACCTCAGAACATGGACCGATCTTTCTCGGAAAGTGCTCAGAGCGCGGTCTCGGATCTGCGAGGCGTGAGGCCTGGCGCTCCTCTCCGGACACCTTCAAACACCTATGCACCTCCACGAAAGCCACCTCAATTTCTGTCGCTCAATTCTAAGAGAATGCATTCGTCAAACATCATGCGGAGCACGAGGAGGGACCCGAATGCGCAATACAAGGCGCAGGAGAAGGCTTATGTTCAGCGAGTGCGGCAACAGCCGCAAGATTGGCTTGATAATGATCCTCGAACACCCAGCATTGGGTACAGCACAGATGACGAGACCGACGACGAATCACCGTCAGGCGAACACGCATTCGACGACCCGTACGATCCGGAAACACTAATGTTCCTGGGCAACGAGGAGAATCTCCAGCCGACAGAGGAGGAACTGCAGAATTCTGAGAACAGAGAGCGTCTCGAATGGCATTCGATGCTGGCTTCTGTGCTCAAAGGCGATGTGGTCAAGCAGGAGAAGCAGAGGCTGATCGGCACAACCGAGCAAAAGAGCAAGGCGGAACTTGGTGCTGAGATCTGGCTGGGTGCAAGAGCAAAATATTATGGCCGACCGCTGCAGATGCAGAAGAAGCTCATAGAAGAAGGCCGCGCCCATATCGGCCCCGTCATCGAACAAATTATCGCCTTTGAAATCAAGGGCGAGACGGTTGTGGGCAAGTCGCCGCTAGAACAAGTCGAGGAGGCAGTTGCAAATATCGAGAAATGTGAATGGCTGTATCCCTCAAGGAGGGAGCTCGAGGCCGCGCAGAGTCGGGCTGCCTCTGATGCTTTCAAACAGAGTTGCGACGCCATCATCTCCTGGCACAATATCACACAGTCCATCAACACCGAACTGGCTGTCCTTCAGGCGTGGGTCGGAAATTCTGAGTTGGATTTCACCAGACAAAAACGACGGTCGAGTAACGATGGCGATCTCTCAGACGAATCCTCATTCATCGACAGGATTTTAAAAGAGGATGGCTTGAAGTCGCTTCAAGGTGACAAGAGCATGTTCCTCGCGATCAGCGAGGTGATCACGAAGGCCAAGAGCACCTTGATTGAGAACGCGGAGGCATTTGCCGCCCGTCATCTTCCTCCTTACATCGAAGAACTTTTGACTCTGATCAACTTCCCTTCTAGATTAATCCAGGAAATTATCCGAATGCGGTTATCCTATGCGAAGAAAATGAAGGAGTCTGCTCAGCAGTCCGTGATGATCATTGACCAGATGATTGCACAGTTTCAGATTCTGATGCGGCTCGCATGCCTCATCAAGCAAGAATACCTCACAATGGCGCACCCTGAACCAGGATGGGATTTGCCTCCTTGTATCGACGAAAATTTCGACAAGGTCATTGTGGACGCCCTCAAGTTTTACTTTAAGATGCTGAACTGGAAATTGGGCGCGAACAAGAACACATTTCGCGAGGCTGAGATTCTCGAACAAGAATGGGGGTTTTCCAACGAGATAGGACGTCAACTCGAAGGTGGCGACATTGAGGTCGCGGAGCAATTCAGTTCCCTTACGGCCAAGTCGCTGCTTCGCCTCACTGCATCCTTCGAGCGAGAGCTGCGAAATAAACCGGACGAGAGTCCACAGGAGATGGAGAAACGATACAAAGCAATTCTGGATTCTGTCCGTGTTCGCCAACGGAAACTGTTCAGGTTCTCACGTATCTTGCGACAAAGGTTCGAGAACGCCACGGAGTTCAATGTGGGGATGGGTGCAGAGCAGCTACAGGTCTTTGCCGAAGCTCTCGTTTTGTCTGGACACTTCCTCGTGGAACCGAGCACAAACAGTCCTAAAGGTATTCACTTTGTCGCTTCGGCGTCGCTCTGGAACAGGCCGAAGGAGATCCAGTCGATGCTTGGCACATCGTTTCATGAGGATGATGCGGCAGAAGATCCCTCAAATCCTTACATTCTGATTATCAGACCAGAGGATGACATGACTTGGGAAGGACCGAGGATGGAGCTCGATGCCCTGGAATTACCTACTGATGTGAGACTTGGGAGGCTTCGTCTAGTGGCTGACGGATCATCCCTTCGCCTTCAAGGTGCTCGGATGGAATTTGCCAATGCCATTGGCAGAGAATTGGATGTGGTCATCGAACAGCGAGCCAACTTGTCTCGGGTGAACCTTGAGCTTGGGAAAATAAAGAAGACGACTTTCAAACTGTCCAATACCATCATGGAAAGTGTAGAAGTCATTCGGTCGCAGAACGGCGGGATCGCCAGTCCAGAGTTGGTACAATCTTGTTTCGCCTTTGCAACTGAATTTGGGAAACGATCACTGACATACATGGACGCCAATCGGCGCATGATGAACAATATGAAGCTTACTCGACTTGCTCTGGACTGGATCAGCTTTATTTGCGACGATTGCGACGCGGCTGACCGAAGGACCTTCAAGTGGGCAGTAGTTGCATTGGAGTTTGCGATGGCGATGACGCGGGGCAGGAATATTCTGGATATCACGGACGAGGACTACAAACGCATCAGGATCAAGGTGGCCGGCTGCATGTCTGTGTTGATCTCTCACTTCGACATTATGGGTGCGAGATCGACCTTGGCCGCACAGCAAGAGAAATCACGCATGGAAGCATTGACGGGCATGAACAAGCGCCTGGACTACAACAAGCTGCGCAACGATGAGGATTGTCGGAATGAGATGTGCCAGCAGAGACTGGCCGAGCTTAACGCCATCGACCTGGTTCGCGAGGAACGTGGCACAAAGACCACTCTTGGACGGGTATTGGAGGGCTCGAACGAAGCTGACCGGTCGCTCACATTCCTCTCCTCGTCGGCAACCAACATTACCATGAGATGGCAACAAGGTCAATTCGTCGGCGGTGGCACTTTCGGCTCGGTATATGCAGCCCTCAATCTCGATACAGGAACACTGATGGCAGTCAAAGAAATTCGCCTGCAAGACCCACAGCTGATTCCAACCATTGTCAAGCAGATTGGAGACGAAATGGGTGTCTTGGCCGTTCTTGATCATCCCAACATTGTCTCCTACTACGGTATTGAAGTCCATCGCGACAAAGTATACATTTTCATGGAATATTGCTCCGGTGGTTCGGTGGCGGGCCTTCTCGAGCATGGACGAATTGAGGATGAAACAGTTATCATGGTTTACGCACTCCAGATGCTGGAAGGACTGGCTTATTTGCACTCGGCACATATTGTGCACCGGGACATCAAGCCAGAGAATGTCCTTCTGGATCACAATGGTGTCATCAAGTATGTCGATTTTGGTGCTGCGAAGATCATCGCGCGCCAGGGACAAACGATGATGGCTCCAGAGGCACCACAGCGCGCCAACGGCGATCCTGGCCAGCTTCCACGGCAGCCACAGAAGACAATGACGGGAACACCGATGTACATGTCCCCTGAAGTTATTCGCGGAGATGGACCCGCAACCTCGCGCTTTTCGGGCGCCGCCGATATCTGGTCCCTGGGATGTGTGATTTTGGAAATGGCAACTGGGCGTCGCCCTTGGTCAACGTTGGATAATGAATGGGCGATCATGTACAACATTGCTCAGGGTAATCCGCCGCAGTTGCCCACCGAAGACCAACTGAGTCCGATGGGAATTGACTTCTTGAAGAAGTGCTTCGAGCGCGATCCTGCAAAGAGAAGCTCGGCCGCTGAACTGCTGCAGCACCCTTGGATCGTGGAGATTCGGCGGATGGTGGTGGATGACCCGGACGCCCAGACGCCCAGGAGCGAGAGTAGCGGAGGCGTGTCGCTCCCAAGCCGGCAGAACTCGACAGCGTCGTCGTGAGGATAATGATCTCGACAGCATCAAAAAGATTGTAAAAGTTTATTAATATAACAAGGACCCTGTATTGCCGACCAAGTTTCACTTGTGTCACTATGAATTTTTGGCTTATTGTTCTCCGGCTTACGTGATAGACCGTACTTCGTGTTTTTCTCGTATAATATTGAGCCGATTCATTCGCGCAGAGGGGCAGGTTCCTGCAGCAGGGTAAATGCAAATTGGCATGTCACCTGGCGTTAAAAGGTACTCCACGGCCTAAACAGGGAACCCTGACGTTGACGTTTCCGGTCTCATCGGCTTTCCTGGAAAGCAAGGACTCCATCTGGTCTTAGGGTTATGCCTGGCTTCCTGTCGATGCGTTCCGAGTCTTCCATCCTCTATTCGCTTTTGCACTGGTGAGCGGATACTCGGTATAGTTTTGCAGACCACTTCTCCATTCACTCTTTTTAATTTATTCTTTGTCTGGGCTACTCAATCTGAGTTCCAGTCTCACTATGCACGCCCGCTGCTTCCGTAATGGCCAGTGTTGACATTTCCATCAATGCCCCGTCGGATCCCTTCTCTGACCAAGAAGTAATTCAAGACGAACGCGAGACGGTCGCAGAGTCCACGCTGAGCGTCGGTCGAAACGCCACCCTGACTCTCGGCACTGACGCGGTCATCGTGCTAGGTTCGTCGTCTCTGGTCACGGGGACTTTTCTGACAGCGTTGCAGATGAAGGTCTTCTCTCAAGCGAGGGATTTGATTGCTTCGGGCTCTTTTCTCAAAGTAGGTCTCGAGTACGGTGACTCGAATATCTTCTTTGACTAACTTCGGGCATCAGGAACCACCAATACGCGATCCATTCCCTACTTTAACGTCCTCTGGGCAGAGATAGTAAAGAGCGAACTCACCATTCATTACGCCAAACCGACCTCCAAGTCAGCTAATTCCCCTGTCCGCGTTGCATACATCAATTACACCCTTGAGAATTCTACGGCGATATTGGAGAAGGCCGAAAGATGGGTTGAGCATCTGCTGCGTCGAGCGTACGGTCAAGCTCAACGAAATAAAAGGATCAAAGTTCTGATAAACCCATTCGGAGGGAAGGGGAATGCGGTGAAACAATACAGCAAAGAGATCGAACCTATATTTGCGGCGGCGCGGTGTGAAGTCGACGCTGAGCAAACAACCCATCGTGGCCACGCGGCCGAGATTGCTCAAAATTTGGACATTAACGCATTTGACGCCATAGCAAGCGTATCGGGAGACGGACTGCCTCATGAATGTATCAACGGCCTTGCGAGGAAACCGAATGCGGCCGAGGCCCTTAGAAAAGTGGCAGTCGTCCAACTCCCCTGCGGCAGTGGAAATGGCATGGCGTGGAATCTCACCGGGACGGGCGAATGCAGCACGGCTGCTTTGTGCGTTGTCAAAGGTGTACGGACCCCTCTGGATCTAGTCAGCATCACACAGGGAAATACCCGAACGCTCTCGTTCCTGTCGCAGTCGCTCGGTATAGTGGCAGAAAGTGACCTAGGAACAGAGAATCTTCGATGGATGGGCGACGCCAGGTTCTATTTTGGATTTCTCGTCCGGCTCCTAGGCAAAACGCTTTACCCTTGCGACATCGCCGTGAAGACGGAGATTGATGATAAGCAAGAGATCAAGAAGCACTACGCCCAGTACATGGCAAAAAGGGCGACTCAAGCCCCAATCTCTTATTCTGATCTGGACGGGCCGTTGGATATGTCAAAAAGTCTTGGGCTCCCACCCCTCCAGTATGGTACAATCAACGATCCTCTCCCTACCGACGCTGGCTGGACTCCTCTAACCTTCTACCCCAATCTGGGTAATTTTTACTGCGGCAACATGACCATGATGGCAGCAGATGCCCCTTTCTTCCCTGCATCTCTCCCATCGGACGGTTTGCTCGATCTTGTCACCATCGACGGCGACATACCGCGACGGAAAGCGATTGATCTCCTGCTTTCTGTCCCTAAAGGCACCTTTTTCGACAAGGATTGCGTGCGCGTCAGGAAGGTCAGTGCTCTTCGTGTGATTCCGAGGTACGGGACGATGGCGGACTCAGCAGCCCAGAACGACCACCAACGACATAAGCAGGGCCAGAAGGCCGGCCAAAAACACACGAGCAAGAAAGAAGCTCCAGATGCTGGTCATTTCTCCGTTGATGGAGAGAAAATGCCATTTGAGCCATTTCAGATTGAAGTCCACAGGGGATTGGGCACGGTCCTAAGTCGGCGCGTGGGAGTCTATGAAGCAATTGGGCCTAAAGGCTGGGAAGAAATCGGTGTCGCAACCCCTGGCGCTGCAAATCAGAGGTCTAAATCGAGGTGATCTAGAACGACGGATGTGGTATCAGCATGACATAACGTTTCCACATCTGCTGGTCCAAAGCAGGCGTCGAAGGTGGGTGAGGTAAAGAAGAACCCGGATCATCATCTGGCTAATCCACCTTCCTAAGACCATGACCCCAATATCATCGCAGCCTGGTTGCATTGTCGCTATTGGTTTGCTGTTCCTTCTGCGATGGGTCATTGAGACGTAACGAAACAACATCAAAACAGCCGGCGGGCGCTCAGGGCGAAAGAATAATGGTACGGACATAAAGAGATACCCCTATACGCAACTCTGCCGATTTTATTCTCTCGGACATTGAACAAACCAGTGGGATTGTATAATAGCCCTCCCTTTTTGGTAGACGAATAGACGTGGATTCCCAGATTGAATTGCAGAATTGCTTCCGCGGTCTTGATTGAGTTTATAGACGTCAGACATTGAGATTTTCTCTATACCAAGCCCATGGAGAGGGTTGCCCTTTGGGTCCTCTCCATGTCCAATCTACCATGAGCGCAAAAATACATATTCAAACACTCAAGCAGTACAAGAACCCAGTGGTGGTTTCACAATTTGCTCCTCAAATCCTTTCTCTCATCCTTCTTGAATAGTGTCTTGGAGTCCGGGTACGGATCAAACACTATGTTATTAAGTGGGTTCAACTCGCTTGCTCTGTGGAACATGTCCTCGTAAACGTTTCCATCGTACCTTCCCAGAGATGAGTCAAGCTGCCAGTCAGGGAACTTCCACGCGTCGACCAATCGAACAGCATGTGGGCGAATCTCCTCGAGCAATTTCATCACCGTCTTGGTGCGTGCCAACGTGATCTGGCGCACTGTCACAGCGGCGGAAGAATAGAATTCTGATGCTTCGCGTTCGAGCGTATGCAGAGCATAAAGACGGAACAACTTATGCAACAGAGCCACCGTATTAGCGTCCAACTCCTTTTTGGTTCCTGGGTCGCGCAGCGCGTCATGGAAGTTCTTGACGATCATATATTGGGCATGTGCCGTAGACAGGCGCCAGAAGTCCACAAGCAAGGAGTTCCAGGACTGCTTGTCCTCATCGCGGTGGCGGAGAGCTTCAAATGTCAAGAATGATACACGCCAGGCGAATGCCGCGACCAGGTCTTCGTCGTTGCCAATCACGTCGAATGCACAGCCAATGTCGCGGCGGCTGATGAAATCAATCAGGATCCGCGTAGTATCGTTCTTCGCCGCCTTTCCCTGGAGGACACTTCGAGCAGATTTCAAGAGGTACCGAGAAACCTGCTGCGTGAGCATGTAGTTGTCGCCTTCCCAAGTCACTGTGGGCAGGTAATCAGCATACCAGGTACCGATTCCAGAGAAGGACGAGTAACCGTGGCCGCCGCAGGCACGGCGGCAGACTTCCAGACCTTCTGCGGCGGTGGTAGAGCCAAAGGCTTTCAACGCACAACTCGTCGAGTGCAAGTCGGCTAGCAGATCGGTGCCTGGATTGAGCTCTTCGGGTCCTGGCCCCCGAGTCGAGTCGGACAATTTTCCAGCATCGCCAGCGCTCATGCGTTTCTGATTCTCCTGGTAAAGTCTGATCATACTCTTTCCCGTAAAGTGTAGGGCGTAAGTTGCTGCGAGCAATGGAAGCAGTCGGATCTGGACCATGGTGTAGTTGAGCACTTGGTTTTCACCAGGCTCATGGATGTCCCGATCTTGAAACTGTCGTCGTACAGCACAATAACGAGTAGCAATCGTGACGCCTCTGGCGAGAGTGGAGCCCGCCTGCAGGACGATAGTACTTCGAACGAAGGTAAGGGTGCCATAGACAAGAGAAGGATTTGACGGTCGAACATATTTGTTGGTGTTGGATCGACACTGGAGAAGCGAGCCAGCATGTTGATGTGAGGAATTTTGACGTTCTTGAATAGTAGGAAACCATTGTCCATCGTGTTGTATCCAAATTTAGGGCCAATGTCGCCAACATGGACGCCTGGCAGGGGCTCGTGGGTCTTCATGTCTCTGACTTGAACAACAAAAGGATGAGGCCCGTAGGGTTTACCGTCGATGAAGAGTTGGGCCATAACCACGGCATGGTTGGCCGTTCTTCCGAGTGACCCAATCCACCATTTCGAGGCCGTGAGGTACGGGGAGTTGATTGTAAAGGTCTTGTCGCTAGAGTTCCAGGTAGCAGTGGTTTCCAACCCTCTCACGTTCGAACCGTGACCCAGTTCAGTCTGGGCATAACAGCCAATGATCTTGTATGCCTCCGCCTTCTCAAGGAAGAGCTTGTGCTGTTCGGGAGTACCTTGCTCGCGGAGGGTGACGAGGAACATGCTCGAATGTAGACCGTAAGGCGTAGGCTCGCTGATGAGGTCGCTAGCGGTCTGGTACTCATCTCTTGTCCAGTTGTGTTTGACCTGCAGCTGCTGCAGTCTCTTTCCCCTGGCCAACGCAGCTTCTATCCTGCTGATTCTTCCTCGAAAGTAGTTTTGTGATTTGTCGAAGACAGGATCAGATTGCAGTATCTTGAGTATTCGTCCATTTCTCTCGAGTATTTCTCGCGTAAACATGAAGTCGGCGAGCTGATCGACATTGAGATTGGACTTCGCTCTCTCTTGCGAGAGCAGCTCAGAACCTTGAGGGCCAGAGGGTTTCAGGGCCTTGACCCATTCTGGATTGTTAGGCATGTTGAGGCAACTTCGGAGGAACCGGAAAGCAGTCAAAGGCGTAAAGAATAGCAGAATTCTGTCTCGGTATCGATTTAAGGGCTCAGCGGAAGGAGAGTGTTGATATTTAAGCTGCTCAGTACCATGGATCAGTCAATGTTCGACTCGCAGTCCGAAATTGTCGTAATTAATTCGGAACGGTTCACCAGGTATGGAAGGTCACGCACGTCCGCTGCTCACATGCCTCGGTTCATTCGACTCTGCCTCTTACTCCTTTCAGGATTAGTGAGCTCTCCTCGATGGCGCCAATCTCGAACTTCGTGCGTAACGCCAGTCTCCGGCGTATGGTTCGGCAATCCGTCTCCAGTCTCAGGTCTCACGGAAGTACGACCGAAATTACCGAGAGCCCGCCCTTCTCTTGAATGTTCATGGATATTATATTGAGTTGGTTCGCCACCTCCGCGATCGGGCGCACTCGGATTCTAGACACCTCATTTGCTGTAGAGAGCTTCAAGAAAATTTCATGGACGAAAACCATCTATTACAAGCTCACTCCATCAAAATCCATTGAAAATCCTGCCTCGGCCGACGAGACATACCATACCCCGAGACAAGCCTCGATCGCCTGTCGGGTATTGATTCAGTGACTCGGTCGCCGTCAAAGACCTTAGCTCACTGGCTTTATTTCTGCCGAACAACGACCGCATCGAGCAGTTGAGTGTGCTCAGTGCGTCGCTGTAAAGTTTGGATTCATTATCCAGTGGTTTCCCAGCCAATTTTATTATTTAGCGACGCTATGGGACTGATTGATCATTCGATAGGTTGAGAGACTCAGGTGTACAGGTAAGTAGGTCACTAGCTACTTTGGTCCTGTGGCCAAAAATCTGCAAAAGAGCACAAGAAGCCCCTACCTGAGACTCCTTGTCACTTTTCTAGTGGTCGGTCGAGAGTTGTCCTGGCAGAGGAAATGATGATGTCTCAGGGCACTCAGCATACTGGTATTACCTTGTGATATGAGACTGAGACGGTCCTGCCCCTCGGCTTCGAAGACAGTTCGCGTGACCTCTTGATGCAACTCGCGGTAGAATGAAGGATCTGGGCCGGAAGAGATCGAGTGAACACTCCAACCCCTTACAATTAGCATCTCTACAGTTGACCACTATGATTACAGCTGTCAACCCTCGTATGCGCTGTCACCAAGGGAGGGGGGTGTGGTTATGCCCTGTTGATCCACATGCTACAACTAATAGCAGACGTCTGAGTGATGAACATTCTGCATTTCATAATGACGACAGAGGTGCTTGTACGACCGTCACCTTGTTACACTGGTTTCAATCTCGCATTGGACTCGCACCAACATGCCGCAAGAGTGTCCCGTATACCTCATATTGTGGAATCCGATGGGTACGGCCTCTGAATCAAGCAAGCTGACGTGCATTAAAGGGTAGCACTGCCCACCGGTTAGAGGAGGTTTTGCTCTCTATTGAGACATTCTCTAATGATTCTCTCGAAGGTGCTGGTGGTTGATCTTAGTAGATCAATACCTTTGGTCATGATCAGTAAGATATAAGGACTCGCGGTCGGAAAAGACAGCAAAAACTCTCCGAAAGATAAATAGATATGGATGGATTAAAAATACCAGCGGATGCGACACGAAACAAGAATGCCTATCTCGAGGTGGGAAGTCGTGATTGGGATGGATCATCAGCCTGACGAACGTTACCAGTCCACCCCTGGATGCATAAATATTGGTTCAACAAGCAGACCGGCGTCAATATCAACTTTGTCAAGCGGCAGATCACTGTGCATTGATATGCGAGAAATACGAACTTTCCATAACTCTGTCTTAACTTCCAAATCCCTCAAGGTAGCTATGAAGAGCAGCAACATCTGCTTGAAAATGCTCAGTCAACTGACCTCTAATCAATGTCTCGCAAATCAATTCAAGGATGTGTCTCCAACGCTTTCATCCTGGCCACAGCAGAGGTATTCGGTAATAAAATTCCTCTTCCCACGCGACCAGCGCCATGGTCTACGCCACCCTGGCGCAGTTCTTACCATATCGTTACTTATTATTCTTGCTTCCTGGGACGGAAGGACCACCAGAACGGGCTGTTCGAAAGATTGAGCTCTGCCTTCTCGATATGCCTCTCGAATTTCTGGCATATATAGATTGCGTCAGGAAAACAGGGTGCAGGTCGTCCTCTATTAGATAAATATTGTATAACCTGCATTTGCGCCTCGAGACCCGGCTGAAACATGGCCAAATGCATGAGCTCAACCTATAACGAAGCGCTCAAGCTGGGCTTCGGCCGGAGGATACACTGCTGCGTCATAGAAGCCACCATTGTGCCATTCTGATCCCATAGCCTCGATTCTGCATAATTCCGTGCAGCACCAGCAGTTCGTGTCATGCGCTCTCGCAGATGCCAGCGTGTTATGTCGACATCGTTCACAAATACTCTCAATGCAAAGTCTAGTGTTGAGGCAGCACCAGCATCATGCATTCCTTTGTGGTCGTGAATCAGTGGCATAAAAGATGGCCCGGCATCCATCATGAATGCTAAGGCGGCGAGGTGTTCGGATGTCGTGGATAGAGGTTGCGATGCTCGAAACCAATCCCCAGAGGTTTTGGACGTGATGGGAAGGTGGTCCTGTGTTGTTTGGATGTGTTTTGCAGCTCCACCGAGAGTCTGGCCCCAAACCCCCTCTGGGCAAAACCGATTTTCGAAGAATGAAAGCAAGATGGAGGTAGCAGTGCGGTATGAACGGGCGTCTTCATCGGTTACGAGGCCTCTTGCCAGAAGCTCTTCCGCCATCTTTTCAACGGGTGGACATTGACTGACGTCGCTATATCGACCTTCTGGAGGCGCAGAGTACTCCATCATCGTTGGCTCACTGATGTGGAAGTCGGTCTGCAGTGTCATGCAGAGTCGAGGTTCCCCATCCGGAAGGCTTTGCCATACATCAACACGCCGTGTTGCAAATGTCCTTGTATCTCGCAACCGCTGTACTCGACATATCAGCCTTTGATCTGTCCTTGCTGGACCAAGAAAATGCCCGAGGACTGAATAGAGATTATAGCCAGGCTTCACAGTTCGAAATGCAGCGTGCACACCAATGCCTATTGAACAACCCCCGTACGCAATCGGTCGTTGATTGGCTCCCCTTGCAGGAGGAAATAGTGAGCAGAACTCGTCTGGACCAGTCTGCTCGACACCAATCTGCTCGCTGAGAGTGCTCGCCATATTTATGAGTACAGCGTCCTCTATTCGTTTAAGCCAAAGAAAACCTAGAATCTTCAAGAAGAGAACACATGATAGAGGTTTTGTCGCGACGTTGAGAGAACGCTGTGAGTTAATGTCAGCCGAGGTCCGGCGACGGCTAACCAATATAGAAAGGCTCGTGAAGATCAGGGCCCATACCGTCAGGAGGAGATGAAATGCAAATGGTACGCAATCACAAGAAAGAAAGAAGCCGAGGCATGCAATGTCAGGCTTGCCTTCATACTTGGTCATGATATGCCTTAACAGTTCCCCGTCCCATCGAAAAAGGATATAAGTGGCCCATATTGCGCCCCAACCCGTCATGTTGCAGAGTTCAAGCACTGCGGAATCAATTTCCTGTCGATCCATTTATCGTTCCGTCTTTGTATTGTGGAGCCCAAATTGGGAACGGTGCGGACACATAATCAGGCTTTAACATCTAGTGATGGTTTCCTGATAGATTCCTTCGAGAAGTATTCACGCACAAGCCTTCGAGTGGGTTTGTTGTATATCGTCGCGGCTAACTATGCAGAAACACGGTGGTAACAGATTTCCGACTCTCCATTAATCTTGATAGAATTGTAATTTAATAGTGCTGGCGGCTGTTATGTATGGGATATCTGAAGTACCACCATCCTAATTACCATCACTATAGCTTAGATCGGGTCACCTTGCCACCTGCTAGCCGATACCCAGTTGCAGAATCGTCAGGTAGGTCAACACCCCAGACTATCCGACAGTCCCAGTTGATCTTGTCCCTGTCACCGATGGGCAGTACACGGCTTGACCACATGACAATGCTCGAAAGATGAAAATCCCCTATATTTCCTTCGGCCTCGAGGATCCATCGTCGCGCAATCTCCGTGGCGATCGCATTTGTATCCCTCTGTGCATCAAGAGCAAGGAGGGTGCCAGCTACAAGCCATGCGAGGGTGAACATGAAATGTCGGCCCATGGCGAGAGCAGAAACCAGGTCATCCCGCTTTCCGTCCAGCAGCTTGTAATATTCAGCCCACGCCCCTTCCAGCTTTCGCCTCAACTCAGCATCTTCAACTTGTGAAATGGCATGCTCCATCCATGAACCGAAAACAGAAAGGTGCCGGCCATTCTTGTTCACAAGATGTCTTACCACCTCACTACTTAAGACATTTGTGGTTCCCTCCCACGTCATATTGGCTGCGGTGTCGCGCATGAGACGCGAGATATTGTATTCTGGCTCGTCTGGCTCATCCAAATATCCGACACCGCCCATAGCCTCCTGGCACTCCTGCAGGGCAAGAGTGCCGGTCTTGCAGATCACAGCCTTGGCCGTCGCGGTTAGAGTCCTCAGGATAATATCTGTCTGTTCCCCTGGAGCTGGAAGGGGCACGTAGCCTTTTCGTTGAACATGTTCTGGGGGAAAGCCATGATCAGAAAAACTCAGCAATGCGGTGGTGAAGAAGGCGAGTTGGAGTGCACCTCTGTGCTTCACTTCCATATTTGCTAACATTCGGAGGTGCATTGGAAACGTCCACAGGGGCTGGTCGATTGTGGTTCGGACCTTGGCAAAGCTCTTAGCAATAGCCATACCCCTACGCCAACAAGACAGAGCGGTGATAAAGTTATGAGTTCGAGTGACATTCAGAAGTAGCGCAATGGTCGCGATTCCGCGATCCACAGGACCTATAAGATGCGCTCTCACGTTTTTGAGCTCCAACTCGGCGGTTGGAAGCTCTTTGGTGCCCATCTTGGTTTTGAGGCGATGAATGCGGATACCATTTGTGACCTGTTGCCTTTTCCCCTCAATAACCACTGTCTTCCTTGTTGGCGCGACAAAGAGACTCAGTTGTCTAGATTCTGTTTTAGCCAGAATAAGAGCCATGTTGCAGTCCGTGGCTGACGAAAAGAATTTAAATCCGGACACGAGGTAGTCTCCCTCTTCAATGCTCCCGTAGCGTCCTGTCTTGTGTTGCAAGGGAGAGAATATGGCGATTGTCTCAGATTTCTGTACATCGCTGCCACCTGGTCTCTCTGTCATCCACTGAGATGAGATCCAATTTCCTTCCCGTGCGGTGAGACGACGATAAATTTCATGAAAGGGGTGATCAGCAGGCACAGAACTCAACTGCTTGGATACGAGTCGTGCTGCTCCGCTAGTCATCGAAACTGGACACGAGTAGACTGCCGACGACGCGGAAAATGTATAGTTACTACACTGTTAGTAATTGCCACGAGGGTTGGGTGTCTGACGAGACTCACAATGCATGTTGAACGAGCCTCCGGTACTGTTGAAATTCCTCTTCGTAGCCGAGCGCTATCACACTGCCCACCTATTAGGTCTTGCCGATGAGAGGCTTCTGCGATGACTTGCCCGTTCTTCGACCCCCAGTTTCCCAACTCCTTCCACCCATGGCTGGTAACTAGTCGATCATACGGATAACGGGCACCCCATACGTTATGAGTTTTGACGTACGGATGCTGTGATTCCGCATTGGATATCAATTCGTTGATCCTTGGTGAGATTGCCTCCTCGGCAAATATGGTGAGACGGTGTTTGACAGTGTCGAGCACGTCCCCAGGGAGATACCATTCGAGAACTCGTTGGTACGACTCATCCGATGTGAAAGGATTCTTCAGGGCAGGTGGAGCTAAGATGAACCCTCTGTCTACAGTGGAAGGCTTGAGAATTGACATATTTGCGATACTGACGGCGACGGTCCTGGTGTTGTGTCACAGATTTGAAGATAAGTCAGCCCATATTAAATGCTCCCTCCCGCCAAAGTAGCACCCTAATTTGCCGCACAGCGCCGTTAAGTGCCGAGTGGATGATTCGTAGACTCGGCGTTTGAATCTTGATCTCATATGGAATTCTAAGCTTCACTAGCCTTTATGGAGCGTATATTTAGTCTTTACGTCGCTGTCGGCGTAAAGCGGCGATTTCAACAGCCGGCCGAGGCTCACCCGAACATACGTATCAGGGACTTTATATACTCCATATCGGCTTTGAATTAATTATATTAGTACAAGAACTGACATTCGGATTCCGAGTGTGTCGATAGATATCAAAATGTCTGCTTCCAGAGCGAACAAGATCTTCCCCATACAAAATGGACCTCGAGATGAATTTGAGACTCGCACAAAGCCACTTTCTCCAATATGGAAGCCAAAAGCTCCTGCCAGTCAGATACCAATGAATATTTATCGCGAACATGTCAACAAGAAGTTTTTTCTCCGGCTAACAGGCTCCCACGATTTGCACAGGTGGAGCGTGACAGACCCTCAAGCTTTCTGGGTTGATCTCTGGGATTATGTGGGTTTGATACCCGGGTTACCTCCAGGAATAAAACAAGCATACGATCCGAACATACCCATTTCAGAGGTTCCTCCATTCTTTGAAGGGGCATCGATTAACTACGCGGAGAACGTGCTGATCCAGCCACTTGTCGATGACCGAAGCCCTGCTCTAATCGGGTTGAGGGAAGGCCAGCACCTTGATGGCGAAGTCTGGACATGGTCCATATTGCGGGAAAATGTGCGGAGAGTCAGGAGCGCTCTGCTTCGAAGCGGGATTCGAAAGGGTGATAGGGTTGCTGCTCTGATATCGACCTCAGTTTGGTCAGTTGCCTTACTCCTTGGCTCGGCCAGCATCGCGGCTATCTTTACTTCAATTGCTCCAGATCTTGGGCTTGAGGTAGGACACCATGAAAATGAACTCAGAATAATTTTAACTCTCTCAGGGATGTACCTCTCGACTGCAACAAGTGCAACCTTCTATATTGTTTGCCGACAGTCACTGCACCTACAAAGGCAAACAAAGCTCCAACACTCCCAAGATAGCTGCAATATTGAAGCTCCTCAAACCGAATCCAGAGCTGTTTGTCGTGCCTACGGGACCTGAGGAGGATTTCCAGTTACTATCTGACTTCCTCAGAAGGTCGAAAGACGCAGACGAACTAAAGTTTGACAGGCTCCCGCTCACGACACCGCTTTACATTCTTTACTCCAGCGGGACCTCGGGCCCTCCGAAGTGCCTTGTGCACAGCCATGCGGCTATTATACAGCATAAGAAAATTGGAAAGCTGCACAACTCCCTGAAGCCAGGAGAGGTTGTCTTCCAATATTCGAGTACGTCGTGGGTCCTCTGGAATATTATGGTTGGCCACCTGGCCATGGGTGCCACTCTCGTTTTGTACGACGGATCGCCCACCTGGCCAAGGCCTCAGAGAATGCTCGAGATTGTCGAAAGATTCAAAGTGAACTACTGGGGCGCCTCACCGAAGTATCTCAAAGAGCTTGAATCGACAGGGGTTAAGCCCAAGGCAGATTATGATCTTTCTAATCTTCGGATGGTGCAAACCGGAGGGTCTCATCTTGCTTCCGACCAATATCACTGGTTCTACAACGTTTTCCCCTCGAGCGTGCATTTAACAAGCGTGACTGGAGGAACGGACCTGGTCACTTCCTGGTGTGGAACCGACCCTGCTGGCCCACTTTTCCCGGGAGAAATACAAATGCCCATCCTCGGACATGATGTCGATATAGCGGACCCTATTGACGGCCATTCGATTAAGGATACTGGAGAAGCGGGAGAATTTGTCTGCCGAAAACCGTTTCCTTCGATGCCCGTCTATATGTGGGGCGATACAGAAGGTAAAAAATACAAAGCTTCGTATTTCAGGCGATATTCATTCCCATGTTGGGCTCAGCATGATTGGGCGAGTGTCAACCCTATCACGAAGGGGTGGGTAGTGCATGGAAGAAGGTATACTACACCAGCTCTAAAACAGTATTGATACTGATTCTGATAGTGACGGCGTCCTTAACCCCCAAGGCATTCGGTTCGGCTCCGCAGAGATCTACTCCATCACTGAGGCGGCTCCTTTCTTGAACACGGTCGCCACCACCCTCTGTGTTGGTCGGAAAAGGCAAGGTCTTGACTTTGACGAGTCCGTATTCCTTTTTGTCGTCATGCGTGCGGGCTGTCCGTTCACCAAAAAGTTAGAGCAACTACTGAAGGATGCAATCCGCAAGTCCCTCAGTCCTCGGCACGTTCCACGGTTTGTGGTTGAGGTGAGAGCGATCCCGATGACATCAAATGGCAAGAAGGTCGAGACTCTGGTCAAAGAGGTCATCTCAACAGGGGAGATGCCAAGGACGATAAGTTCTACCGTGATAAATCCAGAATGTATCGAGGCATTCCGACACTTCTACCTTCTCGAGGCGCAAGTCTGCGCGAGGCTGTAAAATAACCCCAAGATTTTGGCAGCTTCGTTCACCATTTTAGGATAATTCAGCGTGGTCAAATCTTTGGTGATACAGCGGCACGAAAGGCTTTGGTGGATATTTTGTGAAGGTTGAATGTCCATCGCAACCCTAGTCCCCTTCCTGCTCCAGCCCATGAGCATTTTCACAGAGCAGACATCTCTCTGTGGTATTTTAACTCGAAGACCATACATCTGCTTCTCTCAAAAATAGATAATGCGACGTTTCACCACATTATTAGCCTCAGCCTAGACAGCCCCGATACGTGTGCACAAGTCTTTACAGATCTTTTTGGTCTCGGCACGTACACAAAGCCGAAACCCCGCACTCAGTAGCGGTCTTTGTGAAATGTTTTCCATTTCGTCGAGCCAAACAACTTACTCCTCTGCGCAGCTCGTGCTCTGCATACAAACGTGACATACATGTCCGTGTCAACCAGGGCTAAGAAAGCGTGTGACATATGTCATCGAAGAAAGGTACTCAACGCCAGAAAGAGTTTGACTGAATAGGCTGATATTGGACCTCTCAGATCAAATGTGATTTCAGCTCGTCCCATCAGCCATGCACTAATTGCAGACTGGGAGGCCTGCTCTGCAAGCCGCATCAGAGGAAGCGCCCACGATACTTGTCGACAGGCGATCCGAGTTCACAAGGCCAGGAGGCTATTGCCGAGCATCATGGCGACGAAGACTCAACGCCAGTAAAGATTCGAAGCTCCGAGCCCGTTGCTGTGCCGGATGACCAGGCTCAAACTCTAATCCACCAGGCTGGAAGACAGTGGCAAACCGAGGGCATCGAGGCCATGACCGTGATAGGCACGCGAAATGAACTCACCGGGTCGCCTGAATATGTAGCCGCCACAGAAAGCCACGTGGGCAGAAGTGACTATATTGGGAGCGGCGACATCAGATTTCGCGAAGAAATGGTAAAAGTTCAGAGTGACACTTTACGAATATCCCAGACAGACTCCGAGCTACTTCAACTACAGAAAGCCTTCGAGTTGCCGCAGAGATCTGTTCTTGCAAGCCTCGTCGACAGCTACTTCGAGTATTGTTCTCCATGGACGCCGGTCCTTGAATTTTCGGACGTGGCAGAACTCCAGGCCCGTGGAACGTCTCCTCTCTTACTCAACGCCGTGCTCCTGGCCGGGAGCAGGGTAGCATCAAGCGATATTCTATCAGCTTCTGCCGAGGATTTCTATCGAAAAGCCAGGTTAATATTCATTTTGGGTCACGAAAGAGACGCGCTTACCTGCACCATCGCTGTTACCTTGCTTCAGTGGTTCAACCCCACGGGCCCAGAACATATTTCAACAAGTACAAGCGGGTTCTGGGTACGCATTGCTGCTGGCTTGGCGTACCAAATCGGACTACACAAGGAGCGGACCACGCAGAAGAACACATGCCTCCGCCGGAGGCTATGGTGGTCAATTGTTGTAAGTGTCGGTCGGAGCGGTATGTCCTGGCGGCTAACTGACAGCTCCCAGTGCCGCGATGATATTATATCCATAGGGACAGGGCGACCAAGGACAATTAATCTTGACGATAGCGATGTGGCCAACCTATGCATCAGTGATTTCCCAACTCCAGACACCAACGCACGCTTATTTATAGCATTCTCTGGTATCATTCGTCTTCTGGCTGATTTAACCGAAAATATTCGACGGAAAACGATGACGGCAAAGATACAGGTCTCCTTAGAGAACGCCCTTTATCGTTGGATCAAAAGTTTGCCTGTGGAGTTTCACCTCTTTTATGGCTCGCCGAAGATGTTGGGATCCTATAACTTCCATGGAAGGCAACTCTTGGTTCCTTATTTTGTGTTCCTGTTCATTCTGTCTCGACACTCGGCTTCGCGAAAGCAGTCCATACGTATGTCACTTATAACATCCTCTTTTGTTGCAGGGATGTTCGAAGATTTCCTGAACAGAGGCGAGCTCTGTCATTGCGGGCCAGTATTTACATTCTACGCTTTTGCAGCTGGCCTTGCTCAGGTGTTGGCATTGAGATACAAGTTTCTCACAGAATCTGCGGAAGATTCATTGTTCATTATTCAATCATCTCTGACAGAATTGAAGAAGAGGTGGGGATCCGCAGAGGGTGCTCTCGCAGCGTTAGGTGAGATAAAAAGGCTCACACTGCGGAGTCCAAGCCTCGGCGATGTGCCTGATCACGATGTTGGAAGGCTTGCGCCGTTTGTTGAAGACTTTGGTCCGCAGCTTTGCAAGCAGTACCAGCTCTTAGCACAAGATTGCTCTGCCACAGGAGCCCTGCCACCATTACATTCAAACTCAGCCTCCATCAGCATCGGCTGTGACTACCACCCATCTGATACGCAAGACGGCGAAGCTGAACACATCGATCCTCCACTTGGGGGCCAAAGCATCTCGTTCTTCGGTGACATGGATCCTTTTGGAAGCTGGATAGACGACTTGGAACTAGGTTTGATGGATTATTAGATACTAAATACGTACGGGCTTCAAAATCCACACGTGAGAGTGTAAAATGCCGCCACGGAGCTCAAGACTACTCGTAATAGCATCACTGACACATTTGTAGTTCTTTCAATCCAGTCTTGGGCCGTGGTATGACTTCGCGGCATACAACACCCAGTTAAGCGCCGCAAATAATGCCATGGCTCCTATCACACCAGAAGTATAGTCTGCCCCGGGTTAGTCGAAGAATATTGACACACAAGTAGAGACTTCACAGCAAACTTACTCATGTTGAAACCGCTAACAGGGACGACAACAGGAAAGTCGTAGAAGATCAAGACCACGATAGCAAAAGCGACAGTAGAGAAATTCACTACCCAGCCAAGAGGGCCAAATAACCTGAATGGCCTGTTGACAGGCAGGTACATTGGAGACCGTTTCCGATAAATCAAGAGCGCGGCCGGAATCGCATATGTTGCTTGTTGCAGGATGAGGCCCGTCCCGATGAAGGCATTGAAAGCGGTCGAAGAGCCGAGGAAAATGAAGCCGATGACAAATACAATGGCATTATTAGCCAACAACGCCCACACTGGGACCTGCAGGGAGGGATGGACACGGCCGATGAATCTGGACCAAATCAAAGCTTCATCTCTTGCGAGGGACCACGTCAGGCGTGAAGCAGTCTGTTGAACAGCGATGAGAGCCACTATAGCCGCTGTAAGGAGAATGGCCATGAAGCTTGTGGCTGCGACACTAGATCTGGTCGCCTGTAGCCATATCTCATAGATCGGAAATCTGTCCTGCGTCAACAACCGTTCTTTGTACACGGGGCTATTCTCGTGAACTCACCCAGTAGGTGTGCTAAGGACAGCATCGAAGTCTGTGATACAGTATGTCATTGAAACCGCGAACGAGAAACTTGTCACAAATCCAATCGTTAACGTGCTGACGAGCGCCCTGGGGACAACCTTTTCGGCCTGCTTGCATTCTTCGGCAAGATGGACTGCGCCGTCAATGCCTGCGTACATGTAGTTAGGTGATACCAAGCCTGTGAGGAAGCTTATACCAGCCGGCCAGCCGCTTTTATTCACGAAATTCGTCCAAACAAAGTGGCTGCTCCGTTTCGAGGGTGCTCGGGCGAGGCACGTAACGATGATCGTAACGAAGCCTGTCAGAGTGATAACAACTGTCGCGAAGGTCAGCTTAGTGTTAACAGACAGCAGAGACTGTGCTTACATGACATATCATTTAGCCACATGGCCCTTTTCAGTGAGAAGATGTTGTGCATGCAGACCGCAAAATTAACGGCCTGATAAAGGAGAAAATAATGCCACGTGTGAGCCACGTAATCATTTTGGTAATGGTTAACCATGGCCAGGATGACTTGCGGGACGATGATGGTGATTCCAGCCGTGGTAGCAACCCAGGCATAAGCATTGATGATGCCACATGCATAGCTCTGTCCCGGATGTCAGTAGTGATCTTCCTCCATTGGCTTATAGATGAAGAGCATACTAGGAAACGACTCGCTTTTTGGGGAGCTAATATAGATGTCCAATGGTACCTGTAGCAAGTGAGGATGTTCCTGTTCTTGAACTGAATGGAGACCGAGCTTACTGTCCTCCGGCGGTAGGATAGACCGATGCAAGTTCTCCCATGCTCAAGCCGCTGCATCCAACCATGATGAAACAGACAACGACACCATAGATGAGGGTCACCGAACCGCCCTGAGCAATTGACAAAGCCAAAGTCGCCGCCACTCCGGCCCAGCTATTGCAAATGTTCCAGCCAACACATACGGTATCGAGAGGCCCAATGTCTCGCTGGGTCTCTTGGCGCAGGCCCAAGGCAGAGAGCTCGACAGTCCGGAATGTTCCTTGATTTTGAGTCTCAGCTGAGATCATACACGTAACATGTCAGTATATTCACATATATCTTTGCTGGACTTCGTGGTTATTACCGCGAAGAAAACTCTGTGAAGTAAACAAGTAGGTGCATACCTTGGTCCAGCTCGTTGAAAGTTTGCCTTCCATAAGTGACCTTTTCTCTCTCGATGGAACTCATTTTGCTGGTTGCTTGGTGCTCTCAGTGGACCAGATGGGCAGACTGCTATGGACAGGAGGAGGTGCTTGAACAGGTATACATCCGAAGCTGTGAAATCAAGTCGCTTTATAGATTAACGCATGAACGTCTGGATGCATTGATGGGAAGCAGTGGAACATGCACGCGACCCACACCCCCCGTTACCCCGGACTATAGTTGTCCAAAAGAGGAATGTCAACTGAGTTATCTAACCGCGTTTGATAAGCGTCCCTGCACATTCACAAAACTAAACTGTATTTCTCAGAAAGGGAAGCTCGGACGGAAGTCCACATTATTTGCCATCCGCCCATGCCAATCAAGATTTCAGGGACGACGAGGCCTTGATCAAAGGTCTTTAATTTAGCCTGTTCAGCCTTGAAATCGTGGTAGAGTGCTTTCTCTGTTGCCTAAAACGACAAAGCAAAATTGTGACAGAGTTTCACTCGCCTGCTTTCGAAAATTATTTATTTCCATGGTTGGGCCTCCCATTCATGGATCACGAAGAGTTTTCCAACTTCAATCAACTTTAACAACATACTATATTGTTGTCATAAGCAAGAAATAAACATGCTCAGATCACGAGAGGGCTGGCATTGGACTCCGACCACTGGACTTCAAGCCGGTATCCCTTCCATTGCAGTCATAGAGCCATCCCAAATGATTCAAAATCCCCGCGCCGTGCTTGACGTGATTGTGATCGGAGCAGGGTATACAGGGCTTACCGCCGCCAGAGATACATCAACTTCCGGTCAGTTTCCTGAGCTCATATGTTATATCGGCTTTTGCTTCGGCTGACGAGAGCGCAGGATTGAAGACATTGATACTAGAAGGTCGAGATAGACTTGGTGGCCGAACTTGGTCATCCGAGATCGACGGGTATCCTTATGAGATGGGAGGCACATGGGTTCACTGGTTTCAGCCACACGTATATCGCGAGCTCTCAAGATATGGCATGAAAGACGAGCTGGTGCACTCTACCGATTACAGCAAGAAACACAATTTCTTCACCTTCAAGACAACAGATGGTCTCAGAAATATGAGTCACGAGGAAGAGGTGAGACAGTTGAGGCCCTTGTGTCTTCTTAGTTGACCGCCTCCAGGATTCACTTTTCGGGCGGGCCATTGAGAAATTCGTCAATGTCGACGGCAACCTTGGGCGGAGCGTGATGCCTTTTCCATTTAACGCATACTGGAACAAAGATGTGTTCAAATATGCAAATCTATCGGTGGCAGACAGAATAGCCCAAATCAACCACGACCTGTCCAGCGACGAGAGGCACGCTGTCGAGGCCTTTGTGCTCCTTTGCAGTGGCGGAACGACGGAAAATTCGTCGTTTCTGGACTTCCTCCGCTGGTGGGCAGCTGCAAATTACGACTACAAAACGCTTCTGGACACCATCATCGTCTTCAAGCTAAAATGCGGCCAATCCAGTTTCGCGAAGCGATTCTTCGAGGAGTCGTTGGCAAGCGGTAATCTATCGTTTTCCTTCAACACCCCCGTCACTCGTATCGACTCATCAAAGGGGCTAGTAGAAGTCTGGACAAGGGACGGTCAGCATTTTTCGGCTAAAAGAGTTATTTGCACGTCGCCACTGAATGTACTCGGGGAGATCGAATTCAATCCACCCTTGGAGCAGGCGAAGCATGAGGCTGCGGCGTTAAAGCATGTCAATCAGTGTGTCAAAGTCCACGCAGATATCAAAGACCCAGAAATGAGGTCGTGGAGCGGTGTCACCTATCCTCAGAACAAACTTGTCATTGGGGTGGCAGATGGCATGACCCCTACAGGAAAAACCCATTGCGTCTTTTTTGGATGTGATGCAAACCATATGCATGCTGATGAGGACATCAATCAGACCCTTCGCGCAATCAAAGAATTTGGTCCTATGGAAATTGACCGTGTGGTGAGTGCAAGAACTCTGGATGGCCTAGGATCGACGGGGCTGACAATTATCTCAATAGGTATTTCATAATTGGTCTAAAGATGAGTTCGCCAGAGGAGCATGGTGAGAAGGCTACCATTTAAGTTTCACTGCCAAGTCTAACGGTGTTCAGGGTGTGGTACAGACCGGGTATGGAGGTGCGGTACCTGGAAGCTCTCAGGAAGCGGCAAGGACCCATACTCTTTGCTAACTCGGATTGGGCTGCTGGGGGATGGAGGAGTTTTATCGATGGCGCCATTCAATCAGGAACTGAAGCAGCTTCGACAGTCCGACAGGAGCTGCTCCCAGTTTGAGGACGAGTCGGTTGTGACAGGCGGCGTATAGATAATCTAAAAGCTCCATTGATATGGCATGAAATGTATCACCTTCCACCATTCGGACTGCTGGGTGGCTGGGGAAGTGGCTGAAGCTGGCGTACCATGTGATTTGAGGCGCGGCCAATATGTAATACCATCGAGCGCGAACAGTCATTACATTGTCTTGGCAAAACTATCAGTCACAAAGAAATTTTTGGCCGGGGAATTGGCGTGAGAGATCATGACCACGTGCACGATCTCAACGCCTCCCAGATCTCTTGTTCTCACAAAGCACCTCTCTTCTTGATCTCAATGCCCAGAACCCTACCTCGATATGCCTCCCAATGAAAGATCTGTAATGTCGCTTGATCCCCACAGACAAAATGCCGAAGGAGCTGTCCGGTGAGTTTGCCAAGTTTCCAATCAGAGATTCGCGCTGAGTGCAGAGATAGGATGCCACAATTGCTCGCAGCGACGCATCAAGTGCGATCAATCCCGTCCAAGATGCAATAAATGCTTAAGGAAAGGTCTTGAATGTCCCGGCTATGGAATACGATACAGGTTCAACGAAGGTATAGCTTCCCGTGGTAGATTTGCGGGCCGGGCAGCCCCAGCCGACCAGGTTGCAAGTGCCCAAAGGCAACCCGAGGAAACAACAACGCCCGTTCTAGTATGGCCGGATGGTACGACGACTTCGATCCTCGAACGACTCAATCCAGCGTCAATATCCTACCAGTCTGAGAACACCGAACTGCGTTCCGACGGAGACCATGACTTGCCCACGTTCCCGGCTGACCTTTCAGACGACGAGGGAGTGCTTCCGTCCCGGGGGGATTCTGCATGGAACTCGCCAGAATTGACACTTGAACTCACATCTTGCCCTTTGTGCAACTCGATGCATCATGATGGAATCTGCCACAACGAGATTCCAACATCCCTCGAGCTTATTGGTCCACAGTATCGAGAATTATTTGCGCACTTTTCTTCAACAATTGCACCAGTCATGGTGGTCTTGGACGGCAAATTCAACGGCTACCGTGATCTTATACTTCCTCTTGCCTTTGAAGATCAGCTTGTCAGATCTGCGGTGTGCGTCGTTGCTATGCATCATCTCGCTAATCAACGGCAGGGTCTTCAGTCTCGTGCTGAAGCTGGATTTCAGTCTATCATTTCTGAGCTTCGCTTCCGCACGTCCACTCAAGCTGATCTTGTGGACGTCTCCGCTTGGACTACCATAATTATCCTGTTGACTGGCGAAACGATCACGGGAGGTACCAACCTGCCCTACTTGTTCAAAATTCTTCAGCACCTCGCCGCTGCGAACACTAGAGATGGCCGGGACAGCGTGATGCACTCATTCCTAATGGAACAAACTCGCATGATGACGCTCTTTGCCCAACCTCTGCTGGGAGAAAGCTCAGGCACATTGACTCTGAGTGCCCGGCCTGCTGCGTACTTTGACTTCATTTCCAATGCAGCCATTTTCCACCCTACGCTTGCGCCCCAGATTGGGATGTATAAGTCCGCCATACACATGGCCTGCAATATATACCTGAAACGGGTCACATGCGGTCCAGCTCATTATGAGACAGTCCCGGACCTCGGACGACTCAAGAGTCTGTGCGAGAAAATCCATCCTGCTACACCAGGGCATCATACACTCGTGTGGGTGTACTTTATTGCTGCAGCGGAAAGTTCAATCCTGGAACATCGCCAGTTCTTTACAATGCGATTGCAAGAGGTATTCTCGCGTACCAGATTCCATAATATACCGACCGCTCTGGCGGCCCTGCAGGAGTTTTGGAAGGTTCAATCGGAAAGAAGGTGGACTGAGATTCTGCCAGTGGTTATGCCCGTCTTTATTATTTGACATATTTTTCTGTAGGGATCAAGACTGAGATGCAATGGCCTGATAAGTCCATCCATCCAATCGCGTCAGCAATCTTTTAGTGGATGTCACTTGCAAAGCGAGATCTCCCTCTTTTTCCCAACCAGTGCCTTTAACCCAGTGTTTCTTCCTCTCTCGCCGCCGCTCAAGACGATGCACGGACGCACCATTTACAGACTAGGCATAAATATTTCCCCCTAGGTGACAGCACGACGCTGCCAACCATCCATTGGAATAGGGAGGAGAAAAACGCGCAACGCAAGGATGGGTTTGGAGCTGTAACAATCTTGTTTAGCGAGCCGACCGCCCTTGCGGGACTTGCGAAAGGGCTGCATGCCAGATGTCGCTCCTCAGCCACTGACAATGCATCCACTGTCACCAAAGTCAGCGTTTACTCGGCAAATCAACACGTTGCGGTGTACTTCCCCACTCTCTTACTGCTGATTGAAAAGATTCTTTGCCATATAACTAATTGGTTGACGATGTAAAAGGTGGGTTTAACTGCTTAGCTCCTGGCCTGGACGTCTGATGACGAACTTGGCTCAGCCTCAGCCTCGGCATTACTTTTGATACTGAATGCTACCTGATCTGATTAAACTCAAGTGCCTAGTCAGCAAACTTGGGAAGTATAGTCCCTAAGCTGAGTTGAGTGTCGATGGGGAATTTGGTCGCAACAACCGCACCACCTCATTTCTTCTTTCCTAAATTTGGTGAGCCCTCAAGTTCGAACAGTGAGATAATTGAGCTTTTTGAGCACGTGGAACATGCTAAAGGGATTCGACAGCTGTGTGGTGCTCTGAGAACTGCACAACCGGAACTGGGGATCCGTGCAAGCACTGAAAAGTGCATGCTGGAGGATTTGTACAGCTAGATAACCTGGCGGTATTGCTTTCACACTTAATGGGCATAATCACTCACAAGGAGATGTGCCAGTCCCACACAGCCAACGGCAGTATCAAATTCCGCGGCCCCCAGCTACCTCGAAGACAAAGTGCTCAAGAGTCAAACAAAGACGCTTTTTTTTCCACATCATTTCACCCACAGAAGCTAGTTCCTGTCAGATAAGGTATGTTGAAACTTCATGGCACAGTCTATTCTCAAGCAAATCGCACCGAGCTACGACATTGAACACACCATCATTCATCTTGTTGGAAGGCCCTACACTCTTATATTGACAAAAGTTGGGAACACTCAGAGCTCATACTTAAGCCCACGGCTGATGCTACGTCATTCACGGGTACCATCGGGGAGATCTGGAATGCGCTTCTGCATCTTGAAGCCACTGCAGCATCAGAATGACGCAGATCCCTGGCCAAGTGGAAGACCCAAATCTATCGAGATCCTACTCCATTTCCCGAAGGATTGCGCCCTGCACACTCCAATATCACGCCGGCGTTACATCAGAATGTACGTCTTGTGTGTTTCAATTTGTCTAATAGTTGAAAGGGAATAGATGATGGTGTCGCCAAGTGGGCGGCGTAAGCTATCTACCTCGCCGTTTGTTGCCGCTTTCAACTAGCAATGAGAGGATGACCATACATTCGCAGCTTCTCCTGGCATCTGCAGATGTCCTGCATCGGCGAAGAGATAAATTGGGGCCGGCTGGGCCATGATCTGTTGAAACAGCTCATTTCGCTCGCGTGGACGTACAACCAAAACCCCCCTATATTTACCTACGGGATTTCAGGAATATAGAAACAGCCGAGTATCAGACTAACCTACCAGGATACAGTGGGATTCACAGACTTCACACTGTCAATGAAAACAGTGTGGCCTAGAAAGCTAACTTGACTGACAATCGGTTTGTAGCTTGTCCATACGAATTTACCAATATATCCTGTCGCTATGTGTCTTGGCTCTCAAGCAAACGAAACTTTCCGGAACCCCCTTGCCTCTAGGTCATTTCTCAGCTGCTCTGAATAGCCTTTCTTTTACTCCTCATCGACCAGCCCAACCGGGCCTGCCGAGCAGTTGCCGACTAGAGCTGCTATGCGACACCTGCACAAGCAATCTCATCCGCATTTAATTATATTCAGCTGGGAAAAAATAAGTTCGTAGACAATATATTGAGTCGATGATTCTTGCGTTGCAACTGGCGTCCTAAATTTGCAAGAACTTCAGGAGCCTTTTCTCTGGTCACTGCTCTAAAGAACTCTATCTAATCCATTTTGTCTCTAGACCTGTGACTCCTACTCAAGTATACGAAACTTCCAGTCCCGTCAGCGTCCACAACGACAATCGTTCTAAGAGGATCTCAAATCTTTATAGCAGAGTTCCATTCCACGCATCTTCGCCATCCGTGAGACTGTTCGCCTGGTTGAAAAAATAAGAGATCACCAATAAGTCTATTGGGTAGAAATGCTTAGACGCCCGCTTGTTGGCGTTGCAATGGTCTCGGGGGTTTCCAGGGCTGGCGCGAGACGTGGTATGCAGGCCTAAATGAAACGTCAGCAGGCCATGGAGTACGAGGTTCAGAGGCGTCAAGCTTCTCAAGAAGCTCAGCTGAGGGAGGAAGACAGAAGACGGGCGGAGGAGCACAAAAATCAGGAGAGGGAACTACAAAAGGAGAAAGAAAGAATCAGGATGGCGGTCGAGCTTGAAGAAGGAGACAAGGCAAGAGCAAAATCCGAGGAACAATCCGCTCAATAGCAGAAAGGTGGTCCATCTGCACAACGGGGAGTTGGTGTCTTGTTCTGTTCTGGTTGTGGCACCCAGTGCAAGACTGGCGATAAGTTTTGCAACGGATGTGGAGCCAAGTTACCACCAATCAAGCAAATGTAAAGGGGTTAATGTAGAATGAATGCATGTTTGCGTGCTCTGGCTGTCGCGGCGCGTCACTGCACTCGAAACACTGGCTTGCAAATCCTTTAGAGATGGAATTCAGATGACAACAGCCGATCTAGAGAGGAAACCTTCATAGGCTCCTACGGAGAGAAGGGTCAACATCAACATAGGACTTACTGTATGTGTCTTGTCTCACCCATGGAAAATCCAAGTTTATAATCGTTGTGTATGAGATGAGCCTGCCTTTCTGGAAGCCAACGAGTGGGGCAGTAGGAAAAGATTTCCTAAGCGTCATAGTACAAATTACCCCTCCTTACACATGACTCTACACTGGGCGAGCCAAGCACTTCCCAGCTACCAATGCGAAGTTCCCTGGTAGCCGGGAAGCCTTATGTTCGGTTACTCTCCTAGCCTCGCTCTCATCGCTTTCTCTTTTCTCTACTCGCGCTGCGAACTCAGAACCCCATACAGACATCCTTGTGATAAGTTGATCAAATCCGTTGATATGGAACCCTCGCCTATGGACCCTGAAGTGGCGACTGATAGATCGCGTATTGCAATCCTAGGCGCTGGAAGTGTTGGCTCAGCAATAGCACTCTGCCTAATCTTGAATCCCGTTGCTAGCGAGATTCTTCTGGTTGACCCAAACACCAAACAACGAGATGCACAAGTCAGAGACCTCGAAGATACAACCACTTATCACGGTGCTGTTGGGTTCGTACCACCGACGCGAGGCCTGGCAGTCGACTGATCAACCTACAGTGGCGGTGGAGTCAGGATTCGGTCCGCAACTCACAAGGAGGCAGGACAGTGCAATATCATCGTTATCAGTGCCGGGGCGAAGCAGAGACAAGGCAAGTTCGCGATTTGGCCTCCGACGTACGGACACTGCTGAGTATCATCTTTCCAGGCGAATCAAGGACGGATCTTCTAGGTCGCAATTTGGCCATTTTAAAGTCCGCCACATATGATATGAAGCCATTCCGCGAAGACACCGTCATTTTGCTGGTAGCAAATCCTGTGGATGTATTGACCTACTTTTGCCAGAAGTATTCTGGCTTACCCAAAGGCCAAATCATTGGGAGTGGGACCTTCCTCGACAGTGCAAGGCTGAGAGGTATCTTGGCTGCAAAGCTCGGTGTTGATGCTGGCAGCGTGGATGCTTATGTGCTGGGGGAGCACGGAGAATCGCAGATGGTGATAAGCCAAGGTGCAATAATAGGTCGATTTTTATGCTGACCACAATGCATAGGTGGCTTGGTCCTGCGTCACCGTTGGCGCTGTGCCACTGGATCAGTGTCTCTTGCCAGGAGCGTCTATCGATCGCAAAGCCGTTGCGCTGGAAACGAAAGACAAAGCAGCAAAGATCATCGAAGCGAAAGGGGCCACAGCCTACGGCATTGGAGCCCTGAGTGCTGCCATCTGCAAGTCGATCTTGTTTGACCAACGAAATGTTCGTCCAATCTCTCACTGGGTTGCCGAGTATGGATGCTGCTTGAGTTTACCAGTAGTCCTTGGGCGGCGGGGAATAATCAGATCTCTCAGCATCCCACTGAACCAAGAGGAGAGAGGTCTGTTACACAAGAGTGCCGACACTCTAAAGAAATTTATCCAAGAAGCAGAGCAGGCGCAGAAGTAGGGGAGAGGCGGAGAAAGCGCTTGGTGCACTTGTAATGATTTCTTGCGTTAAAGTATTTACCGATACCTTCACCAATCAACACTCATTTCCTTTCGCGCTGTGAGAGTCTGCGCTTGATGCCCCGCCAACACCGAGAAAACCTGGACGCTTTTGTAATCAAAGCAGGAGAGGGCTCCGATAGAACCGTCTCGGCGGAGATATCGGTAGATTGCCGAAAAGGAAAGGTCAATTTGTTGGATTTGAATCCGGCTTCGATAGTCGATATTTCTCTCAAAGTGTGTAGAATCTGATCTTCGTCGTAGTTTTCCATCAAGATGTACTGATTCTGGGTTCGCTAATGGAAGTTATGACGCGACTGCTGATTTGATTGTGATTTGATTGTGATTTGATTCTGCTTTTATTGCCATGTTGAAAGAGAATAGTTATGTACCTTTTGTGGATAACGACTTCCATAATGACCCAAAGAACTGAAAGACGACCTAGAAAAGAGAGACTGTATTCGCCAACTCCTCGAAGCCATATGTGTAATGCCAGCAGATTGAGCAGGAACGCAGTTCCCTTTGTCCTCGGCGCGGTGATACCACTGTGGCTGCAAGGACGAGGTCAACATGAGCGGTGAAACCGGCTTATGCCTGATGAAAGAGATGTAATGTCATAGATCTACCAAGTCACATATTTGACATACGTGTGATCTTTAACAAAATTACAAGAATACAAGGCTTCAAGGAATTGCTGTGGTCTGAGAACACGAAATCCAAGCAGGGCGGAGGGCACAGAACATGGAGGGGGATAAGGAGCAAAAGCTGCTGGAACGTGGAGAATGGGACCCACATGAACAGCAGAGTCTCGAGATATCGAGCTTCCAAGAGAATTACGCAATCTCTCTTCCTCATACTGCCTTGTTCCTCGCCGCCTCTGAAAGCCAGCAAATTCTCAAAGCGGGAGAATCCAGTTGGACCAACCTTCAGTTCTTAGACCGAGATCAGTCCGAAGCAAAAGGAAGTCTGACCGCCCTCTTCTCGGCGAGATCCCAACCCTGTCGGAAACGGGACGGCGTGTCCTCTCAAGCTTTGCTCCCGGAAACCCGACCCAGGAGAACTGATCACCAATGCCTCGGTAGACTTCGTGGAGACCTGGTGTTCTATCCAGACGAAGCCATATGGGGGGCATATTCCCTGTTACCCGTCAGTTCTAGACTCCCCGCTTCCTTGCTTCCAGAATAATGTCACCCGCGGGCACCAGCATTATCATTCGCTAGTTGATGCTCGCGTGATAGATTACCGTTCCATCTCCGCATCTGCCGGGCGTTCCCCATACAGAAAGAAACCTAGGTTCGCTGAGCACGTTGAGCTTTTCGAGCCCAGAGCAAGGTCACTCACGCTTCGGCAGTTTGCCTCTGAGACTAATGACGTCTTGGAATGCTTGTTTTTGCCCCTGGATATTCTTCTTCATGATACGAGGCTTTGCTACTGTCCAGGGTTGGGAGGGCGATTGCCTTACGAGGAAAGGATTCGAACATGCAGAGGATGTAAGTGGCATTGATTCGGTCCGGCAGGGATGTAGTACAAACAGGAGCTAAGGATTCGAATCCCCGGGCGCTGCCAAGAAATAAACGAGCGGGACATAGTGGGCGGAAGAGGTAGGTCGTTGAACTATCGTAACGTAACATTAAGGTTGCACTCGGACGTGGCCGACGAATGAAGTCGAAAAGAGAGTTTGGGGGGAATTTGTTCTGGAGCGTTGGGCGATTGGTCATTGATGAGGAGATGTCGCAATCCCGCCACTCAGCAGGTTCCTTGGTCAATCATGAGTCCGCTCGGGCACTTCCCCTGAACGAGCCTAGCACCTCCGACGTTCGCTAGCGAAGCTTGACAGGATCAAGCCAGACAAGCTCTCTCTTTGGATCTTGGCCTGCCATTGCCAAGTCTGCGTACTCAAATCATGGAGAGAAAACCTCATTTCCCCGATATCAATTATGGAGTCAAATGTAACCTGAGATCAACTCGCCCAAACAGCCGGCCAATGTTCGCCACGAGCCCCTGGCAGGATCTGTGTGCCCAGAACTGCCCATCATGTCGCCGCCTGCAACTGCATGCATCAAACGGCTGTTACGCCCATACCGTTCTTCGCTCCTGCCGACTTGAGAAGTGGCGCGTGAACATGCTGCGAGAGCCATCAGCTATAAAGATCATCCCCGGCCCAGGATCCAGAGGTTGATCAGAGGCCCATCTCTTCTCTCGTTCACGTCGCGCTCAACTCGATCCCAATCATGCCCGTCGACAACCCCGAGATCATCCAGGCCGGTGGTCTGGAGCACCTGGACACCGACAATGGCCGTCGTGTCTCCGTCACCAAGAACGAGGTCGTGCAATTCTCCCGCCGTGACTCCGATTATGAAAAGGTCCCCACGGGAGAGGACCTTCATGGACCCAATGCTCTTCGCAGAGTCGCTGCCCCGATTCCTTGGGCTGTCTACACGGTCGCATTCGTGGAGCTTTGCGAACGCTTCTCCTACTACGGAACTCAGGTTGTTTGTACGTCTACAATCTGACTTGCTGCTCGCCCAGACTACTAAACGGCGTCATAGACTCCAACTTCGTCAATCACGCTCTTCCACTTCCTGCGCCCAATGGCCCGCCAGGATCTCACCACAACACTGGCGCCGGTGGTGGGACCGACCAGGGTATATCGGGTGCTCTTGGTCAAGGTCCCCAGGCTGCCAACGGTATTAACACCTTCAACAATTTCTGGGTGTACTGTGTGCCCCTCCTGGGTGCTTACAGTAAGTTTCCCTTGTGCGCATATACACAATAGCTTTCAACGCTTCAGCGGTCCGAGGTGTTAGGGTGAATGCTGACTTGAAAACAGTCGCCGATGAACACTGGGGAAGATATAAGACCATCTGTGTCTCCATTGCCATTGCCATCGTGGGTCATATCATCCTTGTCATCTCTGCTATACCACCGGTCATCACCCACACCACTGCCTGCTACGCCGTCTTCATGATCGGTCTAATCATCATGGGATTTGGGACGGGTAGCTTCAAACCCAATATTTCGCCCTTGATCGTTGAACAGATTGCTGTGACCAGAGCTTTCGTCAAGACTTTACCTTCCGGAGAACGAGTAATTGTGGATCCCATCATCACGCAGAGCAGAATCTATCACTACTTCTACCTCTTCATCAACATCGGCGCACTCGTTGGCCAAATCGGCATGGTATGCTCCCCTTTAAGAACCGTGTCCGCTGTCCAAAGCTTACCGTGCTATCTAGGTCTACGCTGAAAAATATGTCGGATTCTGGCTCTCGTTCCTCCTACCTCTTGTGGCCTTCTTGACAACTCCTGTGGTTATGTGGTGGGGCCGCAAGCGCTATCAACAAAGACCACCGGCTGGCTCCGTCGTTACCAAAGCTTTCCGCTGCCTCTTCTACGGAATGAAGGGTCGCTGGTCTTTGAACCCAGTTACCATGTGGAAGCGCACCAGCAACGGTTCGATCTGGGAAGCCGCTAAGCCATCTAACATTCAACCCTCCCAACGACCCAGATGGATGACCTTTGATGATGCTTGGGTAGACGAGGTCCGACGAGGCTTTGCCGCCTGCGCAGTCTTCTGTTATTTTCCACTATACTGGTTAGCTTATAACCAGTTAACGAACAATCTAACAGCTCAGGCTGGTACGATGCAGCTGAAAGGGGTCCCAAACGAGTAAGTTCATATTCGCTTTATCCTCGTTCCTTCTGAAAACAGACTGACAAGAGCATTGCGTAGTGTCCTAAACAACCTGGATCCATTCGCTTTGATCATTTTCATCCCTCTTTGTGACTCATTCTTGTATCCTGGTCTTCGAAAACTCGGCTTCAATTTCACGGCGCTCAAGAAGATCACCGCTGGCTTTTGGCTTGCAGCCGCAGCTATGATCTGGGCTGCTGTCGTTCAATATTACATTTATAAGAGGTCACCCTGCGGATACCAGGCCAACAGCTGCTTCAACGATGATGGTACCGTTAATCCAGCGCCCCTCAATGTCTGGATTCAAACAGGATGCTATGTCCTTATTGCCCTTTCCGAGATTTTTGCATCAATCACGTCCCTTGAGTATGCATACTCCAAAGCACCCAAGAATATGCGATCTCTGATCCAGGCCATTGCTCTATTTACCAATGCTATTTCGGCTGCTATTGCAGAGGCTTTGAATCGTCTCTCGGGCGATCCGTTGCTGATCTGGAACTACGGTGTATTTGCAGTCGTTGCCTTTATTGGTGGCTGCATATTTATCTGGCAATTCTGGTCTCTGGACCAGCAGGAAGACGAACTCAACTTACTACCCGAGGGGTTTGTTATTGCGCAGAAGGACATAGAGGAGGTCTCCATTAGTGAGCCTCAGTCATATACTATTGAGGAGAAGAACTAATGAAGTGGGGCGAGGCTTCATAGCTAAAGGCGATATATCTCTAGCTACTATATTCCGGTGAGTTCTGGCCGGAACACATACAAAATTAAGGTTACGGGAGTAGTCTTAGTATAAATTCGACCCGAATATTTCGGAGTATTTCTTATAGAAAGAGTCTCGCTTCTAATCGAGCGCGTAGTCGATTAGAAACGGTCCGAGAACTAATTTAGATCTCTTTTAATCTCGATATCTTACCTTTCTATAGC